TGGCTCTCCAATCCCGATATGCACTTGAATTAAAAACTACGAGCGGGTATAAGACGCCGACAAAGTACTTGACGGTGGGGTGGGGTGCAATTTTCCTCAAAACCATACAGAGCCTCCTGCCCACCGGTGGCATTAAGAGTGTGATGGATCCTGCATCGGAGAGAACTCGTCACGTGCGGGTTAGTTTGCACCAGCTTTTTCAGAAACTTCCTATCTATGCCCTTCAAGTTTTGCATTGGCCATTAACGATCAATTATTAGCTGTAAGTTCAAGATCTATACGTCCATGGCGCTTGCTTAAAGTGAGACATGTCAGCCGATCCAGGTCTTTCTTCACGAAAGACAGGAAGAAAATCCGCTCAGAGGCAAAATGGTGCGCCTTGACCTGGCCTGACACACAATAGCGTATGCTAACTAGGATACCCTAGCGCGCACTTTGAGGCTAAAATTACCTGCGGCTAGCCAAAATAGTCATCAGTTCTGGGCAACAAAGCCATTTCGGTTGGCTGCGGAGCCTCGGGTATGTTGACTCTCTCTTTGACACCCAGCGCATTAATTCTGACTGCAATCTTCACGAAAAGAAATCTATCGCTAAAAAATTGAAGTCCTATTATCTGACGATATTAGTTCTCAAGGAGCCATCGCCCGAGCTCGGCTTCAGGAGGATTTCCTTTCTATAATCACGTCTGTGATAAGGAGGCCCAAAATGCTGAAGAAAAACATTAAAAGGCTCGAAAACTACCTGAGAAATCCATTCCCGGACATCAACTTCCAAATATATGGCATTTCACCCTTGGCAAAGGCGACATCTTTTCTTCGCTGTGGAAGGCCCGCGAACCGATTCATTAAGGCTCTTGATAAATAAAGGGGCTCTCATTGACCAGAGGGATAATGAAGGCTGTACTTCGTTGTCACTGGCGGCAGAGCTTGGGCGTCTCGACCATGTGAAAATTAGTCTAATTCCCTACAGTCACTAAATATATCGGTACTGTACTACCTTTTTCGCCTTGTCTCTCGTACTATGATAATAGCCGCTGCGCTTCTTCTTTATATGCTTTTCTTGCCTAGTATGTATAATCCTACCTCCCCTTGTGGCAAGGAGATAATACTAAAATGCTATAGTCTTTCTACTCGTCTAGAAGCTTGTATTAAATTTACGTCCTATGTGCTAGTCCTACTCTCGACACGTATATTTCCTCTATCTAGGAACATCTTGTATTGAACCTCCGCATTACCCGCAGACCTTGAGTTCTCGCTGACACCGTCTACATTTAATTTGTCGTCCTTATGCCATCTCAGATTAACTCCCCAGCTATTCTCCACTTGAGAGACTTCATAGATAGCGTGGGACCTGACCCGTCTCGACCGGAGCAGGGACTTGCTCTACAAATCGAGGCGTCTTTACATCTTCCTTTTCAAACGAATCTCTACTCAGACGATGTTGAATTGAATGAGCTTCCGACTACTATACATTTCTTCGCCTCACCGGGTAACCCTCAATCCTATGAACCCAACAAATTCATCTATGCTTGGGGCCCATTCTTAACTTCTGTCGACCCAGTGGGGCTCTACATGGTGGTTTGGGGTGGCCCGCTCGACCAAGTGGCTCGCTCCGGGAATTACGTTAACTTGCAAAACCCGGATTACAACCCGGATTACTAACTAACGTAATTCACCACCGAGCGGATCACCCGGCCGAGCGGATCACTACCCCCCATTAGAAATGTTCAAAATCGATTATCTCAACCAACACCTATTAATTTAGCAAATATAACGATTTTTAAATGTATTGATCCTGTGGCCAATCTCCCTACACCCACTACACCTAGGCGGAGCCCTAGTAGCCGGCCGATCTGCCTGAATAGGCAATTCGCCCTGCGCATGCGATTCTACCACCGGTGCTTCTTCTGGTAAATCTAGCTGCGCAACTAGCTGTAGGCCCTCTTCAACGGTCAAACCCTCTTGGCAGGGTATCCGCCTATGCGACCGATTGCGCTTCTTGACGATCTTCTCGTTGGGTGCGCGTAGATTCGCATTATCTTGCGCGAGCAATGCGAGGTTGTGTAGCGAAATGTAGTGGCCCTTGAGAATCTGATCTACCACTAATTTGAACGGGCTTGGAGGGCTTTTTGACCGCCGATCTAGTAGATCCTTCATCATACTAGCTTGCTTTTGTAGCTGAACGATAGTTCTGGGCGTTTTTGGTGTGAATTGGCTAGATCTGCTGCTTGGCTGGCTGCTTGGTGGTGACGGAGTTCGTAGAGAGATATTAAGCTTCGAGAGCACTCTTTCTGCATCGATTGGCACTAGGCCACTAGCTGCGAAGCTATTTTGAATAGTGCTTGATTGGTAGGCTTCCTGCCGCGCGCGTTGGTAGTCTTCTAGGAAATCGAATTTATCGATATGATTATATCCTCTACGCGCAAGATCGCTTACGAAGCGACCGTATGCGCGCCTTAGCACTGCAAAACACCCAACATCTAGTGGTTGTAGTAGATGCGATGAATGCGCAGGCATACAAAGAGGTATAATATCGTTTTCTGCGCATAATCGGTCGAATTGGGGCGTAAGGTGGCTACCGTGGCCATCAAGAATCAGTAGCCGAAATCGGGGACGTACACGCGAATTCGTTGATGGGATAAATAGCTTTTCTAGCCAGCGTAGGCCAATCTCATCGGTAGTCCAGCCATTATTGGATACTTCAAATCGCCAATCGTGTGGTAGATTATCAAACCAGCCAGCAATAGCTACTTTGCCTTGAAAAACCACACATGGCGGTAGCGAATAGCCATCAGCGCAGATAGCTTCGATTGCAGTAACCCATTCGCGATTTCCTGGCTGTAGGATAGATCGCCGACCGTAGTATTCCTTCCGTGTAACAACCTTCTGCGCCGAAATAAGGCCCATTGCAAATCCCGTCTCATCAAAGTTATAGATATCCTCCGCTTGTATACCGTTCTCGTCGATAACGCGCTGTACGGTTGTAAACCACTCTCGTATCGATTTTGGGTCTTCGTTTAGTGCGCGCTGGTAGTCATATCGCCTAGAGAAGCGTGATCGAATCTCATCGCGTCGCTTTATAAACTTTGATGGCCAATTCTTGCCAACAGTAGGCGGAGGGTAGCTACCGCGCGCAGCCAGAAGGATATTAGCCATTTCGGCTACAGTAGCTGGCCTAGGCGCTGCTCCACGCGTATCCATAGATATAATCCAATCAACAAGCGAATTCTCTTCCAATTGGGTCAGTTTATGGCCATTTGGGCGGGTATCACCGCGTGAGGTTCGGCCACTGGCGCGCGCATGTAGTGTAGTGTAAGAAATTTCGTATAGCTTCGCTGCTGCGCGGAGAGATTTGATGCGGCCATTTTTAATATCATCAAGGCCAATAAGATCTTGCCCTCCTGATTAGCCGATTTTGGCCGAGATTCAGAGCGAATTGGTGGCATGGTAGGTAGTTGAAGGTAGTGTGTAGGTGAGGAAGACGCGATTTTCGATGGGGTGATCCGCTCGGCCGGGTGATCCGCTCGGTGGTGAATTACGTTAGTAAGCGAGCACCCGTGGTCTCGGACTTACAAGAGGCCAAGCCATTCGCCTTCCACTACTTTTTATACTTAAAAGGCAATTTTGGCCTCAAAAGTCAACAAGTGCTCAGTTTTCCCTCGGTGACTTATCATGGCAGTCGCGGTGATCATACAGCTTAACGCGAATTCATTTCCCGGTGCGGAAGCACCGCTCGCAGCCATTGATGAGTAGGAGTGGCAGATCGCCAAACGTGTCTTCAACATTTCTGTGTAGTTCGCGGTGCAAATCCTATAGGAGCGAATAATCCACTAGAACGTAGAGTACCGTCCTATGTCCGGCCACACTCGCACCTATCGTCATCACGGTACCGGAGAGTCTTCGCGTAGCTAGCTAGCCAGCAATAGCCCGTTCGTAGTTACGCTAGCAGGTAGGCTCGATTCCGCGGCAGCGACGGCGCCTAGTGCGAGTAGCGGGCAGCCCGCTGTTAAGGCAGTAGTCCTCTATTCTTGTTCCCACCTACTTCTAGATACGATCTCGGATATATACCTTCTCTCGTGAGAAAGGAGCTAAACGGGTGTGTTTTCTCTAGACTAAGACTAGCTGCCGCATTAGCTAGGCGATCCGCCGCGTCATTTCTAGTATCATTGCAGTGCCCTAGACTCCACTGTAGGTGCAGGGTGACCCCGGTTGCCTTCACTTCAGCCGCGGCGTTGAGGATAGCATAGATTATGCGCTGTCCTGACTTCTTAGGTACGCTTCTAATAGCTTGTAGTGCAGATATACTGTCGCAGAGGATAGTTACCGCCCTCGACCCCCGGTGCTAAGGAGCCTTCGTTTTTATGAGCCAGCTTGTACACTAGGCTAATAGCATAGGATATTCCAATCAGCTCCGCGGCGTGGACCGACCAGTGTGCCCGGGAGATACAGTATAGTACGTCCCGAAACTAGTGTCACCACCTACACTCCTTGATTATTTCTAGAACCTCAATACCAAGATCTATTACTATCTAGATTTATGATAGCTCCGGAACAGCAATATTCCTGTAGTCATATATGGTCATATTACAGAAATAATTACATAACCCACGTTTAGTAACTAACTATAACTCTGCCGGGTGCTTACTAGAAGCGACTTGGAACAGTTCATGAAAAGAGAAATATCCTCGCAGATTCGGCAAGCTGTCTAGAGCTTCAGTCGTCTCACCTAGGGCCCAAGGCCTAAAACCTTAACCTATTAATTAATCCCTCTTTTCCCTTTGCAATTCTTCTGTAGCAATAGTAGTTTGCTGATCCGAAAGACGAAGTTCTTTGATCATAGAACAAGTGTTCCGAACTGTGCCCGTATATTTCAAAATTTAGCATTCTGTGCTTTTCTCTGATGAATTCACCAGACGGTGCCGATAAGACCCTCGAAGCAAAATACTATACAGCAGAACACCAGCAAAACATCGCAAGCTGCTTAAAAACGCCCGTATTGTTTCACATAATAATTTTGACCGGCTCACTGTCAAAGAAATTTGCACACTCGTCCTTGTTATTCAGGTCCACCCACGCACCTGTTGCGCCCGGGCTCACCGCTTGTTGAACGTTTATGCTTCCATCGCCTAGGCTGTCCGTCGTCAATGTTGCGCCCCCGCTTGTACACGCCCCGCACGTTCCGTCATTGGGGATCTGGATCAGGCGGACATTATAATTCGCGTTTGGGGTTCCCCCTTGAAGCACAGCAGTCGCGACAAGCTTGTCGGACCCGGTCCTCAAAAGATTGACAAAGCCGAAATTCTCAGCTTGTGTGGAGCCGGAACCGTCACAATTGCGGGGTGTCTGTGTAAGAGGTCTCCGCTGGTTTGGCACGGCTGCCGCAGTAGCACCCGACGTTATCGTAGCCAGAAGAGCAAGTAACGCTAGTAGTCGATTCATGATATGCTTGATAACTGCGCGATTATTATGAACCACTCTCGTGTTTGTAAGCGTATAGTAAATGAGACCCAAACCGATAACGTTCGGTGGGTTCACGGGTAGCAAGGAGTATTTATGTATTTAAGATAGAGGAGCACGAGCTACGATCGATCTTGCCACAGCCACTTAGGGCCTCGGCCATAGAACGGGTGGCAAGACACGTTCAAAGCGTCATCTGCGAGGAAGATATTTATCTCTCCTCTCGAGAAGCGCCGGCGAAAGTCTAGGCCTTTCGCTCATGGTCCTATGAAATCGCGTTCCAAACCTGGTTATCGTCAACTAATTCGAGCAATTATCTGAGCTAAGTATGTGTACTTAACTAGTTAGTTAGTTAACTAGTTAAATGGTTTGTCATCTTCTGTACGCTGCTCATATAAGAAGTAAGAATGCGCACTTAGCTATATCTCTGCCATTTAACCAGCGTGTGAAAGTGTCACGCATATAGAGACCCTGCGTAGGATGTGACGAAAGACCGTAGGCGCCTAGTTATGAATCACCGAAGCTCCTTTTCCCGGTCAGAGCCAGCTTCGCTTCCCGGTACTTGCATCCTCCAATAGTATTATAGAAGGCGATACCACAGAAGGATGGGATTTCTTTGGGTCTCCGCATCCGAGTAGGGGTCTATTTGGGCCTTCGCCTGCGGGGTAGCTTAAAAATATTGAGGTCGACGTCTATAGTACCAAGGGGATGATGATTTTCAAAGTTGGGCAATGCATTGAGGCGTGAGGTGTATTAAGATACTAGTAATGTACCACGAGCTACAATCACGTTTACTGCCTGTGCCCTGAAACGAACGTAGTGAGAGGAAGGGAACTAATCAACGTGCTTGTCCGTGCGCGACCGCTGATCAGAGGCGCTTTTCTACGTTGGAGCCCTTCCGCCACGCACTCTCCTCATTTGGCCGCTTTTCGGTCGGGCATTTTTCCAGCCCCCTACGATTGAGAGTGATCAATTTACTCACGCGTTGGTAACACGGTAGACTGGAGCGAGGCCTAGTTAACACACCCGTGAGAAATAGTTCGAGTATTCCGACTGATCGATTTTGGAGAGGCAAGGTGGCGACATCACCTTGGCTATGTTCTCGTCGTGGTCGGTAGATCTGTGGGATACCTCGCGAGAGCCCCCCGCCCGCTAAGCACCACCATTCCCATCTCCCCGAGCAGATCTTGGTTTCTCCAAGCGGTGGATCCCAAACCACCGCTTGAATACTCATCCCCAGCACCGCGTAGAGGTGTCTGTCCATCGGTTGGGGGGTCACTACAGTATCCGATACCCATAGATTGTCATTTTGTTCCTCCCATCAATAATTGTAAGTGTCCCTCACGACCGTCTATCGATCTTGAATATAGCGCGTCGCTACATCAAGATGGAAGTCTCATCCTGCTGTAACCACCCGCCCAAAAAAACGGATGAATGTTGGGTTAATGTCAATATGATTTTTTGGCTGTTTTAGTGCGGCAGGATTCATGGCAGAAAATAGGCGGTCAGGTAGGCTTAGTCGGAGACTTTTGCGGTGCCACTGTACAAGTGCGATGATCTGAAGGCGTATGATTCACGTAAACCATGTTAGATGTAGAACCATTGTCGTTCGTGGTTCCCATTATTTTACGAGAGACGCATGCGGAAGTTGCTTGGGGCAATGTATATGGCTAGAACACGTCCATATTGGAGCCTACCTCGCAGTTGTGGCACGATAATATCCTGAAGAGGAAGAGCTGGGAATACTGGCCAATAAAAGACCAGAGACCTAACCTTGTACCATAGTTGTGGTATCCTCGGGTAATGGCCATAAAGCCTAGCCACTGAGATTTTATCACAAGCTTCATCAAGGCCCTTGGTAGGAGTCATTTTGTGTGTGTGGTATGAACTATCAAGTTCGTGTTCCAGTAAAGATAAGGTTATGGAAATTACTTTAGGATGGACTAGAAAAAGTACTGAAGTTTCACTCAAAGTCTAGAACAGCTTACGTTTTCAAGCGTAATGATATCCTAAATGCAGTGGCGTTCCAGGAGTATTTGCACCCCCCCCCCCCCCCCCCGGGGACATCCGCCCTACACCGCCTAGCAAATTGTACGCTGCAACACGTTTGCATCCCGCGAATTAGACGGTCTATAACTCTTGAACTTTCTATCCTTCGTCATATCGACAAGTAATCACATACTGTAGAATTATTTTATTACAAAGGAATTTCTCATGGTCAATTTATTAGAATTGGAAATATTGTTTTGTCGGGCAGAAAAATGACGGTGTGGAAGTACTAGGGTGCAAATACTCTTGAAATATGACTGTATAATCAGGCCCAGCCCCAGGGGGGCCAGTAAATACGTTCTGTCCCCCAAACTAGGTTAAATCTTAATATTTTTCTATTAGTTTCCTTTAAATATTTGAATAGCTCTATCTAGGCTATCATTCTGATAAATTAGATTCTAGGATTTCTAGGTAGAAAGGGTAAAACTGGGGGTTCTGATTTTGGTGGTGAGATTTTTGATGGAGGATGCCACCTTCCCGTCGGGTAGCCTATACCCTTTTCGGCCAGCTTTCCTTAGCATAGGTTTAGAGCTTTAGCTTTTAGGTAGGCATCTAACGGGCAATTCATGACTCGAGCCAGAGCCACTCAACGGTCGCAGGAAATTGACCACATGTACGGAAATCAAAGACGACCCGCCCAGTCGCAATCGGTGATTCAAAAATTTCCAGCATCTCTGGGTGAGCCAAAAGAAGGTATCGAAGTTAAGAGGCTTTTTGAAGTTTTTATTTTCGGCGACACTAGCATAGGACCTGGCAACCTATCCATTCATTAACGCGCGTTTAGCTCTGATTTCTTGGTCCAAGTCATATAGTTTGAACATCTGAAACTAACTAAAGTTGTTGTCTACTTCTTGCGACCTAGTGTCAAAGGCGGGCAACAGTTTCATTACAAGCACGATCCTCCCGGCCCCGTTTTAAACGTACTAGGGATCATCTGACTCTAAATACTGAACTACCTGGCCTCACAGCGACGCCGTCACTTTACAAGTTCAATGCTATAATCTACAATCCCGGTCTATAGCTTAACCGATGACGTCTCCAATCAGAGATATCCAATAGAGCAACTTCCGTTTGCGGCGTCATTATCGCAGCATTGTGCTTTATCACCATTGGTTATAGTACACACGCACCATTCATTTTATTCAATTACTAGTACCACGCGTTTCCATTGACTAGACGGCTAGAATAATCTAGACTCTTCTAGATCGAAATTGTTTTGTGGTTTTGTGTTAGACGTGCATCTGTTGGTATAGTGATACGTTCCCATCTACGTCAAGTCTAGTTTCCAGAGTCATCTTATCATTTGCTTTATACGTAGAGTTCACTCGTTCTCAGTGAAATCTACAAATAGGTAGGCGTAGTGCTAGTTTATAAATTTTCCCCTTTCTCTTGATTCCTCATTCATAATCTCACTATCTTATTCATCATAGCCATCGATTCACAGATTTCAGATCACTTCTATAAGCGTTTACACTATCTTTATTGACCACGATAACTCTATTGTGCTCTCCATTCTTACCAGCTTTCTCAAACGCAATGTTCAGGCTTCTGGTTCTTATCTTCCTTCCGCTAGGTCAGTTGTCTCAAGTGAATTTATTATATATAGGACTTCTAACATCTCTGTCCTCTATAGCTGTCTTTGCGTCACCCCAGACTGGCGGCGCTGGGGGTAACAGTGTTTGTGCACAGTGGTGTGCAGCAAACTTCCCAGGTAGCCCTGGTAGTCAATGCACCTCACTAGCTACAAAACAGCGAGGACCTTGCTATCAGTGCGGACCCCTGAAGACTACTGCGAGTGAGGAGCTATGCAGCGGAGCGTGCACTGACACATCAAATGACTCCAAAAATTGTGGGGCCTGTGGCAATATCGTATGTGTCAAGATATCTATTTCATTCCGTGACTTTTACTATAATCGAGCTAATGCTGTTCTAAGTGCCCACCAGATACGGCTTGCAAGGCTGGCGTGTGTCAATGTAACACACCCTCTACATGTAGCGTGGGTAATTTTAATTTATGTCCCGACGTCAATCCAGGCAGCTGCTACTGCGTCACCACACCGGAAGGAACAAATGTATGCGCAGAAGCGGATATATCCTGCAACTCTCCGTGCTCCAAATCCTCCGACTGCCAGCCAGGTTATGTGTGTGATATCAACGACTGCTGCCGAGGTGTTTGCGTTCAAGCCAATACCTGTTCTGATCCAACCGCTGCAGCAGCACTTTTCAAGGAGGCTCCCGCTCCGCAGGGACAAGATACGAACCGGAACATCCTGCATTGAGTCTTGAGCTCCTGCCTCTGCTGTATCAGCTGTGCAGTTTGGGAGGCAGATATGAGTAAAAAGTGATTTTCATATTATTTCCTGTAGGGCAATCAATTTAGGCACATGCCCAATTTAATTTTATGTTGGTAGCGCTACTGTGATACTTCGTTATGAGGCTATTCACAAATTGGTGCCTCAGGCTAGGGGTCCTAGGACCCGCCGAGGCGGAGGGCGTTCGGCGGTGAGTCGGTACCCCTTTGGCGGCGCAGCTAAGCGAGAAACCCGCTGCCCGCATACAGGCTATGCTAACTGCTTACACAACCTTTCAGCTTAGGCGCCCTATCCTCTTGTTAATCTCTATTATATTCCTGTCTTGTGTGAAGAGACTGTATATAAATTGGTGCTATGACCTAGGAGTGAGTTCCGAACTCCTCAAGAGACAGTCTTGTTGCGAATTTGACTTGGTGCTTTTCCTCCTTACCTGTGAAGAGCTAGAATTTCATGATGACTAGTATGCATCTTAGCGAATAGGAGTAATGGAATCAATAGTGGAAAATGAATGTATGATTGATTGAAGAAAAGAAGTAACTACCTCTTTAAGGTGGCCTTACTAGTGGAATCGGGACTTCGGGTTAAGAATTGCCGAGTCCTGCGGATTTGTAGGAACACATACAGAATGCGTACGAAAGGTGAAGTAGGTGGATCGGAAGGATTCTTAGTGGTAAGTAACCACTCCGTTTTCCTTGACATTACCTAATCAACCGGCCTTCTACCCTGCAAAGTAGATCTTTACAAGCGCTTAGTTATGGCTCATATATTTAGTGGAAAATGTGCTTCTCTAACATATAGGAGTATTGATGGCGCATCTAGCGCCACTATGCAGAGGAAGCAACAAGGAGCAGGAATAGGCTGTGGCACCATCCGCGAAAATCCAAACCGCTCCGCATCCGCTCCGCAGATTGCGGATATGGATACGATTGTGATATCCAACTATCCGCGCGGATTGGATGCGGATTTAAACTTCAAAAAGTTGGTTATCCGCGGATATCCAGCGGATTCAAAAACGGTACAAACATGCCAAGTCTCGTGACCTGATTTGGCATGCACATCTTATGCGGATTTGAAGGTAATATTCGGTACTACCAGTGTTTACTATTGTCTAATTAATTACATGTTCGTATAGAAACTATTTCTAATAACATATCGAACCAGTTCACTGTTCAACTGCTTCATTCAGCGCATTATATAGTTATACTATAGCCTGCCAATCTCGAATCCATCTGGTAGCCGTGGCTTCCGAATCCTTCCTGTCCGGGTCTGTGTACCATCGAATGATCTTTCCTCTAGCGGTGCACTATTACCGAGATCTAAACTATCCACAGGCCGCTTCAAGGAGCGAGAGATCGCCAGTTCATCTACATCATTATCGGAATCCTCCCCTTGTAACTGCTCTTGGCATCCTTCCTCTTCATTGTCACTAATCGGCTCCATGAACTCAAGTGATGGTGGAGATAGACGGCTCTGATCAAGCATAGCAGCTTCGCCAGATGAGAGATACTCCTTGATCATCTCGATCTCCGCTTGTTTCAGCTCAAATGTAGATGAAAAGTGATAGAGGATCTGATAGAGCATCAGACCCTTGATTGTGTCTGGCTTCAGCTACCCACAGCGATAACGACAGATATCGCGAGCACAATTGAACAAACGCTCTACCCCTGCTCCACTGGCCGGAATCGAGAGAATATCCCGTGCTATTCTAGCAAGCACTGGGAATTCCTGCTCATGTTCTTTCTAGTAAACACGTGGATTTCCTTTACTGAGCCCTACTCTTTTTATTAGATACAGTAGATAGATGAATTGAATAAGAGACTCACCTTTTGATAGATATCACGTACCTTCATCTTGCTGGCTATCAAATTCAATAGTAGGGAGTGTGGTTTATTGCTAGTCACAAAGCATTGCAAGTCTTTCATCCTCTATATCATCAATTTTCTCTGAGGTATCTGGTTGGTGAGCTTCCCTCTGAGCTTAGTGCTGATAAGATATAAACTTATTTCGAAATCCGTCTTGATACTGCTTCATAATATCAACATCACCACCTCTCCAATCCTTATTATCAAAGTATCCGTAGTGTAGAATACTTTATAGGGAGCCGGGGACGCTAACTATCTACTATCCTAACCACGAATTCTATATTTAAAAGAATCATTTTAGTTAAAAACCTCCTATACAGGCTCGTCGTACGATAAGCTATAGATCGTAAAAAAAAAATCACTGTGTAGTAGTCCGTGAGAGTCTTCCTTTAAGCTAACTCTATAGTGTCGGCTACTTCTTTTATAGCGAACCGGGGACTCCAGATACTTTTGCTCGTATAATAAAGTAGAGAAAAGGATATAATCTCTACTGAAGTGCCTTTAATATCAAAATAAGTCAGCAAACTAGTAGATATAAAGTTCCTATATAGAGGATCTAAGCCGTATAATAGTAGTAGGGAAGTTCTGTTATAATATAGTGAGTATACTTGCTACTATAGATCTAGTGTCAGACTCCGGTGTATCCTAAGATGGAGAGGATAGCGAGGGGAGTCCGCTGAGTAGCTAGGACCACGTGATAGAGAGAGAGACACGTGTAGGCAGTCAGCATAAGATAGATCTAGAAGGGATGAAGATTCCACCGCAGACAGAGTCACAGAGAGGGGTGTAGCACTAGGATAGCTAGTGGCTACGAGAAAGGTCTAAGATGAGGGGTCGTCTCAAATGAGGTGAGATTCAAAGAGATTGATTCAACTGCCTACACGTGTTACATAGAACATGAAGGGTAATAAATAGTCAGGATGGAAGGGCTGGTTAGGCAGCCCTTAGGCATAAATGAGTGGCATGATTCGGACCAGAAGGGTCCGGAATAAGCAAAGAGAAAGGAAGGACGGATGTTGTATCCGATGCTATCTAGGCCTAGAGAGGCCTAGCTGGATCTGTTGAAGATATGCTGAGATACGGGCTATACGAGCCGCATTTCTTCTGCAGAAGAGAGTTGGTGGCCTGACGGCTCAGGCTACCAACTAGGGTCATGTGACCCACAACCTTATAGGCTGACATCTAGCCCTGAGTAGTCTTCGTACGAAGGGCAGGATAGACAAAAATAATCTACTCTGTGTATTAATATAGTATATAAAGAGGAAGTATATAGACTAGTGCGTAGGAAGTTCCGTTATAGAGGATCTAAGCCGTATACCGGAGGTAGTGAAGTTCCTTCTATATTATAGTACGCTCAGAAACAGGTTGAAATGTTCCGAGACATGCTAGACTCGCTTGCCTCAAACGACAAATTTGAAATACATGACTTGGATACAATCATGATGGATGCGATCAGGAACAATGATACGCAATTCACCCTGGAGCTTCTTTCTCAGGGACTATCCCTGCTCCCAGATTACGCCTTGGAAGCAACGAAGTGGAAGGCGAAGAATGTTCTTGAATTGTTTTTCGAGAAAGGCTGGGATATCAACAAAGCAATAAGTGAAGCTCAACCCCCCTTACTCAGGTGAGTCCAACATCTCGTCTCCTATAAGGTATGATCCATAATTGCTAAACCTTTCCTAGTTTCGTTACCCAAGATCAGGACATGATGATCTAGCTACTGAATCGGGGGGCCGATCCGAATCAGAGATGTGGGATCGATTTGACTCTAATTTCGTACGCTGTCAAGGATGCCCCTATCTCAAATATTAAGCTCTTACTGGGCAGTGGAAGCGACACACAACAAGGCCAGCTTCTATTCCACGCGCTCGAACGAAAATCGGAAATCATTGAAGTTTTGCAGCTCCTTCTCAAAGAAGGTGCTTCGCTCAATGCTACAATGTATCAGAATCATTATCCCTCTTGGGCGCTTTACTTCTTCATGGGACTTGGTATTGTCTTACACAAGGCGGCGGAGCTTGGAAACGTTCAAGTTGTCAGCTTTTTGGTTAGTGAAGGAATAGGTCTAAGCATAAAAGACGCGAATGGCCTCACTGCGCTGGATTGTGCCCGGAATCTCGACAAAGTCGAAGTTGTGAAAATTCTCGAGGACTCGCTTAGTCATTGAAACATGGAAGGAGAGTTTTGGGAGACAGGAATACAGATGTTTAAACCTTGTGTTCTCGGTAACTGCGTAAGAATTAACGACCATATATTCTTACTTTAGCAAATCAGCCACGACTCCTCCCCACTTCTGTTATAGTCTCCCTCAAAAGTAAGGCAGCATGTTTAAACCCTAGTGACAGATCCTCCCCGTCACACGTCCAAATGTCGGATTTTTGGCAAACGGAGAGTACGAGCGAAGCGATAGTCTGTTCCAAGGTTAGAAAACACTGTCGAACACAAACTTTACGTGACTGACCCGTCCATATTTCGACTTCATTCATGGCTTGAGCATAAGACCCATAAACAGTCGCCTTTCTTTGATTGATCACGTCGGGCGTTAATTCGCCCCTTTTCACTTGTCGACGGAAGGCCTTAACTGCAATTACCGCCTCACAGAAGATGTACTTGCGGTATTGCAGATCTTGGGGTGATGTGAGCCAGTGACGTGACTTCATGAAGGCTTTATCCCTACGAAATGCTTCTCGGAGTTTCCGGAAAAATGACCAAGTCTCTCTCGTCTCCCAGAAGCTTTCAGCCACTATCCAATCTTTCAATCATTAGCTCCGTATATAAAATCATGGGTTTACTAATTGACGTACCATACTTTTCATAGCTTGGAGGCTCGCCGATGCACCCGTGATCATCCATGGCCATCACTGCTACTTCGGATGCAGGCTGTCAACCTTGTGTAAAGCACTGTAAGAACGGGAGTTTGTGGATTACGTATAGAGTTTCTCGAAATCGCGTTGACCAGAACACTCTTGGACTCTCTTTTTTGGTCCCACCACAAATATCTTAGCGTAGATGATCCACTGAGCAGGCCACACTAAGAACTGAGGGCCGCCATGAATTGCGACTTGTATGGTACAGTAGCCATCAATGTTTAAACCCTAGGAATCAAAACGCAGGCTGCAATCTTACGGCGGGAATATAATACGTTACAAAGATATACTTTTTCATTATCCTTAACTGTGTTGATATGTGCAGGGGCTGTCTGGTCTTTGGTCTTATTTCGATAGTCTGTCTCTAGAACACGATCTGTACCTAGTGTATCAATTTTGGTCCCAATTGTGGTGATTTTAGTTTGATATATCCAAATCGGCAATTTTGATGAATTCGGAGAGCCAATTTAGGTCAACTCAAGGGGCCAACTCGAGGGTTAAATAGATATTTCCAGTCTTTCATGTTTGGCTGATCTATGCCAGCGACCGTTTCTAATGGGCATTTCAACTTCCCCAAAGATCCCGTAATTTTCTCAGTAGAGAGTCCATTATTTTGGCTTGAGTGGCTAGCCCAAGTGTTCTTTTCCATACTCGGATCACATTGACCTGCCCGAACACCTTTTTGGATTGTGGTAGCCCAAATTTTTGACAAAATTGGTGGACTCTTCCTCATTTAGGCCCAAGAATTACTCAATGGCTATTTCATCACAATCGAAAGGCTCTGCCTGTGCCGAGATAGTTTTCGCGATTTGTATTGTAATATCAAGTAGATCTTTTCCAGGGGAAATGCTGGCTTGACGTCGACCGTTTAGTAGGGTGGACAAAAACCGTCATCCACCCAAGAAAGTGGTCATGCAGGCCATTAAGCCCCGACTGACGGAACAGCGAAAGTCCACGCCATAGCTATGATCATCCTGGGAGCAGGAGATAGTGTCATATTTTATATATGGTTTCTCTTGTGCAGTATGGATGGATGGATGGATGGGATGGTTCCATTTACACTGACCCCTCCCTAAAGACGCCTGAGCCTTTCGATTCTTGAGAACGTCTTAGCTGCAGCTGAAAATTGGATTATTCCTCCCGCAATTGTCAGTGGAAATTCATCCCTGACGCCAGTTCTGGAAATCATTATTCCTGATTCTCTACAGTACTACAGATACTCAAATTTGTTCTGGCAGTCTACGGAGAACAAGCTCCTAGGAGATATCCTTTGTTGATCTATTAACCCTGTAACATGCAAGGTCCTCGCCTGATTGGAATGTTATGCAGAACAACCTGGGCCTCCTTTGCCAATCTGATTGTCATATAGATTTGTACGTACATTGTATTTTTCCGGTACTTCGGTGAGGTTTGTGCTAGACTAGCTTATGCAGCTCGCATCACTTCATATCTCACCACACTTCATATATGATTATGGGTCATGATTACCCGACCTTCAGATTGGCTACATTGTCTCCATGTCGTCGGGTCTTGCGTGGTTTGTCTTCGGGCCCGTGCAACGGAGTTGCTGGCTCACAAAGCTCAATGGACCAGATGATGACAGCCGGACGTAGGCGATTAGGCGATACGCAGATATGCGGTTCCCCAAAGATACCAACAACGCTGTTCAATGTGGCTTTTGGATCAGTTGGAGGAGCTGGCGAGTCATTCGTGCGGTGGTACCCTGCACGCTACATTAGTCGCAGAATCGATTGGCGCACACAGGCCTTGTCTGAATGCCATCCTGCCTGAGTATTATGCCGTCTAAGCTTGAAACTTGCCTTAGCACGCCTAGCTTGCAGTTAGCAGAATATGGAATCCAACAGCCGCCCCTGGTATTGACCTCAGTCACGAAGTGCTTCAAGCGCTGTCTGGAGACGCCTGTCACGCTGGCCACGTAGAGATTTCCTGGGAGGTTTTTGATGAGCAAGTCTATGAGTTTGATGCTGGTACGTCAAACAATGTTGAGATTGCCACCGCTCAGCTTTCGCCTTCGTCCGGGACTCCGACATGGATGGCGGCAGGCTCATCCGCTAGCTATACTCCTGGCCCATGCATAACCTGTGTGGAAAACGAATGGAAATGCGGTGGTAATGTGCTTGAGCAGTGCATCGGCAGTACCTGGACCCCGCGTGTTACTTGTGCGGTGAGTACCAGCTGCCAGGGCGGTTCTAACCCTTATTGCGCTTAAGCCTATAAATGCTGGACAAACGCGGATTCTGTTGAGGATAAGCCTGAGACGATCCACGGCACCTGCATGAAGGCTTTTTGCCGTAGGGGGAATCTTCAACAGATTCATACTTGGAATTTTTTTACTTGTATCAGGCAAAATGTGAATGCAAAAAGCGGACGGGAATGCCAGAAAACGAAATATAAATGGAAATCATCCGTCTAGACGGCGGGTTCTTCGCGTAGCCAGCACGGTACAAGGCTCCCTCACGCAAAGCTTGAAATGATTGAAGACATGATATGATATGACAGCAAGCTGATACGATATGGCATTGTATGCAAGGATGGGGCTAATCTACCAAGGGGAACCAATCCAAAAAGATGAGTTGAATTAAGTTGAAGAAAAGAAGAAAAGAGCGGATGCTGCGAGGACATGTTAGGGTGTCCTTGCTTACATGAGTAGGGTAAAGGGGGGTGAAAGTCCCGATTCTCGGAGTGTCGAGGATCCCCTAGTACAAACATAGAAATCACGACGCAAATGAAACTAAACTATTTTGTGTGTATTTTAATACTCCACATTCCTCGACATATGATATTGAGCAAATCACCAACCACCTCGCAAATGGACAAAGCTGCTGAATGTGTTAAATTTAGCTCTCAGCTAGACCAAGTCCGATTGGTCTATGTCAGGAAAATGGTGATCGGCATCGGATTGGCTTAAACGGTACATCTTGAGGTTTCCGAAGATATGGTATTCGGTATTGGGATTAGCGTACTTTTGGCCACCTTTCGCAAACTCGGATATGTATTATCAGGTGTCGGAGCAAGTCAAAGCAGTATGCGGCAGAGCGAATGGGAGCAAAGAGATGTGTATTCTCGGTGGTTGTCCAACATCCGAAAAGGGGGGCACATGATCTAACTAAATGTGGCTAGCAGCTAGCTGGACGATACTAGTGGACCATTTGTTCTGACATCAGGGATGCCCCGTATAGCTATGGAAATACAGTGGATTTACTAGGTGTTGGTATCACCAGCTAGGTACTGTGTATCCGTCCGTGCCTTTCTGCCCACCCAAACCGCTCCCCGCTTTGGGTGCGCCACCCATTCTTCGTAGTCACTGGTTCTTCGTATATTTTGATGCCAAATCGTAGATTTCATCAACAAACTAGCTAATTATCAATAAAAAATAGCTCTCCTGCCTCTCTACCCTCCCTCTCGGCCTGAATTGCCCGTTGAATACTCTCCTCCGATCTCTGTGTGGGCGCGTAGCCATAAAGCTTCTTGAACTGCTTAGCTAGCTTCCGCTCCTCCTTCGCTTTTTCTTCTTCCTTCCTGGTTACAATTGACCGATTCGCATCGCGTGTGCGCAATCTACCAGTCTGGCTAAGCGGTTTAACCTGCCGCTTAGTGTATGTGCGACGTACTGGCGTTTGTGCGGCTCTAATTCGCCGAATTGTATCGCGCGTCATCTCAAGCTCCTCGGTTATCTCCCGCTGGTGCGCCATTATCTTCGTGAGATTTCGCTGCATCTTCTCCGAGAGATCATCAAGATATTTGGTAATCTTCGCATGGTTCTTTTCTAGTGCTTCAATAGATTTTGGAGGGCTATTTTCAATACTAGAAGATGCGAGATTTGGTGGTGGTGATAGTGATGGTGTATGCGATCCCCATGAGCGAAGCTCCGGGGCGTAGAGATCAGGAATTACTAGCTGATTAGCAAGATTTTCAACAATCTTACTACCATCAACCGGCCAAATACCACGATCTTTGAAGGAATAATTCGCTGGGTTAAGGCTTTCTTGCGAGTTGGCCCGATAATCGCGAGGAAATCCGATTTCCCATACGGTTGGCCGCCCCAGAACGATAGATCGTTATTCATTAACCGAAATTGCTGTTTATAATTCAGAAAGGGCTTTCCGTCAAGTGGCTGGCAAAGATGCGTTGAATGCGGTAGAAATGCGAATGGGATAATATGATTCTCCTCGCATTTACTAAGAAATTCGAGGGTAAGGTGCGCACCATGACCATCGAATATAAGATAGCGCTTTTCGCCACGCTTTAGACGGTCGGGAGTAGCTGTAGATTTAATAAAATAGCTTAGCCAGGCTAGAGCTAATTCATCAGGAATCCAGCCGTTCGGAGACATTGCAGTAATCGTATCTATCGGTAGGTTTTCGCTACCGTAGAACCAGGCCTCCATGAAATTTTGACCAGAGCTTTTGAATATAAAGAGCGGATCCATAAGCCACCCATCCGCAGCAATACACTCAACCGCGGTGATAGTTTCACCCCTCTCTGCTTCAGCTAGGTCAGGGCAAGATGATTTAGCCCCAATAACGTTTCGGGCGCGCCCTTGACCAGGTTGAAAGCCACATTCATCGAAGTTGTATACTAGCCGGGCGGGGACGTTATGGAGGAGCCTTTCAAGTAGGTCGTACCAGTGCTGAAGAAGGCCTGAATCCTCGGCTTGGATTCGCTTCAGTTCCTTGGTCTTTTACTTCACTGGGGCTAGATTTAGGTGCTTAGGTAGACGTGCTTCAAAGCGATACGCCCACATCTTGCTAACCTGTCTATCCTGGCCCGCCCGCTCTAGTGCACGATTCGCCCACGCTTGTATAAGCCCTGCAGTAGGTGGTAGATTCTACGCATACATTTGGACTATCCAATTAGTCAAGGCCTTCTCCTGGTATGGCTGTAGAGCATGCTTCTGCGATTTGGTAGAAGTAATTGGCAACTTAGCCTTTTTGACGCGACTAAAGAGTGTAGTGTATGACACGTTGAATTCACGCGCAATCTTCGCGATATTCGTCTTCTTTTTAGCCATGGCGGCTGCGAAGGCTTCGGCCATGCGAGATTCGTCAAAATCAGAAGATTTAGGCATGTTGGGTGGTTGAGATAGCCGATTGTAGAGGAGATTTAGAAATCTACGAAGAACCAGTGACTACGAAGAATGGGTGGCGCACCCAAAGCGGGTAGCGGTTTGGGTGGGCAGAAAGGCACGGATACACAGTTAAGTGGACAGCATGTATGCTCCAAAAGCAGAAAGTAAATTGATTGATGTAGATAGATGTGTCTTCCAAGTCAGGTTGGAAGATACCCCTGAATCCCATACGGCGGGATTCGCAGCTTAGCGCAAGGTTACGTACACCAAGCACAGACATGTTGTCTTTGCTTCTGACGGGAGGATATGTCCCGACACTAGGCGATTAACGCAACGGAATCAAAAAGGGGAAATACTAAATGACGAGGTGAAAAGAGTGTTTATTCTTGTTCTCTAGAACTGCTGGGGGTCGAGGGGGTTAAAATACCCTCGAGAATACCTGTGACTTGGAGAATACATATCCGAGTTTGCGAAAGGTGGCCAAAAGTACGCGTAATCCCAATACCGAATACCATATCTTCGGAAACCTCATGATGTACCGTTTAAGTCTTAACCCCTTCGACCCCCAGCAGTTCTAGAGAACAGAATCAACCCTCTTTTCATCTCATCATTTGGTATTTCCCTTTATTGATTCCGTTGCCCCAATGGCCTAGTAAATCCATTGTATTTCTATACAGGGCGTTCCTGATAAAAAGTCTCCCACCATTGAATGTTCTTACTGTACCCGGTAACAATTTAGCGAATCTTCAACATGCCTTAATATGAGTCAATATAAAGGCAAAGCGGGCATTGCCAGGGTGTTTTCTTTTGGGCACAGAGCTTAACGGAGCCTCCATCAGTCCGAGCTTAGATGATACGGCGAAGCCATAGTTGATATGTATACAGATGACTGTACTGTTTTCAAGCCACGATCTGCAGCTAACCTGAATATTCACTACCGCGTCTTTGGATAGGGTTGGAGAATTATTTTCTGAGTGGACGAAGGGGAATCTGATATCGAATACGGCAGTACGGATTGATTCAAATTATCCTGGGAGTTACCGTATCCAAAACCCGATGGCTAAGACTTACCAGAATCGTTCAAAACGACTAACTCGAGACAGGGGACAAAAGTTGTCAAAGCGGAGAAATCTAGTATGAGATTGTACGCCTAGTGGGGAGGAAAACAGCCAACGGAATCAGATGAATTAGATCGATTGATTAGACCAAAAGGAAAACAAGCAAAAGAGGAAAAATAGGGGCAGGTTGAGCTATCCCCAGGCGGTGTAGCCGAGTACTCTGGTGACTTGACCAGTGTCTGCGAAATACCCGCAAATACTAGCAAAGTACATACAAAAAGGCGGTAGGGATTCGACCAATCCCGAGTCACTGTAATAAAAGAGAGTCCACATTCTTGACAAAAGTATTATCTGTTTTATGTTGCTATATAGTCATTCCCAAATTTCCGAGGCCAGTTGATATTATCGAATTTCGCCGACCTCATCCTCGTCATCAACGCTTCAGATTACCCATTTTCGTTTTGGCAACAGAAGTCTTCAATCCAGTCTCTCCAAGCAGCCCGGTTCCTTTTTGGAACGGCACACAAAAACTTACTTTTCAGGATGAAGCTTTCGCAGTCTGCCATTATAGAACAATGCTGCAGATGCTCGGGAAGGATATCTTTCCACTTAACCAGAACATAGGTCGGCCGCGTAAGAGGCCCCCTACATTGAGATCCGTGACTCGACGATTTAGAATATGGTGCGACCACAGCAACGACTTTCTCGATGTTATTGAAGTTGTATTGGTATTGAGCCACGCTGCTCTTCAATGGTATGTCTAGTATTGTTTCCTTGCTGCCCGAGACTTCAGGAAGATTCTCAAGCTCGGAAAGACCCCATTCTTTTGCCTTGCCAATCTCGTAATGACCCGATTGGCCAATTTGGTAGATCCTTCGCTGGTGATTCTTCATTGGGTTGCTGTTGTACCATGCAACTGGAACACCAACAGGCTCTTTTTCGTCCTGTGATCTCACTCGCCTTTCAATCACATCCGTGGGTTTCTTTGATTCCTTATTCAACAGACCAACGTGTTCGGGATCCGCACCACACTGCACAAGGATGAGGCAGAACTCCTTTGAGCTATTGAAAGCATAGGAAAGTGATTTGTTAAGCTGTGGTCTGTTTGCAAAACTGGCCAGACGCCTTAATATTTCAACTTTTCTTTCACTCTCTCCCATCATGATGCACTCTAGTGCAGAGACGTCGCAGTTATTACGCATCGCAACATCAGCGCCGTAGTCAATCAAGCAGGAAATAACTCTTTCATCTCCTCGATAGCATGCATCCATGAGAGGCGTAAACCCAAGGCGGTCCCTCCGGTTGACTTCGGCTCTAGCACGGACGAGCGTATGGACAATGGACGTGGAAGCTGTTGATATTGCATATGACAGTGCTGTATTACCAAGCTCATCAAGCTGATCTATGTAGATCATTTTCTGCGACTTTTCCTTGTCCTGAAGGACAATATCGATTGTTTCGACAATTTCCATATCCTGCCTCAGTACAGCTACGTGTAGCGTAGTCATTGCCATGTTGTTTGTGTCAAAGATTGCACATGGACTGTGTCTGAGGTATTGATTTGCTGCTTCGTAACTGCGGCAATTAAGCAAACTATGAAATATTGGCCAGTTGTACTCTGCACATCCGCGAACAATCTCTCGAAAGACATCATCCGACAGCTTTGTCCTTGAATTGACTGCTATAAGCGAGTCGATATCTCGAAGTATCGACGGCTCAGAACGGATTGCATGCTGTACGATGCATTGCAACCAGCTCTTGGGCCAAGAATGCCGCGCGAATAGTGTTATGAGACCATCAAGGTTTCTGAGTGTTGGTCCGACTGTACGTTTGAGAAACTCCAAAGAAGACAGGAAAAACTCCCATCGACAAAATACGAAGGAGCCCACGTCTTCCACAGGAAGATAGTCCAGGATATCGTACAACAATTCGATAGGAAGTGAAAAGATATATGTCTTTGAGATCTCCTCATAATCCATAGTAGGTCTTTTTGCTACTATTGAATCAAGTCCAAACGATATCTCCAACTAGTCGCAATCGGTCCGTGTCTGGCACTTCCTATTATCACTTTCGTTTCGGTAAAGCGCAAACCACGCTCACCGTCTTTGCCAATGACAGTAAAGATTGGTCATTACATCTATTAGAAAATGTATGTTCGCAATACGTATACCCGAAGAATTGGATCAGAATTAATATAATGGGTTTCTCTGGGCCAGGACGGAAAGGTAAACTCGAAATCTACGCATCATGTGTTGCGGAAGAAACCAAGTACCGTATACTCAATCATGGTTTCCCATTCTAGAGCCCTTGCAATTATGCATTACTTTTCGACCACAAGCTGCGGTGGAGGAAACATGTCCGGCGGGTTGTCAAGCGAACCACCAAGGTCAATATTGTAACGGGCTTGTCCCAGAATTCTCCAGCAAAGGGTCATACAATGATGCACTTATACTCATCACCGTTTCCGTGATTTATGGGATCGCTGTTGTTCAATTTGTGTGCACATGATAAGCGCCGCTCATTTCGGGATTAATCTCTCTACAGGGATATCACACGGACAATTTTCATCGCTATAATCGCATACCATGCACGAAAAGACGAATATGAAGAGTTTAAATATTTTCTAGTTCCTAATATCGGGCTCATCCCACTAAAAACGACCAAGTCTGTTCAGCAATCATCGAATTCTGCTGAGTTAAACGTAAGTTGAAACACGCCACATATTTTTGAAAGCTGTTAGGCATACTTCAACAGATAAATTTTTTCCTAGGAGCTTGATTGGGTCTCGTTACTGACAGAATGCTTCGGTGCTTGCGTCGCTGAAAAACAGTTGCTAATATGAGCAGTTAGAGTCATATGATTGGCGGCCTTGGATGACCACCAGATGTGTGTATTTATAATCTGCGTGCAAGATACTAGCGGAAACATTTTGCTGTGCTGGTTAGTGATTACCTTATTTAACAATTAAATCCTTCCGGCAAAACATTTGAACCGTGTCAATGGAGGAAAGCATATTAAAAATGGCAGAATGACCAGAAGAGTGACTGGATGATAGACAAAGAATATTTCTTCGCAGTAACAGGTATACTGTTCTATTTAGTAGCATCATGCCACAACTTCGAATATTGAACAGCGCGTATAGTGAAGTTTGCCTGGGTTATTGGTAGGTGGGGCGTAGGCGACGCTCGTTTTGCGTTTCCTTTGTTTATTATGCTTGCGTGGCCGGGTCTGTCTTGCTCCAATATATGCTGCTAAGCGGGTGTGCTGTCGGGCCTGCCCTGCCGACAGCTTCAAGGCCGTTACCAGCCTACTGAACAACTGTTTCATAGGGCTAACTAGGCGAGATTCCTGAGTGGTTGTTTGACAATATTACAGGTGCAAGTGAGCTACATCGTGCAAATGAATTCATCATCATCATCGTCATCGTCGTCACCATTGCAAGAAAGTTGTCTTGAACAAGGAATATCTAAGGAAATATTACCCCATACAAATCATTATGAAAGTATAGTGACTACTTTAATAGTAATATAACTAGCAGAATTTGCCATTACAAGTTAGTGGACTGTTTAATCAGTCAAAAGGATTCCGCAGTGGAGGAATAGGGTATACTGTCAAGAGTTCATTTGCTCTGTCTAAGAAGAAGGGTTATACCTGCTAACGAACCAGTTTAATTTGGTCAATGGGTTGTGAGTGCAAATGACAAGGTTACTGTAAACAGAAGACACAGATTTGAATTATGTAAAATGGAATGGACGGTCTTGAACAGGGTTGAGCAAGTTGAATCTGAAGCTACCTATTGAATATCTCGACTACATGAAACGCGGTGTTTTATTTGGCCCATCAGTTTTTAAACTGACTATCCAGTTATTCCACGACCACTACTAGCTTCTTGCACATGTTTTATGTTATTGACGAGATAGCGTGTGAATTAAACGCAATGATGAATTACACAGGTACATTTCGAACATTGTTGATGATTTTGGATTATTAACAGTTGTTGCCAGATTCCACAAGGGAGGGGCAAAATGTCGTGTAAAACTTGGACGGATCTTGGCTTCCTCAGCCTGAACTGAGTAATAGTCTCCAGCACCACGAAGAGGCGTCTGTCAATAGCTGGAGGGCGGGTGTGGAACCTGTCATCACAAGCCTGACCTGGTGTTTGAACTAGGATTTGCACAAGACAGCAGTCCGAGTGTGGAACTCAACGCGACCTGTGCATTGAACATGATTTTTCACCTAATACATGATCCAGAATTTGAGAGGGTTATTCTTGAGGGATTGAGCAGTCATTGGTCTCGCTGCTCTATTTTCGCATCTTCCGCAGGAACAGTCAGGGGCGTGGAACGGTCACCAGGTTTTGGTGAAATTTTCGGACTCGGACACCATTTGACGCATGAAAGATTGAGCTGAGTCCGGCTTTGGAATTATTTTTGTCTATATGCCCGGACTGATCTAGTTAGCACGCCAGCTATTGCAGTTGACCAGCATTTCACATTTTCTGCCAGTTGATCACCTTCTCTCAATTCACCAGTTTCAATTCAATACTCTTCGATGAACTGCAATAACACGTTTTCGGGTATCTGTCGGATTGGGTTCTTCTAACTCATCAAAGTAGTGGACATACGAAATCGTTATAGTTATTTGCTCCTTGGAGTATTTTCACTGGCTCGGCCTCCCTCTGGGTTTAAACGAATACAAATTTATCTTCACAAATAAAAAGGCTTTCGTCCCTTTCGGTCGCTACACTGTGCCTCTACCCCAGCAGTAACTTTGAGCTGGCGGATACTTACAGTACCAATGGTTCATGACTGAAATATACTTGTTTCTAACTAACCGTCATTATGTAAAATACCCCGAATCTGTGGCTTTGCCGTGAGGCGCTGTGGCTGTGCGGTAAAGCTTAATTGTCTTACATACGTTACCATACGCGAACCGTGTAACTCCTCGACACATCTAGTACTATGAATGCGGTAAATTGCAAAACACATATCGATAACCAGTTCTAGTTCTCACTTGACATTTTGTATACGCATCTATGAGGATGTATGACTCCGACATGGAAGGCTGTACCGTAATAGTGTCCACCGTACCGTAACTATTTTCGAATTCTTCCGTTCTCAAATGAGCCACCATTATCTCCCGAGGCTTTAGTTACCTAAAATGAAGACGACCCTGCCAAGATATTTCCACCAGCTAGGATTTCATTTTTTTACTAAACATAAATCTGATACGGTCTTTAAATACCCCCACGTACTCTGAAACGACCCCACGCTGTTACTGCTGATCCTGTCATTAAGAACCGTTTGGGCTCGATTTTCCGTGAATATTTGCGTTGAAGTCGGCTCTACCGGCCTTTAAATTTATGACTGGCAATATCATGCACCATGAGACGAGCAACTTGATTACGGATGTGTTTGAAGCCTTCATCATGGCCTTGGCGTTAGGGTTTGAGATAGTTTCTCTGTTGAAAACATGGAAGCCAATTTTGAATTCGTGTGTATGCCTCAAATATAACTAACTTGACGTAAGTATTAGTAAAATACAATGTCAGCTTGCTCCATGCCATCTAGAGACTTAGATACGCGGACGAACGTGTCGGAGCAAGCGAGAATAAGTCAAAACCCAAACCCATGCCCGTTTCATTCCCTTCATCGTATCTTCTTTGGCCCCACTCTTTTTAAGGTAAGCTTCCGTAGCCGCAAAGGTATTGCTTTTAGGGTTGCCGGCATGTATCAGCCATGTCAATGGTGTGCTGCCCTCATAATCCATTGCATTGACATTTGCTCCTCGTTCCAGCAGAATCTTCACAACGTCCAATGAACCGTATTCAGCAGCATATGAGAGGGGTGTTCGCCCGTACATATCACGAGATTCAATGTCTGGCGCACTTTGTAGGAGATAATAAAAGAGGTTGGTGCAGTCCCCCATGGCAGCGTAATGAAGGAGAGATCTCTTGAAATAATCTCGTCGATTGGAGGCTTTTTGCGACCGAAGTGACGAATATGACTTTTCGACAAACACAACCAGATCTCTATTGAGAGATATTTCCCTGATTCTTTTCAGGCGGTCGAATTCTCGGTCTATATCTGCACTGCCAGGTGTGTTTCTCATGGTCGCTACAGCTAGTAGGGCTTGAGAGAATCGAATGCAAGAGGATATAGTTCAGTATAAAGAAAATTGTTCAAAGAGTGAACTTTGTCAACGAGGAATAAAACTCCAGAGAACTTCAAAAGCTACGGCTTGCTCGATTATTGAGTGACTAGATGACTATAGCGTAGAGGAAAATTCTAGGGGTTGGAGGTTTTATAGATATCCACGATTGTAGCAAAAGATGAAGAACGTGGTTATCTATTTTAGTTGAAGCCTGTTCAAAAATATGTTTTTCATTTTGCTCCCATTCTTTGGGCTTGACCTTTGGCTCCTGGGAGGTGAGTGTGACGAAGGTGACGATTGGGATAGAGGAGATTGCCATGGAATTCTCCAAGACGGAAGTTATCACGATTGCTGGAGGGGGTTTAAAAAGGAGCCTACATGATAGATAGATGTCTTCTTCTTTCTCTTCCCTCTCTAGTCTTGATACCTTCGTTGAATACTACTATGTGGATTTGACATCTTTATGCTTGAGTGTAACAGTGAGAAGCTCTAATTCGTCTGCAAAAACAAAATATTGAATACAGTAACGAGGGGGTCAAATCTGCACTTATTTGTTAGTACTGGTTATTTCCTGATCTTCACGTTATAGTTGTCATAGATTTACACCATATGAAAATCAAGATGAAGGGTGGGTAATTTGATTCTCAGGGATAATCTTTGGCATTATTCCAGTCCAAAACATGAAGTACAGCCTTTCCGGTGGCTCAAGAAATTGGCCATATGTCATTAAGGGTGTAAGCTGTTCAAAACTGTACAGTAAAGTGCTTGAGCATACTGGTAACAGGCGAACGTGGGAAGACTCACGCAATGGCTATACTGTACTACCTTGCTAGACCTCGGCCTCAAACCTAGCAAGTTACTTCAGCTTATCATTTCAACTCTTCGTCTTTATTACTGTACAGTATGTGTGGTGAAATGAGAAACATAACAAAGGCATTTAAGCCACCGTGCCAGATATCACTCCATCGTAGCTATGATGAAATTTGAAACGGGTCACAAAGTTGATAAATTCCAGGGCATCTGCCTCAGCCTGTTTTAAACCGGAGAACAGTGCCCTGGCTCCTCCTTTGCTGTCCCATAGCCGCAGGATACTAGCACCGTCTAGGTGATGAAAAGTTAGATCCCAAAAGAATTTTTGTAATGACCACTCCCAAGATCCTTAATCTCTCCAGCAAGAATATTGAGGCAGTACAAGAGGAGAGAACAAGATATGTGATTGTACAAGCCGCGCAGACGAATCGACCTTCGAAAATCGTCGAAAGGCTGATGAGTCGGTTGAGAGCTTTGAGGATCCTCGAATTCGAAATGCGAATTCACAGAATTCCATCGAAGATTGTCATCGTACCAGCGAATTTGTTCGCTCATGTTTCGAGATTCGTGTCCCGAATCTGGCTCGGAAATGGTTATCTTTGATAAACTCCACTTTTGTTTGGTGTGTTCCTGGAGGGAACACGCCGCCTTCCGCTCAGCGAGAGTTAGGCGATTATTGATCTCATAATGCTTCAAAACCATCCAGTCAATACGCGGACATGAGTTCTCGAAAGCTTCCCAAGTGGTAAAACCTCTAACCATTCTATTGAAGTATTGCTCTTGGTGCAATCATTCGAGACGCTGGAACCTTTCGTAAGACAGGGGTAGATATTCCGTAAAATTTGAATCATCACCACAAGATTGATGACCTTTCTTTGATCCTGTAAAATCTGCTACTTTAGTTTGATTACTATTGAAACACACCAGTCAGCAGAGTTGACGTACTTGGTTCAATGCTATTTATCTCGATTTCTCCCCTTTCCGGCTGAAGGCAGGCCGTTGCTGGGTCTTGAACAAAGCTGGTACAGGCGAAGTGCTGGCAACTCGGGTAATTCGAAGATGTTGAAACAGGAGTAGATTCCGTGAGTATCAGGTCCTTCGGTATAATTTGGAGATTCTCCGCATTTACTCTCCCCGGAATTCAGAGGAACTCATCCGAATGTTTTCTCCATTCGGACTTCGTTTATCCGATATACCAGGATCGTTAAGTTCATTATAGCAGATAACTGATTCAAGGTTTAATGAACCTGATGGCTCGCGATCAGCCATAACAGCGAGTTCTTGAGTTTCGCAGATCTACTAGTCGTTTAGCGTTGTCAATACCAAGTAATGCAGAGATGAAAGTAGATGAAGGATGCCTGTTGATTGAATCAATTTTGAAGAGGATGATGAAAATGGACCTGAATATCACAAGGCAGAATATTTTATATCTTGAATAAATCCCCTCGTCCTAGAATTTAGCTTACTGATAACCATGGCAATGAGGGAATTCACGCTCCCAGGACACTCTGAGCAATTTGAATAACCTTGACTTCCTGGGATCTGTAACGGAATGTGCAGGTACCTGGTGGGCGTTTCATCACACTGGGCATTTCATGTCAACGGGATAGGGGTTACTCTCAGTAGGTTTAACGCCTCCTACCTCTGGCACGTCATCAGGAGTACTAGCTACGCTTTGAGTTCCTGGGAATCTAAATGATTAATGATTCTGAGGGAATTTGTGAAGACAGCTTATAGGCGTGACAAAATGGTATGGAGCTTGATGTGCTCCCAGGACTACCCAGTGCGTTCGTCGGCTGGAGTAGGGTAATCGATTATCCAGTGGGTTCCCAGGAGCGATCTCTTCGGGGGGGAGGGGGTTCTCGGCCAAAGGTAGATGGCGGTGGATTCACGTAATTGCTCAAAGATTAGCACTTCCTCCATGCCTATCCAGGAGACCGTGTAACCAGTAGGCAAAGATTCCCAGGAGCATACAGATTTATTGATTGACTGATTGGGTAATTAACGACTAAGCTCCATCGAGGCGCAATGGATACCAGTAAATGAAACGCCAGTTTATTGATGCCCATGGTTTTTCGCGTGGGGGCAATCTAGGTACAAGGGTTCCTTTGGATGGGGCTAGCATGTTGCGTTTTATTGGAGTGCCTTACTCAGGCTATGCTCAGTGAGCAAATCAGAGCGCTCGGTGAGAGGGTCAGACTTGATCAGTGAGCAGATCAGTGAGCTTACATCATGCTCACTGACCAGATCAGCGCTGCTCACTGAGCTTACATAATGCTCACTGATCGGATCAGAGCGCTCAGAGGCGTGCTCAGTTCTACTCAGGGAGCAAAAGCGGCGAGGGGCTGAGCACCAACCTGGAAGGGGAAAGCCAAGACGTGGCATAGGAAATCCGGTACGTAGGCGGTGTTCACTTTTTGCGGTGCCACTGTATGGACGGGGCGCTTGACACGCTAGTCCTGAATTAGAATAGTGGGAAAATCACCATGTCTCCGCAGTTGTCCAGTTTGCTTCAACAAGAAGTTCCAATTCTTGTTACACAACGCCTTGGACCCCAGAAAATGAATCGCGCCTTAATACTGTATACGTGTCCGATATACAGAGGCAACTAAATCGATCTTCTTGTTCATGATAACCCGATGGATGCGCTCACTCCAGCGGGGCGTCCATATCGATCGAAAATAAAACGGCCGTGCGATCGGTGTCGTACCAGGAAGACGGCGTGCATCCTTCCAGAGAGCGGGCCTTGCAAGACTTGCTACCGGGCCGGAAACCCGTGCACGTTTGAACTGCATGCGACTGCTCGACACCGGCGTCCTGGCACACGGTACCAAGCTCGTCGAACTCCCGACAGCTGCAGAATGGAGGAGGTTCCAATGCGGGATCAAGCTCCCAACAATAGTGGCCATTCACACTCTGCGCCACCTAATCAAGCAGCTGATCGCTCTCATTCAGTGCCTGATAGATGGAGAACGGAGTTCGAGAATGATCAACCGGGGCCTCATGCTGGCAGTGCAGAATATCAGAGGTCAGACGTGGATGTCAGTATGCCTCCCTTAGGATTACAATCCCACCTGGGGTTGTCGCAGCAACTTCGGTTTGTTGGCAATAACAATGGAGTACCGACTGTTCAACGTATCCGGTCACTGGATCAGATAGATGGGTCAACCGCTCAGCTGTTTGGTATGTCCTCCGAGTCAGACCCATGGCTGCTCAGGCATTGCCGATATGATGAGTATGGCATGCGAAGTCTACATCGAACTCACGTCCGGCATGTGGGCGGAGTGCCGGTTGAAGGCCTGGTACCTGTTCATTTCTTGGTGATGGAAGATGATATTCTGGCATCCGCAAAAGAAGCTACTCGGTTCAGACCCGGAGGACCTGACATGGCAAGGAACGAATTGGATGCAATGGTAGCGCCTGAACATGGGAGGCGATTAGTTTCCTTGTGAGTTATGCCAAATGACCTTCTCCCTATGAATGGGACGACTATTTTAACTGAGTTGAACATGTCTAGATTCCTCACATTTGTCTTCCCAACCATGCCGGTAATCTCCCGATCCCAACTTGGGATATCGTCGTCGGGATCGGATTCTTGTTTAAGCCATATTGCAGTCCACTTACTCGCGGCCATTTACGCATCGGCATTTCCTTTCGCCGTTCACGACCCCAATTTATGCGTTTTTGCAGCATATGAGGAGCATCTTTGTGCGCGTTTGTGGCGCATGGTCTACGAACTTATCGCCGAAGAAATACACACCCCCAAATTATCCGTTCTGCAGGCCTCGTTACTCTATCTCCAACAAATGCCGAGCGGGAGCCAACGTTCTGTCTCTGATAGTCCGTTCATTTGGTCATTCCTGGGCTCCATCGTCGCGCAGGCGGCCTCCCCTAGGTCTACATCTCGAGCCGCGTCCATGGGGCATTCCTGCGTGGGAGAAAAGGCTTCGCAGGAGATTATGGTGGGCTGTGTATCTGGAGGATAAATGGCGAAGCCTGCTGATGGGTCGACCTCCATTTATTCACCACGAGGACTTTGACGTGTTCGAGCTTGACGGTAATGACTTTGTGGTGGATGGAAATCCAGCGGGATATTTTAATACACTCAGGGACTACCACTGCGAACCGATCTTTATTCATGCGACGAAATTAGCCCGCGTGGTGGAGAAGATGCATCGGACGTTCTAGTTAGGCTTCCTTGATCCCCTGTCTACCCTCCTGCTTCTCGCACCCAATTCTGATCTTCAGTCGATAGCACCCTCAAGGCTTGTCAAAGACTCTCCGGTGATTTCCGTGCCTCCATCGACGCAGCACGGCCCATCCGCACCCAACTGCAGAACTGGTACTCCTCGCTCCCGGACAGTCTACACCTCAACTCCAGGCTGGACAACTCCAGGCTGGACACCAACGCCCACACGAACTACGGTCGAGTAGAAGGCACCGCAGGTCTTCACTTTTCGTACTTGGTCCTTGAGATGTTCCTGTACCGCGCCATCCTGCGTTCTCTTGCCAGCTCACCCCAGCCGCCGCCAATCTCGGAAGACCAAGATCCCGCGCAAGATCCTCGCCAGGATCCTCCCCAGGATCCTCCACCGATACGCTCCCCATGGTTTCTGGAAAACCTGACTTTCGACGGGCATGGATTCGACCAGCTCCCGGCCTCAAATTTCTTAGAGCTTGGGGAGGCTGCCGAGGCCACGGTGAATGCCGCGGAAAAGTGCGCTGCCATTATCGTCAATTTTGTTGGGACTTTGCTTCCTCGGGATTTCGGATCGTTTTGGCATCCTTGTAATAACGTTTCTCCTCTTACCCTCACTCCAACATCTTTCAAAGTTACCTGAACGAGGGTGAGAAAGCTAACTAACGTAACCTGGCAGGGACCCGAATTTGCTTCGCTGCGGTTTCGAATTTTGTCACCCTGCTTCTTGTTCAATCGCCCACTACCCAACACGCGTTGAGATCGAAGTATCTGCTCGATATCTGGTCCCGTACGCTTCGGAGCCAACATCGAATTCATGAAGGATTGATGAATCTGGGTCTAGTCCGGGTTAATATGTTGCAGATGGGTGGACTAGAGAAAAACTTCATTCTGCTGCCGCATGTGACGGACGTTTTAAGGGGGGATCAGGTAGAGGCGGAGCTGTCGATATAATGGACATGATGATTGTATCACATTTCGATTCAAAGGGGAAAACCATCCATGTTCGATATCATACAATAATCACCGGGGCTGGGGATGGACCGCTCCAACACCAGACTAACTATTCAAAAGTCCTCCACATTCCATGCTGGGAGCTCGGCACTTGCCCAAACACTACGCTCTCTCTTGATAAATTGGCCATAGCCGGGTTTGCCCACGATGCCCCCATTATCTCGATCCCACACCACTTCCCCACGAATCAGTGTGTACCGTGGCCATTGAGAGACCATTCTGCCCTCGAACGGGGTATAATCGACATTATGATGTAGCAGGTCATTGGTGATGCTGAAGGGCTGCATGGAATCTGGATACCAAATGACCAGATCGGCATCGGACACGCCCGGAATCAACGCGCCCTTCTTCGGATAAAGGCCATACAACTTGGCCGGGTTGGCACTCGTCACCTCGACGAACTTTTGCACAGGCAATCTCTTCTCGCTCATGACCAAGGGTAATCGTGTTTCCACCCCAGGACACCCGTTCGGAATGTACTTGAATCGTCCGACGGGCGCATCCTCTGTGATCGCACCTTTCTTCCCAATCTCGCTATCATCATAGAAGAAAGGACAATGATCGGACGACAGGATCGTAAATGTTCCGTTCTGAAGTCCCTTCCAGATCTGCTCGTGGTCCTGCTTTCCTTCGCGAGGAGGCGGTGAACACACGCACTTGGCGCCCTCGAAACCGGGCTTATCCAGATCATCTCGAGTCAGAAAGAGATACTGCGGACACGTCTCCGCATAGACGGGGATGCCCCTCGTTTGCGCATTTCGAATCAACTCCGCCGCTGACGGAGATGAAACGTGCACAATCAAGATTGGAGTGTTGATTAGTTGTCCCAGTGCGATCGCGCGGTTCGTCGCCTCGGTCTCTACAAGCTGCGGCCGCGAAGTCGCATGATACTTTGGAGCAAGCAGATTCTGCTCTTCGAGCTTCGCAGTCATCCAGGCCAGTACATCTCCGTTTTCGGCGTGGATCATGGTCGTGATCCCCGTCTGGCGGGCGCGGAGAAGGACATCGAGGATTTGGTTATCCCGGAGCTGTAGGGCTTCGTAAGTCATGTAGATTTTCACCGATGAGATGCCGCGATCTCGGAGGAGAGTAAACTCGTCGAGGGCGACTGGCGAGGGGTTTGAGATGAGCAAATGGAAGGAATAGTCGCAGTAAGTGCTGTTGAGCGCTTTAAGAGAAGTTTCTTCCAACGCGGGGAGCAGAGACTCGTCCCTCTTATCCTGAGGCGCGAACGCGATGATGGTCGTCGTGCCGCCGCCGATGGCGGACCGGCTACCGGTCGTGAAGTCGTCCGCGGTGCGTCCCTTGCCAAAGAGCTGGGGTTCTGCCAGGTGGACGTGGGCGTCGATACCCCCGGGCTGGAAAACGGTCAGTTTTCTGGATGGGAACCAAACGGGAGTTGCGGCATGGAAGAGGGAATCGACACAGCCTCCTCCTGCTCATCGCTTACCATTACATATGCACCTTCTGCGTCGATGACGCGCTTGGCCGCATTATGGTCTAAGATACCCGTAGGGGCGAGCAGCGCGACTTTCCCATCCTTGATGGCAATGTCATAGCAAGCTGTATCCGAAGCTGTCACGACAGTGCCGTTGACAATCAGACAATCATAGGCGGAGAGTAACTGCATGGTTTCGAGTGCAGGGATATATCCAATCCACGATGATCTCGCCTATCAATAGATCGAGAGGACAAGAGAGAATCAGAGAATGCGGCCTGTGCGACTCGACACTGAGTGCCTGGCACGTGGACTCTAGATCCACAACATAAAGGAGAGAAGCGGATAGATTGCTAAAGTAAATGGCGAACCAAGAAAAAGGTCAACACAGTCGCTTGACTAACTCCTCGGCGGAGATGCAAATTATTTGGCCGGTGCGGCCATCTTAGAAGATAAGCAACAGCCACTGTATTGAAGCCGATAAGCCCCCCTCCCCACTTCACCGGGCGATCGGCCAACTTTTATCGCTTTGTATCACCACATCTTATTCCTGTATGGTGGTCGGTGGGTTTCGGAACGGGGCATCCAGTCCAGGGGGTCACCCCAAGTTTCGGAGGCACCACAAATTGGCGCCATTTTTGTGGTACCACTGGCCACCAATCATAGCTTCGGTCATCAAATTATTGGCGTGAAAACTGTTTTTCTCCAACTTACACCTCATTCGGGGCTTAACTTATAGCGTGCTACTCTATTAAGAAGCTTGTTATAGACTGCATTTACGTAAAAGAATATAATTAACTCGAACTGGATACAACTGACAAAGATTAGGATAGCACTTTCATGCGATAAAATCGTATATTTGGCAAGTATAAAAATCATCCGACTAATAGCATAAACATTGTTACACTCAGGCACGAAGACACTGGATCAACATGGTAGCATTTTACGAAGGAATCAACTCTGAGGAGAGGAGAAGAAGAAGAAGAAGAAGAAGAAGAAGGAGAAGGAGAAGAAGAAAACTACAGTGGTGTGAGCTGAGCCTTTTGTGGTAACCAGCCTCAGGCGCCATCCTGGCAAACTTCCCAAAACAGAACTGTCCGAAGCATCCAACAAACAATCCGATCGGCCAGTTCTTTCTTCGTACTCTGAGAGGTTCGTCACAAACATTGAATAATTTGAATAATCCATGCATCAATCTGTGGTAGCGCTGGACTCCATCCCGGTTCGGACGTATGCATGGATTGTACTGCGAGAGAGAGATACGGCATGTGTCCAGCACTATGAATTCTAAGCAACGAATCTAACTATAGTCAAGTGACCGGGGCGTTAAGAAATTGGAATCCTAATCAATTCGCTCACGTCAGGTACAGAGAGCCAGAGATGAGTATGATTCTACTAACGATGCACCTCATACTCATGCCTTCAGTACATTCAGCTGGAACAAACGGCCCCATCCCTCCACACAAGACGGGTCCACCTGGCATTGTAACAACATATCCCAGATGACTGTCGCCACGGTATCCAACACGATCACCCCGTGCTTGCGCTCCCAGTAATCCACTCTCTGCGCCGCCCGAAGGTTTGTACAGAAAGTCGAAATAGCCTGGACTTCCTTCCCCGCCACATCCGCCACCATCTCATCGAGGGTCGGCTCATCAACTTCTGCGAACGAGGAATTTTTCGATAGTCCGAGATGCCGTTCCTTGCCGCAATCCACACCGATCGTTGCATAGGTTTTCACAATCGCAGCCTGGACGTTGTCCAGGTATGGGGTCACTAGGCCTAGCTCCGTCACCGAAAGAGCCTTAACGGCTCTATTCAAGGCTAATACAGAGGTAGCAGTGGGGATCCCTGTTGCGGCAGTAATAGCTGCGCAAAGCTCCTCATCGGCTTGGAAACCGAGCCAGCCTGAGGAGGTGCCACTCCAACCGATAATGTCGACATTGGCGTCGGCTAGCAGTCGAGCAGCTTCGACGATCTTTTCTGTCTGGAATTGGGCCAGGGCATCCTCCTCTAGACTGATTTTGAGGACCGTGAAGCGAGAGAAATGGACGGACACATTAGGGAGCTTAGAGACGATTGCTTGGGATAACGGTTCGAGACTAGTGTTGGAGGAAGGTGTCAGGATACCGAGACGGATTCGCTTAGCCATTGTGACCGCGGAGGAGTAGGATGTAGCAAGTAAATCTGAATGCGGTGGGTGTAGATGTTGGTTGACCCTGATGAGAGATGAGAATGTGTGAATAATTTGCTCATGAAGTTCAACTCGGATTGAAAATGACGGGAGAACATTTTATTACCAAAGTGTCTGTGACCCCATGTAGTCAAACTCCACCAAACCCCGGAGTGGATCCATCAATCCCCCGAACTCGGCCGGATTGAGGCTCGATTCTTATCGCCCGATCAACCAGTCCCCCGACGGATGGGCGATAGGCCGTTACAATCAAAAAACAGAGATAAAAATGGATACGGCAACTATCCGAGCGTCAGCTTGCAAAATTGCACACAGGTAGTGCTTACTGCCTGCTTACTGCCTGTTCTGATCACTTTATGGTCGGATAGTGGTCGTGTCCGCCGACCATGATCCCGTCCGCGAGGGTGATGGGTGATAGCAGCGTCAGCCAAAGTTTCAATTATAGTTTCAATGATTACAGAGAGGCCAACTACAGACTCGTCAGCTCCAGATATCACTTGATAAGTTGATCCACGGAACCAGCGTACGGCCTGTGAGATAGCCACATGCCAGATATCGCTCTTTATAATATATGACGCTGGAACGCCAACCAAAGCTGAACCTGCCTGATCCCCGTCGCCCTCGTTCATTATCTATATTATTATCATCATCATCATCACACCATGGATGAACTCAGTCCCGAGCCGAACAATCCTCACGTTATTGCATCAAAGATCGACAACGACAATGATGCCATCGCACTCGCCAATATCACCGGCTATAAGCAGGAGATGGTGAGACGATGGAGTCTGCAGAAGGTCATCGGAATGGGCCTCGGATTGTCCTCCACCTGGGCATTCGCGGGAGCTGGTCTCACCCTCGTGATAGCTGAAGGTGGACCAGCCGCGGCCTTGTATGGATTCCTCTTCGTGTCATTCTTTACCTTTTGCGTGGCGGCCTCGCTTGCTGAGCTGAGTTCGGCCTATCCCACCACGGGAGGACCTTTTTACTGGGTGGCTCAGGTTGCCTCTCCTAAATATGCGCGTTTCCTGTCCTTGTTGACCGGCGTCGCCAACTGCATGTCCTGGATCTGTGCCTGTGGCAGCGTCGCTAGCACGAATGCGCAGCAGATCTTCGGCTTTGTGGTCATCGCCCATCCGAGCGTGACCATTGAACGCTGGATGCTCTACATCTTATATCTCTTCTTCATGCTGGCGGGCATGTTCTTCACCATGTTTGCGTACCCGCTTGTGCCCATCGTGAACAAGTGGCTAATCTACTGGAGCCAGGTGGCCATGGTGATCAGCATTATCATCATGCTGGCCAGCTCCAAAGGCCATTATGCCTCCAGCCAGTTTGTCTGGGCTGAATACATCAACCAGACTGGATGGAACAATGTGCTCTGCTTCCTGACCGGGTTGATCAATGCCGGTTTCCAATACGGTCATTTAGACGTGTGCGTTCACCTTGCTGAGGAGGCCAGCCGGCCAGAGAAGAACATCCCTATCGCCATCGCCGCCCAGATGGCCGTCTCGTTTCCGCAGGGATTCTTTTTCCAGGTCATCATGTTTTACTGCATCAAGGATCTCAACCGCATCATGTCCGCGACTATTCCTAACGCCGAACTCTTCTTGCAGGCGGCCGGTTCTCAGGCAGGTGCCATCGTCATCCAACTCATGGTTGTCAGCATTCTCGTCTGTGTGAACTTGGAGGTGCAGACAACAGCATCGCGTATGGTCTGGTCCTTCGCTCGCGACCGAGCCTTCCCATTCTCCGACTGGCTGTCCGTCATTCACCCAAAGCTAATGGTCCCCGTCAACGCACAACTCGTCGTCAACTGCATCGTCTTTCTCCTTGGGTTCCTCTATCTATTTGCTGGTCAGGCCTATAGCGCCCTGGTCGGATCGTCCTTCATCTTGGCATACATCGCCTACTTTATCCCCATCGCATCCGTGGTCGCTAGCGGTCGCAAATTCAAGCCTGGTCCCTTTTATATGCAGAAATGGGGTTTGATTGTCAACATTCTCTCCCTGCTTTGGCTATTGGTCGGCATCGTGTTCTGGCAATTCCCATTCTTCCTCCCTGTCGTCGGCCATATGGCATCCAATATGAACTGGACCGTCGTGGTTGTCGGAGGTATTTTACTCCTGGCAACTATCTGGTATTTTGCCGCTGGGTCTAAACAATACAAAGTCCCCTTGGCATCTGACCACAACAACGCTGTTGTTCTTGAAGCACAGCAGTCAGCAGAACAAAGTGATGAATCTGTCTCTGGACCTAAGGCCTGATAATTTTAAGACTATGGAAGATAATTTTCTGTGAATTGAAGAGGTTCCAGGATTCATTATAGAGATGGACGTTCTGATATTCATTTGTGATTCTGTTCTTGGACAGTGGGATACAACGCACTGGGGCATAACGGACAACTTTGAGAGAAATATCCAAGAATTCTTTGTATCAGCAAATGACATATCTCTGACCCAAATGTCGCATGTAGTACTACGTATGAGAAGCATACAGTGGTGTTTCATAAGTCTTCGATCACATAACTAGTTAACTAACTAGTGTAGTGCGGGATCTGGCGACATTATGTAGTTTAGTCGTTCCTGTTTTGCGGTCTGTTTGTCTGGTTTGTTTTGGGGGGTTTTCTGTGAAATCGTATGCTTTAGAGTGAAGAAGGGAAGAAATATACAACACACAACAGGGGTGAAGTGGTATTGGATGCCTTCTGAAGGAAGCTTTTCTTCTCGGTTTTCGAATTTACTGAGCCCTTAGTTTGATGCGGCCCGCTCAATAAATGATCTGCGCTAAGGTCTTGGCGGTGGGGCCAAGAAAGAGTTTCTCAGTGTGTATTGGTCAAGGCGATTTCGAGAACGACTATACGGAGTACAGACAGGGCGCTTCACAAGTTAGTTAGCAAACAAGCTGATCCACTCCGTAAATCGAAATACATCGGTTTATAAACCTTCGGAGGTTGTACGGAGTACATTTCACTTACAAAATTATAACTTTTAATAGCAGAGTTATTTTGTCACCTGGTAAACGTTATTATTATTCCAAGATTTCGCCGATAGATAAGAAGGGAGATAGGCCTTTTTTTCGGCCGATAAAATGGGTCCACCCGCGTGCGTACGTTGGTTGCGCTAATATCACTCGATCATTCATATTCCCGAAAAGCTTCGGCCCGTGATAATTTGGTTACGATTTGACCAACACTCAACACCGAGCTGTATATTTAGGAGAGTGTGTATTTCCGTGTTTCGATAGTTCAACGATCCTCAATATTGAAACCCCTCCCCTAACAACACCAAAAAACATGACTGGCAAGATCATTTTCTATGGGAGAATTGTCCACAGCAAGTCTCTCAAATGTCTCCAGATCTATACCAAAGCAGCACTAGGGGTCAACGACGACGGTAAAATCAACTTCCTCGACGAAGATGTTACATCGGGCGAGGAGGCTGCGCAGAAATATGCCGGGTTTAGAGATGCGAAAATCATGACGCTCAAGCCACTACAATTTCTGTTCCCGGGTTTTATCGACACACACATGCATGCACCTCAATGGCCCAACTTCGGAATCGGGATGGAAGGTGATAATTTGTATTGGCGAGAAAACTTTACCGATCCGCTCGAGGTTACCTTTAAAGACACAGAGAAGGCGCGGAGGGTGTACAGTCAGGTGGTCCAGAAGGAGCTGGAAAACGGATCGACAACAGTGGCTTATAACACGACAATCCATTATGAGGCAACAACGATCCTGGCAGACATGTGTCTCCAATACGGACAGCGCGCCATCATTGGCAAAATCTGCATGCTGGTCAATGCTACCCACGGTAATTGGGAGGCCTCGGTTGAGCAATCTATTGAGGACGAGAGGAAGACAATTGCCTACATTGAAAAAGTTGATCCCGACGCCCGCCTCGTCTCTCCCTGCGTGGAACCTAGAGGCGGATCGTTTGTGCCCGGTGCCCTGATGAAAGGGCTCGGCGAGTTATGCTGTCGCAAGGATGGGCGGCTATACCACGTCCAAACCCACATGGCCGAGACCACGCAGGATGTTGCTCGCATGAGGAAGCTACACCCGGAGTTTCAAGAGTACTCGGATATGTACCATCACTACGGCCTGCTGCATCAGAAAACAATTCTTGCACACTGTGTCCACCTCTCCGATCACGACATCAGCATGATTGCTCAGAATAATGCTGGCGTGTCCCATAACCCAAATTCCAACACATGCTTGACGGCGGGAGAATGTAGGGTGAGACAACTGCTGAATGCCGGGGTGAAAGTCGGTCTGGGGACCGACTGCTCGGCCGGATATTCTCCATCTATTCTGAATGCGATGCGCGAAGCTAGCAATGTATCCAGACATCTTGTCATCCGCACCGGCGACCCTTCGTGGCGTCTCTCGATCGAGGAAATCATTTTCCTGGGCACTCTTGGTGGCGCACAGGTTTGTGGCATGGAGGACAAGATTGGTAACTTCGAGCCAGGCAAGTGTTTTGATGCCTTGCTAATCGACGTTGGCTTGAACGATAATATTAATTCCGATGGCTGGGAGCATGATGATCTGGCGTTGGTGAAGAAATGGGTGTTCCTGGGCGATGATCGCTCGATTCGGCTGGTGTGGGTGAGTGGCCAGCTGGTTGCTGGGAAAGATAGAAGTTGAAAAAGGTCGCACTTACGATCAACAACCATGAGAAATAAAACAACTATGAACCGTGAAGCGGCCCTGTTTCTGTAATGCTCGGTTACAGTCGATATTCCTACTTGGGCTGGAAGGGTTGAAAGGCACTGGTCTTAAAGATGTACATATAAGGGTTTGCATCCAAGCGCCTCAATAAAATAGTGAAAATAGAGAAATAGCCTGGATTTGATATATAATAATTTTTTGTTCTCTTAGGAGTCATTAACCCATATAAAACATAAGCAGCTCAGTGGAGGAACAAGTCAACAAAGCGGTTGACTAACTTCGGCGGAGATAACTACTTACGAAGCTTAGGAATTACTGATTTCACTGAACAGATTTCCCATATTATTCTTGCAGATCGTGCCGTTGGACGAACCTGAAGTTGCTTACTATTCCAATAGTCACTGGATTGAAACTAACAATACCCACTCGCCCGTTTTGTAGAGGGGCTACCGGTCATCGGCCAAGTCTTATCACGATGTGGGGTCAGAGTACAGCAACGAGTGGTCAAAACCTTCAGATCGGCCAAATCCGCCAAGTCGTTCTTATCGCCCGCCTTGAACTCTGATAAGTCAGATAAGTTAGCAATTCTTTTATGACTGGTGCCAGGGAGATTAATATCTACCCTGGAGTAAAGGAGGTCTGTTACTTGATATTCTCTGGACAGGACGTTGGTTGGTTTGGATATTGAAGTCTACATACGATCAGGCAGTTCGATTCTTGTTGTGGAACTCGGAACGCCGAGTAGGTGGAGTGAAGCTAGCCACCTCTTTTCAACGTCCTTATACTGGACTCCACACCGAGGAAAGTGTACCACGGAATCAGTCGAGATGATGGCCCTACGACAGCGCGCGAGCCGTGTAGGAAGGCTCTTTTCCACTCCTCGAGCGTTTGTGGAAGCGATCCGGATCGATCAAGACAATGAGAATGACGCGAACGCTGGATTGTTCGGAAGCTGGTCAAACAAGGACTTGGACCCATCTCCCCCGTCGCAGCGAGTCTGGACTTGGTGGTCATTTTTCGTGTTCCAATTCAGCATTGCGTTCTCGCCGACAACATACAATGTTGGGGCAAGTCTTTTTGCTATTGGCTTGAGCTGGTGGACTATTCTTATTTCGTCCAGTAGGTCGAGCTTCACTCTCCCGTGGAGACTTTTGATCCAGGAGACTAATCATGAGCCAGTCATCGTCTCGTTCATGATCGCAGCACTGCTCTGGTTGAATTCTAGAGGAGCTTCCCGGTATGTCACTACTGTATATCTCATCAAGAGCCTAATGCCTGTCCTGACTAACTGTCCTCGCAGGTACCATGTGGGGTTTCCAACTTTTGTTCGCGTTTCATCTGGCATTTATGGCTCCCTCATCTTCGTTTTCTTCCGAGGAGTATGTTACCGCATGCCTCACCAAATCCTGGGATATATTTGACCAATTGTCTTCAGGCAGTCGCCATCGTCTATATGAGCATACAGACGCTGTACGCCAGCTACTTTGTGAACGTGATGCTGCGCTGCGCTTTTGGCAACAAGTGGACCGATCTTCCCAACCGTACGCGAGCTATCCAAGTTAGCCCAGTTCTGCTACAGAAAGCTAATCTTCCAGTTTCAGATCTTCCGCCGGACGCGGGTGTTACCTCTGCCCAATTGGCATCTTTCGTTATCATCTGGCTTCTTCAGTTCCCATTTGCTTTCGTGCACCCGACTAGGATGACGATAGTCTTCACAATCAAGTCCGTTCTTGCACCGATCGGCATGTTTGCGACTATGATTTGGGCCTTGGTGAGATATCAATTCGGCCCCCGCGAATTTCTACCCGCTGCTGACGGTTATGTACAGGTCAGTAGTCATGGCGCTAATTTCCACGGACTCGGTAACGCAAATGCCTCCGGTGCTGCTCTGGGGTGGTCATTCATTATATCCATCAACACGATCGTCTCAAATGTGATTCCTCCGTTGGTCAATATCCCGGATCTGGCAAGATACACAAAGCGTCCTAGAGACACCTTGCCTCTGGCCGTTGGGATTGTTGTGAGTAAACCGGTTGTTGTGTTCCTTGGCATGATCATTACAGCTGCTGGCTATAAGCAGTTTGGGAAGGTACGTTGCTCTTCTCGAGGTTGCTTGCTCTTAAGGATAATCTGATAGTTAATGACTACCATGAGTAGACATATTGGAACATGTGGGACTTCTATTCCAGTGTCCTGGATAACTACTGGGGTCCAGGGACCAGAACGGTAGTGTTTTTGGCTGCAGGCATTCAGGTACACTACATCCATTTATTCGCGAAGATTATCTTTCAGCTCACTTTAATCCAATAGGCATTTGCGACATTCGTCACCAATCTCACCAGTAATTCTATTCCTGTCGGATGCGATCTGGCCGGCTTATTCCCGCGCTACTTTACGATTGTTCGTGGCCAGATAGCCTGCTTCCTGCTCGCCTGGGCATGTGGTAAGCGCTTGTCCATCTCACAACCCTGAATTTCGCGCAGGCTAATTAATCGCCTTAGTCCCATGGAAACTGACTTATTCTGCTTCGTCGTTCCTTACGTTCCTCGGGTCCTATCTGTGCTTTGTCTGCCCAATCGTATCCGTCATGATGTAGGTTTCTCCTATATGTCTTCCCAGCAATTTGCAAGCCTTTCCTTCCCTTACGTCCAACGTACTGACCACCAATGACCTTTGTTAGTGTCGACTACTGGATCTCTCGCCGTGGCAACATCCACGTCCCTTCCCTCTATAACCCACAACCCGGCTCTCCGTATTTCTATACCCACGGTTTCAACCCACGCGCATTTGTAGCCTGGGCTGCGGGCGTAGCGCTAGTCATTCCCGGGGTCTCGGGCGCTCTCAAGCCTGGATCTATCGGAATTGCGGCTGTGCATATCTACGACATGGGATTCTTACTCTCTACGATTTTCTCGGCGCTGGTGTACTATGTATGCTGCAAGATTTGGCCAGTGCAGGTATATCCTCAGGAAGTTGGGCCGCAGGACGACAGTTGGGAGGCAATGAAGTATACAGAGGGCTTCTTTCCGCAAGATGAGGTCGTGCCGGAGTATCTGCGAGAGACACTGGTTGAGGGGCAGATTGTGAAGTCTGGGAAAGAACCGTCTGAATCAGGAGAGCTTTACCTAGAGAAGCAATGATGGAATAGTGACTAAGGCTTTGTTTTATTTCATGATGGATGGAATATTCCGAGGATTGCAGACAAGTTGGATGTTAACGTGATTCACGGCGACACCGGTCACACGGTCAACCAGGCCACCCCACCCATATCAAATTTTTCAAATAGAGATATCCTAACCAAAACCCATGAATTAATCTAATTCTAGCGATTTTGCATACGTTGATCTTGTGGCCAATCTCTCCGCAGCCACTACATCTTGGCGGAGCCCTTTTTGCTGGCTGATCTGGTTGATTAGCCAAATCGGCCTGCACATGCGATATTAGCCCACCATCTCCAACTTGTGAAGGGCTGAAGTAAGACCAGATTCAATCTAACTAGGCCACAAACTGTGTACAAAAAGCTTAAAGAAGAGAAGCTCTTCGTGCGTGTTCCTCATGTCAACATGCCAAGGTCTCGTGGCACACGTGGCCAATATCGGGCACTGGCCCGTGACAATACCTCGGTTCTAGATTGAACCTCGTAAGGGGTATTACAACGTGGTTATCGGTCTCGATTTGCTGGCGAATCACGTCTGAAACATGACTGTATTGTTCTTCGAAAGCGTCTAGGGCGGTACAGTTCTAGACCGAGTCTAATCCTTGTCATGTCTGCTCTGCGTATCCTGTCCATTTCACTAGGGCTTCGTCGCGATAACCTCGTCCAATCTTCCTACCGTCAGACAACTAGGATTCGTTCAACCTAGTATTCCTCTTCCCCGTCGATTAGTAGAGGCGGCGGCTGCGTATCGTCCACGACCTGAGACGGAAACGGGTCCGTAGCGGCCAGACGGACTAGTTCGGTATGGAAGACTGGGTGTAACCTGGTAGGTACGTCAAGTCGGACAGTATATGGTGACGGAACGTCTACTACTCGACACCCAGAATGTAGCCAGTCTGACTTCTTTGACGGCCGCTGAGTGCGTACGTTCTGGCCTCTGGCGGGGGAGAGTTCGGAAAAGGGTTGTAATATGTTGATAGCAGAGATGCTAGGATCAGCGGCCGAGAAACGCTGCCGCTTACGCAACGACTCCAATAACAATTTTCTGTTTTTATATAGTGACTTCCTCCCTTGGCATCAATGGTAAGGTCAGCTGGATGATTATCAATAGACCTAACGCTCACGAGAAACGTATGCACGAGAATCCACAGATAACCCTCCGAGTCTGTGGAATCTTTGAGAGATTTGGTGCCCAGTCTGTTCCATAATAAAAGTGTATGCGTTACTTTCGATGTAGGACCAAGCACTTCCGTTTCAGGTCACTTGTGCAGGCTGCATGAATTGTGTCGAAATATGGAATGTGTGGATAGAGTGCGCCAACCAAAGGAATCGCAGTAGGCCTGAATTTTTATTATCCCCATCTGACAATTTGCAACTAGTTATGGGGTGGACCAATAGTCAGGAAACTTCACAATTTAGTATTTTAGTAGAGGAACTGGTGACAGATTATAGTGGAAGGCTGTCTTGTGGGGCATGCTGCTTGCATGCAGCACTGGGCATGACTGTGGCTACATTCGTTCCGTATCTAACATGGTACACACACGCTCTCTCTGTCTCACACGCACACAACTTTTTGCCAATTTATCCGTTGGATCTAGATATAGTCCTGTGTTTTATAATTGACCAAAATAAGAAACACACATGCGAGTAATAAAAGGTTCCACTCCACATCAAGAGTTGTATTCAATGCGCTATTCGGTGTAAAAAGCCTTCTCCTGTAGGGTCGTTTAGGGCAGCATACGCTAGGGGTATAAGCACTCTCGGAGTTCCAAAGATCTTATCTAATCTTATGAAAGCACTGGGATATCATTAGGCGAGAAGATTCTTCGCTTCTTGCACTTGTTGTATGTCTCCTGAAGGAATTGGACATGGATTCCAAAAGCCGAATATATCATCGGCAGTCAGATAAATATTGTTGTGGCGATGCCATGTGGTCGTGCGTTGAGGCGACGGTCTGGCGGAGAAAGTCAGTTCTGTAAGGTTTCAAGCCATGCTCCTATCCCACCTCCAAGCAGTCTCCGGTGCCGTGCGATTGAGCCATTTTTCCGGATGAACTCAGCAGCGTAATGTCATTCTTGTAGGTTTCTTTAGGAACGGGATTGCCTCGGATCAATTCTGTCGAATCTCGATACACTTCCTCGATTCTGCGGCGTAGGACATCGAACTTTATTTATCCAAGCATTTCAATTTCGAAGGCTTCACGACCTATTGTATCACACGAGAGGAAAAAAGCAGATTCGTAGGGTCAATGCAGGGCCGTCAGGAATCCCAGTAGGTCATTCTACAGCATGCTACCACGGATCAGGATGCTTCAAAGGCCAATTGCCGATCAACGATTATTACTTCATGAGACTAACTAAGAGCTAAATCACAATTTAATAGATCAATTCAGAGCTAGAATCATCATTTTCTGTCTTTATCCACGGTTCCCAGCAATTGCAACCCATGAGAAGTATGCAAACATCTCTCACCATGGCCAACACATTCCAAACACAAGTCGAAGTTACCGTCATTGCAAACTCCGCAATTAATAATATGAGTCGTAGTGAGGAATAAAAACATTACATCGATCACTTAACCAATATTTATTTCCATGTATGTCAATTCTGGGGAGCGCTTGAACTTTCGCCACATCTACAGTGACATTTGAAAGGCTGAGAAGACTCTCCAAGATAAACTCCATAGTTTTATGACCTGGCCAAGTTGTTCTTTGGCTCAAGTCACGAGCAATACGCAAGGGTGTCCTACCACAGCTCGATGCGAAGTCTGCTGCTGATGTCCCAAGACGAACAAGATTTTGCACAATATCTTTGTATCCGTAAAGGGTGGCAAAGAAAAGAGGTGTGCGGCCGAGTCGATCAGGTGTATCGATATAGGCCTTATAATCCACTTTTATCTTGTTGGAAGGCGTCTCCTCGTATAAACCTGATGTACACGAGGAGGAACCTTTACTTAGCATAGATAGAACGGTGTGAATGTGGCCATGTCGAGTGGCTAGAGCGAGAGGTGTATAGCCATCGTTATCAGTTGTAGTCGGGTCCGCTCCATTGGCCAGCAAAGGTTTAGTTATATTCGAGAATCCGAGCATTGCCGCAATCGATAACGGTGTTCGCCCATCCTCATTTTTGACCTCAGTTTGAACCCCTCTTTGCAAAAGTAGCTCTACCACCTTTTCATTTGAAGGCTGTACGGAGGATGCCCAGAATAACGCTGTGCATCCACTGAGGTCCGGGATGTCAGGAATAGCCCCTTCTTGCAGTAGAAACGTAACAACACTCTCACTCCGAGCAAGTGCGGCCCAGTGAAGAGCATTCTTGCCTTCAACGGTTATCGCGTCGACATTAGCACCGACCGCCAGAAGTTGTTTAGTTATTTCAACATTGCTCGAACGTGCGGCACGCGCTAATGCGGTATTCAGTATCTGACTTCCCGTGTCATCGAGTATATTGCTCTTCTCTAGAAGAATCTTCACAAGTTCTTGGTCTCCATTTGCAGCTGCCGAAGCGAGGTGATTCACTCCTCCGTGTTCCAGCTGGTTATCCATCGTAGCGCCATTATCGAGTAAGAGAGTAAGAACACTTGTATGTCCACGGTAGAGCGCGCACGACAAAGGGGTAATATTCCTTTTATCCTTGCAGTTGACATCTGCGCCGGCATTAATGAGAATGCGAGCAGAACCTAGATAGCCATACATCGCTGCATGGTGCAACGGTGTATGACCGCAGGCATCTCTGTGATTTGGGTCGAATCCGTATTCCAGAACCACACGTATCAGGTCTTCTCGTCCAAATCTGGCCGCTGCATCTAGGGGCGACCCTTCCTTCCAGTCACCCGTAGGGTCAAGTCCAGCATCCAGATATTTCTGCATAGTCTAATAGAAATCTTTCTGAAAAGGCTAGGTCGTGCATTCTTAGTAAAAACACGATCAAAATGTCCCCTAACAACCATATGTCTGAATAGGCGATGGTTGAGGTTGTCGTAGCAGTAATGGCATGTTCGTGCAAAAGCACTCATGTCCCTTGCTCCGTCTAGGGACTCCCATATCTTCAAGAGCAGCTCGTGAGGTAAATCGAGGAGCAACATATTTCGTGTGGCCAAGCGCTATGGGACAAATAGAAGTATGTAAAGTGAAAAATACATTTCATCGTGCGGGGACAAGAAGGCGGACGCTTTGCTGTTGGTCTCCTAATTCGCCATGTGCCATTGGCTGTTAATTGTGGCCCCCCGATTGTAGTGTGGAGACATTTCCCGCATTCCCATCGAGTCATGAGGCTGTGTGAACGAGGCTATCAAAGTTAGTATAACTGTCAGCCATTCGAACACACTGTCTGGCATTGCTAGATCACCAGTTAGCAAGATGGAATTGATGGACGAAGGAATGACGTTTCCTGCAGTTTGGTTCGTTGAATTTAGGGTAAAGCCACTTCAAAACAAATTTCCGCTCTCGGGCCGGTTGTGAATGCACCGACACAAGAAGAGATCATCTTGTGCCTGGGGTATGTAGTAGTTAGTTGACGGGGCTAAATTTGCCCAGATTAGCTATGGGATATGTCGGTCGATCAGCTATGGCTTGGACAACACCTCCACGCTGCCAACCAAGTCTGCGGTGAATAGCAAACTATTAACATCAAGGATCACATTCCGTCGCTTCTCCGTGTACAACCTAGTCGAATCGAGTAGAGTATCCCCTAGTTTTCCTTAGATCTAACTCGTGCGGGTGTACACCCCAGAACCCTCTGAGTCCATATAAACTGAAAAGAGCCAAAGGTTGGCAGATAAGCCTCCGCCGGATCGCTGGAAAACAAGCTGATACTCAAGTTGCTCACCATATCTAGTCAATGACTCAGGTGCCGACAAATTCCACGTCGGATTGCTAGGCAGTCTTCCATCAATGAGAAACAATACTTGGGGACAAAATTCAAGCTTTCTCTGTTTTATTCAAGAGAGCCGATTATATTGCACCTAAATTTAGGGGAAGATTTTATTTTCATTGTTGAATGGGTGACCATACCCATGGGCATCAAGTCATGTTTCGATCATCCGAGTCCACAATTATATTATCCTTAATGTTGGATGAAGTCCTTGGCTTACAATTTTTATTTTTGGAAAGAGCTTTGCTTTATCTCTTGATTAGAATTAGCGCAAGCCGTTCTTTTTTTATTCCGCAGGCGAGCATACTGTTGTCAGCAAAGCCTAACCTCGAACCGTGCGAAATGATAAATGTACTAAAGTTCATGTCTAACAAAGCCCTTTGACCACAAATTTTGTCGAGTCCATTTGACTCGTACAAGAAACAAGCCGATGTAACGAAGATTTTCATATCAAGTGTTATAAACCATCCTGATGATATTTTGAAGTTCATGCATCAAGTTTTTCGCTAATTCCAAAATGACAGCACTCCCAGGCAATCTTCTTCCCTACGGTACACATCAAAGCCGCGGGCAGCGTTTCCAGGATTGGATTGAAAACCCAGCAGCTGCGGACTGTATTGTTAACCCATGCGCTCTAACATTCGATGCACTTTCGGCCTGGGGTAACGTATGGGAGGATCTCGAATATCCTGATTCCGATTCTGACAACGAAGACGAACATGAAGAAGTTGCCGACGCTGTGGCCGAGTTCGGGTTTGACGACAATGTAGCTATGCAGATCGTCACTCGTGAAGAACCAGCAATTTCAGCTGGATCAAAGGAGGTTTGGAATGACTGGCGGTCAGTCATTTCAAAGAGCTGCATTTTTATCATGGGAATGTTCAGAATTACGGGCCCCCACGTTTCAGAAATCGCCCATGTTCTATACACGAGGAAATACCCCATCAACACTCTGAAGTATATCATGGCGATCGACATTGGAAACAAAGACACGCGCGACTTGGTCCAAACCCAGATCTTCTCGGCAGGAAATGGACTCGACTGGAAGACATCCGGAAATCAAACCTTTGCGTTTGGCACTGCAGAATACGAAGCCATCCATCCTCGGAACAAGGGTGGGCTCAGTCGCGTCATATTTCATTCTTGGTGCTTTCCCACGAGGAACGCACCGATTTTCCCAAATCAAGGTCTATGCCTCGGTAGATTTCTTTCACTTGCGATTCGACATTGAGAAAATCCCGAAGAAGCGTCGCAGAGCTGCAATCGATGATGGTGAAGGGGATGAACGGCCGCGGAAACGACGTCGGGGCCCCGATAAGGATTACGACGGTCCTGCAAAACGTACCAGACGAGCTGTACGTATGAGGGGATCCGGGTTAAAAGGTAGAATAGGTTGAGCAATGACGTTGCCCTCCAGCAGGTTGAGATCAAAGAGCTATGGTCGTGACGAGCAGGGCTCGTGAGCTCCTCGGTGGCCTCGCTTGTTTTTTTTCACGTGTTTTATGTTTTCCTTTCTTTCATTTTACTTTGATCTACTTATGTATTTTGATTTCCTTTTAAATACTCAATATGATTTCTTTCTTTGGATTTGGTCACAAGACAGCCATCTTTTATTAAAATGACAACGTAACGTGAAAGAATAACACTGTAAATGCTAGGACAAGTAGGGACAAGTACGTCAATCAGTTCCTTCATCGGAGGATATGTTCATAGATAGATTCGCAGATAGATCTCTAGAAACTTGCACGGAGTACTATAGCTCGTCCTGATCAAGGAGCGGGCTAGTGGGGACAGGGCGTTCTATGGTCCCGCGCCGTTTTGAGGAGATGGAACACGGGAAGATTCGATGACAGATAATTTCATGCTTCAGAAAGAGGGTTTTCGATTGGAATATTTTCTTTGGGGTTTTTAAAACAAGGACTATGCTGAGAAAAAAAAGGGAGTTCGAGGATAGGCATGGAAAGAGGTCAGGAAAAGCATATATTCAGCCATTCCTAATGCAAGCTAAGTGTAGAATGGATAGGGATGGAGCCATTTGATAGATATTCTGCCCTTCAAAAAGCCACATGTAGTTTCCTGAGGTATCAACGCGTAACAATTAACGCAGCTGAAGTCTTCTCCCTGCAGCCTCGTCTTACGAAGCCATTCGGGTAGCTCAAACAGGGCAGATGCAGCGACAGCAATCGTTGGGGCCAAAATGCATGTTCCTCATTAAAGCGCGGCCTGCCCTGAATTGTCAACGGCTATCAGAGACTCAGCCAATTCTCATTATTTTGAGAGTCCGTCTTCTACAACATTATGGGCCAAAAGGTGTCCGTTCCCAAGGCTGGCGCTGAAATTCAAGTCATTGGCGCTGGTCTCCCGCGAACCGGGACCGCGTCATTCAGCGCAGCTCTTGAAATACTTCTAGACGGACCTACATACCACGGCGGCACCCAAATCTCACGAGGCGCACCTATCAAAGTCAAATCATGGATCAAAGCTTTACAGTACTGGGTCAAAGGAGACGCATCCAGTCGCATCGAGATGCAGAAAATCGTGCGGCAGCGTTTAGACGGCTACACAGCTGTCACCGATGCACCATGCTCAGAATTTGTCCCTGAGCTTCTTGAGATCTATCCCGATGCAAAGATCATTTGCACGACGCGCGATCCAATTGCCTGGGAGAATAGCATGGTTCAGATGCAAAAGCATAGCAATGGCCTGGTTCCTCCGTGCTGTCCTGCTTCCACTACCCGCCATGAGGCATTTTGTGGGTTATGCCGATCTTCTTGTTATACAGTGGAAGCGGCTGTATGGCGTTGAGGCTGGAAGTCATGGTCGCGATACGTATGCCAGGCACATTGCTTGGTTGAAGGAAACTGTGCCTGAGGATCGTCTGGTCTTTTTTGATGTGAAGGATGGATGGGAGCCTTTGTGTAAGGCACTAGGGAAGAAAGTCCCAGAGGGTATTCCATTCCCTCGTATCAATGGCTCGGAAGAAATCAATCGCACTGCTCAATATCATATTCAACAGGGTTTGATGCGATGCGGAACGATCCTGGCTGCTGTCTCTCTTGCTGTTGGGGTTTACATGACCATCTAGTTTAGGATACATGTTTGCTTAATATCATTCCAAGGCTTCCAATTGTGGGAATTTGCAGCTCGATAATCGAGAGAGTGCCTCCACCGTAGTTGTGACTCTGTGACAAAATTAGAATATTAATTGGGACTGAGCAGAGCATTCAGACGTAGATGTTGTTGCTGAACGGAGACCAGCCTCCTCACGTCAAGGTGCAAACAAGCTAAACATGCATAAGCTCCGCTCGCCGAACCACCCTTGAGACTCTTACTCTCAACGCCTTCCACTACTCATTTCAAGGGATTGATGCCCAAGCTCAAATAGCTTAACACCAAGGGGATCGATCTTTCACTCGCGCTCGCGCCATCATGGCGAGCCAGGCGGCCCCAATGGAGGAGATTATCTGGAGATCCCCCCAGCACGTGCAGATGATGGGGGGTTACCTGCACTCCAACAACAGTACGTTCGCGACATCTGTCACTACATCTGAGTTCTCGCTAGCTCTCGGACCACTATTGACTCTACTGGACAGTCCTCTTTTACTTTGCCGAGTCCACATTCTTCGATCCTCAGTCCAATAATGGTATCCTCGCGACGCAAGCAACATACAACGAGTCCCTCCGGCACGTCGTTGAAACACGCGCGACATTCGAGAGCAAATTGAAGCAGATGCAAGGCCTGGAGTTCATCGTCTCATTCGACCCTCTCGAGGCCGCCGCACAGTCGAACCCGAATCGCTTTGACTTTGAGCCAAATAATATCTGGGTCATTCGCAAGCAGGATCGACGCAAGCGGAGTGGAATGGAGGATGAGGTGACGGTGATTGCGACTTATTTCGTGGTCGGCGATACTATTTACATGGCACCGTCTGTCGCCAGTGTGGTCGGAAACCGAATTGTAAGCTCTATCTTTTGCGGTCTGGGGTTGGTCTTGCGCGACACCCGGACACTATGCTAATACGCATTTCGATTCTAGTTGACCGCCGTCACCTCTCTTTCGCGACTCTCGAAAGCAGCCTCGGCCCTGCCTACATTCACCCCAGCCACAGGCCACACATATCTACCACCCGCAGCCCGCACCACGGAACCCGGTCAGCAGGCATCTCAGCAGAGCAAGGAGAACACTCCGATGCCTGATGCGACTCAGTCTTCTGCCGCCGAATCGCAATCAACAGGCAAGGCTAGTCTCGGTGTCTCGACGACAAGCACCAGCTACCAAGACACGCGAAGCTTGGCCGAGGCGTTCCACCTTTTCACCCAATACGGCGATGAATTCATGGACGAGCATCCGTTAACCGGAGAGCCTGGCTCGTTTATTCTCTCGCGGGTCGGCGAGGGCGATCGCGCAGCTGGCGCCGCAGCGAAGACCGCAGCCAATCGGACTCTGGGTACGGGAATGAACACGCCATCCGGTGTACGAGGGCGATCAACAACCCCACAAGTTCGAATCGACACACCTGGAAAGGCCTCGGAGAAGAGTAGCTCCCCGCCTAGCTCGGGCGAGAATAAAGGGAAAAAGAGGAAGAACCGCGTTGCGAGCTGATTTGCATACTTGATGATACCCGTGCTGTGTCGAGAGGGAGCACAGCATACTCTTATACATTGGCGTCTGGGTGGTTTGGATTAATAGAATTACGAAGTTCAAGACACTACTTGTCCTCTGCAGCTATTGACCTGTTCTGAACTATGTTATTGTTGGTATATCAACCGCGGCGCAATAGATATCCTTCGATCTGGGTCGGATATATTGTAGATCAAGAAACGAGCCGAACCCCTGCTGGCTAACTACCAAAAACGGTGGCAACAGCTGAAGAGACGAAGTACTGTAAGCGAATGACTCACAACCCCTTAAACCAGCAAATAACTAGTTAACTAAAGAAAGCCCCTAGCAGTGTCAGGTAACCAACCACGGCCTCTCGCTTGCCTCCGTGGTCCGTCACTGCGTTTATCTTATCGCTGTGGGGCTGCTGTCCCAAGATTGTCCTCCGCGGCCTCCATCATCTTTTTCTTGCCACATAATAACCATTACCACGCCTCTTCTTCTCTTTGGAAGAAGCACAGCACTCTGTATACATACTTACAGCTTCATTACTACCTTGTTCCCGAATACCATCCACCATGGCAGAGAACAAGCCCGCGGTCGTCTGTGTCTTGTGAGTCATACTTCCCCCACCCGCCTCATTCTTTGTTGGCCGAGTTGTATACTCCCCCCAAGCAGCCTTGAGTCCAAACAATGAACAACCCAGGCTAACTAATCCCTCTTCCCTGGGGGTAATACAGCTGCGGCTCAACAGCAGGCAAAGACCCCATCCACCTCGAAGCAGCCCGAGCCCTAGCCTACCAGTTCCACAAGCACAATGTCCAACTCGTCTACGGCGGCGGCACCACAGGCCTAATGGGCGAGATCGCCAAGACCCTCGTCTCCCTCTCCGGCCCCAAGTCAGTCCACGGCGTGATCCCCCGCGCCCTGGTCAAAGTATCAGGCAAGGGCCTCGAGAGCGGCACGTCCACCCCGGAAGCAAAAGGCGGCAAGGCCGCGGAACGAGTACTCCCCCAGGCCGAGGAGGGCGAAGAAATCCCCCAGTCGGAATACGGCATTACGACGATCGTGCACGATATGCACACCCGTAAGCGGTTGATGGCTACGATGGTGTTGGAGGGTGGACCGGGTTCGGGCTTTGTTTCGTTGGCGGGTGGGTTTGGTACGATTGAGGAGGTTATGGAGATGACGACGTGGAATCAGTTGGGGATTCATCGGGTTGGGGTGGTGTTGTTGAATATTAATGGGTATTGGGATGGGTTGCTTGCTTGGGTGCGGAATGCTGTTGAGCAGGGCTTTATTACTGGGGAGAATGGGTCGATTTTGGCCGAGGCGCATACTGTTGAGGAGGTTGTGCCGAAGTTGTTGGAGTATCAGTGCAGTTGTGACCGGATGCAGTTGAACTGGGGCCAGGAGTGATCGCTTGCATTGGTTGCTGATGTTTCTGCGGGTATTGGTTTAGAGATATCCAGATAAACCGCTAGATTATAGAATCCCTCGACTTGAACAGCGGAGCTAAGGGAAGACCGATTCGGTACGGTCAGAACAAGAGTAAATGAGGGGGAAAGCACGGCATAAGCAAGGATTTCATGTCTATGCGGAATCATTAAAAACCAGAGAAATTATGAATCAACCTCCATGGACTCGCCCTCCACAGTACCAGATGCTTCAGACCGCTCCAGAGCCTCCAGAAGAGGCACAGTCTCCTGACCCTCGTACAACTTGAAGCTCTCAATACGGCCCTTGGATCCCTCAGGAGCCAGCCCAACCACACCAACAGAAGTATTATCCACCGTAAGCTCCTTATCCTGCGAAAGTGTCTCCTTCAAAGCCCGCAGACCATGGTTGATCAGCTGGTCACGACTGCAGTCCGCAAACTTATCAAGGTTGCGCTCAAGGTATGTGCGCGCCATCTGAGAGCGAGCCCCAATAGCACAAGCCACCATCTCGTGGATCAGACCCGAGGGCTGGAACTCGAACAAGTGCGGGCCGGCCTCGTCGACGCCGGCAACGAGCAGGCCCACGCCGTAGGGCCGCTTGCCGTAGTGCTGGGTGTTGGTTTGCGCGCGGTCGCCGATCTGCGTGACGATGCGCTCCAGTGGGATTGGGCGGCCGTAGGTCATCTTGGAACCGAGGGATTGCTGCTTCATGAAGTTGGAAAGGACACGGGCGTCTGAGGCCAGGCCGGCAATGGCAATGGCCATGTGCGAGTCGATCTCGATGATCTTCTTCTGATAGGAGGAGAGTTCTTCGGCATTACGCTGTTATTCAGGGTTTGATTAGCTTTGGCTTCTTGGTCTGGGATATGGCGTGCCCTGATGGCGTTGAATGTGCGGGTGTAGGGCGAACCTTGAGTCCGACCAGGACAGCATGTGTCTTGTTCACCAATCCCACAACCACAGATCCTTGCTTCACAGCCTCCTGTGCGTATTCGACCTGAAATATCCGACCTTGCGGAGAGCTGTGACAGGTCTCGAGTTAGTATGTTGCTGGTTTCTCGCGGACCGGCCGGGGTAGGTCTTACAAGGTGACAGCATCGTTGTCGTAGTTGTTTCTGAACATGGCGGCGGGAAGGGATAAAGAACAAGGAGAGTAAAGGGGAGGATAAGAGCCCTTTCAATTCAGCAGAAAAATAGAAAGGAGAGCAATAGAATGCGCGGATGGAGCTTGGGGCTGAGATGGGGACGCTGTAGCCAGGCAGGTAAGGTGACGCGGTGTGAAGCATGAGCTCTTGCTGCCTGAGGCAACAACACCCAGTGACCTTCAGGCCCCAACGTCACTCATTCCTCGTCCATCTCCGAAGCTCACTCCTCCCCTCAATCCCTGCCAATGGGGCTGTCATTCCCGAACTACCTCTGAGTCTATCATCTGAACAGCGCGCTATTATATCCTAACCAAACCTCTCCTATCTCGTCAACCCGGGCAGCTTCGGCGACTCCGTAATCATGGCGGCTGGACTCAAGACCATCATCGCACTCTCATTTGTACGCAACTCCATGCCTGCCAGCTTGTTCTACTTGGCTGACACGATTTACTGACTTGAAATAGGTGCTCGCGATTGGTTTCCTCCTCGTTATTCTCTCCTCCGCCCTTTGGCACAAGTACTGGCCCCTGTTGGTGGTTGCCATTTATATCGTTGCGCCTCTCCCCAATTGGATCTGTGGACGATGTGCGAACCCAGATGATTTTATGGACAGCTCCAGCAATTCAGCCATGGATTTCGGACGGTTCATGACTGGGTTCCTGGTTCTTACTGGTATCGGTGAGTTGTGCAGCTTATTACCGCCATGTCTAGGAGACAACGTACCACGGACGGTCATTCCTGGGCGTCTTTGCTATTCTACAAAGTCCTGCTCCAAGTCTTCAAGAATCCCTACTCTTTCAACTATGCGGTGGCTAGCTATTCTCTGATCTGATCTGCTGACACCCCACTTTCTCTTAGCCCTCCCCGCAGTTCTGGCACACAGCGGAGCGATCGAGCTTCCGGCTATGATCATGTCCATCCTTGGCGGTCTGTTGATTTACGGCACTATCATCAGTTTCTCGATGTTTTTCCAGGAGCAGGAAGAGTTCTGAATGGCGATGACTGGTTGGGGTGCCGGTTGTTCCTGAATTCTCGTGTTAGGCCGTAGGGGTTCAACGAAGATCCAACTTGCCTCCGTGATGACTTTTTCTTTGCGCGATTTGTTTTATTTGAAACGTATCTACGGTATTCCCGGAGCGGGGGAATGGTTTTCTAGCATCGATTGCCGCTTATTGGCTTAGCATGCCTTTGGCTATGTTACTCTGGGTGTATTCTAACGCAGTGTGTATATAGAGACTTCTCGATGGATTCTTCTGTCTCCCCCGTAGAATTAGCGTGTACAGGTAGAACTTGCTTGTGCTAAACGTTGTAGAAACCCAAGAATCCGAATCTAGTGGTGTAGTGGTCCAGCCATTTGTGTTGTGGCTTCATTTCCTTGGACGGCGGTTTCTCCATGATCGTTGCATACAGTGGTTATCATCTCTTCATTTCATATCTCTTACATACTGAGAATATTATTCCAAGCTTGTATCGTCTCAACCTTATGAACATACCAGTGGTCCATCACATCGGCTTTTAATCTATAGTTTCACGTGACGTCGCGCGTCATAGCGCGTCCCGCCAACAAGCAATTGTCGATGATCAGACGCAACTAATCGACCGCTCTCACGATCAACTGCACCCAAAGTCTGCCATGGGGGAGCAGTTTGATTGATAGGACTTGAAAATGAACATCTGGTCGGGGCCCATTAGCTTGGACCCAGACCGCCAGCTAGAAGGTAAAGCCCTCGACGCGCCTCGTGCCAGTCATGCCCATGGCTAACCTTGATACTAGGGATCCGCTTAGTTGACCCGACCTCCCACTGGCAATGCGACATATCTAAAACTGCCAAACTCGGTCTCCGCAGCTTTGTCAACCCAGCATTGATCCCGCTTCACGCGCGAGCAGGTCCTAACCTCGAAGTACACACTCTGAACGCGGGGACGTCACGATATCTCCAGGGCAAGTTGGCGGGAGCCGTATGGTTAAATCAAGATGAACTGGACCTCCACCAGTCTGTACAATGCCCCGTCGGCCTGCTGGTCAGTGTTGACGGCACTCCAGCGAGGAATACCAGCGTGGTCACGTCGGACCTCTTGATCTACGGCGTGTTGTCGACAGCGACATCCTGTGCACGTCCGCCGACCCCGCCGCACTCGTCACCCTCTGATATACCCGGACAGCCCAATTCTTTGCCGGGCAAACCGTATCAGCTCAGAATATATGCTGCACCACTATCCACGTCCTTGATCACCCAGGCTCAAGCCTTCCCGTCTCCTCCACCAAGCTCAGATGAAGAACGCGCCTCTACTCAGGCTGAATTCCTCCCAGATATCAGCTCGCCCAGTCCAAAGCGCAAACGAGTCGCCACTCTCTTTGAGGTGGCAGCACAACACCACCGTCGCGTCCGACAGCGCGGTGGCGAGGCAGTCTCCCAATTGATGGCCCCATCGCGGCCACCTTCCTCATCCCAGAATCTCCAGACTCTCCGAGTAAAACGCGAGCCCGAAGATGACCAACCGAGTCTACCAACACTCGACCGGCTGGTCGCACACAGGGCACGCTCCGTATCAATCGGAGCTGGCCTACATAGACCAGTGAGCAGACTCGGCGCACGCGGAACAGGAACCCCAGTTCCAGTTCCAGTTCCAGGTGCAACTCCAAACGCAGACCCTCAAAAACGCACTACAACACCAAACCCTTTCCTCGACCCGCCATCCCGCCGCGCATCACACACTCAACCTCCATCCCTCCTCTCAACCTCAACCTCAGAAAACAACCTCGCAACACCCAATTCCCCACCCAAAACTGCAGACGCCATCATCGCCGAAAACAAGAACCTCATCACCCGTACAATCCTCACTTGCATGCGACTATATGGCTTTCACCGCTCCAATCCACGCTCCTCCTCCTCTTCCTTCTCCAGCAGGCTAAACCCGACTGGCCCGGGATCTGCCGCGGAGACAGAAATAGATCCTCGAGGCGCAATCCCAGCACTGGAGACTCTTCGCGCGGAGACACCCGCCCCTGGAGCCGCCGCGGATGATGACGAGTTTAAAGCTATGTATCACGCGACGTATAAGGCGTCTGCCTTTGCGCTGCGCAAGTATCTGAAAGATAGTAGTGCAGGTGGAAACGGAGCTACGCCTGTTTTACTGGAGAAGGGGAAGGCTATGACGTGTATTGATGAGTTGTTGAAGCTGTTTTGCGAGGATCATTGATTTAGATTTGGATCTCTGGGGGTATACCATGTTATGAGAATATGAATTTGCATTTGGGTTCGTGGTGTTTGTGATGTTTCGTGGACTGGATTGATGGGATATGAGGATACTTTTGATATCCAAGTCCTGGGATTTACAGATGATTTGGTTTACTTGTTAGGCGTTGGGTGTTTATACCCCGTTAAAATGTCATTATCATATCGTCATGCCTTCTACATTGTTCGACTTACACGTATCCATAAGATCATCTACCGTGGTCTCCAGTAGAGTACATCTACAAATCCCTACACAACTACACTCACTACTCCCCCAGAGTCAAGGTATTCATATGAATAAAAGCCCATTCCATTCACGCTAATCCCCAGCCCTCGGCCAGGATGCGAATGCTGAACACCCAATCCCAAATCATCATATCTGCGCATAAAATACATAAGCGACATCGGGGTGCAAAATAGGTATATCGAGTCCAGTCAATTCAAGTCAAGTCAAGTAAGGTCCGTGGGGACTGTTCAGATCCAATCCGTCAAAGCGAATACTTCACAGCGCCAGGTTATAGGTGTAATCATCCTCGATATTCTGGGAGACCCAAAGGACGACAGAGCTGTAGCACACATTAGCCAAGGGTATCCCGGACAAGTAAAGTAATCTTCCAAGTCTGGAGATCAGCGTCTGGAGTTAAAACAAACCTCAGCATAACCAGCCCATTAGCCACCACGTTCGCGATACCAAAGTAAAGCGTCTGAAGCGGATAATCTTTAACAAGGTACTTGAGCACCATAACCGTCTGCAAGCACACATTAGCAACCCCAATATTCCCACATCTACCTCCCTGAAACTCGACTGGATAAACGTCAATGTCAATGTTGACGATGAACGGTACGTACCACACTCCCCGCCAAACCCCCCGCCAAAAGCGCAAACCCCAAAAACAGCACAAACCGCGCCTTCCACGCCACCCCGCCCCCGCTGTAACTAAAGCTATCGGCCTGCAGCCTGGACTTCTCAATCGAGTTGATGACCAGCATGCCCAGCGCGGAGCAGATGGCGGGGATCCAGTCGACGAATTTGATGTGCACGTCTGAGCCGTTGCGGGCGCTGCGCGAGAAGGATGCTACGTCGACGAGGAAGAAGAAACCTGCTGCGAACTGGGGAGGAGAGAAAAGAAAATAGCGGTGTTAGTGGGTGCGGGTTTGGACTTGGGGAGATGGTTGGTATGTTGGGTGCGGTACGTACCAGCGCGCCGGAGGTGTAGACGCCTGCGTTGCGGACGGCGGCGTTGTTCAGCCATTCGGGCTTGGTGAACCGGAAGAGCCGGTTGCTGGAGACGTCCATGGTGGGTGGTTTGTTTGTGTATTTGATGGGGTGAGCTGGGGACCTGGGGTGTGTGGTGAGCTTCGGAGGCCGATGACGATGGCGCGCTGGGTGCGGATAAATGTCGGGCCGGGTGGTAGTAAGCTTGAGGATGTCAAGCGAGGCACTTGGATTACAGGTTCGAATGAGTTGGGTATGGATTTGTGAGGTGGGGACTTGGTTTGTTAGCTAAACTATTCTAAAACTACCTACATGGATATTTAGTGGATGGGGAGTGAGGTCGAATTTACTGTCGTCTTAGGCAGTTGTTGAGATGGTCGCAGGCAGCAAAGTATATATTGGATGTGCGCCAAGCTTTGGCTTGATATCTACGAGTGCGTTGCGCGTACCGCAAATTAGGTAACTACATTTCTTAACAATGAATTTTATTCGAACCATTGAATTTATGCAATGTCTTGAATTGAAATCGTCACGTATGGGACTTGTAGTCCCGGGTATATACATCAGATCAAATCACTTCTCTGCTGAGGCGGAGGGTGCTTCAAGGTATCACAACCCTGGGCTATGTGGGATGGGCACCATCCATGTGATTGACGGTGTCATTCTAAACATGAATGACTTGTGGAGGTGGTTGGTTGAGGCCAAGCCTAGCCATCGCGAGCCGGTCTCGCTCTCCGGAAATGTATTGCAGGAGTAGGTGTGCAACATGCTGGAGCCTCGATGGATGGCACATGGTCTAGGCTTGGTGTTCATTATTCCATCGTGAAGATCACGCATCCCTCTCCTATGAGGCGCACTGAGAGAACATCGGATTCCCAACAAGCAACTCTCACGCCGAGTCGACGGGGTGGGCACGGAGCTTCTCCATGATAGCGTCGATGACCTCCATATCACCGGCATCAGTCTTATCAGTCGCATAGCCCTCGGGAAGAACCTTGACAAGCTCATTCATAGCAGGCTGGTAATTGCGCACCGCCGACGAAAGCGCATAAATGGATTTCTTGCGGGCAGCGGGGTTGGGATCGGCGGTGGCCATGGAGACCAGGACAGGAATACCATTCAAAACCACGAGCTGCACATCAACCCAAACCAAAGTATTAGCATCTTTTCCCCAAGTTCTCGAGCATCTGTATCGTGACGTTGTAGGAAATATCACGAGTTCACACATACCTTATCCTGCGCCTTCTCATTATTCTGCACCGCCGTACCGATACACCACGCCGCCATACGACGCATATCCGCCTCCTCGTGCTTGAGCAATTGCACCAGCGGCGTCCACAAACCCAGCGGCTCGAGGTTATTCGCATTATCGATGCCCTCGATCAATTGTTCGAAGTTGTCAAAGGCGATCATCTTGTTCTCCAGGTCAGTGTCGTCCGAGTGTAGGACTTCCATGGCGGCCTTCATGAGGTCTGCGTCGGAGGGACCACCCATCAATGCATTGATCATGTCTGGGGTGAGGGTGCGCGAGGCTTCGTCGGCGCTGGGAGGGGCTGTGACGGTGCCGTCTTCGTTTTTTTGTTGCGAGTTTGCGACGCTCCATTTGAGGAGCTTGTTCATTGTGGGATCCATTGTGGTGGTGTGTGGAGGGGAGGGTGTTTCGGGTAGAGAGGACTTGTGGGTTGATTCTCTTTTTTGGAGGAGAGGTTGTGCAGAATCGAGAGAATTTCGAGAATCTAGCAATCCTGGTAATATGAAGCTCGATGCGAACTGCTTATCTAATCTGACGTCGAATCTGGATGATTCGTGCGGCGCCCAGCAGATTCGATCATGTGACTGGACGATCTTCCATTAGGTCATGTGATGACAGCACGTGACTTGCCACTCACCGTCTCGCACTGCCACGGGGAAATGGCGGTAACCCACTGGAACCACGAACCATGTTTCTTGGACGGCGCTTGCGTAAGGCTCGATGACCGTGGGACAGTGACACTGACAGTAATACTGTACCTGTCTTATCTGTTCATCACTAGGTCATGGGCTAGGACATCAATGGCATAGTTGGAAACAGCCGGACGCCTCGTATCTTCGTAAAGTTTACTTGTGGTATGCTATACGACAAAATGTATGTGGGTATGATGCCCATAATAATGACGGGACCAAGTCCAGTACGGAGGTGGTACCGGTCATGTACCATTGGGCGGTCGGGGCAGTGCTTTCTATACTTAGAAGTGACCTTGTCCAGCCAAACAGTCCATGAAAAAACGGAGTGTACTGTAAACCACACTAACTCCCGCCTCCGTCCTGGCTGGCCCTGTCCACCCCGCCACAGGAAAGACTCCATGAATGTCGGAGCCTGGTCTGGGTTTTCGAGAGTGTCAGCTCTATACAATTGGGCTACGAAGTGTGTAATTACAGAGTATACGGAGTCGAGGAGGGCAACAAATGGTCCCTCGATATGACTATGACCATTGTGGTGAATGTTACGAGGCAGATATTCATGTGAATGTCCATGTACAGTATGTCATTGCTCATGAATCATGAAGAAGGGTCTGGAGGCTCTCCAGCTTGTCTCTTGACGAGGTATACGCAATGTCGGTCCGGGTGGGATGGTAGGCAGATCCATAACAAGAGTCGGAGTCCCAGGGAATGATGGTGTCTGCCTTGGGGAATTGATGGCAGGGCAATTGCATAAATAGGGTAGAGCGTCGAATAATCGGACTCGCAACAAGAGCAGAGTGATAAGCGTTGGAGCAGGCTAATCGAGCAGAGAAGCGTCCAGTCCATCCTCCTGTTCGTGCTGTTCGTACTGGCAGTCCTCTCGCGAGTGGCCCAACCAGCAACAAACCAGCCAAACCCAACTTGGCCCCGCTCCACTTCTTTCCCTTTCCACTCTGTTTCCCTCTTTCCCCCTCCCCCCCCCCCCCCCTACCACCAACTCAACTCGACTCTACACCTCTTAACGCACCTCCCGCTTTATACCCTTCTTACCTCCCCCTCCTCCCTCCCTCTCATTTCCCTTCTCCGTATCCCCCATCTTAATCTACATCCATCTCAGTCACAATGGAAGGTATGCACTGCTCTTCCCTGTCCCTCCCTCTCTCTCCCCCTCTCTGTTGTTTTTGATCCCGTTGTGGCCACCTCAGCGCCTTGGCTGCCCCCCCTCCCCAAAGCTGTCTGGGGAGCGACCAGCGCTGAGGGAAGCTGACGGGTTGACTGTGGAACCCATCCTCGAAATCGAGATTTTATATGCTAATTCATCGATTCATCTACAGAGGAAGTCGCTGCTCTCGTCATTGACAATGGGTACGTGATGAAAATGGGAGAAATGGCCCTGTGAGAGCTGGTCTGGCGGTGTTTGGGTGCCTCGTCAACCGCCCGGTCGCGGTCCCGATTCCATCATCCTCCCACCCCCCCCTAATCCACCGCCACGGCACATGGGAATCTCAATCGCTGTCCAGACCACTTCCAGGATCTAGCTCGAGCCTATTTCTCCCCTATTCTGCGATGGAAGAATCTCTTACTGATGTGTTGTTTGTAGCTCGGGTATGTGCAAGGCCGGTTTCGCCGGTGACGATGCCCCTCGAGCTGTCTTCCGTAAGTCCCCAACCAAAACTCCCCCTCCCCACACAAAGTTTCCATTACAATGGCAACCCTCCCCCTCCTCCTGGCAAGCCATCCCACCAACCCTTGCGTCGGCTCGTCGGCCCAGCTGGGGTTGGTCGGAAAATTTGCTGCCTTTGGACTTGGACCGGGCACATTAACACCTCCCCACAACAAAAAATCAAATACTGACCAAGATGAATAGCCTCCATTGTCGGTCGTCCCCGTCACCATGGGTAAATATCTCCTCCTCCCCCTTCCCTTTATCCCACTCTTTCCCTGGTCTGGAAAGGCCTCTATTTGCGTTTTGCGCTGGTCGCAAGCACTGCGAATCTCCTCTCCACCACCAATGTAATCAATGCAAAGCTCGACATCCCCGACTAACACACTCTTTCCAGTATCATGATTGGTATGGGTCAGAAGGACTCCTACGTCGGTGATGAGGCACAGTCCAAGCGTGGTATCCTTACCCTCCGCTACCCCATTGAGCACGGTGTTGTCACCAACTGGGACGACATGGAGAAGATTTGGCACCACACTTTCTACAACGAGCTCCGTGTGGCCCCCGAGGAGCACCCCATCCTCCTGACTGAGGCTCCCATCAACCCCAAGTCCAACCGTGAGAAGATGACCCAGATTGTCTTCGAGACCTTCAACGCCCCCGCCTTCTACGTCTCCATCCAGGCCGTCCTGTCCCTGTACGCCTCCGGTCGTACCACTGGTATCGTCCTCGACTCCGGTGATGGTGTTACCCACGTTGTCCCCATCTACGAGGGTTTCTCCCTGCCCCACGCCATCTCCCGTATCGACATGGCTGGTCGTGACTTGACCGACTACCTCATGAAGATCCTGGCTGAGCGCGGCTACACCTTCTCCACCACTGCCGAGCGTGAAATCGTCCGTGACATCAAGGAGAAGCTCTGCTACGTCGCTCTCGACTTTGAGCAGGAGATCCAGACCGCTTCTCAGAGCTCCAGCCTCGAGAAGTCCTATGAGCTGCCTGACGGTCAGGTCATCACCATTGGCAACGAGCGCTTCCGTGCTCCCGAGGCTCTGTTCCAGCCCAACGTTCTGGGTCTCGAGTCTGGCGGTATCCACGTTACCACCTTCAACTCCATCATGAAGTGTGATGTTGATGTCCGTAAGGATCTGTACGGCAACATTGTCATGGTATGTCATTTTTCCCCCCCCCCAGAATTTATGTTTTGACTCGACGACTGACTTTGCTTTCCTTTCTCCAGTCTGGTGGTACCACCATGTACCCCGGTATCTCCGACCGTATGCAGAAGGAGATCACTGCTCTTGCTCCTTCTTCCATGAAGGTCAAGATCATTGCTCCCCCGAGCGCAAGTACTCCGTCTGGATCGGTGGTTCCATTCTCGCCTCCCTGTCCACCTTCCAGCAGATGTGGATCTCCAAGCAGGAGTACGACGAGAGTGGTCCCTCCATCGTTCACCGCAAGTGCTTCTAAGCTTCTACTTTTCTTTGTTCGAAGCTTTGATCGTCGTCGCTCGTACTTTCCTGGTGTATCAAAAGGCAGGATGGAGGCACTGGTGGATCGCAAGCGTTGTTGGACTCGCATTATCAAGCGGATAGCCTGAAAATGGAAATTCTTCGATTTTAGTGGAATAGAGTCGGTCCTTTTTTTGAATAATTTTTTTCAGGTCTTTTCAACCTTTTGAGATTTCCTTCTGCTTTTTGCGTCTTGTTGACATGCTTCCCTGCTTCTGTTGTTGTCGTACCCCCGTTCCCGTTCCTCTAGGTCCTTTTCCACCCGTTTAGGTATCTATCCATCCTTTCCTACTCTTAGCTTCTAGCTCTAGTCTGCCGTGCAAAGTCTAAGTCGAGTATCTAAAATCTTCTCTATCCTTGTTCCTTTTTCCTAGCCTAGACTCGATTGCTGTGTTATCCTATACTAGCATTGCGGATTTGTGGAGGTTGTGTAGATGTAGTCTTTAGGTTGTAACCCCGGGAGGGTTGGCTTGGATTGGATTGAGCATGGGGGAGGGGAGGGGAGGATAGAGCTGCAGGGGATGTCTGGAACTGGTGCGCATGTTCGACTTCGGTACCTACCTGTGTGGCGATGCCGCTGGGTACCTAGGTGGGCAGGCAGGTAGGTAGGTATATATCTATCCTATTTACGTGACGGGGGGCTTGTTGGATTGGATGGTTGATATGGGATGGGTGCTTTGGATGAGTAGGTTCCTTAGCTTGGTATAGGACAATGTGAGTATAAGGAGAAGAAAGGAAGAGAGACGAGGTGCGATATGGAATATACGGAATTGATACCTATCCTATTCCTGGCGGGTGTCTAATATAGACGTCTATTGAGGTCGAGATACCTAATTTTCTGTGATAGACATGGACACCCACGAGTGCACTGATAGGTAGGAGTGCTTGCTTGGACCTGAGTCTTAGACAAAGAGGAATTTAGAAAGGGGGGACGAGCCAGTGAATATCTAGTAAAACTTTCAATTCTTGACTTGACAGTATAGAAGTATATGTATCGTTTCATTCCATAATACAGGAACATTTCAGCATCATCGATATCATTCCCATTCCCACTCCAATTCAAGGGACCTGCTAGGTAAAGCGAACAGCCCTACTGTAATTTTGTATTTACCAAACCGACCAACAAAGACGTAACAAGAGAAAAAAACATGCCATAACGAATCAACGACTGACCATCGCAGAATTTTTGGAATGTGGAACCCGAGGAAAGGAGAAGTCATTCGTCTTTCCAGGAGAGGAGAGATTATACGCTCCACGACTCCAGGCCGCTGAGCACGCAGCCCTCCTCACCCTCTGCACGGGCACGCAGCTCACCAATACGGTAGACAGTCTCACCAGCAGCCTCGAAGCTCTGGCGAACGGCTGCCTCGGCGGTGGGCTCCACGGCAATGACCATGCCAACGCCGCAGTTGAATGCGCGGGCCATCTCCGCCGGGGAGACGTTACCGGCACGCTGCAGCCACTGGAAGACGGAAGGCTGGGCCCAAGAGCTGACGTCGACGGCGGCGGTGAGAGTTGCGGGGAGCATGCGGGGGATGTTCTCGGTGAGACCGCCACCAGTGATGTGGGCTAGACCCTTGATGGCAGAGGAGTGGGCATTCAGCGCGGCTAGGATGGGCTTGACGTAGATGCGGGTAGGGGTGAGCAGGGCGCGGCCCACGGAGAGCTGCTCGGTCTGACCAGGCATGGTGAAGGGGGCTGGGTCGGCAAAGTCCAGGCCGGCACGCTCGACGATCTTGCGCACCAGCGAGTACCCGTTTGAATGTGGGCCGGACGAGCCAAGGGCCAGGAGCACGTCGCCGGAGCGCATGGCATCGGTGTGAGGCAGGATCTGGCGGGCGTGGGGACCGCTGGTGTTGATGGCACCTACAGCTGCACCGACGGCGTCGTAGGTCTCGTCCACGAATAGACCGGGCATCTCGGCGGTCTCACCACCGATCAGGGCACAGCCGGCTTGCACGCAGCCGTCGGCAACACCGGTGACGAATGCCGTCGCGGTGGGGACGTCCAAGTGGCCGCAGGAGTAGCAGTCCAGGAAGAAGAGGGGCTCGGCACCCTGGACGACGAGGTCGTTGACGTTCATAGCGACCAGATCGATACCGACGGTGTCGTGGATGCCGACAGTGTGGGCAATCTTGAGCTTGGTGCCGACGCCATCAATGGCACCGATCAGCGTCGGGGAGTCAGCGTGGTACTCTGGGTTGGCGGCGGCCAGAGAGAAGAGACCGCCGAAGCCGCCGATGACGGCGTCAGTACCGGGCCGCTTGGTGCGGCCGACGGAGGCCTTGATGCGGTTGACCAGCTCGTTGCCAGCGTCGATAGACACACCAGCGGCGGCGTAGGTCAGCGAGGTATCGGCCGTCTGGCGGAACGCGCGGTGTGCGATGTCCTTGCGGAAGAACATGTCCTCGAAGTGAACAGTGGCAATGCCCTCGTAACTCTTGGAAACAGCCTCCTCGAGGGTTGCAGCAGTGGCAGTAGCCGCGATCACACGGCCACCAGCAGTCTGCAGCTCATTGCCGGCCAGCGTAGTACCGGCATGGAAGATCAAGGAGCCGGCAGGAGTGGGATCCAAAGTAATCGGCTTGCCCTTGGCGTAGGATCCGGGGTAACCGCCAGCGACAGCGACGACCGTGGTGGAGTACTTGGGCTCAACCTTGATCGAGACACCGTCCAGGTAGTGCTCGGTACAGGCGACCATGATCTGGGCCAGATCGGTGTCTTCGCTGAGGAGAGGCAGAAGGGTCTGAGTCTCGGGGTCACCACCGCGGACATTGTATTCAAGGACCTTTGGGCCGGTCTTGGTCATCATGAGACCGGTGAAGAGAATACCGACGAATGGGAAGCCTATATTGGATTAGAAACCATGCGCTAAGCTTCCAATTGAAGAGCGAGTTACGTACCGTCCCTCCGCATGCCGTCAATGGAAGGCTGAATGATAGTGCGATCGATCTCGTCGCACACCTCCTTGGGCGCAATGCGTGTAGGGGCGTAACAACCCATGCCGCCAGTGTTGGGGCCCTTGTCACCATCGAAGATGCGCTTGTGGTCCTGCGCGGGGGGCAGGGAGTAGATAGTATAGCCGTCGCTAAAGGTGAGAATACTCAGTTCGTCACCCTCCAGGTACTCCTCAATGACGACCTCGTCACCAGCGTTGCCGAACTGGTGATCGACCATCATCTCCTTGAGGGCCTTGTGCGCCTCCTCCTTGGTCGTAGGAATAACAACACCCTTGCCAGCGGCCAGACCAGAGGCCTTAATCACAACGTTGTGGGAGACAGAGTCGAGGTAGCGGGAGGCGGACTCGTAGTCGGAGAAGTTGCCAAAGGCAGCAGTGGGGATGTTGTGGCGCTGCATGAAGTCCTTGGAGAAGGTCTTGGAGCCCTCCATGCGGGCGGCAGCCTTGGAAGGACCAAAGCATTGGATACCGACTATGCAGAGTGGGAAAATGCCTCAGCAATCAATGATACATGGACAGTTGAAACTTCTTCGACTTACCGGCCTGGAAGTATCCGTGGATACCATCGACGAGGGGCGCCTCAGGACCGGGCACAACAAGGTTCACACCGTTCTTCTGTGCGAATGCGACGAGACCGGGGTAATCATCACCCTTGACATTGGCGTTGGTGATCTTGGTGGAAGCACCCATACCAGTACCGCCATTTCCGGGAGCGACATAGACGATGTCGACGAGGGGCGACTGGCTCAGCCTCCAAGCATAAGCATGCTCACGGCCACCATTGCCGACAACGAGGACGCGCAATTGTTCTTGAGCCATTGTATAAGCAGTGTCTCGAGCGACTGTGATAAAGTTAGCGACTGTGGGAGCCCACCGCGGGGTATATGCCCCTCCTCTAGTGATTCCGGTGGGGAGGTTCTGAATTGACAGGACCAAAGCAGGATAGGAGAGGCAATTGAGAATTTGGAGGGTTTGAATATACTCACCTCGCCGAGAGAGACCTGAGAAACAACTGCGGGAGAAGTGGATGGAGATCGTAAGGTTCTCGCCGTGCTGGATAACTTTTTTTCTGCCGGCGGCGGTGTTTCTCCGGAGTCGGACCCGTTGGGTATGACTCTTCTTGTATACGAAATAGTTAACTAATGGAGACCCATCTGACTGGAAATGCTCAAATACCTCTTGGATTGGAAAAATCCCTCATCATACAGTATATGTTACCTGGGTTTTTGTGAGTTCTACTGCATTAGCTTCGTCTGTAAAGCGCACAAGGTACTCTGTACTTAGACTCTTCATCCAGGAGTTCCTATATAATAGTATTTCTCTTTCTGTCCGACTATGAGTGTTTTGAGATTTAGGCTTCTTCAATCTTGTACGAGATAAAGTTTTGATAGGACTAGTATTTCAACCAAACTCTCTTCTTTTGATTATCTCGATCTTATGGTTGAGTTTGCAGTCAAAGTATACTTTTCAAGATTTGGTGCCTAAGGTGGCAACAACAAAAAGCGGCGTCGCGCGGCAGAAAAAAACAGCTGCACGGCGCGCAATCCATCGATACTGACTGTTGTCCAAGTCCCGTCGTGTGTCGCATCTCCGGGCATTGCTCATTTTTCTTCCCCTATTTCTTTCAAGCCCGTGGTCCGTATGTTTCGGGCCTCACTCCGGTCTGTATCAGACCCCCTCCGCGACCATGTCTGCTTTTCCTGCTTAGCGCGCCGATTCGCCGCGCCGACGAATCTGCGCCGATTTCACCGCGTACCTGCGCTCCGAGCCCAGTTTAGCAGTGAGAATGGAGGAAGTAGTGCAACCGACACGTCGGCTGTGCCGTCAATGGCCCACTGGGAGCAAGATTCGTCCAGCAAGGTATGCTATTTCCGATCACGCGGCTCGTGCATTATCTGGTAACGAGCGAAATTGACAAACTTGGATTTAGAAGACCCCGGAGCAAGTCGAGCAAGCAAATCACGAATTTGGCGATGAACTTCTACCCGATACTTTGCCATCAGATGCCGCGCAGCCTCAACACCAACAGGCTGAGGCGAGGCGAGCGAGGCGTACATTAAGACAACGCGAGAAAAGGCGATCAAAGGAAAATGAAAAACCGGATGAAGGAGAGACCAAAGGCGGAGGAGAACCCACGAGTAAACGCAAGGCCGCGATTCAAAAAGTGAATCAAATCCTCGATGAGAAGACCTCGCCAAAGAAGGGACCGCGTGGACCAAAGGGTAAACTCTCCCACGTCGCAAACTTCATCAATGAGAAGCACACGGGAGTGGTTGACTCTGAGAGCGATAAACTCAAAGGTATGCTATTTTCTCAGCAATGGAGATTGGAGCTTTGTCTGACAACTTCAAGCTTTGGATATCCCCATGGCCCCTGTGCCTGGTTTGTCATTTGGCCTGGATCGGGTCTTGTTCAAGTAAGTTATTCATATAACCCAATTCTAACCCCACTAGTCTAATGATGAGCTTCCAGTCCTGGTGTATACCAACTAAGAGACCCTCGATCGCGTGTCTACAATTTCGATCCTTACCTGGGCCAAATTATGCCTGTCACGGAATTCGACTTCAACGCGTTAAAGGAATACATCACTTCATCGAAAGATGATACGCTCCGCAGTCACGCTATCAAACAAAAGAAGAAGTACAGCGGATCATCTTCGAGCATGACGTCCGTTCTGTCCCAATTCCATTACCTTCTTTCAAGTTGGCGGGGTATCGACACCCGCACATTGTCCCAGGGCTTCCCAGACAAGCTTCGGTCCTTCACCCGACTCCTTCGATCGCCAGCTGCCATGTTCTTGCACTACCAAGACGGAGTCTACGCTATTGATGCGGACAAGGAATTCGATTCAGCCAACATTCTTATGAACCTGGGAAAGTCAATGGAGAAGCTCCTTACCATGCCCAAGGAGGACTTTGAGCGCTACAGACGGTCAAGCGAGAACAAGATCTCGCCCGAAGAAGAGCAAGCCATTCCAGAATCCTACCATTACTCCACTTATGGAGATTTCATCATGCGATCTCAATTGGATGCTTATGATCCTCGTCTGCCTGGAACCGGCATGTTTGACCTGAAGACTCGCGCTGTTGTTTCAATCCGCATGGATGCCAAGAACTTCGAGCACGGCCTTGGATACGAGATCAAGACCCGTTTCGGCGATTTTGAGTCCTACGAACGCGAGTTCTACGACATGATCCGCGCGGCTTTCCTCAAGTATTCTCTTCAGGTCCGCATTGGCCGCATGGACGGGATCTTCGTTGCGTTCCACAATGTTGAGCGCATCTTTGGATTCCAGTATGTCAGTCTGCCTGAGATGGATCAGACGCTGCACGGAACATCAAACACTGCGCTGGGTGACAAGGAATTTGAGCTCAGCCTGGGGCTGTGGAATCAAATTTTGGACAAAGCAACGGAGAAGTACCCCGAACGGTCGCTGCGGTTCCACTTTGAGACCCGTGATGCCGTGACCCCATTCATGTACATCTTTGTCGAGCCCGTCACGAAGGAGGAAATCCACGCCATTCAAAACTCCAAGAAAGCCGAGATCGACGCCTACCAGCAGCGCCTCCTGAATCTCAAGCCAAGCGAAGATGACAGCGATCTCGATGCCCCTCAAGTCGAAGTGACAACAGAGCCATCTGATGCTGAGGCCGAGGAAGAGGACTCTGCAGCAAAGGGCGAACTTCTTGCTATGGCGTTGACAATCCGGAACAAGGTCAATGGCGAGTATGTCGACCGACCTACAGAAGGATTCAATACCGACGACAAGTGGGAGGTTGAGTACGAACTGAGCGAGTTGTCGCCTGCACAGGGCCATGTTCTCTACAAGATGTGCAAAACTCGTCGGATGAGGGGTCTTGAGGGCCGAGGTGAGGACGAACTCGAGGTTGCGAGCAACGTCTATATCCGCCGCCTGCGACAAATCAGCAAAGCGGGGCGCACGCACCGAGAGCGTGAGAATCAGCTCGATAAGGAGCTTGGCATTGTTGTCTTGGAAGACGGTGTCAAGAATAGTGGTGCGGAGTGATGCGTCTTTCGTGCTTGAGTAGCACCTTGTTTTTTCAAGATGTCTTTCGAGATGAGTTCGTCTCTGCTTCGAACCTTGGACAATTTTTACTGTATATTACTAGATGTGATTCCCCGTTCTGTATTTTGGTTGTGGAACCTCGTTACCTTTGCACTGGATGGCGAAGGACGGCTATCCGACAATACATACAAGGCGTGCTTTGGCGTTTGAATGAAAATCTTCATTTCCAATCTAGTGTATTCTGCGTCTGTGTACAGAAGTGGCAAGAAAAGCATATCCCCGCCTCGTTGGATTGCACTAAATCAGCTCGCTTACCGAGCTGGCTTCGTTGCAAGGTGCCTACACGTGCCTTCCCTACTGGAGTAATCCTCGAGACCGCTCGTGCGTAGAGCGAACTGATAAATCAGGAATGAAACAACGTCAAAGCAACATACAATGAGCGGATCTTTAGCCCGTTTGTGGAGAGATTGACAAGATCAGGTCAGTATCTTGGCGGGTACGTCAAGGTTGCTAAATACAACCAAGATATTTGCGATTTACTCGCTTTTCATAAGAGGATCATATCTTCATATCTTTCTTAATGTCTTTCTGAACAGCTTTCGTGCCGCCTCAAGAGCAATTCTACTATGGGTTGTAGGTTCAATTACAGTAGTTACCAAACAACCTTATATGCTATTGATAGTCTTTCTTTGGAAGGCTTCAACTATTATACCACTTTGACATCATAACCGTACGAGTTCCAGTAATCCATATTTGATTTGAAGACTTTTTCTTGTGTCGATCATTGTATCAGAGCTAGACTGCCCTCTTCTGGCAACACTATCTGGCACCGTCGCCGTAACTACGCTTCTCGGCCATTTCCAGGCAATCGTGGCGCAGGTCAACACCCAGCTTACTGCTTTCACACAGACCACCACTCAGCCTAATGCGTCCACCCCGGAAATTGAATGAACGGCATGAACTTGCCCATTGCCTTTTCTCAATGACTTGCCATTGGACTGATTTCTCTGGCCCTGTATTCGCCACTTGTACTTTGCATGACTGAATATGAAGTTTGTCACGCCGTTTGATAATAATGCCTATCTTATTAGTGTACGTGCCTTGCGCGAGGCGTAACACATTTCGCGACACGATTGCTTATTGTGACACAATACCCCTCTTGACAGGGCTGGAAATCTGGGCTCGTGACAACTCCGGAATAATAAGATAGTATATTTTTCATCATTTGGCCTCTTCGATCTGCAGCAATTGGTGGAATTATAGTTTATTCTTCCTCGCTGAAGTCCCTCTCGCAAGACCCCGATGACTGATTGCGTGAGATCCGGGTATGAACTACAAAGACAGTTAGTGCCCCCGGGGCAAGCCGAATAGTTGTCTTCACTCCTGGCTTGGCGCCAATGGCTACAGTAGTAAGCTTTGCCAAAGCTGCCCCGTCTTGGCGCGTGCTTCTAATTATTTTCATTGAGTGGGAGCCCGTCTTTGGGTTAGTTTCGATTCGAAAACTCGGAATTCGAGGGCAACTACGTTTCCAAAGCCAATTTGACGCATTTTTCTTGCTTCTTCACATTGACTTACTGTTCAGTCCCGCCATCGACAATGTGTCTTTTTGTCTTGTTGTGCGTGCTGTATTTCGACCTGATTTGACCCCGCTCGGCACATTTGCACGTCAAAAGCTTGGTTCATCCTGCAATCTGTAGCTTATGATCACCTTTTTAGCCTGTGCGCCACAGTAACATCGCATAAACATTGTTTTTCGACAATCGCTTCCAGTTACTGTCGTAAACAGCCGACTGCTGCCCCATCCGTGCTAGCTCATTTCCAGATAACCATCTTGAGTATGCATATCGCCATTCGGAGCGCTCCCGGCGTCCTAAAACTGGGTTTCCTCTATGACTCGCGTGCGGAGAAGTCGGAGATCCGGATGGCGTCTTTCTGCAGGGCTATTCGATCTCTGCTCACATTGGACAATGCAGCTATATGGCGCTGGTGGCGGATGCAGGGCCAAGTCAACGAATACGAGGGATCGATATCCGCCCTGTCGTCGTGAGTATACCCTTCGACTAACGCAATGACTTGCTTACTCGGAACTTTCTGTGAGATGAGATAGCAAGACAAAGACTTCTCCCAAAAGGTGTGAGATACCGATGGGACCATGAGTACCTGGGAAGCTGGCCATAGCCTTACCCCTCTCCAGGAATCCTACTCGCCATGCCTGTAGACTGAGGTAGCCAGAATAATGTTGCCTGACTTCATGATTTATTTCTCGACAATGTTCTTCAAATATACAAGCACCGTTTCTATAGGTAATCTTCCTTAATGTCGATGCTTATTTTGCACAATGGAGTTCCCGCCGAAAGGGTCTCGGCTCATTTCAGGCTCTTTCAAGACAACCTCAGTCTAACCACTGTTGGAATTTGATGGATGAGGCATGATAGCGCTGCGATCTTGGCATGCCCACTACCCGTTAGTTGAACCAGGGTGCCCTTCGAATAGAATCTGCAGAAATTGCACTAGTGCATTGCGCGATCTAGACTGATGACTTTCCATTTCGGTCTCCGACGGTGTCACGAATTCGCCATTCTAGCGTGCTTCGTCTTCTATCATGAACGCCGCCTGGATCTCTTACGCGATATTGATGTTGCATCGACACTCGTTCGCAAGAATCCGAGCGATTGATGAATCAACCTTGCTTGAGTCTTCAAGGTCATATATGTCCCAACCAAAGGACCTAGGAGCGGGTATATAAGGTGTTCTGTATTTCCTTGCGATGGAATTTACTTCGGTATCCAGAAATCCATCTTCCCTCCCTGCAATCTTCCTCGAAGACTTTGTCTTAAGAATCATATCCTGTCTTCATCATGAAGTTCTGTGCTGCAATTCTTAGCAGCACGCTTCTCGCGACTGCTGCTTTTGCTGCGCCCTTGACTGCTAAACGTCAAGCCCGCTATGAAGCTCGCCGTTTGGCTCGCGCCGAAGCGGGTGTGACAGAGCGCCATAGCAATCCTCCGTTCAAACCTGAGAGTCACGAGGTTCTTAACCTCAACGAGACCGCCCACGAGGAGTACAGTTCCAACTGGGCTGGCGCCGTTCTCATAGGCTCCGGCTATTCTGCGGTTACCGGTCAATTCACGGTCCCAACTCCCAAGGTCCCTAGCGGCAGTAGCAGCAGCGGAACATACTCTGCTTCTGCCTGGGTTGGTATCGACGGTGACACCTGGGGAAACGCAATCCTCCAGACCGGCGTTGACTTTACAATCACGAATGGCAAGGTCAGCTACGATGCCTGGTACGAGTGGTACCCTGACTACGCCTACGACTTTACTAGTATCCCCATCTCCGCTGGGGATGTCATCAAAGTCACCGTGACTGCTGCTTCCAAGTCCTCCGGTACTGCGGTTATCGAGAATGTTACCACTGGCAAGACTGTTTCTCACACATTCTCCTCTGGTAGCACCCAAGGCAGCCTAGGCGAGGTTAATGCTGAGTGGATCGTTGAGGACTTCGAGTCTGGTGGTTCTCTTGTGGAATTCGCCAACTTTGGGACTGTCACTTTTACTGGGGCTCAGGCGACTGACAATGGTTCGAAGGTCGGGCCTTCTGGTGCCACTCTCATTGACATTCAGCAGAACGGCAAGGTTCTTACTTCCAGCTCTGTCACCTCCAACAGTGTCAAGGTCAGCTACGTCTAAGATTTGGCTGGCATCATGCAAACATCACTTTCCCAGGAAATGAGGATACAGAGAACGGTATATGGAGGAATACGAAAGGAGTAGCGAGGAAATGCAGTCTTCATATATTGGCGGATTGATCCAACAATTACGTGTCAACAATTATGTGTCCAGCAGCCCTAAGCTTTTTGATCCATATTGTCATCTAACAATTTACGCGATAATGAACTGCCATCTATTTGAAGTACTTTCATGAGATTCAAAGTCTTGATTGAAAACTTGACCCATGGATAGTCGTCTATTAAAGACATCTGATAAACTCTTCTGGTGATAGAATAGTGCGGTTCCACAAGTTTGATGCCCCTCAGAAAGTTCCAAAATAATATCACTAAACATATTTGAAAGATAAACTGAGAGACGTTGCCCGATCTATCCAAAAAAACGTTGCAAAAGTCATTCCAGAAGATGTTTTCCAAAAGAGAACATTGAAGCCTATTTGTTTGAACCGTTCCTTCGGTCTCTAGATTCATATCTAAAGAATACGCCCGAGGAAGTGATTGGGACTGTGGTAATTGGGACCAAAGATGAATAAGTATTTGACTCTCATTTTCTTGAGAGCATAATATTGCATTTAATTTTTTGAAGAATGAATTGTTCTACGTGTATCTCATTTATTTTCTTTTGCTCCTCCTCACGACACATAAACAACTCCAATCTCAGCACTGGTCTTGCCGTTAGAGAGTTCGATAAGTCTTTCATCATAAGTGAATGGCTGGCTCGTCTTCAATATGGCAGCTTTGAGGAGTGAGATGATGTCCTGAAGTTCGGCATCCGTCGTGATGTAGGGCGGGCAGACCAAGACGTGATCAACCTGGTATTCACCAGTATGGCCTAGATTTCCCAGAAGATTCAACCCCAAACTAAGAGCGTTCTTCACAACCTTGCCACAAAAATTGTATTCGGGCGAGAATGCTGTTTTAGACTTTGTGTCAAGTACAAACTCGATAGCCCAGAACAGACTACGTCCACGAATATCTCCGACGAGTGGACGAGGGCCGATCTCCTTGTAGAGAAGTGACTCGAGCTTTTGGCCCATCTGTGAAACTCTCTCAATCAGATTATCGCGTTTAATGATCTTCTGTGAAGCAAGGGCGGCAGCACACGCAAGTGGATGTGCCTATAATAACAGATTTAGTCCTTGCCATCAACTCTGGATGCGTCGGTAACGAACCTGGAATGTGTGACCGTGTGCGAGACCACCAGAGCCCACAGACAACGCGTCAAATATCTTCTGGTGGAGCAAAACACCAGATAATGGGACGAAGCCTGCGCCGAGGGCCTTGCCAATTGTCTGAATATCGGGGCCTCGTATACCCTCTTGCTCCCAAGCATGCATAGTGCCTGTCTTGCCCATACCGCAGATAATCTACAAAAATAATCAGTCACAACTTTTCTCCGCACATAAATAGAATCATCCACTTTCTTCATACCTCATCGAGAATAAGTAAAATGTCATATTTGTCACAGATATCACGAATAGCTTTGAAGTAGCCAGGCACGGCAGGCAGGCAGCCCAGAGTGGTGCCACTGACGGTCTCCGCAATAAAGCCCGCAACACGATCGGGGCCAACGCGTAGGACCTCATTCTCGAATTGGAGAGACAGACGTTGAACGAACTTTTCGTCCGACTCATCCTCCTGTTTCATGCGGTAGGCGTAGCAAGGATCCACAAAGGACACATTCGATGACAAAAAGTCCTGATAGAGTTCTCTACGCGACGCATGACCCGAGACACATAGTGCGCCGATAGTATTGCCATGATAGCTCTGCTTCCGAGAGATAAAGTGTGTGCGTTGAGGTTGGCCACGCTCGTGCCAATACTGCACAGCCAGCTTCAGGGCCGCGTCGGTCGCCTCGCTACCCGAGTTGACAAAAATGGCCTTAGATAAGCCGCCGGGTTTATCAGCGAGAAGCATATTGGCAAGCTCCTCGGTGGCAGTGTTGGTGTAAGGAGAGCCAGAGTAGACATAAGCGATGTCATTCTTGAGGTGACTTGCAATGGCGTCGAAGATCTCAGGCTGCGAGTGGCCGAGACAGGACACCGAGGGGCCACAGCAGGCATCGATCACTTTCTTGCCGTTCTCTAGGATGAGGCTGATACCGTCGCCACCAACTATTTTGGACGGTCGCTCAGAGAAAGTCCGATGCAGGATGTGGGAACGGTCGACGAACTCGTCGGTCATTTTGGAAACACCGAGTGCTAAGTAATAAATAAAAAGATAAGAGGTAAATCAGAATGACCCGCGCAATACCAAGACATCTTATACGATTTCTAGGGCAGCTGTCGACCACGAAAGCCGACGCCAGAGAATGCCGCCGTTGACGCCAGCGGTCGAGCACTCAAAGCCAAGGCCCTCAAGTGTGGGAAGGTTCCACATAAACAAGTTGGAGAAAGGAAAAAGCTAATGTGCTGTTGTGGAGACCGTCAAGTCTCCAAATCGATCGGTTTCGCCGCCCTTGACGCCGGGAGATTGGTAACTGTCTAAACTTTGCATATAAAGCTCGAGTGAGTCTGAGATAGTTCGAATAACTACATCTCTACAGTATCCCACATTGTGAATAAACCATTCATACAAGGCAAGGACTCCGCTGGAAATAAGTTCACACACAACACTAACTATTCAATAGTTACGATGGAGAAGGGCGATCTCTCTACTGCACCCTATCGGGGTCCTAAGCTACCAAATGTCCCCGAAAACCTGGTGGTTACCGATGTTCTCAACTTGGAATGCGACGAACGTCTATGGGTGCCTCAGGCTAACGACGTGTGGTTCCGCCCTCTATGCTTCAATGTGTCGCATGGCTATTTCGTGAATATCTTGCGCGTTAGAAAAAGTGGCATTTTATCGCGCCACCGACACACAGGACCTGTTCATGCCACAGTGCTACGGGGCCGATGGCACTACCTTGAGCACCCTTGGTGGGCTGAGGAGGGCGGATACGCCTTCGAGCCTCCCGGTGACATTCACACCTTGGAGGTTCCCGAAGGAATTCAGGAGATGGTCACATTGTTCCATGTGACCGGCGCATACATCTATGTTGACGTGGACGGCAAAGCATTGGGAATTGAGGATGTTTTCAGCAAGCTGGAGGCAGCTAGGAAGCACTATGAGGAGGTTGGCCTGGGTGCGGGCTTTGCAGACCAGTTCGTGCGGTAGATATCGTATCCTTAGATTCACAGCTGATATACACTTCAAAAATACAAGAAAGCTCTCGTGAATCTCACGACAAAGAAAGATCAATTCCATCCTGCCGTACAATATCAAGCCAGTCAATTCGCGTAGATGTCTCTGCTGGTTGCCTTACGATTTTCAGTCGCCAGAGCTTTTCCAACACAGACAGCGCTACTTCCACATTGCGAAACCCCCGAGACTTAATCATGTCAAGCATTCGGTTTCGAATAGAATTGATATGGGATTCTTGGGTGGCTTTCCCTCCTGCTAAAAACAGCGGGAAGAGCAGTGTGCACTCCGGCAGACAGCGCATTGGCATTTGTTCAACACTGCTCACAATTACTTCAACTTGATCAGTAATTTTCGCTAAGAGTTCGGCTTGTCGATCTCGACACGCCCGGCGCATAGCACGATACAAATGAATCAAAGCTGAGCTGCGATAGGATTCAGCCAATAGCCGTAATGACATATCTGAAGACGAAGGACATGTCCAGCCGATAAGGCGAGACTCAAGTGAGGCAAGATTGGTCGTCAGCTCGGATATTTGAGTAGATCGCTGGATATCATTGAATTCACTCAGTCCAGATTCACTTTCTGTTGTCGATGTAGAGAGCAAAGTTTGTATCTTCTCCTGGAGGGTACTGGTGAGAGACAGAATCTCCAAAATTTCGGACGCAAGACCAAAGTGGGAATCAGGAAGCCGGGGCTCGTCTAGTCGCAGAAAGTAATAGGAGTTGAGCAAGGGCGCTCGATCTCGAGCTACGGACATCACAATATCGCGATATGCAAAGTTGCGGAGCAACCAGCGGCCCGTATACGCATCATCGAACTGCAGCAGCACACGCTGCGAACAATGTTCTGAGTCTTCCAATGATTCCAAAGTATTGAATTTAGAGGCGATGATCCTAGCGGCGCCCTCGAGATGGAGATACCAAGCGTGGCCATTATCAGCCATTATGCTCTCCAATGAGCACAAGACCAATGACATGGCAAGCGTGATCTCCGTATTGGTCGGCTCGCAATCAAGAGCATTTCGGAGGTCCCGGAGGGCGGTGCAACGGTTCCGTATAGCAACTTGTTGGAATGAGGGGTCACGTAATGACAAATGGGAAGAGGACCAAGCAATCAGCGAGGTCAAGAGGGACGGGCTATGCATAGCCAGTGGGAGGAATACTGTCAAGAGATTGTCAGCGGCAATTAGTAACATATGGAGTAATTTCCCATGACAGACCTGATAAGAAACAATTATTTTCCATGTTACTCTAAGAATCATAGCAAACGTCTGAGTGTAATAGCGGAGAAAATGGCGGCGACTAGACGGGCTGGCACCATCAGAATGGTCATCGACCCAAAATAGCATTGGATCAGGGTTTCGTAGGAGCCGAAAAGAGACAATCTCTGTCTGAGCGACTGGTTGTAGCGATTCAGATGTATTGTTGTCGCCGACCGTTCTAAGGTCTTCCCACCGACAATTGTAGTTCAATCGTACACACCCTTTGCATACGGGCTGGCCGAGATCACATCTCTTCTTTCTGAAAGGAATGAGTATCTATGTAGCATTCAGAGCGAAGAGCCTGTATAATGCTCGCCCACTCACCTTTGCCGGCAGGTCAGGCATCCCGTGCGCTCTCGAGTAGTCCCTCGTCTTTTCACGATCCGAGGGACGATTCGCCCGGATGCGGGGACAATAGCGAGCTCTGTCGGGGGCATAGTGGTTGGAAACAAGGCATATGTGTAAAACAAGCTGCACCGGGGTGTAGTAATTCAAATAATGTGGGCGATAACGGCGCAGAATTGCTGATACGGGGGAAGTTGCTCAATGGATAGGAAATGTTTCTGCGTCAGACGTGCGGGGGAAGGCGACATGTGGAGAAAACCATTGACTTTTAGACACGATACAGACCAATCACAAAGCAAGCGGTAACGGCGTAAAAGCACTGGCCAATCGCTGACACAGGATTATCACCCGATAGGAATAAACTATCCGTGCGCGGAGATAGAGTTCTAATGGTCAACCCTAGATTTCAGCAAAGTAGTTTGTAGAGATAGCGGTCGCTGGAAAAAACCTCAATTGGTTTTATATTGCACGAGAAATGGGGTTTATAACCCTCGAATCGCCCTGTTCTACTCAGCCATCAAACATCAGGTCTTGAATAGAATATATACCACCAACCATGAAGTCACTTGAACTCCAGGATGACTTGGATCTTGAAGCCCGTGGATATCGCCGTCAAATGCCCCGGCAGTTCTCGACCTTCAGTCTTGTTGCCCTCTCTTTCAGTCTAACTTGCACCTGGTCCGGGACCGGCTCATCAATTGGTATCTCTCTACAGGAGGCCTCGGCGGCCGGCACCATATGGTCACTTCCAGTGGCGGCTCTGATGACTGCAATCCTGTCCGCTGGAGTTGCCGAATTAGCATCCGCCTATCCTGTCGCTGGAGCCCAGTACTACTGGGCATTCTGCCTTGCATCCAAAGAATGGCGAGCGTTTGCTTCTTACATGTTTGTGCTCAGAACGCTTATGGTGTAGTCGATGCTCACTCATTATACAGGAACGGCTGGCTCAGTATTTTAGGATGGTGGCTAGCCAGTGGTGCAGCCTGCAACTTCATTGCATCTTTAATGTTATCGATCGTGGTGCTATGGTACCCGAACTATGAGATCCAGAACTGGCAACAATGGCTTGTCTACATTGGAGTGGTGTGGCTCGCAGTTGCGTTCAATACATGGGGATCCCAGCTGCTTCCTCTATACAATCGCTTCAACTGTGAGCAGTACACGTCGTACTCCCTGGAAAATTATAAGTGTTAATATGTTTTGATAGTCCTTGTCTCATGCATTACTCTCACCACAACAACGATCACAGTATTCGTCTGCAGTCGAAACAACCACGCCCCTCCCGAGTGGACATTCGGTGATGCGACAAATGGGACAGGCTGGCAAAGCGAGGGGCTCGCCTTTCTGCTGGCGATCTGTAATGCCGTTTACGCGTTTCTCGGGACAGACTGCGGGGCGCACATCTGCGAAGAGATTCATGATCCAACCCGGAACACACCTAAGGTCATCTTGTACCCAATCCTCATAGGCCTATTAACCGCGTTTCCTTTTGCTGCCGCTTGTATGAACGCCATCACCGATATAGATGCAGTGCTTAACTCGCCCACTGGTGTACCTCTGATTCAGATTTACTATCAAAGCACCGGTTCTAAAGCAGCTTCTTCCATTCTATTGGCTCTATTCGCATTTTGCTTCTTCGGGTGCACTGTCGGGAATGGCAAGTTCATAGCCTCCACGGATGATTCTGGGTCACTAATTTCTTGTTTTTCAGGTACCACATGCTCGAGAACGATTTGGGCTGTTTCACGCGACGACATGCTGCCATTCAGTAGGGTATGGGCAGTTGTCAATACTCTTTTTAAGATCCCACTCAACGCACTTTGTCTAACTCGCACAGTTGTCTCGGTAAGTCTGTGCCATTTCATGAGACTGGGATATTCCTGACCCGTACTACAAGCTATATGGCCTTATCTTCCTTGGCTCATCAACCGCCTTCTCTGCAATGGTCGGCGCTGCCATTATCTTTCTTCAAACCTCCTGTGCTCTACCACAGGCCATTCTTCTGTGGCGTGGGCGACACATTTTACCTGAAAGACCCTTCTCGCTCGGCCGATTCGGCTTTGCTATCAACCTTATTTCGGTGCTATGGGTACTTCTCCTTGACACTCTCTGTTTCTTCCCGATTGAGATGCCAGTGACAAAAGAGAACATGAATTATGTCTCTGTTGTGTCTATTGGCCTCACAATCTCCGTGCTTGCATTGTATTTGTTCTCGAAAAAGGGCAAGTATCTCGGGCCGCGTTTGCCGAATGAAGATCCGGGCCAGCGAGAATGTCAGATCAATGAGGGACAGGAACTTGAGAATGATGCAGATGCAGACTCTAGATGGGACATGCCAAAGAAAGAATAAATGTAGCCTGCAATGGTGTCTTGGGATTAATAACGCTGTTGTAAGTGGCTTGCACCTATATCAATGGTTCCTTATATTCCTCTCCAAGCTTCACCCAAAGGATTACGAGAACCAAGTCTAGGTTCCATCTAGTAACGCACATTTTTCAGCGGAAGCTGTAAACCTAATTAGAATAGGTAGTCGTAGGTCCTTAATTCATAGCATAAAAGGTAAAGCTCGGCCATTCGCTGCGCATGAATTCGAGGTTCTGTACAAAAACAATATAATAATTTCTTCTTCTAGAACTATTGGTGAACAATTTCTCCGCTTTTAGGCTTTTATTTTCCTAAAGGAAGCATTACGAGTATAGAAAGATAAGTAGTTTATAGAAAAGTAGAATAGTAGATACAAACCTTAATAAGTTAATAGTGCTATACACCACTACTTTAATATAAATAGCTTTACTATACTATAGTCTATAACTAGCTTAATAAAGGATACAGAAAGAATGTACTAGATATAACTTATTATATAATAAAGTAAAATTTACTCAATTTAATCGTTAAAAAAATATAAGAGATACTAGAAGAGATACTAAAGATTTCCTCCGCAGACTCGCCCTTATTTAACAAGAGTTTGGCGGTGAGGGTGACCAAACATTCAAATTAGTCCACCCTGGTACGGAGGTTGTTAGGGTTCACGAGTGCAATAACCCAAATTCCAATATGATTGGCCAATAAGTCTACTGCCTCCCTTTCCGCCTGTATTTTAGATCTTATTCGCTCTGCCCTAATTAGGTTAGCCAGGACGGCGTAGAACAGGCCTACCAAGTTCCAGGTCGAAATAACGTGATCCACGGGCGTGTGAAATACCCCAAAGCTTCAAACTAAATTTGATAAATAACAACTTCATATCTCAAAAAAAATACAGTGCCTTATCGCGTTCCACGTTGGAGACATATAAGAGGCTCTTTCGAACCCTAATCACATGACTAGATATTCCCGTTCTGGTGACCCCCATAATTGCAGGTCTGTTTCGGGGCCGAATGATATGGAAAACACCACGTAAAATTCCTCGTGAGCCGTGCTCATATGTACTGCTACTTCTCAAAAAACCCCACTCCCATGATCTACGTCCAGACTAAAGCGTCTCAACTCAAACGCCATAAAATACACTGGCCCTTCATAACATAGCTTAAAATTCAAATTTTGGCAACCTTCAGTCATCGTCATTATCATGCGCATACACTGTGCCGTAAGAAGAGATTAATCACATCCAAAGTGGCCGCAGTAACAACAGCGTCGTGAGTGTTCTGGCAAGATTCCAAAATAGTTATACCTCTCTCTCCAACGGTGAGAATGAAGCTAAGATGATCTGCGAACCCATTTACGTGGTCCCTCTGCGACAGATTCCACAAAAAAGCCATAATGTTAACGACTACCCCCCATCGAATAGGACCTGTAGAGAAGGGAACGGATTGAGTTGAGGCTTCCTTGGAGTCTTCTCTGACATGAAGCAGATTATCGATAACGACAGAAATTGCAGCATTCCGCGATTGCGATTCAGAACCGAGTATGACAGGAGCAGTCGCATTCCGTCTTCAAAACGACGATTCCAGTCAGAAATCAAAGACACTTTGTGGAACTTCGGTTGTTGTGACTCGTGCAATTATGGTGCTCTGTGCCTAGATCGTCGACCAGCGCAGAAGCAGCGCAGAAGCTATAACTGGCAACACACTCACCAACTCTCCCAGCCCCGCAAACTCTGGAGGAATTCTCGCATTGACAAAAGCACCCGCAGCGAGAAGGACTGCAAAGGTGTTGTACACGAAGCTCCATATAAAGTTGAACTTGATGCGATTGACAGATTTCCGACTGGCATCCATCATGGTGAGGATACCAGCTAAACAAGGCCGCATAAGAACCACATCCGCGGCGGATTGTGCGACATCCGTGCCTTCGTTCATGTGGACGCCGATCGTAGCCTGTGCGAGAGCAACGGCATCGTTCGTGCCGTCACCGCAGAAAATAACAACCGGTTTCTTACGATCTACGCCGGTAGCGAGAAGCGTCTGGATATAGTCCTTCTTGTCGGCGGGCGAGCTTCGAGAACGCACCTTGCCGCCAGGAATGCTAAGCTTGGACGCTAAAGACTGAACAGCTCCGTCATCGTCGCCAGAAACAACATGGACCGAGACACCACGCTTCTGCAAGGCCTCGATCGTCCCTCTAGCGTCAGGTCGAAGCTCATCTTCAAGACCATAGACCGCCTGTAACGTATTGTCGATAGTAAAGCAGAAGACAGTGTACCCTTGCGCAAGCATTGGTTGAACAAGTTCATTTTCCGATAAATTCAGCCAGCGAGAATTGCCTGCTCGAAGTTTCCGGCCACCGAAGGTGGTTTCAACACCTTTGCCAGTAAGGGTCTTAGGCTCAGGAACAGTCGAAGCCATAATTCCAGCATCCTTGAGGTGAGCAGCCACAGAAATCGAGACTGGATGTCGACTGTTTTCGATGAGGCCGAGAAGAAGCGGGAGCTGGTCCACATTGTCGCAGTCCTTCGTAACCACAGAAAGCTTTCCCCGAGTCAAGGTCCCAGTCTTATCAAATACGACGTGAGAGGTCCTATGAGCTACTTCAATAGCACCTGCTGACTTGAAGATGATACCTCGTTCCGCCGCGACTCCGCTAGAAATCACAATGACCATAGGAACAGCCAGTCCAATAGCGCAGGGGCAAGAGACGATGAGGACAGTAATAGCGTAGGTGATAGCCTGAATTGTAGCTTCGGATCCATCATATCCACGAATAGTCATTCCCACTGCAACCCAGATGACGAACGTGATGATTGTCAATGCCAGCACAACCGGGACGAAGTAGGATGCTACCCGGTCTGCGAGATCCTGCAGCTTGGGTTTCGACAGTTTGGCCTCATCGACCATCGCAGCAATGGCATTGATAGTGTTATCGCTAGGCAAACGGTTCAGTCGAACAGTCATAACTCCAGGTCCATTAATAGACCCAGCGATCACCACAGACTTGGGATATTTCTCCACCGGTCTAGATTCACCAGTGAGCATAGACTCGTCAACCTCAGACGACCCATTGATAACGGTGCCGTCAGTCGGGATTTTGGTGTCAGGGAGAACTTTGAAGGTGTCGCCATATTGAAGGAGTCGTGCGTCAATCTCACGTTCCGTTCCGCTATTTTGGTCGACAAGTATAGCTGTCGATGACTGAAGTGACCGGATAGAAATAGACTCAACAGCTCTCTGACGAGCGAGAGCGGCAACCCATCGACCAACCATGATCAAGGTGACTAAGAGAGTACTCGTTTCAAAAAATTGACCAGTCGAAAGGGGCCGCCCCGCAATAAGGTACCCAAAGGAGGCCACCGAGAAGATATAGGCAGCACTGGTGCTCAAGACAATCAAGAGGTCCATCTCGATAACCCTCGAGAAAATGAGGGCCTTCAGGGCCTTAGGATAGAAAGGTCCTGCTATAGCAACTTGAACAATCGTGGCCAAGGTGAGTGAAGCCGAGGAATATGCCACTTCCCTCTCAGGAAGCGAAGCCCATGCCATGACCAGGACCGGAATCGTGAGGATAGCGGAGAGAAGCGCCATGTATCCGCCATGACGAACGTGCTTGCTGCCAGCCTCAAGCGAAGGGTCACCGCGTAGAGGAGCAAGTTCAGTTGGCGGACCCCAAACCTTCTCAGTAAGGTCTCGAGCTCCCACAATCTTCGGATCAAACGCAACTCGCACAGTCTGCTTATCCACAGGTGCCATGTCAAGAACTCCGTCTGGCCATGTCTGACTAATGAATTTCGAGGACTCGTCAGGGACGATAAGATCTAGGCTAGATCCCTGGTTCTGGACTCTTTCGCACTTAAATTCAGTGGTTCGCTCTAGATGTTTCATGACTTCCTCCACTGAGCCAAGGTGTAGATCAATGTTGAACTCGGCTCGTGAGAGAACCAGACTGGTTTTCAGGTCTTTGACGGCAGGGAGAGTAACGAGGGTTCGGTTGAGCTTTGTCTCGCAACCAGTACAAGTCATGCCAGAAATGGTGAGAATAACATGTTCCTTGCCGGTACCTTGATTCTCTACGTCGGTGATGGGCTGAATTGAGGCTTTCTCAATATCTAAACCAGGCTCGGACATGGCAGAGGAGCAGCAAACATCGGTGCAAGCGCCCTGAGGGCTGGCCGGCCGCTGTTCTGTACAGCGAGAACCCGTGCAACTAGTCATTAAGGTCTTCACGATATCGTGCTTTGGTGGCTTGCAGCAGGAGCTAGAGGGGGCGGCATTGGGAAGCTCTTTAGTGATCATGTTCTTAGCTGTTCCACAAGAAGACCCTGCACACCCACTAGTTGGTGTTTCAACAACGGGTTTGACCTTCGAACTGCACGGATCCGCATAAATGCTCTTAGTGTCATTGTCTTTGACACGCTGATCTCTGGGACAACAAGATCCCGGGCAACCGACCTTGGGAGGGGATTCTTCGAAACGGGGAGTCTCCGAGCAGCAAGAACCAAGGCGTCCAGTTCGAGCAGCAGGCTGCTTTGGGGGCTTTTCAAGGGAATAGCAAGACTTGGCGCAGTTGTCCTTGACTAATGGAGCCGTGGCGGGCGTGTCCTCAGAGCAGCAAGGCTTCGAGCAAAATGAGGCACAGCAGGACTTCGCGGACGCCTTCTTGACAGACCTGGTGCTTTCACGAGAACCCCTTCGCAAGCGAATACGGTTTTGCGCGGCCTGGCCCTTGATGACGAAGCCGTTGCTGGAGCAGGAATCCAGTGAAGTGCGAAGGGAGCGAGCAGATGACTTCCTAGAGCACTGCTTCCCGTCTAGTGACTGTCGCTCGCGAATTTCACAGCAGGTTTCCTGGCCAAGAGCGATAAGAGCGCGGCAGATACATCCCAGGGCTTGTAGAGTAGCGCCGTAGCGGTCGAGGGCAGAGAGACGATGCTGGCTGCATGCCTTGCGGTCGGTAGCTCCGTCGCAAGCTAAAAGGAGTTAGAAATCTCTAAAAGCCGTTCTCAACATGCAGATACTCACTGTTTGCCTTACTGTTTAGGCCGGGGGCAGTCGTAGCACTCATCTCGCATTCCCGCATTGCCAAGCGGTCAAGGCAAGACGTGTCGCAGCATGGGCTGAATTTGCCACGGCAGCAGTCAGGCGCGTCGGTATGATTCTCAGTTTTGCTGTCCGCACATTTGCCAGGAGAGCAGTAATCATCCGTTTTCTCCGGGGTGAGCTCTTTCTGACCCGAAGCCGTGGTGTCGAGAGGCTCAGAGTCGTCGATATCACAGCAAGAATCCTGGCAACTGCTAGTCTTCTCACTTGGAGGCGCGAGTCGCGTAACATCAGGCTCAGGGGCTAGAGCCGATGGGCCGTAATAGTCGCATCCCATTGTTGAAGTGAGCCTTTGCTTTCAGGCCAATTTGTGTGGATTTGATGGGTTGTTGAAGTTGAGTTTTTGAAAATCATGTCAGCCTGTTTGTTTCCCATAGTGACGGAACAACAAGGAGCCCGTATGACTAAGAATGTAGCCCATGGAGCATTTTTAGTCTAGCGGTATTATGCCCTATATTTGTGCGACAGTTATGAGCCCGACTGTCGTTTCGCGCTATGCTTGCAGAGGAGGTCACAGGTTCGAACCCAGCCACAGTCCGGGTATGAAAGAGAACTAAGAAACGTTGCGATGAATCCGTGATGAATGAGAACCGTACACGATTGATCTTATTGAATCCACCCTTGAAGGCGGGAAAGAGTGACCCAACAGAAGCCGCAAAAATAGGAGTTTCCAGGATCCACCTCATATACACAGCACCCGACCACATATATTCGCTGAACCCTGAGGGGGTGTGACGGAACAACAAGGAGCCCGTATGACTAAGAATGTAGCCCATGGAGCATTTTTAGTCTAGCGGTATTATGCCCTATATTTGTGCGACACATAGTGACACGCCAGCACGTGATGGTGCGACTGCCTCTGGCCAATCACATTTCCAACGGCTATCTAGTATTAGAGCCTCAATCCCCCAACTGTTTGTCTCTGGGTCAGGAGCCTAATCGGGCCACCTGTAAACCTTTCATGCGCATTGACAAATGGAGTTTTTGGGACGCTACTAGAAATCCCATCGATAGTGATGCTGGCGTGCGCTCATGTTTTTGCTTATGCTCCTATGTCCACTGCTCAGATTACCTCCCCTACGTACAGACACCTTAAACCCGCAATAATAAGCATTTTGAAAGTATTTTGAATAGGGCAATCAACAAGCTTATAGGTGCGGAGAATCTTACCCTTGTAAATAATGGCTAAATCGCTATAGTCCGAATTAAGATGCAAGCTATACTATAGTAGGGATTTAGCTCTATTTATAGTAATATCGAGATAGATGAACTAGCTACTTCTTATCTCGGAATAAGCCCGAGGATAGTCTCTTAGTCCTGTGGTCTATGCTTCCGGTAGCCATTGCAGGGGGCTGGAGGAATGTCTTTCCTAATGTAAGTGGAAGATTGATGAAAGCTTGAAGCGTTTAAAGAGATTTCAATTGCAGCTCTCTAATCGTATTAGCGATCTTCTGACCGCCTAAATCCAATCCCTGGTACACTGCTCCTCAGAAGTAGACTGCTGCAGACAACGCTCACGCTGCTTAATGCCATGGCTAAACTAGCCCAGACTGGGTCGAGTCTGATATGACCTCCACTGGCTTTCACCGGATATAAAACTCCAGCAGCCACAGGTAAGGCAATGAGATTATAAACCAACGCCCATGCGAAGTTGAACTTGATCCTCTTAAAGACAATGCGACTGAGATCAATCAGTGTCAGCAATGAATCTAGCCGAGACGAGACAAGAATGAAATCAGCGGAGGAGATGGCAATATCGGAACCAGAACCAATCGCAACCCCTACATCTGCCATTGTTAAGGCTGGTGAGTCATTTATCCCATCACCTACCATGGCGATCGTCGCCCTTCGGTCTGTGTGTTCAAGTACCCTTCCAAAAGTGTTCCGAGAGCTGACTTTCTTCAACGTCCTTTGGAGGTACTGAATTTTCTCGGCTTTCTGCCCGGGAAGCACACTCGCAATTATGTTTTCCTCGGGGATCCCAACCATTGTACCAACGGCAGTTGCGGTTGTCAGGTTATCTCCGGATATCATCCAGACGTCTATTCCTCTCCTTTTCAGAGCCTTGATAGTAGGAAATGCATCTTGGCGGAGTGGATCAGAAACTGCAAGGGTCATCACCAAGTCCAACGACGTAGAGACCGTAAGTGGTAGCCCAGTTTCATCACCTGGGGCAACTTTCATGGCAACCAACGAGATCGATTTCCCTTGACCTTTCCAGGTGTCAAGTCTTTCGGCAGTGGCATTTGGGATGTAGACATTATAATCAGCCATGAGAGCCTCATTTCCGATAATAATCATCACAGTCTGCTCCGTAGTTGAGAATGTGCCTTTCATACCCTTGCCGGCGATCTCATCCATGTTTCCCACTTGGAGTGATGTTGTTTCATTTGACTCGCAAAACGAGACAACAGCCTTCGCGATTGGATGGCTGCTGTTCTCCTCAAGACTTTTGATCATGGTTCGAACCAAACGTTCGTCAGCACCAGGCATGACCTCATGGTCTGTGATCACGGGCTCACCACCCTGTGTCAAGGTACCAGTTTTGTCGAAGACGACGCAATCCAGTCCACTGGCTTCCTGAAATGCTTCTCCTCCGCCTTTGACAAGGATCCCGTGTTGAGCGGCCAAGCCACCACCAACAAAGAGGGCAGTAGGAGCGGCGAGAGCGATGCCGCAAGGGCAGGCTATAACGAAGACAGCGATAGCAAATTGCAAGGACCAAAGTGGCCATCCTCCGCGGTTGATATCCAGGTAATCACGTGGTAGTGCGCCAGAAAGGCCAAGACCCAGCCACACGATCCATGTAGAGAGAGCGATGAGCGTGACGAATGGCACAAAATAGCTAGTCAGAAGGTCCGCAATACGTTCAACTGGAGCGCGTCGAGTTTGGCCTTCCCTAACCACATCCACAATTTGATCCAGCATGGACGCCCCAGAAATACCGCTGGCCCGGATAGTAATAGGACCACCATTGTTTATGGTCCCCGAAAAGACCTCGTCACCAACCGACTTCTTCACTGGTCTCGATTCGCCCGTAAGACTGGATTCATCGAAACATGCCTCGCCCTCGATAACCTGTCCGTCGCAAGGGGGAGAGCCGCCATGCGGAACTCTGACGACGTCACCAATTTCCAGAAGGTCTGCGTTGATTTGATTCGTTCGCTGTCCGGAGCCTTCCTCAACAAGTGACGCCTCTGTTGGTCGAAGCTTTGTTAACATCGTCACCGCGTCTCCTGTCTTTGCTCTGCTGTACGCTTCGATGAGCTTCCCAATGAGGAGGAACATAGTTAGAAAGACGACCGAGTCAAAATAGCTTGTGTGGTTGGATTCTGTGGCCAAAACTGACGAATGCGTAGCTGTAATGGCTAATTCCGAGACCGATGAGAAGAACGCAATAGAGGTTCCCAAGGACATAAGCATATTCATGCTTCCGAAACGGTAGAATCTTTTCAATATAGGCGTCGTGCTCCCAGGCTTCCATAGCGCGAATATCTCCTTCAATGCACGACGATGGAAGATGTCAGCAGCAAAGAAGTACACAGGACAAGCCATAAGAAAGGAAGCCCAATCTCCACGCCGAACTTCACCAGACCACATCGGCCGCATGAAAAATTGCCGAAGACGATTCTCCGACGGTAGAAGGCTCATAAAAACTATCGTAATTAGAAAGGTTGGAACAGCGACAGCGATAGACAGAGCGGTCCGAAGTAGAAGACGTTGTTGTTCGCGAGCATTGATCTTTTGCGAACGCTCCTCCAACGTTGGAGGGTGATAAATGGAGGCCTTCAAATTAGGGTCCGCGATTGAGATTGAAGCCAGTATGTGCCGAATAGTGAAAATAGGGGCGTTTGGCGTGTATCTGACCTTTAAGATTGGATCGGTCACACTCAGCATTTTATCAAGGACTACTTCCCCAGCGCACTGGTTTAGATACCCAATGATTCGAGGAGGGCAGTGATCACAGTACATTCCGCTGACGTTGATTGAGATCTCTCTCTGCTGATTCCGATACAGCGTGCTGTCCAGTTCGTTCACGTCATTCAGAACAGCCTCGTAACCAATATCCTCGATAATACCTGCAATCTCAGGCAGGTGATCTTTGCCTTCGAATATGACCGTGGCGCTGTTTGAGAGGAGATTTATGTCAACCTTTTTAATCCAGCCGAAGTTCTTGAGTGCCCCATTAATAGCACCAATGCAGCTACTGCAGGTCATCCCACCCACAGAATATGACGCTCGCAGAGTGGCAGTTTGAGGCTTGCGGTCGGTATCCTGTGGAGTATGATGTTCATAAATTTGTTCCACTGTCGCCTCATATCCCACGTCTTCTATGCTCTGAAGGATATCCCTCACATGGCTTTTGTCCAGAATCGTAACCACAGCACTATTTGTAAGAAGAGTAACGTTCACGGACCGTACCCATGACTGCGTTTCGAGTGCCTCGGAGATCTTGCCGACGCAGGTGCCACAAGTCATTCCAATAATAGATATTGTCACTGTCACAACCTTCGGAGAATCTGCGGAATCGACAACAACAAAAAGTTCGTTCATTGCACCTATGCATTTTAGTTTCTATCGCAGTCTGTCACCACGATTGTATTTTATTGCAGAACTCTTACCTTGCCCTAAGGTTGAAGCAGGGAGCATGAATTCATCCGATTTCGCCCCTTTCTCTGCGCGACAGATATCGCATCGTTCAATGTGTCTGGCTAGTCTTTTCTTTTCGGACTTCTTGGCCGACTTGTAGCGCCTTGACCATATCTCAACGGCCCGATCGATCCATCCGTCTTGCCCTGCCAAAGCGCTGTCGTTGGGGGTGCCATCATCGGTATTAAATCCATTCTCCGCGTCTCTGACCACATTGTAGATCTCAAACCCAACATCACTAAGCGCTCGTGATAGAGTTGACTCGGGTAGAGATGGATGGTGGCGAACCGTGACCGTCTGAGAGACAATAGACGGATCCACCGAACTAGGCCTTGGGACAAGCCGGAAAAGAGCCTCTTCAATATTCGACACGCATGAGGCACAATGAATGTTTGACAACAGGAACGTTGTCGTACGATCCTGGGAATTGGCACCTGGCGCAGGTGCAGACCCAACCATACTGGGACCGGGACCACCAGTCTTTGATGGAACGACTTGTAAGGGTAATAGCCCTTCGCCAAATTTGCAGGGTGAACAAAGAAGTGAGTAAATTTCTGCTCTTCAGTTGTTTTCAGTTTGAAGAAGCATGGCGCTTTCGACTTTCATGGATGGGACGGGGTCTTGCCAGCCCGGCGCACGGTCCCAGTTAGATCTGTCCCGTGCTATGCATACAGCCAATCGCATGCGATTGAGGAGAAGCTTTTTTCATTCATACTGTAGCTTTCGCTGCGAGTGAGAGCCAATCAAAATCGGTCCTGTGGTCCTGCATCCGTGAGCAGATTTGAGTCACTTTTTAGCTAACCTTCTTGCCGTGTCATAGGGTACCCACTATCGTGGAGAAGTGGAGAGGTCTATTACAGTGACATGGGATTGGTCCATAACCAACCCATTTTTCCTCTGTGTTTGTATGTAAATGCGGGTAACACCTCGACATCGGTATTGTCACTTGAATACTCGGTTACACCGCATGGGACAGCTCAACCTGCCCCTGTTCCTATTCGTTTGTTTTGGTTCTTTCTTTCAATCAATCTTTCATCTGATGATTCTGGTAGTTCTCATTCGTCCCTACGCATACTAGTCTATACCGATTCAGCTCGCTTTGACAGGATCACATTGTCATAACTCCAAATTCTACCTGGGGAGATACGTTCCGAGACCGACGGATGCAAATCTACATCATACCTGATAATTTTTATGGCTTCCAGTTTCCAAAAGCCATATTAAGTCGTGAGTGTAAAACAAGACCTTCTAATAGAATGTCCGAAAAAGGTGAAGTTTGAGGCCAAAGGCAGCTTGAAAACCTTGAAACGCATCATCTTCTGAAACTTGCGTTTTCTAATCCCGAGCTCGCATCCTTAAATGACTTTCTCCAAGGCGAAAAAGTGATTTGTGGACACAAGTCAGCCTTTCAGAGGAAGGATCACTCCCAGGGATGCTTTCTGATCTTGAAGTGATAGTGGTACTCTCGCAATGATGCGCGAGTGGCATTGCCCAAAATTCCGAGAGATGAAATTCCGTGGGATCTTGGTAGAAAAAAATTGGGAAGTTGAGTCGCGATATATTTTGTCGCCTTTGGCCGTGTCTGTGCTTTTCTCTACTGTGGCCCTGTGTTTAACGAAATACCAATATCAATTCCTTCAAGTTAGAGAGCAGTTTGAGAACAACGCTCATCAAAGTTGAAGCCCTTCCTGTTTTCATGATCTCATACTGCTCGGCACATGCCAGTCGTAGCGTCTTATAGACACGCGTATACGACTCTGTGGTCGCCCGAGAGATATTCCATTTCGACCCAGTCCTCACGACCGGTCACGTAATCATAACCCTCGCATGTATCGACATATTCGTCAGTAGTAAGGATTTTTGTGTTGGAAAACTCATAATTTCGTATCTCTATTTTAAGGTCAGGCTTGTCCATTAAATGGATGATTCGCTCAGGGACCCTTACCAGGTTCAAGTAACATTAGGCGACGTACTCGAAGAAGACGATATACCGAAGCAAATTTGATTTCAGAAAGCTTTCCAACAAGTCAAGGGAATTCAATGCTGATTTTGCGAGATAGGGAGGGTAAGCAGACGTCCCTCATTCTCCTACTAGAGTGGGAAAGCTATTTAACACCCCGATTATCAGACCACTTCACGATGCCGAAGAGGATCTCGGTAGGAAGCAATTCCATATTATTCAAGCAATCAATTTAGGTATTAGGATATTTCTAGAGGGTCCGGAGGTAATGCTTAGAGGTACAAATCAGGCAGGCCCTATGGCTTTTCTATAGGTGAGGCTCTCTACATTAGGTCGATGATTGGCTAGCATAGCGTAAACACGGATGAGAGGCTAAAATAAGTAGGCTGTTCTAAAGACCGTTGATTTTGCTGTAGAGACAGAGAAACAGATTTTGACGCATTGCTGCCTAACCTTGCCTGCTATTAGTTCAATATATGTAGTGGAACACGAATGATATACAGGAGGCAATCCAATTATAAGAAGACTTTATAGAAGTGCGTAGGAAAAGCATACAAGCACAGAATAGCGAAGAAAGGAAAGAGCCAGTGAGCAAAGTCGAAACCGTTAGCACTAGGCCTAAGATTGTAAAGTTGCAGAACAGCAATCAGAAGAGGATGTGGACAAAAGAAGCGGCCAATAAGATGAAGATTGTAGATAGGACCAGCGAATGATAAGGCAACATTTGGCTAACAGTAACATTATACAGTGGCGCCGCAAAAGTCTGTGACCCCCCTTTACCTGACCGCTCTTTTCTGCTAGAGACTCTGTCGCACAAAAACATTCAAAAATAATATTCAATAGCTAAAATGAAGGACTAGATACCGACAAAGCTCTTGTGCGAGGTTTAGGATAGTTGATGATCAAGATATCAAACCCAATGCGATACAAAACTATGCGGTTGGGTAGGCTCTTATAGGAAGGCGGTACTGCTGGCGGTCAGCAGGGGGTCACAGACTTTTGTGGCGCCACTGTAGATAAAAGTTTTTGATAGCAGGGGTATTCCCTACCCACGAAGGTAAGCCCTTCCTCTCACTTCGTTCGTTTCAGGGCATGGTATTCGGGTTAGACTCGGAGTATGGTGTAACACACCACAACTGGACAATGCAGGCTCTCAGGAGTGTTCAATCATTCTCATCTTTAATCAATCAATCTGTTGGACATCTGCAGTACTACCCAGTACATCATTTCCTCATCCTGATGCTTAAGCCTAATTTAATTGGGCACAATTGACGTTACTTCGTATTACGCTAGGTCTAATAAGGCTAGACTTGTACCTGCGTAACTATTCTCCGGGAATTCTGCCCGACAAAAGCCACATTTGTCATTCTTGCACTCGTGATCCCTATTAACCTCCGTAGCTCACAATCTGCTTTGCAGAACAACTTCCTCAGTGTTGTATAGTAAATCTGGTTAATGAACATAATTATCGGCGACGGATTACATCCTTTATATACCTAAGCTGCAGGTAATAATGAGCAGCAGATCCAAAGATGTCTAATCTAGAAAGCGGGGCATGGTATAGCCCCGGTTCTTGGCAACAGTAGGACTTGGAATACGGTTTTAGGATGTCCTAGTGCTTGCTATATTAGGTGTGCTAAGTTTTTTTTAATCAGGTGGAGAAGTATTTTAAGGTATGAACATATACATATATATAGCTGTATCACTTGATTAGAGTGTATGTCCGGTAAATCAAGTAAGTAATTATTTAATCTCCTTAGTTAAACGATGCTATTTCTTTCTCTAAGAAATACTATACTTGTTAACATATCTACTTGCAGGGTAGAAAGCCTGTTGGTTAGGGTAAGGAAGAAGTCACTAACGCAGGTGGTTCCAAAACTGGATCTTGCGAGAGCTTCCTGGGTCCTAGCTAATGAATCTTCTTATCGACAGGAGAGGAATATGAGGGAGCTAAACCTTCAGCTGCAGGGAAACCATGTGGTGCAACGCTGCCGCTTCTCTAGCGACATGCAGGCGTTTAGGTGCCGCCTGCTAGGTCACGTCATGACTCACACGGACGCAGCATTGTTGAAATTATTGGGAAACAACGTACGAAGGAACGGATCATCGATCTCAAACTGAAGGACGCTCGAGACATCAAGGACAGTATCCAAGCTATCTCCTCTTCTGAAAATAAGATTAAAGCAGAGCTGTGAAAGATAGAAGAGGACTGGAGCTAAATGATGCTACTATGGGAAATGGGAAGAACATTGGAGGAGAGGAGAACGAAGAGAGAACACGCGGATATTCAGCAGATAATTGAATAGTAGCCAACCCAGTAAAGGGTTCGCCGTTTGGCGCGGCGCAGCGGCAGATCGTCAACCTTCAGAATACAGTTTGGCAGTACCCAGGCAGCGGGAGGCCGGAAAAGGTCGACGCCTCGAACAGTGGCTATGCTGTGCTAGCGGTAAGGTTGCGAAACGACGAGGAGTACTTGCCGCTCGAGAACAACATCCCTGAGTCCGGCCAGGGAGATTATTTTGGCATTAAAGTGGTAATTTGTTACCCAATCGCCTAAATGCCCTTGCCGGTTCCGATGTCTAGGATGTGCCATGCGCATGATCCATAAGGCCTTATACAGTATATTGCATAATGAATAGACTTCCGAGAGGTGCTGTACCCGTTGACGAGTCACCTATTAGGGACAGAAACAGCGGATTCGTCTGATCCGAGTCCATGGCAAGAGTGGGAGATGGCAGGTCGGAAGTCGTATAATGGGACTCCTAGGGGTTTGGGCTTATCCCCGACACACAATATCGATAGTTTGGTCGGCCACGTTCAAAGGCACGCTCGCAGCCCACAGCGTGGAAGCGTCAAGGTGGCTTAGATGGTGGGAACATAACGAGATATATAGACAGGCCCAGACTTCCTTGGCAGGTTTGAGGCGCTAAAGTCGCGGCATGATTTCCCGACGCCGCGTTAGATTCTTGTGGCGGGGCAACAGAGTTATCAATCTGCCACCCTAGAGTGATGGTTCTAGGCGCTATCGCCAAGACATAACCTAATACGGAGTAGATTAACCTTGCCGTACCAATACCACGCCATGTCTCACAACGCCGCCAGAGTGATGGAGTTGGATGCGGAGAAAAGGATAGCAGGGCCTTTCGTAGAGGTTCATATTCTTGCACCTTATATCTTAGGCTGTTATCTATTTCTAGATAGGGAACCTTTGACCGTGGGTCTTGGAACGGGCAAAGTTCATTTACGAAATTGGTTATGCGCGATTCAATCTCAGGCGTGTAAGCAGTTTTATAGTCATTCTCGCCGGCTCCTGTTAGAGAGAAGACTACCCTTTTAAGTAGCCTTACGTTATATAAAAAGATATGAAGAGCTGAGGTTTTGAATGAGGTTATTCTGAACCATGAACTTCAAAGTATTCTTAAACTTCGGGAGCAGGCCATTAGCCATAAGATAGTGGGGAACTTAAGGGGTTCTCCGGAAGGCTGATTGGACACGCTTATTTGGCGGTTTAAACTCACGACCCCCACAAGCCTTTCGAGTTACTTCGGATTTCTGACGTCAACGCTTGTTGCTAACTGGCTAATTAGAAGGCAGGTGTATTACAGATAAGTCCAAAACCAGCTTCACCGTTTTACACTTATCTCTTGATATAAGACCCCACTGCTAAGAGTTTAGCCTTAGAATTAGATGCTGTAAATTGGGGTGCGACATGTACTTTCTTGTGCCAGCTTGGAACCTTCCAGATCTAGTCGCTTATTGAACCTATAATTGAGGCAAGCCCAACACAGTATGGTATATGGAATCTGGAACCTCGTGGAAGTTGGTGGCATATTCCACTAGCACTAGACGGCATTAAATTGTGTTTCTCTCCTAAGTCCTTCTGTATTAATTGCTAGGAAGACCGCTTCACAAGCATACGAGGAATATTGAATATCCTGTTGATATCACGTACCTAGATATGCTTACTGCTCTTCGGCGTCGGGTGTTTTCATTAAGTCTCTAAAACAAGATATTTATTGTTTTCTTGGAATCAAGGAAAAGAAACCTTGTGATGAATGCATAGGTGATACGCGTTTCAAAATATCCCATCTTTAGCTCTTCATGATTGGATGAAGAGGCACTAGAGGCAGTTCCACCTACCTTGAAAGGCCTGGTATTGATCTAGCACCCGGAACTAAAATTCTCCTTGGAGCCCGGTCGGTGCCTCTAGGAGCTTTAGTGAGGGTCTCATGTATACGTAGATGCGGATAGCGTCTTCTAGATGAACAAGAAGACGAGGGACGGTGTAGTGCGGAACAAGATCAGCGTAGAATTTAGAAATTTCTGTTTTGAGATAGAGGCGGCTGGCTTAATGAATACTTCCCGTGCCTAGTGAGCTGCGGAATCTGCGACTGTTTCCTTTTCACACTGGCGTTATACCTCCATAGTATACGCCGGCCGATAGACACCATTGAATATTTCCCCTTTTGGGTCGCTGCCCTTAGGTCCGCTGGAAGAGGTGTTGGAAGAGGTGTTGGAAGAGGTGTTGGAAGAGGTGTTGGAAGAGGTGTTGGAAGAGGTGTTGGAAGAGGTGTTGGAAGATTTACACGAGAGTCAAAAATAATCTGACCACGTTCAACTTTAGGATGACAAACTTATACTCCAACTCGAGAAAAGACTACTATGAAGGGGCTGAATTGGGCAGAATTCGGGTCAATTTATAATGTAGAAGAAAGAAAAGGTGAAGAAAATAGCACTTTGGATTTCAATTGGGTAGCGGAGTGATAAGCTACCACTATTCCATAGACACTCGCATCCGAAAGGAAACATGATAAGATACGACATCATACACACCACAGGCATCTTGGCCGGTTCCAGGGCAGCCGAAAGTACAGGAGGACGGCTGTACGAGGAACGGAAAATGAAGAGATAGACATCAAGCCATCCGGCCATCACCCGGGGCAGGGGCCAGGTAGAGAGGAAGATTGGCGTTCCGCTGACCAGCTGCCGCGCTGGACCGAGCACGCAGTGCCCGCCATTCCAGGAACTCCCAAAATTCCTCCTCAGTCGCGTCTCCAAGTGCCAAAGACGCAGGGACAGGCGCAGCCACCGAGCGCGGAGCGTGACCCCGGCCACGAGAAAGAGGGGGAGGAAGAGGAGAGCCGTTCGAGGTGAAAAATAAGTTCACCTGGGCGCTACCACCGGAGACCACAAGCGAGGGCATGGAGAAAGCTTGCCGGTTGCCGTGGGGTTGGCCTCCCCTTCGGCTTCCGGGCCTCTTTCCTCCGCAACCTCGGCCAATCGCCCAACATTAGCCAAGATGGCGCTTGTTGCAGGTCGGGCAGGCGGCGCGGCACTCGCCAACGTGGTTGTTGGCGTATTGGGGGCATCGGGGCGGCTTATCGCGGCGTGGGGGCTCCCCCTCGCCGGAGCGTTTATCACCAGCGGAGCTAAACCATTATATCGGTATTAACGAAGCATCGGTGAATGAGCGTGGATGAGCGTGGATGAGCGTGGATGAGCGTGGATGAGGGTAAGGGTAGTACCAGGAGGTTCAAGGCAGAGATCTGAGATGGTTTCGAGGTAACAATCAATGATCTTGGGGTATGATACTCACCTTGTGTTCATCTTGGGTGCGTTGAAGAAGAGAAAAGGAGAGGAGAGGGGGAAATGGCTTTCACTGGGGGTTCGTGCTTCTTAGAGTCTACCATCTCGTGGGGGAGTCCAGTAAAAGGAAATCAGTATTTCACTTCCGCAAGGCTATAAAACTGCCAGTGGTAACATTTATTGGAGAATGTTGTATAACATCGCAGCGAAACCCGAGCATTCTCCTCCTCAAAACAATACATCATCTCTTCAAGCAGCAGGAACAGAAACATTATCTTTCTTAATCGTCTTCCACTCCATCGTCAAAGCCGGCAAAACCATCAAGCAAGACACGGCCACAGTAACAATAAATGACCGATGAATACCATCATTAAACACAATCAGAACATCGATAAGCTCATTAGCTGGCACAGCTTCAGAAAGACCCGTAGCCCCAGCAGCCAACACCTTGACCGGATCAATGCCCTCAATATGAGGCAGTTCCGCGCCTAGGTAATTCTGGAAAAGAGACTGTGCGACCGCAATGAAGACAGCACCACCGAGAGACTGGGAGAAAAACATAAGAGAAACGCCAATGGCAACTTCCTCCATAGGGAGAATAGTTTGCGCTGCTAGCGAGGGCTGCTGCATTCCGGTGCCGATGCCAAGACCGAAGAGAACCTGGTATCCGATCCAGGCGGCGTGGTTGGTGTCCAGCTTGAAGGTTGTCATGAGGCCTGCGCCTGTGGACATTAGGATTGTTGCGACGAACATCCATGGAACGTAGTATCCTGTTGCGGTGATGATTCCGCCGGAGAGGATGGCGCCGACGACAAGTGCGAGGACCATGGGGATGGTGTCGATTCCGGATTTTACAGCCGATGTACCGTGTACACCCTGGAACCAAAGTGGGAGGGTGTAGAGCATGGAAATGAGGCCGCCGCCAACGCAGAGGGCGAAGACGACTCCGCTGATGATACTGCGTTGGTTGAAAATGTGCGGAGGCACGGTGGCATCTTTCTTCAGCCAGGCCTGTACACTGATGAAGGCGATCATTAGGATACCCGAGAGCACAAACAGCACGATAATGCGCCCGCTGTTCCAGGCATATGCCGTTCCACCCCATTGTAAGGCAAGAAGGAAACAGATAACGGATGGCAAGAAGAGGACGCTTCCCAGGGGGTCAAGGCGGAGGATCTGTCTCTTCCAGCCGCAGGGTTGAGGCGTGTGAGGCACGCGCAGGAAGAAGAATAGCATTGCCAAAGTGAATCCACCGATGGGAAGGTTAATATAGAAACACCAGCGCCATGTCACATTGTCCGTGAAAGCGCCGCCCATCAATGGGCCGACGATAGACGAGAATCCGAATGTAGATCCCATCAACCCGACATAGATGGGCCGCTTAGCTAGCGGGACAATCTGAGCGATAATGACTGTCGCGCCGGAGAAGATTCCAGCCGATCCAATGCCTGCGATGGCTCGGCCGACGATGAAGGCTTTGGAGTTGGGGGCGCCGCCGCATAGAGCTGAGCCGACTTCGAAGATGAGGATTGCAAGAAGGAAAATGGTCTTGGTTGAGTAGAAGGTGTAGACTTTGCCCCAGGCCAGTTGGGTTGCGCAGCTTGTTAGGAGGTATGCACTGGCATACCAACTGATGTCTTCGAGGGCATTGAATTGGTTTGCGATGCGGGGGACTGCTGTGGCGATGATTGTGCGGTCCTAGCCAACGGACTAATCAGTTTTTATCGATTAAAAGGACGGGATCTTGATGGGAAGAATACGTACCAGCGCAACCAGGAACATAGCAAACAGAATCGAAATCACAATCACCACCAGCTTGGCTCCTGTTGGAAATCGGCTCGGGTCTTCTTGGATCTCCGAGGGCTTCTCGGTGGTATCCAAGGATTGGCGAGGCTGCTCGTGAAGGTGATGCTCTTCTTGTATGGACTGCGACATGTTGCATATGTCTTTTGGGAAACAAGATAAGAAGTTTCGATTCAATTTTTTTTTATTTAGGCGCATTCATTGAGGAAGGGACAGACTTATATACAAGTATCTTGGGACCGATGAAGGAACGTCTAACAAGACTCTCGGCGCCGAACGGGCTTGGAATTTAGTTTCGACTCAGTACGACCGACGCGACCGCTCGGGGCCGAGATAACATGTATTTACATGACATTGACCTGACCCGCTTGGGGGTTAGCAATTCCAACTTATCATGTATACTCTCGCATGATTCCTTTTGAAACGTCTTTCGAAAGATTTTGTTAATCAGGATTCAAACTAACATTCAATAAAAAACCGAATATTACTCTCAGGATATCTTCCAAAGCATTGCTAGAAATAAATTGTTGAAAGTTTGTCGAGTCTCCAAAATTACGATCTCGACTTCCCAGGGGTAATCCTTTGTATACATTACGCCTTCCTCGTCTGTCAACGGAACTCAGTCAACTCGGGCAAGCACAACCCCATGAACAGCGATATGACATTCTATCGCCATTACCACCCTCAATGCCCAATCCCGCTATGCTTTGATCGACATACTAAATACACAATGCTCCCCTCGCCATCCCTAGTAACGCGAGGCCACTCCTGCGTTTTCAGACAATAACGCAAAGTCCGCTGTGATGGCCACAGACCCTGCTCAACATGTCTGCGCAATGGACAAGAATGCATTCGACATATGGGTTCCAAATCGCATACACCGTGAGACCGACCGAAGAGCAGAGATGTGGGCGTGACTAGTGTCACGGAGCAACTGGCGAGACGACTTGAGCTTTGTGAGAGGGCTGTAAAGGCTCATGGGATTTCGGTGGATCTTGGGACAGAGACTGGGACTGAGGGTGAGAGAAAGGCTACAGTTCGGATCATGCCGAGTGCGTCGTGGCCGATGCTGGAGGGACAGTTGATTAAGGAGACGGCTCATGCTCGATATGTAGAGAAGTATGGTGATATCCTGATTTCCTTGTTGCCATTCCCATCTTCTTCCGAGAAAGACGTCTGCTGATTCATTCGTCAGTCCCCTCTGGCAAGGCCTAACCAACGAACTAGATAGCTGCAGCAGCGTCGCAGGCGAACTTGAGACCGAGGCGACCCCGATCGCTGACGCAGGCATACTACTCTTCCAACCATCCTGTCCCAAGAACCTTCGCTCCTTGCACCCAAATACACAACCGATTTTCCAGCTATGGCAGATATTCTTGAATAACGTCAATCCCATCGTGAAACTGCTTCATAGTCCGTCAACGCAGCAGTTGATTCTGGAGGCTGCGTCGGATTTGGATCACATCTCCCAGCCGACGGAGGCGTTGCTGTTTAGCACTTACCTTTGCGCAGTGGCTTCTATGGACGATGAGAGCAGTCGTCAGATATTGCGTGCGTCTAGGGCGGACCTGATGGCTTGGTTTTCAAGGGCTGCAAAGCAGGCGCTCATTAATACTGAGGTTTTGCGGTCTACGAATGTTTTGGTTTTGAAAGCGCTTACTCTTTACCTGGTATGTGACACTTATTCAGAATACCAGTCAAGGCAACTTTGAGATTGACACTAATTGTTTGCTTGTAGCTAGCAACACGACAACTCCACGACGTCCAAACCCGCTGGCTCCTAACCGGAATCGCCAGTCGCATCGCCCGAACAATGGGCCTTCACTGGGAACGCAGCCTCAGTTCGCTCCCCGCCTTCGAGTGCGAAATGTGTCATCGTCTCTGGTGGCAAATTGTCTTCATGGACAGTCGCGCCGCGCAATTATGCGGCATCGTCGTTGATGCCCACTCCTACCATTTCTGGGACACTGAGCGGCCCCGAAATCTAAGTGACAGCGACTTATCCCCGCTAATGCAGGAACTCCCGCGTGATCGTCCAGGTGCGACGGAGATGTTATTTTGTGAGATCCGGTTCGAGATTGGAGATTGTATGCGCAAATTGACTGCTATGGAACATGGGCTTGTGGGTGGTAGTGTTTCGGAACGGCTTGTTGAGCAGGAACGGGCTATTAATGCGCTGGAGAGCCGGTTGGAAGAGAGCTATCTGTGTGATTGCGATGCGTCGATTCCGTTCCACCAGTTGGGACGAGGAACCGTAGCTGAGTTCGATATCGTAGTAGAAACATTAATATCACCCGTGAAGTCAGTCTATCGACCTTGAAACATCCAACGGGTGCCTTAAGTATAGGAATATAAGAACCTGAGGGACCTGAATCGAGCAATAACCAGTATAACAATACCGCAAGTGCTCCGGGAAAGCAGAGGTCATAAGAGAGTAATAACACCAAATACCTAATTCCCTGTCAATGAGCCTATTTTTCTATTATATGAAAGAATCGACCTTTCTTACAGTTAGATTTAGTAAAATAGGAATCCATCGAGACATCCTCGCTTCCTAGTCATGTCGCTTGCGTTGACAGACATGATAGCAAAGACGTTCGCTCTCCATGATGAGTCTCGGTCGCGCGAAAATGGAAGTGGCTTGCAGGTGTTCACGGCATGACCTTCGGATGGTGAAAGTGGATCCATAGCGTTCGGAAATATGGCGCGAATAGGGTAACCGGAGGAAATGAGGGAGCGAATTTAGTGGCCGGACTATCCAGTAGTGTATACCGTGGGACAATCTCCTACTATATCCAACGGGGATCTCCCCGGTGTTGGCGCACGCGCTGGGCTACCAATGGACTGTTACATACACCATAACAAAGGGCGGTGCATGCCGTCGCTTATCGGTTTCCCTCAGGCGGGGATCAGCTAAGTGGATCTCACAAGTAGTTTGCGCATTTTAGGAATATCAAGCCAAGATCAGAATATGTGGGAATAGTGGTACTTTGTTCGCATACTTGTGCTCAGGTAAGGCAACTAGGGGGCGGCTGCCACTATACTTCGTTTCAGCACTATCTGTCGTTAAGTCTTTCTTTATCCGCTTCAGTTAACCCCTACTTTAGTGATAGGTTGCTAGATAGATCTATGCCCGAAATAAGCCAAGCGAATCGGGCGCTGAAAGATGCAAGGAAAGGAACACTGAATGTTTCACTGCAAGCAATCGCGGCTCGTTATTTTCCATCAAACAATTGTCCCGTAAGGTAGATTGGTGTAGTGCCCACTCCGGTTTACTTACCTCAGTGCTAGGATTCACACGCTCACGGGTGTGTGTAGGCGCTTCATGTTATACAACGTTGGCTTTCATTGAACAGGCACCCCCGGAATTGACGGCAATTAGTGGGGCGAGCATTTATGCTGAAAGCTTACGCATCTCATAGTAACTCTACTTCGGTGCGGTTGATGCATCTCCTCCTTTCGTGTTTGACGTCGAATCTACTGCCTTTTTCAAACACGTGCATAAAGGGGACATATGACAAAATTCATGTTCTTACGTTACGTTTAGTAGTGGGCTTCGGCCACAGGCACTGACCCTGCGATCAGTTCACCACTTCCTTGCAGATCTGTTCCCGACTTAGCCGACGCGCGTGAACCCATGAAGTGTTGTCCGTGCGTAGGTTCCCTTCTCTAACCAGAGTCAACTACCATGCCAGCAACCACGAACTAAATGCCTATTTGAACGATATGGCTTAGTCCGTGGTTGGATGTTGTGGTTCGTGGGCTGTATTATTGTTCCGTACTCGCTGGCCGCAAAGGCGAGGGGACATGACTTGGGGCTGTAAGCCCCCTTTCCCTTTGGAATTTGTCCCAAAACATTTTATTTTCCGGGTGACTGATAGGCATTTTGTCTGAAAATCGTGCGGAATTTTTCATGTGACCAGTCCAAACATGAGGTATTATCAAAGCAATCTAAAACAGTATGGACTACTCTGCGCCAGAGCGAATAGGATCAAAGATGTATGTAAATACATGAGGTATTTACGAGGGATTTCACCCCGGTCCTGAAGTAATCTTTCCAGGCGTATTATTGTTTTCCGAAGACTTGGAATCTAATGACGACTTCCGCCTCTGACGATCTCTTGACCGACTCAAAAGTACAAAGTTAATCCTATGGTTATCTAGCTACTTGCCTCAAGTAACACCAAAGGGATACAAGAAGGGATTTTGTCATTGGACAGGCCTTGGGACTGTCCACCTCCTCCAGAAAAACATATGTTGGAAGAACTCACCTCGCTTGAAATACCGCGTGAAAAAACCGTCTATCCTACTCGTCCTCAATTATAAACGTTTCAATCATGCGGTTGTTGAACTTCAACAATTTCAAACTTCTGTTGCTGATTTATACACCACGGTACAAATGCCAAGTTCACATTCTTTGAAGCCTCATCACGGAATTAGGGTTGCAACGATAATTCTGGGAAGTCTCCGCTCTATAAAGCCAAGAATGCTTGGCAGAGGTGGAATTTGAGGTGTTGCATTTAGCGCCCTTGGATAAATTCTTCCTCACTTCATAAACTAATATATAAGGAGATGACCTTCGTTGATTTTTCTGATTCTAACAACTACCGTCGCAATCATAGTCCTTTCGGTACGTTTGCTCTCTTTTATTCTCCACCCCTTTGATTTTCGTTGCTGAAATCGATAAAAGAAGTTATTAATACTACATTTTCATTCGTCAAATCTTGCTCTGATTCGTCATGAAGTATACCATCACTCTTTTGACATTCGCCGTGGCCGCCTTGGCTGGAAGCATGGGTGACAAAGGTGACAGCGAAGGCAAAATCTGCCTCAGCAAACAGACTGTTGTTTGTGAAGGCAACGGAGATGGTAAACTTGTATCATTGGGGAATATTGCAACGGGTGCACTTGGCGATAACTGCTCCGGCGGTGATGTTTACTGCTGCTCTGAAGAAGATGTGAATGAGGTATGAAACATCTTGAAACTCTCCATAAAAGACGGATATAACTAACCATCATTTTTAGATTGGTGTCATCAACCTGGATTTGAACGTTCAGTGCAGTCTCAATCATCTTCTATAGATGAAATCCTTAGGGATTGGGATTTTTCCTCAAAGTGTTTTGTCCAAGGGAAACCCTCAAGAACGATCACCAGATAGCCCTTCGTGTCCGCCTTCGGTCCGTGATTAGTTCCCGCTCGGTACACAATACACTGAGTTCATATCCATTCCCAGTGGAGATACGTGAATTGTTTCCCAACCGTAGTAGAACGGCTTGTAATCTATATAGCCTTTTAACAGAATAACGACATGTCGGAAGAGTAAGTAAATCCAAAATCCGAAAGACGTAGTACTTCTGCTAATTAGATTATGGTCAACAACTATAATCATGTGAATCCTGTAGTGAGGCTACTAGGGTGGCTGGCATGAACGAGCACGATGTCTACTAGGTATTAAAGCATATTTTGTAGACTGAAGTACTGAATATAGAACTAGGAATCCTCTATGCCCGAGGCCCGCTAACGGACCCCCTTGGTGATAATAGAAACAACTACGAATTGAACATTATAAAGTCAAGGGTGGACGATGAAGCCCCTAATAACGACCACTAGACCTAATACATGGCATGCTGCTTATTCAGGAACTGTCTATCACCTTATACTAAACAAAGGTGAGCTATAGCGCGTAGAGACTATACCGACTGACAGTAGACAGCGAGTCGGCCCGATTTCGAGGTCTGATTTGTGTTAATCAGAGACTCTCAATATCCTTCCCCAGGCAAATACCGTGCAACCACCTAGATCTAAAAGAAATCAAGATCTGGGCTCCTGATACCTAAAATCTAGTCTTTTAAGTATATATCTAACCTATCCTGATACACACGACCGAGGAGGCACTAGCAGGAAAGGTAATTATAAGCTATTCGCGACACAACTCAGAATACCCTCTTAGACAACTGCAAGGCGACTAGCATTCTACCAGTAGGAGACTTAAACCGCTACTAACTAGCATAGGGATGCAAGCAAATCCAGCCCTGGTTTTTTCAAGATGTCGGCAAATTGATCCACATTTTAACACCTATAGCCTTAAGGACTGTGTCATGATCTGCAAATATCAGGAACTAGATCCGAGAAACCATGCAATTCAAAAAGCCTCGGGAAAATTTGCATCACTTAAGATGTATCCCGACATTCATACCGGTCCCCCGGTGCCCTTACCATCGAAAACAATGTAGTAGACCATTAGTGTGATATCAGCCCTGATTTACGTAGTCCACCTGATTCGCATTCCCGCTAGGTATAATCGTTCTTGAGAACTACTTTCTTAGCCACGTTTCCGTGCCTATAGAGCACGGGTTTGATTGGTATCACTTAACAAAGGCGAGCACAGGGAACCTAATGAAAATTTGGCTCAGTAATTGTTAAATGATCATCCCAGTCGACACTCTTTCTTGACTTAGTCCCTCTCCTTACTGATTGGGGTGGTAGTTCACCCGCCTCGCAATTCTGCCAGGCTTCCCAGTCTATTGGGATTGTAGTTGTGTCGGAAGCTAGGGTAAAAGCAACGTTGTGTTGGCCCCCGGTGACTATTGTAAGACTAAGGAATGGCTAATACTCTTTGATAACGCCGCTAACTCCAGGGTCTTGGGTGTGGGGCAACTTACTCCTTGCTGGGTCCAATGCAAGTGCTGAGTACGAGGAACAGTCAACTATGAGTTGGTGGAGTGTCTGCACTCGGAGGAACTCCGAAGAGACAATAAGAGAATTTTAAGACGCATTCGATAGCGTGTCAAGCCTGTTGGGAGGCTAACAAAAAGGTGAGAATGGAAGCCTATCTCGCGGTCCAGGGCAGTTGAGAGCGTGTTGGAATTCACCGAGGGGTTATTGGTTTTGCGGCAGCGCCCTATGAGGGTAGCTGAATAATGAAATACCAACTAGGACAACATAGGCCTTGAACTTCTAAGTTCGTTTTAAGGGAAGCGGAAAACTCTAACGTACACGGATGTATATTGTTGTTGTACCCTGCGTATTTCTGACGAGATTGAATTTTGAGGCACAGCCTGCTAGACTGGGCACAGTTCGTTTTTCTAGTTGGGTAAATAAACTCGCGAAAACTTGGGAGAGGTTGGAGTAAATGAATTTACACACAAACACTCCCGTACCTAAAGCTTGACGTCGATTTATATGGCGAATTTCGAGCCGTGCCGTGATAGGATATCTGTACAGATAAGAAAGGCTCGTCGTGAGGAAGGATCTTTAGTGGACATTTCGCGCAGCCACCGTATGGCCTTCTGGATCTCCTTGACGAGACTGGCGGCCTTAGGTGTTCTTGGTTGAGTGCGGGTGAATAGCTCAACTAGGAGAATGGTGGTGGGCTGCATGATATAGTGCGGGATACACCACCAAGGGGAGATCGTGTAAAGCCAGGCAGTGTCTGCCTCGTCGGGGAGGAGCTCAAGCATTTGCCTCGCAATCTTCACGCACATTGCTGCCATGGTATCACAGAGGGCCCCAAGAGAGCCTGTTCCGGGGCGCTGGTAGGCGAGATGGCGGAGGCAGGGCTGCGAGATGAGGATCTTGGTGGCGTAGAAGGAGAAGGCGAGGCTGGTGCGCTGGGGGGCAAATGGTCGGATTGGGACCGGATTTTTGAATTGGAATTCTGCTGGAAGACAGGAAAGCCAACTGTCAGCAGTATTGCTAAGGCCGGAGATTGTCGTCTCCATCTCTAGCCAAGGCCTTCTCGACACGCCAGGAGCGTACAGAGTCTGTATAGCCTCTCGCGTAAGAAACGCTAAGTCCACCGTGTACAGAAAGTACAAGGAGATATTTGGTATTAAGGGTTCGGTGATGGATTGAGCGGCTGGTTTAGTTTCCTTCTTGCCCGTTCTTAACCCGAAGCTTGCCACAGTGTGATCTTTTAAACCTTCGCTTCGACAAGCTATAGCCTTTTTTGATGATAACAAGGATTCCATCAGGGCGGTTCTGATGCCTCGGTTGGTAATTAGTTGCGCGATCCTTTCGGTCCCAAAGTCCTCCTCTCGATAGGGAATCGGTAGAGGCGTGGTACAAAACTTGTCGCTTATGCTGGGCGGGCGACCTTTCATCACACACAACATCGTGTCTAGCGTGAACAATGCCCACCATACGCGGTATCGAGTTTCTTTTGAGACCTGACCAATTTCATCTGCTTCGCTACGAAGGTTTAGACCCATAGCTACCGCGGATCGAATTGCAAGCCCGATCAGTCGCCATGACCTTACAGAGTATAAACCTCGATTAGATGCAAGTCTCACCACCTATATTTGGGGATAATAGCACAGGAGGGGAAAACTCACTTGTTGACTTGACCGGCGGAAAGAAGGTAAAAAGCAGCCAGACCTTCTACTTGCACCTGCTCCAGGTTGGGGTGTTCCATCAACGCTACATTATCAATGCTGAGCCACCACGCTCGAGCAAAGAACAACGAAGGAGCATCAACGTCTCCTTCAGGTTGGCTATCGGCAAGCAGGGAGTGTTTTGCAGCAATGGCAAACACCAGATTTAGAATAGCCAGCCATCGTTTCCCTGGGCACACATATGGGTTCATATAGAGAGACCGATATTGACCCAGAAACATCCCCCTTCCAATAACCGGGAACACAGGATGCACGGCTTGGAAGAAGTCATCCACGAGTTTATCAGCGACGTGTTGCTGGGGTCGACCTAGTAGGTCGACATAGTCAAAGCCTAAGATATTGACGTCATCTTGAAAGTAGCTTATGGATGAGATTGACAACTGATCTGGCGTCTCGCCGCCAGGCGCAGTGCTGTCATGGTCAAGGCCGCGCTGTAGTGTGTGCAACCATACCAAATCCGAATGACCGCCGACGCACCCTACCGCCTGAGTCCTCTCATCGCGGTTGAAATCTTCTTCAGTGTGTTCCAAAGTCGCCAAAAGGGAGCCCGTAGCCTCAGCCTTGGGACGAGACATCAAAGAGTTCTGTAGCCAACCATGGTCCGGTGTTAGACATTTTTTTCTTTGGGGACGACGATAAGTCCATTAGGAAGGAGATGAGTAGCACTAGAGAGGAAATTAAAAAGGCCGTGGAGGCTCACCCTGACTAATTGATCACCAAGTGTCTGATTGACATGTTGGGACGACGATGCGTCAAGTCTGGGGTACAAATATTGCAGCAAATTTTCGTAGATATGAACCTGCGTGCTGAGTTCTTCCAGCTGCCTAGAATTCTTTCTTAGAGGCCAAATTAGAACTGGATTCTTGAAACACACACGTTAAAATCTTTTCCCGTTTCCGGTCCCCGTAGGAACACTGCACCCTAGCATCATGACAACGATGGCATGAGGGCCGATTACCACTGCATTTGGTCTTTTTCTCGCGGCAATTATCGCATGCTCGACTAACTCGGCCACTAATGGTACAATTACTGTGGCGTGCAATTCGTGAAATGGGAATTTTAGCATTTATGAGCTGGTTACCATTGCCTGGATGGCCTGGAGGTTCATCGCGGCCAGTGAGTATGTCGCTGTTGACCGGGAGGCAAATCGGCAAAGACTGCGGGTATCCAGGCAGTGGCCATTCGTACTGGAAAAGAGCCGACTCAGCCCCCGAGGCATCCGACGCATATTGGGCATACGACTGGCGACGGGGAAATTTTTCACCTCCAGTGAGAATCTGGTGGCTTGTTTGCCGCAACTCCTGGGACATGGTATCCCGGCGAATTAGTTATGCAAAGGACTGCTAATATACACCGGGGGAATTCACCCTGGGGTGCGGACGCTTATGCTGATATAGTAGCCCAACCTTGCCGCTGAACTGAACTCTGTTCTCGCATACCACATAACCTGGGACTTGGCAGGGCAAAACAAAATCGCCCTGCCACATGCCGCCTTTGAGTCTCCCGTTGCCGGTGGCTGAGATGGAGGGACGTCAATCAGCGCATCTCCCAAAAGGCAACAACGGTTTCTTGATGGTGGTTCGTGCCCACACGAGCTAGCGTACTAGGGGCTAAAGCAAGGTATAGTCTGAGCACATTAAGAGCTGTCTGTGTCTGCACCAGGCTATGGGCAACATCCCTGTCTCAATCGTCGCATTGACCCCTGGCGATCTTGGTTCGTCCACATCAAAAGTACATAGTATAGGTAGATTTCAATAAAGCACAGTACTTGAGCCAATTTCTCTCTGATAAGCCTTTGCTGTTAGGGCATAGACCCCTTGAATTGATCGTCAAGTCGCCATGGGTTAAGGCCAGCTTAGCATACTCTCTAGGGTGCTCTGCAAAAGTCTGGACGGCCCCTAGTTGGACCTTTACGTGACAACACAGATGACATTCCACTGTCTTCTGATTGGTATTTGGATCCTCGTCTTATCCATAAGGTTATGATGTGTCCGTCCATCTTGCGGTCCACTTTGTTCATGGTGGCACTACCTGACTCGTGTAGCGGAGTCACTAGGTCCACACTATCCTCTAATGGCCCACTAACCCGCTCTCTTGGACACTTAACTTTAGCAAATTAATAGTTTGAAACAATCCCAGCCCATTTGAAAAGGTCCTGACATCGATTTCCGCCCGTCACATTGCCCTGGCACCCATATTCTTATTTCACTCCTGGCACAACGACACAAATTTGTCCACTTATCCCATAAATGCAATGGTAAACCCCCAAACTTAGGAGCTTGGACTTCACGGATTTGAGATCTACCACTGGCACGATAATCCAATCTTCAGCGAGACCGACCCCACCCGTGCCTTAATACAATTAGTGAACAGCGCTTTATTGTGCTAACCAAAAGCAGGATCGATAGTGGTTGTGGATTGTAAAAGAGACAGTCACCTGTGTCAGACGAAAATCAATACTGACTTACTCCGAAAAATACAGAAATCAGCAACAGTAATGGAATGCACCGGTCCTTCTTTCTCCCTTGCCGGCGGCGTGAATCCCGATGGTGTCGCCCGTTCGGGCACATAACGTGGTTGCCATATCAAGGAGGTTGGATATGGACATCATCCAAATTCCGGAAGCTGGGGCACGACGAGTTTGCCAATGCCGACAACTATCAGCATCAGAGGAAGCCCGTACCAATGGTCAGGACGATGGTGAGGAACAGGCAGCCATACGTAGAAGGCAAACTCAGATAGTGGATGGGCATCTCCCAGCCCGTCATAAACTCCTACCCGCGGCCATGCTAACGTCGACGGCAAGGATTAGGCCGTTGACGAGCGGCTGCACGACGTCGAGAAGGTCCAGTATAGGAGCACGGTATGGAACAGCCAGCCGACCCACAGGCACATGAAGTCGACGAGGGCGAGGTTCGTGTTGAGCGACGGCAGCCGGCGGTGGACAGCTTCGTCGTTGTTGTATTCGTAGGGGCGGATTGTATCCTCGTCATCCACTACTTTGGCCGCTTCGAGATCGCGGTCATCTGAAGCCGACGGCACAGGGACCAGCGTCGACTGTATCGTGTTGACCGGCGCCAGGGTTGAGCTATCAGAGTGAATTATACCATGGAGGCAATGTTGATCGAACTCACATGAGAATACCCATCCTTGGTCGATCGAAGAACCAACGCTTGGGGAAGGTAGACCTCGCCCTCGGTTTGTTTTCGGTTTGTTCCTCCATCGTCAGTGTCTTTGTGTCCCAGCAGATCATCCGTCTCCTTTTGTTCAGCTTATTCTCGTCCGTGAATCGCCTCCACGCGTGCTTGCTGCCGTCCCCGTTTACGACAGTCCGTCGTTTTCATTGATGACGTCGCCACCCTCAGCCGATGTAGGCTCATATCGGTCGGGGGCAAGGGCAGTATACGCTGTCCATCTTTGTGAACTTTGAACAAAAGGTTCAAGAGATCCACCCGATCCTTAGGCACGATGGTGTATTGGCTCTGAAGTTTTTGCCACAAGGAAATATACCAATATGTATCCTGCGGAACACAAAAAAGATTGAAATGAACTCGACGTATTCTTCGTCTGGGCGACAAAACCCCAGGGGTTTCGACCTGATTTCTTATATTAATCAAAATTCAGTTAAATCTATGAGAGCTAAGATGTACCCGATGCTTTGGCGGGTTGAGTATAGGTGTGGGTCGTGAACGAAGAGGTATACTTCGATTTGCAGAAAAGCTGGATTTGTTATAGCTAGGAACAGGGTGCTTTTATGATAGTAGAAGCCTTTCATGATCTGTTACGGCCGTTTTGGGACAGATAATGACATTTTCGGGCCCAGTAAACTTTTTCCACGATCAAAAAGCCAAGTCGTATCGGTGTCCTTATCCCTGCATCATAGAATAAGTTAAACCTTCTTCCGTGGTACAACGATTGAAGCATAACTAATCACCATCCAATAAATCGGGGAGTAGAGCATTCCAGATTTCTCTCTAGCTTGGTCCATGCTCTCCAAAGAGCATTCGAAAGTCGCCGGTAAACTTTCAAATGAGGTTTTCGTTGGTTAATATTGTATTGGCTAATATTGTATCTGGTGGCACATATATCTTCCGGCTTCCATTCAAAAGACAGGTAGTCGACATTTTGCAATGCATCAGGTTTCATCGCGAGGTCGTCAGAGTTTCAATCATTATGGGCTTCCACAATCGAGAATAGATAAATTGTGATGCGGCACAATGTTAGCTATTTATAAATTCGAGATGGCTTTCTCATCCCAAATTGAAGGATATTTTATGTAGATCGTCTTGTGACTTTTCGACCCTTTGTTGTGAGACGTACATACATGACTTTCTTACCTTGCAAGTAGAAAAACTTCGGCATTTACATGAGGGTCCAAAAAACCCTCCGAAGCTAAAAAAAGGCCAAATTAACTCAGGAATGGGAAACTCTGAGTGCTTTGGTTTGCGCTTCTTGAAATGTTCATAAGGAATGGGAAAGTTAGCCGCCAGTCATCAAGCTGTTTACTAGAACCGACACATTCCGTGACGGGCCCGTGAATTTGGCACATTCCTCGGTGGGCCCTTGAATTTGGTGACACGTTATCGGTGACACGTTATTGGTGACACGTTATCCAAAACTAGAGGCTCACTTCAAATTCATTTATCACCAAATACAATATTTCGCGAAATTGTTACCTCACGAATCCCAGAACAATGGAAGTATCTTTCTGCACGGCCTTTCCGAGCAACATTACCTCTTTCACTCGATTTGTATTTAGAGATTACGTTGCAAGGTTAGTATGCCATATGAGGATTTGATGACGAAATAGGCTCTAAAAATATTATGAGTCACGAACAAATTTGATTTGTGAGATAAGATGCAGGAAGTGATGTTCGCGATAAGCTTGACGAGACCCGTATAACCCTCGTCTTCACCAGATTGGAATGAGAAATTTTTGTTTTGAAGCTTCCTTTGCCGCACGCAAACTGAATTGATTAAAGCGAATGTGGATCTTGACCGCCGAGATTTTGTTTTTTTACGTCATCAGCTGAAGGAGGGCTTTGCATTTGAACATTTCACAGCCATTTCCAAGTGGCGTTGGCATGTCACATACCTTCTCCCTTTGAAGGACTAAGCGGAAAGGATTATGTTGTATAAAATGGTAAATGCCGAAAGAAGGCAAAAGTGAAGGAAAAGGGGGGAACTCCCCTTCCTTGGTAGATCGGTTATAAGTTATTACTTTCCCTTCACTCTGATCCTAAGGGGCACCATCTTGTTCAAGTCCATTGATAATCCCGCCAGTCTAAAAATACTCATAAGGAAGCAACTTTCAAAATCGCTTGCTCAATCATGGCATGGGGCCAGCAAAATCCAGTAGCCCTTATGTTGGACTCAGAGATGCCACAAGCGGCAACTTCGGCGGTGGTATACCTGACCCGCTGTTTTTTGCGCTTAATTGCCGTGCAGCTCTTTGTCACCGTCCAGGCTATTCACGAAAACATAAGTGTATTTTTCTTATCTTTCACTATATGTCGGCTGTGTGCAATTATTGCACTTCTTCCTGTCTATATTTTACAAGTTTCTTTTGGACTTCTTCCAACTGTCCTCGGAAATATTCGATGCCTTATCTTACCTTGGAACAAGCTCATCGAAGATAGTGAAGCTTACAGAAGACAGTGGGCGATTCAGGTCCAGCTTCAGTTGGAGGGAAAATATATCTTTCGAGAGGAAGAGATTGTTAGAGTCGACAGTTACAACAAGCATTGGATGAACGATATTCGATGGCCTGACGAGCTTGAAGAGTTTCTTGCCTGTGGTGCAAGAGTGAGATACGTTCATTTAAGGCCAACTGTCAACGAAACCGGCCAGAATGGATGTTTACCCAAGAGGCCCATCCTTTTCCTACATGGAAGTCGGAGCTGGAGTTATATGTGGAGAAAGGTGTGTTGGGACTTGTTACTTCAAGGTTTCTCATATGATACTCCGTCTAGGCAAAGACCATTGATTACATTCAACCGTGAGCTGTGCTAATACTTACCCATATGCAGATTATGACTCAACTTCTCGAAGAAGGCCATGAGATTTTTGCCTTGGATTGGCTTGGATATGGACTAAGCGACAAACCTAAGCATCGCGAATCTGTTACATTTGAGCTGCACATGCGGACATTAATTGCCTTTTTCAACCATGTGCAACTCCGAGACGCCATCCTTGTAGCACACAGCTGGGGCGGGTAAGCTTACATTTTCATTTATTTGCTATTTGCACAAAAGGGCTGTACTCGTGGTACTCCTGACCATTTTCGTCCCTTACTGCCGGTTTTCTTATGTACAAATAATAACAACATTTTAGGAGTGTAGCTCTATGCTCTATTCCCCTTCTCCCTTCATCATCATGCAGTGGCCTCTTTCTCATTAATTCATTCTTGCCGCATCGACCTCACGAGATAAGTCGGAACTGTCGTCTTTTATATGCAGTCTGGTTTCTCTTGACTAGAGTCTTACATGGTTATGTGTCTGAATCCACTATCACGCGATTTATCTCTCCAGATATTTTGGAGGGAGACGTTGAAGGATATGAAGCACCTTACCGGCACCTAGCCGCTAACGCTAGACCTAGTGTCGAAGATTTTGCATATATGGGCACTGGAATGCCGCAATTTCTTCTGAAAGATCTTCGTGAGACATCGCCTTGGAAGATACTTGAAGCTATTTGTGGTCCAAAGAACTTCATCGAGCTGAACGCGTTAGCGCTTCTATCAGAGAGGGGTGACAATGCGAGAAGTTACTGGCAACGACAACAGCCAAGCAATTCACATGAGGCCTCACAGAGCAGACTCAAAATTGTTGTTCTATTTGGAGAACGTGATCCGTTGGTCGAAAATTACAAGGAGACCCTTGTGCATGTCATTGGCAAGAATAACATGGCGGACTGGGCGCCAGATGGTATCTGGCTCCAAGATGCAGGCCACTACCCCATGGAAGATAAGCCCGAGGATGTTACGCGATTGATAGCTAGATTGGCCTAATCAACTACCTGTAGGATTTGTTTGCTGCTCTCGCGGCCCAAGAAATGCTATAGTTGCTGTCCACTTCTTGTGTCGATATTTTATGGGACTAAGCCATTTATAGCGCCTCCTACTCCCTATTATTGTTAAAACGACTCAGGGGCTGATTCCATTTCTTTGTGCCATGATTGGTTCGTGGTGCGTCCTCCGGGCCTGATGGTGCGTGTTGACTAGCTGCGCATCAAAAACCTTGAATTCCAACTCCAGCTGCCACCATTTGTAGACCTCTATGGTCGATAATAACCACTATAAAAACAGGCTGAACGATAAAAGTGGCAAAAATTTTTATATCGAGCCTGAAATAATACACGAATGCCGATGGTATAAACAAAACTTACTTTGAAAAAAATTGAAAATCTGGAGATCACTAACCGATATGTATGTAGAGCTCGTAAGATATATATCTGCGTCTTCATTTTTATCACGAGGATAGTCTCAGCTTTCTATTGAGTACCTTGAACCGGAGCACAATAACCTCACCTAGGTATATTTTTCTAAAGCTTTATGCTCTTATAGTAGATAGACTGTAGACCTTAGAATAACTAGTACATCGTGAAGCCCGCAGTCGACCATGCATGATCGTCGGTTTGTACATTTCTATAGTCCCGTCAAGCATGATGCAGAAGCTGATCTATAAATGCGCATTATCTCCCGTATTACTAAACTAAGGGGTTACAGGGGAGCATTGGAAGCTCACTTGAGTCAGATCGAGATGTTAGGCCACGACAATAGCATTCAGCGTACGTAGTCGGGATTCTAACTATCTTGGCTAGCTGTCAGGAAGGGCAGAGAGACACGCGGCACTTTACTATGAGTACCAGGAGAGATCGTCGAGGAAAAGTGGGTCAACACTTACCAGTAACTCCTTTCGGTGCTGACACCCTCCCACGCTTATGGTGTGCTTTATGTATGTAATCTTGGGGACATGCAACTACTCCTTCAAGTCACTACTCGAAAGGTACCCTTCCATCCACAAGCAAATGCGGTGGGTGGGCAGAAAGGCAGGGATACGGGCAAAGTTCATTTTTCGGTTTGCATTCTCTCTTTCTCTCGGCATTAACCGATCCGGGGATCTACTCCTCTTTCCGACTCAAATTTCCTGTTTCTTGTTCTCTATTTTCTCATATAACCTGCAGGCTCCCTATCTACTCCGGTCAGCGTAAATTAGGCCTACATCGGGCTCCGAGATACCTCTGGCTCAGTGCTGATCCCCCCCCCCCGGCCCCCGGCAGGGAACATCCGTCCAAGTGCAGTCTGTGAATAATTTAGTTTTGTTCAGAGTCGCCAAACGCTGTTCATGCTGAATTATTCACCATGCGCTTCCTTTGTCTGCATGGGCGCGGGACCAGCGCCCACATTTTCAAGTCTCAAACTGGTATGATTATCAATTACTGTTCAATCATCAGTACTGATGGAATCCAGCATCATTTCGTCTCAAGCTCGAATCTCTTGCGCCAGATACGACTTTTGAGTTTATAGATGCTCCATTCGAGTCCAACCCTGCTCTGGATGTAGAACCCTTCTACTCGGCTCCATACTACACTTTCTGGCAAGGGAGTTCGGTTCCTGCTATCAAAGACGCTCTCGACCGATTGCAGGCCAAATTAGACAGTGATGGACCCTATGATGGCGTTCTATGCTTTTCGCAAGGATGTAGTCTTGTCGCCAGTTACCTGCTTTACCATGAGCACTCACATCCCAACACACGGCCACCTTTTCAGCTGGCGGTTTTCATATGCGGTGGGGTGCCTTTTTCCGTGCTTGAAGACTTGGGTCTTCCAATTTCTTCAGAAGCTCATCGATTCGATGAGGGAACAAGGCGTCTCTTTCTCTCCACAACCACCGATGAATGGACTCCACGCGCGGGTACTTGGCAAGTAATCCGCAGTCTAGGGCCCGAAACGAGCCTTTTTGGGCTAGATCTGTCACTTAAACCGGCTGATATGAGGATCCGAATTCCCACTATACATATTTGCGGTTCGAAAGATTTCCATTATCCTGCTGCGGTACAGTTACGTGCTTTGTGTGAGGGGGAGGCGCCGTTGTGGGATCATGGTGGTGGTCATGATATTCCACGTGGAAAGGAGACGTCTCAGCATATCGCAGAGTTATTGGTCAAAGGGATGAGTCAAGGTGAGAAATAGGTGCATCCTTCTGTGGGTGGGCTAGCATAGGCTTCATATTCAAGCACGATCATGCAATTTAGATCGGTTCAGAACTCGTTCCCGGAGCCGACTCGACCACAGAGTCAACTACTCATGGGTAAAGTGGCATGCCTGAAAATACGCTCCAGATTTGAAGAAGAAGCACCTTGACATTTTTGTTTCAATTGGAAGGAGAGAAGGAGAAGGAGAGTAAGAGAGTAGAACGAAAGCTATATTGTCACATGACCCTGTATACAAGCAAAAGACAGCGACGTTATGCGCCGTCTCAGTCCTCGACTGGCTAATCGGCCATCGCTCTGTAGCAGCCACAAGTCTCGGGGCAGCCGATAAAAGGGCCTCGCACATAAATTACACTAACCACTCTTGATTAGACTTTCATTTGACAGCCCTATTGACCGTCCTAACGCCGCTTGAGGCCTAGACGCATCATACTTGCTAATTAGGCAATTCAATGTGATTTTCAACGACCGTAGATATCAACGAATATCACCCCTAGCCCTCTCTTACTACAGGTCATCTTCTCAGTCAAATTCTCAGTCGTCTTCTCAGCTATCATTCTCACCCTTAATCTTCTCTTGCTGTCTATTTCTCGTTGGTGAATTTTCGGTTCGGTTATTGAGAGTGGGCCACTAAGTAGGGAGGGTCACTTCCAGTCTAGATTCAGTTATCAAATATCTATTTTCCTCTAAAGTTAACCTTAATAAGTAGCTTTAAGGAGCGGAATTAGATGCCCCAGTAGTAATTTCTCTTGTCGAAATTAGAAATTATTGCGATTCTGCCGAAGTCGTCAATTTCAGTATTATGTCGGTTTTCTGCCTCAAGAAATGGGTTTCTGGTCGGTGGTCACAATTGGCCGCTATACTATACCAGTTGAGACTCACATTGGTCACGAGCTGTGCTGTTTTCGTGGTGTGACGATGCTTCCTGGCCGGGTCTCGTAGAAGACCCGGCTTGTCATGATCATCCGTGCTACTGTCTTCAGTGTTCTCACCGGAACGCTTTCATCGGACATAGGGGGTTGATTCAATGAAAGAAACCTGTGAAAAAACTCCCGAAATGAATTGACCAATGGAGACACGATAGATATTGAGACACAACAGATATTGAGACACGATAGATATTGGTTCTATTTGGATATGTTTAGTGGAGAAGGTGAGAAGGAGAGACAGGGGGAGACAATACGGGTCCCGCTCCCAAGACATTGGGAAAAGTGACAATCTACATGCACTGCCAGGCTAGGTAGGTATTCTTATACAAGGTGAAACATTTTCATGGCTACCTCGAGCAACGCTTCGGGTGCCATCTGTACATCGGTGGGAGTGGTAGCTGGAACTACTTTGAAGCAGCGCCACGGTTTAATGACGGCGCAACATGACAGTCAGAATGCAGAAAAGTCCTGAGAAGCTGGGTATCAGTCAAAGTAGAACTAGCAACTTACTCAGAATATCATCGTCTACAAAGAAGAGTGACCCCGGGTCTGTTGAGCCCAAGACTGGCGAAGGCAGGCTGTTGTAATCAGGGGAGACATGACACGAGTAACCGAAGAATACAGATAGTTAAGCATACCATGAAATGTATTGTTCAACATTTTGAGAGCGCTAATTTTTGAAAACAGAAAAAAGAAAAGCCAGAGGACAGAAGCCAAAAGGACAGACACGAATGTAGCTCGGAGGCCGGGTTTGGCACCCTCGGGTTCCGAGTATGAGGGTCAGAGGCCGGATCTCGATCATCAGTATTATCAGCATTTTTTAGCGAGTCACACTCTGATATCGTAATTCTGATTCTGCACGTTTATATGACCCAATCATTGGTTATCGCTGATAGATCTGTAAGTGTCTTGGTGGCTGTATCTCAGATGATTTTCTCTGTTGACCCGATGGAACTGGATGGATATGCTTTCAGCTGTCTCGGGTCATGGATCCATACCGATACGACGGAAAATATTTAAAGAAAAATTTTTCTTCTAAAACCACAGCTGAATACCCCTGGAGTAGATCGGGATGCAGTAACTACCTTCCATGAGTACTACCGAATCTTCTTCCAGAATGGCACGCGTTCAGCACATCATCTTGTTTGGAGACCAGACTGACGACTTTACATCGCTCCGTCGTCTACTATCCCCCAATACTGAACCGTTGCTAAGCTCCTTCTTGAACAAGGCTGTTCGAGGAGTGCGTACGGAGATCAGCTCGCTGGCGCCCCAAGTCCGTCAACAATATCCTCATTTCCCTTCCGTGGCCAGCTTGCTGGACTGGAGGGATTCTCAGAAGAAGGCGTATCCAGCCATTGACAGTGTTCTAACCTGTATCAATCAACTGGCTCATTTTATTCAGTAAGTCTGTTACCTTCGTCTCGGTCATGGGAGTTGAATCTGATATTCTAACAATCTCTTCTAGAGCCCAAAGCACAGCCTCCACTTATGCCAGCCCATCGGACATAATTATTGGTGGTCTTTGCCTTGGCTCTTTGTCTGCTGCAGCCGTTAGCAGTTGCCAGTCCATTTCCGAACTCCCAGACGTTGGCGCACGAACAATCCAGATCGCATTTAGAACAGGGCTGCATGTATCCCGGGTCGGACGTGCGATCGATCAATCTGAGACAGAGTCATGGTCTATGGTTGTTGCTACACGGTCACCAGATGAGATCTCACTCCGCATCGATCGATTCATAGAAGCTCAGGTTGGTAGTTCGTTCTTTCTGTCGATATAAATGACGCAGAAGTCTGACCTCATTTAGCATCTACCATCGCACACTCGACCTTATATTAGCGCATATCTGTCACATGCTGTGACAATCAGTGGACCGCCGACGAGTCTTCTTCGTCTGAGACAATCCTCCGAGTTTGCTTCCCTCAATCCGCGATCTATTCCGATCTTTGCTCCTTATCATTCTTCTACCCTTTTTGATGTTACAGATTCCGAGTCTATTCTGGGTGACCTTCTCGCTGATGAGAAGAAGACTAAATGCAACATCCCTTTCATCTCTAGTACAAGTGGAAACCCTTTCGAGGGAACAGTTGTTCGCTCCCGATTTGAATATGCTCTAGCTCAAATTCTCTTGGAGACTCTTCGCTGGCAGAGCTTGGTCAATGGAATGATCTCAGCTCTTCCTAAGCAAGACAAGCCGGAAGCACCCAAGTTCCACGTCCAGTCCTTTGGTAGTTTGGTAGGACCTCGACTTGCCGAATCCATTGAAGCTGCTACCAGTTTTACTCGGTATCAGCCTGCTCCTGCTACAGCTCCGACACTGAAACCTACTGAGAATATCGACTCGTCCAAAATTGCCATCATCGGATACTCTGGCCGATATCCTCATGCCGAATGCAACGAAGAGTTCTGGGATCTACTCATCAAGGGGCTTGATGTTCACGAGGTCGTGCCAGCTACGCACTGGGACGCACGAACCCATGTCGCCGAGCCAAGCAAGGGAAAGAAGAACACGAGTGCCACGCCCTACGGCTGCTGGTTGCAGAACCCAGCAGCGTTTGATGCTCGCTTCTTCAACCTGTCACCTCGCGAGGCGCCCCAGGTAGATCCTGCGCAGCGCGTTGCCTTAATGACAGCTTACGAGGCGATGGAGCGAGCTGGTCTGGTACCTAATGCAACGCCATCTACAGCCAAGGATCGTGTTGGTGTTTGGTATGGTGTTACATCCAATGATTGGATGGAGACCAACACCGCGCAAAACATCGATACATACTTCATCCCCGGCGGCAATCGTGCGTTCATCCCTGGCCGGTTGAACTACTGCTTCAAGTTCACTGGTCCAAGCTATGCTGTTGACACTGCATGCTCGTCAATTCTAGCAGCTATTCACCTCGCTTGCAATGCTCTGTGGCGTGGTGAAGTCGACACAGCCATTGCAGGAGGCACCAATGTTCTCACAAACCCTGACTTCACGGCGGGTCTGGACCGCGGCCACTTCCTATCTCGAACTGGCAATTGCAAGACGTTCGATGACGAAGCAGATGGATATTGCCGTGGAGAGGGCGTTGGTACCGTCATTTTGAAGCGGCTAGACGATGCACTGGCCGATCGTGATCCCATTTGCGGCGTCATCCTGAGCGCCGGTACGAACCACTCTGCTGATGCAGAATCAATCACAAGGCCCCATTCCGGCGCGCAGCAATTTCTTATTCAAAATCTGCTACGGATGGCCGGGGTTGCTCCTTATAGCATTAGCTATGCCGAGATGCATGGAACAGGTACTCAGGCTGGTGATGCTGGAGAGATGAACTCGGTGCTGTCTGCGCTGGCACCTTCATCTCTCTCCTATCGTACTCCGGATCAGCCATTGTACTTGGGGTCTGCAAAGGCTAACATTGGCCATGGAGAAGCTGCTTCTGGTGTGTCGAGTCTTATTAAGGTCTTGTTGATGATGGAGCACAATACCATCGTCCCCCATTGTGGTATCAAGACTCGCATCAATCGCAAATTTCCCACCGACCTGGGTGATCGCAATGTGCATATTTCATTGACTCCTACAGCATGGGGACGACAAAGTGAGCCCCGTCGTGTGCTCGTCAATAACTTCAGCGCCGCTGGAGGCAACACTGCACTCTTGTTGGAAGATGCACCCTCATTGCCACAGATCGATGAGGGAAGTGATCCGCGTACTAGTCATCTTGTTGCTGTGTCGGCTAAGTGTGCTTCCTCCCTCGAAGCAAATGTCAAGTCACTTCTTGGTTTCATTGCGTCTGCTGGAGAAGATCTCTCTTTGCCACAACTCTCTTACACGACGACTGCTCGTCGCATGCACCATCTTCATCGTGTGATTGTGCAAGGCTCCAGCATTTCCGATATTAACAAGCTGCTCCAAGCTGCTCTATCCCGCGGTGACGGTGCCAATCGTCCTCTTGGGGTCCCTAAGCTGGTATTTACCTTCACTGGACAGGGGGGCCAATTTGTTGGAATGAGTCGACAGCTATACGAGTGTATGCCATCATTCCGCAGCAATATGCAACTATTAGACCGCATTGCTCTGTCTCTGGGCTTTGAAAGCTTCCTGCCGTTCATCGAGAATGATTCAGACTCCAGCTTGAAACACTTCTCGCCTTTGACTGCACAGCTGGCGAGTGTTTGCCTTCAGATCGCACTGGCACGCCTCTGGGCATCATTTGGAATCGTCCCTACCGCTGTAGTCGGTCATAGTCTGGGAGAGTACGCCGCATTAAACGTTGCCGGTGTTCTCTCCGACGCTGATACCGTCTTCCTTGTTGGTAAGCGGGCACAGCTCTTGGGGGAGCACTGCACTTTGCATACCCACAGCATGTTGGCGGCGCGTGCATCAGTAACTGATGTCGAGTTGGCCTTGGCTGGGATGGAACATGAAATCGCGTGTATCAATGCCCCGGAGGAAACAGTTCTGGCTGGCCCCAACTACCAAATCGAAGCTCTTCAGCAAACCCTTTCGCAAGCAGGTGTGCGATCCAAGACAATCCCAGTTCCGTATGCCTATCACTCCTCCCAGGTGCAGCCTATTCTGGATGATCTGGTCCAGGCAGCTCAGCCGATTGTTTTCAACAAGCCGTCGATCCCTGTTCTGTCGCCCTTGCTGGGTGAGATCGTGGAGACTAGGGGAATTTTTGGGCCAGATTATCTACAGCGACACTGCCGCGAGACTGTCAACTTCCATCAGGCAATTCAGGTTGCTCGATCTACGGGGGTAATCACTGATCGCACCCAATTCGTGGAGATCGGTCCGCATGGAGTAGTGACGGGCCTGATCAAGGCATCCTCCAAAATAGCTCACGCAGTGCCGACTCTGCAACGAGGGCATGACGACTGGCAGAGTCTGGGTGAGGCTATCTCAATGCTGTATCGTGCCGGGCTGGATATTGCCTGGAATGAATGCCATCGCCCCTTTGCGGCAGCGCAGCATGTCATTCGACTTCCAGCGTATAACTGGAACCTGAAAGATTACTGGGTTCAGTATGTCAATGACTGGTCTCTACGCAAAGGAGATCCACCACTGATCCAGAGCGCTCGTCTGGAGGAGTCGACTACTATCCATCGCATTTTGGAGGAAACCAAGGACGGTATTATGGTTGAAGCTGATCTGTGTCGCAAGGATCTGAGTCCGATTGTGCAAGGTCATAACGTGGATGGAATTCCTCTCTGCACTCCAGTTCGTTTCCCCTAGCCCCAGTGTTTGTAAACTTTCTGACTCTTTCTCTAGTCGGTGTATGCGGATATTGCAATGACGGTGGGTGAATATCTGCGTGGCCGGCACCAGTGCCAAGATGCCGACTCTGTGGTTGCCATCACCGATATGACCATCAAAAAGGCGCTTATTGCAAAATCCAGTGGCACGCATCTTCTGCGCGCAGCGACAACCGTTGATTGGGACGCAGGCAGTGCTCTGTGTCGATTCCTTTCTCTCGATGTAAGTCCAATCCAGATCGGCCATAAAAACGGTCATGCTTACTCTGGGATAGTCTAAGGGCCAGCCAACTAACGAACACGCGCACTGCACAATTCTGCTGTCAAGCCCAACTCGCCGCGCAGCCGCTGAAAAAGAACGTACTAAGATTCAGCAACGCATGCGCGAGATGCGTGAGGGCCTGGAGCCCGGCAAGACCCAGCGATTCAACCGCGCTATGGTGTACAAGATGATTCGTCCCTTGGCCGAATTCCATCAAGACTACCGCACGATTGAGGAGGTTATCATAGATAGCAAGACCCTAGAGGCGGCAGGTCGTGTATGCTTCTCTGAAGTACAATCTCCTGGAAAATTCCATACTCATCCCTCTTATCTCGACGGTCTGGCCCAGTCCAGCGGATTTGTGATGAATTGCAATGATGATGCGGACCTTGACCGGGAAGTCTTTGTTAACCATGGTTGGAAGAGCTTGCAGTTGTATGAGCCGTTACGACCGGATGCACATTACGCTACGTTTGTGCAGATGGTTGAGGGAGAAAGTCGCATGTTCGAGGGCGATATGATTGTGATGGATGGTGATACTGTTGTGGTGACTTTCCAAGGCGTGGTTGTGAGTTACTGCTGTCCTTCCCACAAGCATATCTGGCTGGAGATGCTGACTTTTATTGTGCAGTCTCAAGGTGTCCCAAGACATGTCCTGCGCTATGTGCTCTCGATGGAGAGTGGTGACCCAGCCCTTGTGGCATCTGCTAAAAAGGCTTTTGTCGCCTCTGCGAAGCAGGCACCCAAGGCAGCTGCCTCTGCACCAAAGAAGGTCGAGCATCGAGCTACTAATCCTCAGCCCAGTGCAACGCCTCCAGCCGTGAAGTCGTCACTACCGGCGGACTCATCTTCGCTCGTGGCATCCGCGTTGCAAACCATCTCGGATGAGAGTGGCGTAGCGCTATCCGAACTGGAAGACAGTTGTGTCTTTGCCGACATGGGACTTGATTCTCTGCTTTCTCTTGTCATCACTAGTCGATTCCGGGAGGAGCTGTCTCTAGATGTGCCTGTGGAAGGATTTTTCCTCACTTATCCCACGGTGGCTGATCTGAAAGCTTACCTCGACCAGCATCAAACCAACGAACTAGCACAGACATCAGTCCCCGCTGCGTCTGCTCCTGTTGGAGAAATCCCCATTCAAGTTTCCCAAGTCAAGGTCGTGTCAACCCCTTCCAATTGGACGACTGCACTGTCAATCATTTCCGAGGAGAGTGGAATCAGCATTGCCGAATTAACGGACGACTGCGTGTTTTCTGACATGGGCATCGACTCACTGCTATCACTTGTGATCGTCAGCCGGTTCGCCGAAGAGCTGGAATTGGATATTCCACTGGAATCTATCTTCACTGATTATCCGACCATTGGCGAGATCAAAGTCCTGTTTGCGGGGGATCGATCTAGTAGCGATAGTTCGAGTTCGGGCGACGATAACCACAATTTCACCCCAGCACCAGAACCTATCACCCCAGCGTCAGAAACATCAGACTACTTCCCGTCGCCTGGCGAGGACAAGGATGTAAAGCCAGCAGCTACGCCCGTGCCACGTACCACCTCAGTTCTCTTGCAAGGCTCACCATCCAAGACGGACAAGACGCTGTTCCTCTTCCCCGATGGCGCTGGCTCCGCGACCTCATACACAGGGATCCCTCGTGTCGACTCCAGCGTCTCCGTTGTGGGCCTGAATTCGCCTTATCATCGTCAGCCCCATCTTTTCAACTGCACCGTGGATGACCTGATCAAGAGCTATATCGAAGAAGTCCGTCGCCGTCAGCCTCGTGGCCCCTACCACTTTGGCGGTTGGTCCGCAGGTGGTATTTTGGCCTACCGCGCCACCCAGATGATGATCGAGGATTATCACGAACGAGTCGAAAGTCTTACTCTCATAGACAGCCCCGTGCCGCACGGGCTGGATCGTCTCCCGCAGCATTTTTATGACTACTGCAACAAGGTACACCTCTTTGGTAAGACCCAGGGCGACAATGCACCCACTCAGGTACCGGAATGGCTGGTCCCCCATTTTAATGCCACGATCGACACGCTGCACGAGTACTATGCTTCTCCGTTGACGCTAACTGACGCTAACAAGCCCCGCGTGTCGATGATCTGGGCTTGCGAGAGTGTCATGGACAATGCGGACATTCCACGGCCGCCCTCTTGTCCCGAGGACACGGAGGGAATGAAGTTCTTGACTGAGGCTCGTACTGATTTCTCAGATAATGGTTGGGGAAGGCTCTTCCCTGGGTGTAAGATTCTTATTGAGAAGGCTCATGGCACCAATCACTTTACAATGATGAGGGGAGACTTTGCCCCTAAGCTTGCATCGTTCATCTTTCAGTCGCTCGGATCTTGATTTTGTTGTTTTGATGTTTATTATCGCAGATTAAATTGGTATAGACTTCTTATATACACGATTCTCGCAGATCTGTGGATTTTGACTTGAAAAGGTGTAGAGTTGTAGGCATCATATACCGCTTCGTGGTTTACTGTCGACGATCATGATGCCAGCAAGACTGATTCAGGACATCGCGAGACAGCGAAGATCATACAAAATTGAATCTTATTGGGTTAATATCAACAGAGGGAAATAGAACAGTTAAACTGTCACGTCTTCTTGCTGGAATACTAGAAATTCATACTGGTCGGGAACAGTATAGAGACTGTGCTTACGGACAGTTGATTAACCCAGCACCATAACCAAGTTGAAATAGAAGTATGGATCATCAACATTCAACATCTAGAAAGCACTGTATTAACATTTCCTATCCCAGAATAGGCGGGCACCCCTCCAATCAACCAAAATCCACCGGACAAAACACCTACCCCAAACCCCAAGAAACAAGAAACAAGAGACTAACCAGCGCAAGAAACCCAAACCCAAAATTCAACCGTTATATAAAATCACAGGGTCACATATCGACATCGACATCACCAACAAACACCGCACCCCAGCCTAGCCCAGCCTAGCTCAGCGAGGGATATAGGTAAGTGGTAAGTAGTGATATGAAAGCAAAAAAAAGCAAAAGTCCAATCAAAGAGTGAAAAAAAAAAAAAAAAAACGACAACTTCCAACGCCAACGCTGCGAATGCCAGATGCCAAATCGAGGTTATTGTACCTGTTTCGGACTTGGACGGAGGAACATGAGATTAACGTGAATGTGAATGTGAATGTGAGATAGGGGGTGTAACCCAACCCCCTGGAAATAAATGCAAATGCAAATTGGAATGGAAACAGAATCAGGTATGAAGTGTGAAAATGTAGAAGGGGAGTATGTAAAACGCCTGCGATGATGATGAGTAGTTGCAATAGGTAGTTGTAAGATAAGCGTGGAACAAGGGATATCGTATCGGGATTTATTCTGCAATTCTGCACGTAGAAACGTAGATGAGAAGAGGGTGAGACAGAGTTTCTTAGGACGTAATTCGGATCTGAATGCATGAATCCAAAACCGAGTCGCATTCACAAACGTAAACTCGGATGCTATACCCGGTCCACGATCCGATCCATATACAAACGCACCACGAGACAACGAGATATCACCGACAATCCATAGGCCACCATGCGTAGGATTATTGCAACTCCTGTAAATCCAACTTCGGCGGCGCCCAATCCAACTGCGGCGGTTTATCGTCCGTGGCCACACAAACAGGACGCATACCCTCCACCCGCCTCTTCTCCTTCAAAGCGCTCCCCGTCAAAAAGCCCCTCAGCGTTGACGAGGCCATTCCATACGTGCTGCGTCCACTGCCAGCACCCGTCGACACGGTACTAGAGCTACGCGCGCTGCGCACGCTGTTCGCCTTCGTTACTGCTGCGGGGACGGCGGGGACGGGGAGGGCGAGGCGTGCTGAGGATGGGCTGGAGGGGTATTCTGGTGGGAGGGTGTGGGATGGATGGGATGGTTGGGAGCGGAGAGTTGGGGTGCTTTTCTTGCGGGATGTTGATGATTTTGGTTCGATGGTTATTTGGATGGGTTGGGTTTCGAGGCTGTTTGTGTTTGTGTTTGTTCGGGTGAGGTTGATAGGGATGGAGGTTGGGTCTGGTGGGGAGGCGTGGATTTCGTCTGCGGATATGGCGACTTCGAATTTGAGGTTATCGAGCATCGTGCCCAGGCTGGCGGCTGTACCAGGTCGACCGTCGCTGGCGGCATCGTCGAGCGTTTCGTCTATGATGCCGTTCGCGATGTTGTAGTTTCGAAGGAGATACCGTTGCAGACGAGAGACTTCCATGTCCCACTTGCGCTGCAAGGATTGTACTACCAGGTCCACGTTTTGACTGGCGAATGGGATAGAGTCAGGAGAGGGGACAGCGTTCGCGGGCATGTGTTTGGTGAGGCGATTACCGGCAGCACCAGGCCGCCCACTCATCGCAGCGTGTAAAGAGCGACGAATCGAAGTTGCCGTCGATGTCTGCAGGGTACTATTATCCCAGCGGACATTATCAACTTCCCGACGGACCTTGTCAAGGGAGAGAACTCTGTCGCGATCCATTCGAGAAAGGCTAAGAAGAGTCCGGTTGCACTGCAACCCGTTAACCAACACGGTAAAGGACTGAAGGTTGATATCGTTGTTCTCGCAATGCACTTCACGAAGGGATTCATTCTCCTCCAGCACCGAGGCCAGCGTATTGGCACCCTGAAGACCCAGCTTCTGATGCTCGATGCGCAATACCTTGAGAGACTTGTTCTTCTTCAAGCCTGTCAGCGCGAGATTAAGGCCGATTCCAAACCGAGCAACATCCAGATGCGCGCTCTCCCCGCTAATATCAAAAGCTTCTAGAGTCTCGTTCTCTTCGAACATCAACTGCAGCATACGGCAGGTTTCCGGACCCGCATCGTACGGCAGGGAAGCCTTGGAGATATCCAGGTACCGCAGGGTCCGGTTCTTGCGAAGCGAATCAACAAGTTCTCGGAAATGCTCCTCTTTCTTGAAATCGATCATCTGCATGGATAAGTGCGAGGGCGTCATATTCTTGCCGATGGCGTCGAACAGAAACGAGCAGCCATTATCAATACGGTTCTCGTTGACATGCAAGTGCAAGCTCCGCGGCGAGTCTGGTTCCAGAGACATCGAATGCAGGAACATGGCAACGTCTTCCCCGCTCAACCCACACTGATCGAGTCGAAGCATGCGCAAGTTACGCGAGCGGTCGCTGGCCAGATACGTGGCGATGGAATCCACGGTCTCGCGATTGACAGCCGTCCGGCTGAGAACTAGTTCCTCGAGCTGCCAATTGAACAGCATTTCTGCCGTGATCAGCGGCTCGGGGCCGGACGTGCGCGAAATGCGGGAGAGATTGATCTTTCGAAGCTGGCCAAAGTATCCAATATACTGATGCAGCATGTCCGGACTTAGTCGACCCTGCACTCCGGAAATATTGATAACTTCGAGGGTCTTTTCCTGTGCGACAAGAGTTGACAGCAAAAGGTCCAGATCGTGCACTGATAATCCACAGTCGCCGACTTCCAGTGCTCGCAGGTGACTCCTCTTCTGCGACGCCGCATCCACCAGGTAATCCAGATCCGACTCGCCAAGTTTGATACCATTCAGCACAACCCAATTCACGCTGGTCAATTCCCGACGACACACGGGGAAAATGGCTTCTGGGATTCCGCAACCGGGATCACGACTGCCCTTGTCCAAAGTGGGCGTGCGGGTCAGACAGTATGCAAAGTCGAGTCGACGCAGCCATTTACTTTTCAATGCCAACGCGCGTACCTCTTGTGACAGGACGGTCAAGTTGGCTTGACCTGGAATTTGTACAAGACATCCTGATCGGTCGAGGTGGACGTCGACATCCACGCCATGAACATCTCGCAAGCCCTGCAGCGCATCTAGATTGATACCGCGGAATGAAATCGACCGGAAGGACTCGTTGTATCGCAGCGCACGCATAACCGCAATCAATTCCAACGCGCTGTACCGCGAATTCGTCGGAGACGCGGGTCGCAAAAGATGGAAGCATGGAGCATCCTCGCAGTCCAGGTCAATCGTGTATCGGATGTTGGAGGTATCCACGTCGTAACTAGCAGAATAAGCAACCAAGGTCCGATCAAAGCAGCCATAGTCTTCATCCAAAGTGACGGGTGGAAAATTTTCACCATTATGCAATTCCCGGGGAACTACAAAGTCGTACGGTTGTCTTGTCCACAACGGGCGCAGAAACTGGGTATGTTGTCGGATCCAACGGGCCACCTCTACTGAATGGACCGAGGCCAGGAATACGTTGAAGGATTTCCGCAGAGGGACCCTAGAGGTATGTGTAAGCGGGATGTCGTTTGCAAGATTTGACGATGACTTACCGAAACGTTAGATGCAGACTATCATCGCCGTACTCCATGGAAAGACCCGTCAGATTCATAAGACCAAAGGAGGCACCCGTCTCCAGATCAGACAGAGACACGACCGACGACCGATTGGCAGCCTTCTGCATGGGTATCAGGTGGACCTTGTGTAGACCAATGGCTAGGTAGCACCCCGTGGGCGATAACTTTGTCAGATCATCCGAAGACGAACGAGTGGGAGACTTGCTAGACGCAATCTGTATGACACGGAACATCCGGAAAGCGACCGGATCATAATCTCGTTCGTGTTCCAACATCCGGGCCACGTACTCGACGGAGCCCCGATTGAACGGGAGGGGATCGTTGGACCGCGCCATCGACGCGGCCTGGCGAATTCCAACCATCCAGAGATTCAATTCCTGCAGATCGGCGGTCTGCATTTGTATCAATGCCGCCTTGTGGGTACGTTCATCGAGATAAGCCACTTCCACGGTAGGCGAGAGTCGTCCATCTTCTAGCATGTACACTGCAATGATACTGTTGAGCGGAATACCGGCAGACGCGTCGGTCGAAACCATCACCTGCATGTCCTGCAGCGAACTGATCGAAGCTACGGATTGACGGTTCGACGCCGGGGCCCGGGCATTGTACGAATGCGGAATCGAGGGAAAGGCATCGGCAGCCTTGGCTTGATTCTTAAATCGAACCAGATGCGTGTCCGTGAGAACAAGGTACTGGCTCTTCCGCTTCCACATACCACCCATTGTCTGAATCTCGCCATGATGGAGAATTGCAGACGACCAGATCCCATTTCGGGGACTGCTTGCGCTCTGCGGATCATCTCCCAGGGAAGCAATGGAGGCACTGAGGGGATCATCATCTTCACCAGCGGGCATCGACTTCAATGAGCCAAAGACGGAGGCTCGTTTCTTCTGCAATGATTTCCGCCCAGGCCGGGTGGTCTCGAGGGGCGGTGGTTGCGCCGACCAGGCGGCGGTGTCCGAGCCTGCGGTGCCCGGCCGACGGAGGACATTCCCTCCACTGGCCCATCGGTTGGGACTTTGGGACCGGCCAAAGAAGCCCGAATTGCGACGCGCTTTCTTCTCTCGAGCGAGGATATCATCGGATGGAGTGCGAGCATGAAGAGCGGGCCGGGCCGATGTGACAGACGATGGGCTAAAGACGCTGAGAGATTTTCTTCGTTCTCTTTTGCCGATGATAAGTTCGGCCATGGTCGAGGATGGACAATTGACCGGTTGAGGAAGCGAGGGAGAGAGGTGGGGGAGAGAGGACCACAAGGTAGATTGTTATTGAAGCGAGCGTGAGCGTCGGAGACCGAGATCTGCGGCGCGAAGAGTAGGCGGGAAAAGCAAGCTGTATCTCATTGACGACCCCCAACGTCGTTCTCACTGGATAGGTCCGGTTAGAATTGCAATGCACTGGCCATATCATCTACACCATCCAGAGCTAGGCCTGGCTTGCAGGAGAGTCGGGGAAGGTGGGATTGAAAAGCGGGGGTAGAGGACCGGGGGAATGTTCAGATGGAGATGGGGGGAGGGGAGGGAGTTGTAGCGTACAGTCAACCTTTACGGCGCCATGAGAAGAAGCAATTGGGATTTTTGGGAGGCGAGATGGTTGGAATCCACCAGGGTAGTTTCCGATGCGGCTGTCAAAGGAGGTATATGGGGGGGGAGAAGTGTGTGTCGAAGCCGGAAATCTCCAGACGCGTCAGTGGCACCAGTCAACACTGTGGCGAGGTTGGAGGGGAAGGGAAACAAGGTGGGTTGATGATGGTTGCACCAGGCGAAGAGAAGATAAAGAGAGCGACAGGAACAGACAGGAACAGAGACAGCTTAACAGCTTAGAGGGTCCGGAATTGGGGTGGGGGGGGAATCTGGAGCTGTTCTGGTACGGTTTAACTAGCAAGAAGGAAGAAAGAAACGAGGAAAAGAGAAAAGAAAACCAAAAAAAAAAAATTAAAACTAAAAAATATGAGCTCCAAAAGGGCGGTGATCCAGTCGACTAGTCCGATATGCAGCCGTTCTTCTTTTTCCCTGTTACGACTTGCGGTTGGGAGCAGATGCTTCCAAAGCTAATCCGACCGAAAGATGAGGTCAGAGATGCCGATCAACGAGAAATGGGCTTGGACAGACCGAAAGGAACCGGGGATGATTATTGGCGAGGATCGGAGAAACTCGAGAGAATCGGGTTATGTAAGTTGGGCAAGACAGGCAAGACAGGGATTAGTCCGAGCGCTTGGACGCGAACAGAGAGAGAGAGAGAGAACCCGAGACGGAGAATGGACGAGCGCGGCGATAAGAGGAGGAATACAGACAAGGGCGTGGAGTTGAGATTCTCGAATAAAGAAGAAACAAGAAAAAGGAGGTGAGGAATGGACGGATGCAGGTTCAACCAGTTTAAACGAACGAGAAACGCAACACCAAGTGGGTGTTTCAGGCTCGGCTCGCTCGTCGTTTTCGGTCGCTTTTGGTCTGTTCTATCTTGCAGGAGTCAGTCCAGATTTCTATTTTCTATTCCGATGTCTCGTACTTTGTCTTCCAAGGTATACGGAGTACGGAGTACATACAAAGTATATACTACTATTCCCTAATCAACTGCAACACGATACCCCAACCCCAAGAATAGTACCATTCCCCCACCCTACTACCGGACTATCCCCATAGGAGTAACACTCCCAATAAACTATTCTCAAACATAGCCTCTCGTCAGCTCCAGCCCCAACGCCCACCGCCCGTCTGCTAAGACATGCGTTCACGACTCGCAACTTGTCGAATTGCATCCCGCATGCGAGCGGGCGGGTTCCCCCCCGGGCCACGTAAGAGGCGGGCTACTTACTCCACACCCCGATCGGTTGAGATGGATTAAGTACGGAGGCAATAAATTAATTCCTGTAGCGCCCTATCAGCATCGAGGACGGGGTGAACTCCTGTACAGTAGTAGCTTGACCTTGGCCACCGTTCTACCGGCAGGGATCGTGACTGGTTGGGTCTTGGTTGTCCCGCAGGAACTACTGTACTACTGTACTGGGATCCGGCGCTAGGCCCTGGCGGGATATAACTAACTACTGATACTGTACGTAGTAAGATAGTACATACAATAATAATGGATTAGCCTACTGGAGTTAACTAGTACATATAGGTGCTGACAGCCTTGGAATAGTGCTGATTAACTAGTAGTGTCTTGATACCCACAGATAGAACTATGGAAATTCTACAAGCTACTACGGTACCTCCCCTCGAGCTATCGTCATACCGGTCAATCAGTACATACAGTACTTTCTAAGTACCTTCCCCACAGACGAACACTCAATACAAATAGTCAAGTCCTACAACCCAATTCCTGAGAACATCCCAATCTCCCCAGTCGATCTCCGCGGATCCACCATGATCGCCCACTTACGCACCACGATGGATGCCCCAGCCTCCAGCCTCCAGCCTCCCGGGGTCAGTCTGACGCGATGTCCCCAGGCCTAGGGCTCACGAAAAATGGAGATCCCAATACTGTAGATCAACACACGGACGGAGTTTGATTTCCCCAAGAAATAATGGTTGCGTGTTGTCATGACAATTGACGTCATATCTTCGACGTCCGAACAAGCAACTCATCGCCGGTGCTGCGAGGACGGAGTACAATTGTGGTTTCTTGCCCTTTTTCCTCCTGTTACAGTATGTCCCGGCTACCAGCAATATCGTACTGTACAACCTGTTTTAATACCGATATCCAAGCGCCCGATATGACCGACTCCGTAACGGCCATCAATTCCTCCCAACCAACTTCCGAAACACCCTTCCCTAATCCCCCTCCACATAGTTCATTTCACGGCCGAGACCCATGCTCCCGCTGCGCCTGAAGCCGCTCCGCACGCTTAATCCGCCTCATAATCTCAATATACTCGTTAACCCGTCTCTCGGCCCAAATACATCCCCCCAGGGTCATCGCCGCAATCTGCAGAAACACCTTGAACTGCGGCGTCAGGCCACGGTACACCCGCGACGCGGGCGAGAGCCACTCTGAGAATCCTTCTAGTGGTTTGTAGAAGAGGCGCGAGCGGAGGTATTCGCGGGAGAAGGGTGATGGGCGGGGACGGGGGTGGGATTCGGGCGTGGTGGTGGTTTGTGATGTTGGTGTCGTGAAGGTGAAGGGGTGTGGGAGGATCATTATCATGTGTGCTAGGATGGAGACGGAGCCGAACTAGTGGTTGGGATGGTTAGTAGGTGATGGCAGAGGAGGAGTATATGTCGTTTGTGGTGGTAAGGCGAGAACTTACGCGGAATACGCCCGTCATGAATCCTTTGGCGGCTTCGGTGGTGATCTCCTCTGGGGGCTCGATATCGGCCCTGTGGTTGGATGGTGGTGGCATATTGAGAGTGAGGATGTAATAGTATAACCGTGGGCTAGAAGACTGTCTTGCCCTGGAAAGCTTGAGCTCTCGGTGCGGTGCGGGACAAGAAGGGAAGCACGGTAGTCTCAAATGTATGGAATTGTCAATCCAGCGAATCAGGCACGAATCCAATAGTAATCCAGAGCTGAAGCAAATCCAAACAGGTAAGAAAAAAAAAATATAGTGCAATCCCGGACCAGCCAGACAGATTCAGTCGAATATTGGAATTCAGTAGCTTAGTTCCCTATCTTGATGTCAGAGCAAACCCCGAAATCGCCAATCACCGACCCGGATCAACGATAATCCCGATAGCCACTCCGATAAAAGACAAATCCGATTATCACCGACCCTCACCCCGAAATCCAATACACTCATTTCCTCTCCCTCTCAATCTGCAACTTCACACCCAATCCCACCATGCCTCTCCCCGCCCGCACCGCGACCGTCTCCCGGTCCACCAACGAGACCAAGATCCAGGTCTCGCTCTCCCTGGACGGAGGCGTCCTCCCACCCTTCGAGCCGATGTCGCACTTCCCCCCATCGACGGACCCCGCCGAGGCCGAGGCCGAAAAGAAGGGCATTGTGCCGATTAAGGGTGCCCACCATGCGACGCAGTTCACGCCGACCCAGCAGATTACTATTAGCACAGGCATTGGGTTCTTGGACCACATGTTGCATGCGCTGGCGAAGCATGGTGGGTGGAGTTTGGCTGTGCGGGCTAAGGGCGATTTGTACAGTGAGTCAATCAATCACCTTCTCCTTATACATCATGAATTCATTACTTCTTACTAATTCCCCGTCCAGTCGACGACCACCACACAACAGAAGATACCTTCCTCGCCCTCGGCACGGCATTCACAAAAGCCCTCGGCGCCCGCCAATCCCTCGCCCGCTTCGGCCGCGGCGACGCCCCCTCGACGAAGCGCTTTCCTGGGCCGTCATCGATCTCTCCAGCCGTCCCTGGGCAGTGATCAACCTTGGCTTCAAGCGCGAGAAGATTGGTGATCTGAGCACTGAGATGATCACCCACGGTTTGCAGAGCTTTGCGCAGGCGGCGGATGTCACGTTGCATGTTGGCTGCACTTATGGTGATAATGACCACCATCGCGCGGAGAGTGCGTTTAAGGCGCTTGCTGTTGCGATCCGGGCGGCGACTGCGCGGAGGGTTGAGGGGGAGGTTGGGGCGGGGGATATTGTTAGTACAAAGGGAGTTTTGTAAAGTAAAGATGGTGGGTGGTAATTTCTTGATGATGATGATGGATGAGTTGATATACCACGTTTTCTTGTTTGTTGTTTTTGGCGGATAGACTTAAAAGTTGTGAATACAGTATATACTATGGAGAATTCAATGACTCCTGAATTGATCTACCGTTGCAGATATCTTCTAATGGTTCAAGTGGGCTGCTGGAACTGGATGTGCCTAGTCTCTTACTTGGTGGCCATCCATTCAAGCTCATCAATGCCAAGCTTCGGACCTCAAGGTTGATACTCCGGGTCCACTCCTCTAGTGTAGACCTATCTGGACGAAGTCCACATGTGGATCATCTCACGTTGTATATTCTCCGTACTTCTTTCTACCTTCTAGCTCGCCTCTTGCGTTTTGTTTCTCACTCTAATATTTAATATCAATAACGTGGTTCGGAACAGGGTTGAGAAGACTCGAGTACAGAGCGCTACCAGAAGAGACAGTCTATGCTCTAGGCATATAATCAGCGAGCCAGCATTTTCCCAGAGTAAATACAAAGTCTAGCACATCTCTCCCTCTTGAAAATCAAGTATTCCTTTCTATAAACCAACTCTTAGCTTCCGTATAGATAATATCAGGTATCAGATGACGCTCTTTCCCCTCCTCTCCTCTCCTCCCATGTATCTCATCCTCACCGCTGGATTCGAACCTCACTCCAGAAACCCTCTCCAAACAAACAAACCCCACCCTCATCACCAATTCCAAAGAACAAAGAACAAAATGCCTTCAACCGACGCTCTCGTATGATACCCTCCCAATCAACCCAAAAATCATGCGAATGATTGCCCGAAGAACCCCCTCTCACATATCTGAACGGGCAATTGTCAAGTCCTTCGGCGGCTGGTCAATGTTTCTGTACTCGTCCCAATTGAAGCCATGGAATGAGGAGGATGCAGAGGAGGGACTACGAATTCTTAAGGCGCTTGTTGAGATGGAGGACGAGGAGGAGTCACAAGTCGATGACGATTCTATGAGAAATACGTCTGATGGAGCAAGTGACGAACATGGGAAGAGATATTGTTTACTCTGTTGAGTAGTGGCTGATTTGTGAATCACTCGAGATGAATGGAATCAACACTGTTTAAAAGAGACTATCAAAACGCCATGTAAACCATACACGCCAGTAAGCGAACGCACAACTCCCAGAAAAATAAACCGGTAAAATCACCGCCCATCAAAGAATCGAAGAACCAGCTCCGATGCCATACCAAAAACTCCAAATACCAATCCCAATCCCAATCCTATCCCAACTAACCCCCCACCTAAACAACTAAACACCAAGAGCCTGAACAGCCCTCTCCCAATAACTCTTCCTCTCATCCGTAACACTCGTCCCCACACAATCACTAATATACCGCTCCCACCCGGCCTGATCGCCCTTCTGCAGCGCAGCCCGCACATCAGCCGTACACTGCGTGGTGAGGAACCACGCGCCGGACCCGAAATCAAAGGCCTCGTTTGCGCGGAGCAGGTCTAGTAGGTCTGCGGGGGAGTCGGACACGGAGGCGAGTTTGTCTGCTAGGGAGGGGAGGGAGGAGGCGTATTTTTTGTTGTAGGTTGGTGATTGCATGTTTCGGGCTGGTTGAAGAAGGGTTAGCGCTAAGTTGATTGCTTGCTTGCGTATGGTATCTTTGGAAGATGGGAGGTGTATAGATTGAGATTGAAACTTGTGTCTTTTAGGAATGGGGTGCATGTATAAACGTACTTCCCTGCCCGGCAACACCGGGGAAATGATTCTTGTTATACTTGAAATCCAAACTTTCAAATGCCATCAGACTGATCACGGCGGCTTGCTCGGCCTTGCTGGTGACGCTGTACGTATCGAATGATTGGGCTGTGTACTTGGCGGCTGTATCTGCGGTTGCGCATTCGCCCACGGCGGGCGGGTTGTCGCATGTGTTGGATGTTGGGGCGATAGTTAGGATTTGGGCTTCGGTTATGGCGGTGTCGGATTTGGTTTTGGTTTTGTGGAGGGGTTTGTGGAGGGGGTGGGCTGTTGAGAGAGACAGGGTGAGGAGGAGGGTGAGGGGGGTGAGGAGGTGCATTTTGTAAAGTGTGGGATGAGGTGGTTGTTGATAGTTGTAGTGGTTGTAGGGTTTGGTGGTTTGATAGTTTGTTTATAGATCGATGGAGACAATGGATGGAAGAGACTAGCAAGAAAGAATGGACAAGTTGTGGTGACAGAGTCGATCAAATCAAGTTGAAAGTAGATTGTAAATGGCAACTCTTTTGGATACTTGTCGCAGTCAAACACCAAGTCAGTCAGTCCTGAATACTGTCCCTTCCTATTAACCCAAGGCAAGGGTTATACCTATACCTTATATACCCTCACGCCAAACCCCATCCACCCACTAAAATGTGACCCGAAACAAGGGCAAAATGGCATGATACATCACACATTACAACCTACACCAGTAGATACAATCAAATGCCCCGAAACCACTAACATTGCAAATTAAGGAGTTGTGGTGGGAAAAGTCTAAGCTAGGAGAAGGGGGGTTGGACATGTCTCCTCTCCGTCATGGGGAATGCGAGATTCAACCGCGTTGTCGAATGCCAATGCCAATGCCAGTGCCATTGCCTGCGGGACGCGGATGGTATGAATGAATGCTCTACGCCACACTTCAACTACTCAGCAACTACTGTAGTATTACTGTAACTATCCACCTACACCACAGGATAGAATGTACCAGCCATAGAACGCATAATACAACAGCGCAAAGTACGGGGTCGAGGTCATACACAACTCCCAATCTATACAGCAGATTCAATATTAACGATAGGATTCGTCGAACCAGTCCGCCCATGAAACCCCCTCGCAAAAAGTCGCGATCCAGTTAAACCCCAACCCCCAGAAACCCTAAAACCCCATGGTCAGGAGGATCATGGTACGGTAGTAGATTTGGGGGGGGTTATGTCAGGGACTATGGTGGGTTATGTATGGTTGGGGGTTCTTATTGGTTGAGTAGGTTTAAGACTCAAGAGTGTGCTACTGTAAGTAGTTGCACCACTGGCAGTGCCCACGAGGCAGGGTAGCAGGGTCTAGCTAGGGGTTATGTTTCAGGAAGCTGAAACGCTGAAAGGCGGAAGTAAACTTTGGGTATGGCGGTTGGTTGGTTGAGAGGAGCCGACCCGTTGGACTGTAGCCGCTAGTTTACAGGACTACATCATTCGCCTGAATTCGAGCTATAGAAACCTTTACTTGACGAAGACAAGAGAAATTGATAAGCCCATTTGAAATAATTGAATTTGATATTATTCAACAGAGATACATCCATTCACAAATATCCATATGCCATGTCCATCTCCATACCAAGGTGCAAGTGCAAGAACCAGGCAGAATCCAGGCCCCATCCAATCCCCAAATCCCAGAATCAATCCCACATCTTGTTCCAGAATCATCACCCTTCTTCATCCCAAGAATGGAAATCTAGGAATGTTGTTTAAAATTGGTAGCCAATAAATAGACGGGAAGGAAGAAGAGATGATAGCATCCAGGAGGTAACGGGGACGTGAGACCAGGTAGTGGGATGGGTAGTTCGAGGTCGGACACTGTAACACATCACATGGGTAGATCATGCGATGCGATGCGATGCGATGCCGTAGCAAAATCGAGTTCCAAGGCGGCTCAAGTGCCCCAGTTCAAGCTTGCAATCCGGATTCTGCCAAACCAGACAGGACAGGACACCATGCAAGCGCTGCAAAACAGCGCATCCCAAATAAAATGGGAAACAAACGGGTCGACGAGTTCAAGGAGGTTCATACCCCTTTCATCGCAATCATCGGCGCAGGTCGGAAAAAAAAGACATAAACGAGAGAGGTTATACAACGCATTGTATGTAATGCTGATATGATGCAGATCGTAATCCAGGCCGTATCGATACAATAAACGGGTGTCGAGGGTGGTAAATAGGTTTAGTCGGGTTGATAGTGACGCACATTGTAACCGTCGAGTTCAAGGGCGGTTCAGTCGATGAGGTAGTGTGGGAGAAAGAAAACAGAGATAGCTAAATAAAAATCACACGCCAGCTGGAAATCAAGAGTTGAAGGAAGCCAGGGATGAATCAGTCGTCGCGGCGACCGAGTTCGTAGGAGGTCTCGGTCGCCCCGCCGATTTCTTCATCTTCCTTGAAGCTCACGCTGCGCAGCAGCGTGGGCATCATCCGGCGAGCGCGACGGGTGGGAGAGGATGACAGGCGCGGGCTGATGATGGAGGGAAGTTTGGTGTAGCGATAGCGGTATTTGGCGCCGAGTAGCATGATTCGGCCGTATGTCCACCACAGGCAGATACCGACGATACCGGCGACGATGAATCCGCAAAAAGTGAGTAACACCCAATGTTGACCCATCTAAACAAGTAAGATTAGTGATTGCGACGGGATAAAGGGGAGGGGAACGTATCTTACCCAGAAGATGAAGTGCGCGTCCTTGCCATGCCAGCTGTTTCCCGTGTGATGCGTGAAGAAGCTCCACGAGAACTTGTTATACTCATCCTGCATCAGGATGCGCACGCGCCCGGATTCGCTAGGCTTATCCTGCATGTACTCCTTCCAGATAACTGACAAGAACAACGGACCCGTCGAGTACATCACCGTAATATAGGGTAGCACCCATTTGCGGTCGTACTTTTGCAGCAATTCAATCACGCGCAGGAAGAATGGATGCTGTGGCACGGAGCCCATGGCGTCGTTGGATATACCAGTTGGCACGGTGCGACGAACCCAGGCGGGGTAGGCGAGGAGCGGGTCCAAACGACGATTGCAGCCCTGTAAATATAATGAGAACTGGCTCAATTGAAAAGTCAATGCGTAGATTAAGGAACGTACATCATCTAGATCGATATAAGTGCCACCGTAATGCGCCAGCACAAAGTAGCGAATCGAGTCTGCGCGCTGGATGGGGTAATTGTATCCGTCAAAGGTATCCAGGAACCAGGGGTACTCGGCGGCGATGAAGTCGCGAGACTTTTCGTTAGTCCACAGCTGCGCGAGAGTTAGCCAACTTGTGCCCAACTAATATACAGCTTCAATCCTGTGCTGGAAATGTTCCGTGTCCACGTACAATATACTCATAATCCGGGTGCAAGTCAATGCAGCTCTGCTGGGCCTCGCGCCACACCTCGGGGATCGTCTCATTCTTGTAGGTCTGGTGAATGATCTTGGGAATGATTTGAGGCCTTGTCTCGATCAGACTGGAGTTGGGAGATGGCAGCTCCGCACGGTGGATGGCATCTGCGGAAGCATCTTCCACCAACAAGGAGAGCAGGGTTGACACGCTGCGGACCAAGAGTGTGAGGATGAGCAGGTTGACCAGGATGAAGATCAGGAGACCGCGCCGCATGGTGGGTGATGTGTTGCGACGATGTGTCGCGTAGAGGGTTTAGAGGTGAGGGAAGGTTGTTTGTTCTCCGCCGGTCAACAGTCAATCCGTCCAGGGGTTTCTGGTGTCGACGATTGAAGGGCGATATGCAGTTTGTGCAATTGAATTTGTACACAGGCAAAGTCGTCAAGTCGTGTCGTGTGAGGGACTCACAGGCCTCCGAGGGCCGTTCGGGGGGAGTAAGATCGATCTGGCGAGCGATCTCCGCGGTGTTCGTTGGACGTTCGTTAAGGGGGGTGGTTGTATTAAGCCGCGGGTTGGTTCTCGCCTTTAGCAGGTCAAGATCATGGAGAGAGTAATATGGGGGCGGGCGCGCGTATATTCAGAGGGAGGAGGAAGAGAGACGGCGAGGGAGAGTGTCGAGTAGTTGGAGTTGTTGGTTGAGCGGAGGAGAGATTGGTGCCGTCGGGTAGAAGTTAGGAGAGTGAGAGAGCGGGTTGGAGAGGAAGCCCCAACATAGAAAAGGGTTAGAGTCGAAAGGAAATCAATCTCCAACCAAAAAGAGGAAATCCAAAAAAAAAAAATACGAGAACTAAAAGGGGAGGATCATCGACGATAATAAGGAGCGACAGGTGGGGAAAAGGCTAAGGCCGAAGAAGAAAGGAGCGAATGTTGAAGGTTGAGGAGGAACAGGAAAGGACCGAACGTTAACGCTGAACTTTGGAGATGAGCCACCTGGTAATTAGGTAATTCTGGTACCGCCTGGTATTGGAAGTCTGGTAAGCCTGGTCATTTGTGGTCAAGTATGGTAAATTACCAGTACCAGGTCTGCCAGGGGCGGATCCAGTCCCCAAAGGCAAGAGGCAAAAGGCAAAAGGGTCATTAGGGCTCCGTCATTGGTCCCAGCTCCACTTTTGGTTGCGTGGAAATGCGTGGTGAGTGGGGGAGAAGCTTACTCTTTTTTTCTCTTTCGCATGATTTAGTTTTAGTTTCTGACCAAGAAAAAAAGGTGAGAAGAAGTGGTTGAACCATGCAAAGTATGAAGTACTGGGTATTGGAACCATCATCGCCATCTTCCAATGTCCAAGGCCTTGGCTCTGTCCAGTGCTGATGTACAGACCGAGGCTGAGCGTCGTGGCTGTGGCAGATTACCTCAAACTGACCCGCTGTGATTGGTGGGCTGGGGGATCCAGTGGGGCAAACTCCTGACGGGCGTATTATTGGTGTAAGACTCGGTCATCCTGGTGTCAACGGTGGTAATTATCGTCGTATGAATCAGGTCTGCCGGTTCAGTCGGATCAAGTGGTGGCCAACATTCAACGAGTACGCAGGCCCGATCCATACATTCATCCATTGAGAACAGGCTACAGTACCGCCATCTCTACTGCTGTACACTCTTCACTTCCTGTGGTTACTTGGCTGCCTTGCCTTGCGCCTCTCGAACCAGGCTGTGCACGTGGCGCTCAACGGGAGCTAACCAGGGAATGGTTTATCTTTTGCGAAGACAGGTTCAGTAGAGAACTTGAGAATGGGGCTGACATCCTGGACTTGGTAGGGAGTATGAATGGGCATCCTACCACGCAGGTTCACTGTCTTTTTATCATCTGTTTATCCTACAGAAAGCCCATCGCTTAGCGCCCAGTATAAGCACTAGGTAAGCATAGACATTCCCGAGAACTATCAGTCCTGCTATAAACGAAGTATAACCTACAACGCCTACCCATTCGAGCCCACGCCCTTAACAAACCGATACCTATGGTTCCAGGTTGTAGAGCTCAACTACACCTGAGGTTACTGGCTCACAGCTTCCTGTAGTGCCCCGAATTTCATCAACTCTTAGGTCTAGAACCATATTGAGCCACATTTTGATGTGAGAATTTCCCTCGCACTGCATAACTATGTAGTACCGTAGTTATGTCTGCCCGGAGTACTCCGTACATAAGCATCAGCGGGAGTCGGGGATCGGAGGTTTCGAATACCTACCCGGCGCTGTCAAGGCCGTTCCCGTGTGGCGGTCCCCGGTTAACTGCTCCGAAGTACCCTGCGAGTCTGCGACCGTTAAGACGTTGGACGTGACGGGTTTGCGTCAAGCCGTGGCCAATAAGCCTATGGTGTTGGGCCGGTGACATTGACTGCAGAAGTATGGAAAGTCTAATAGTAAGGTACGACTGCAGCCTACAGGAGATGGAACTCCGTATGGGTTCTTGATGAGTGAGTTTTTCGACGCAATGATTGCCTAAATAGGTAGGCTGTTCGGCCGAATAGTTCAACCTCGGTGATTATTTGTGGTTATTACTGTAGGATAGTAAGATAGAATGTACAATATTTGCTCCGACCCAAATTCTAATTATCCAGATGGTTCAGGGCGTGTATTATAATCGTTGGTGTGCTCTAGTTTGTCGAGTTATTTACGCTATAGGCGATTATTGGAAGTACATGTGGTGCACGGTGCAAGGAGTTTCAGTTTCATCAGAGCAAGAAGAGAATACGAAACATCGTCTCCCATTATTCTCTTCGAATTGGCTCACAAGTCCGCTTAACTAATCCATGGGTGGTTCTAACCTCCCAGCTGGAAGGAAACTAGCGATATCCTACTGTACTACCGTACTGTAAATCCATAACCATAACCTCCGTACCCACCCTTCTACGGCCGTACTCGTATCCTCGTATCACCGTAAAAAATCTCCTCCACGAGTCCTCGTCCCCGTCCCTTCTTTTTTCCCCTCAACGCGTCGTCACGGGCCAACGAGTCTAACCAAACCAGGTATAGCACACACCAGTGTTCCCCTGTTTCTTCCCCACGGCCCCCAAATACTGTAATTATCCAAATCGCTAACTAGCAGTACTAAACCTCCTACTACTAGTAGGCCGAGGAGGACCATGTTAACTAACCCATTAACCCCCAAGGAAGGGAAATAAAAGTTGAGGACTATTGGTGGCGGATCTCGCATGACACTCCACTTCCGGCGTGCGAAAGCGAGATACATACCCTATTCGTGGTTTGGTCGGGATTGTGCTAGCCGTGGTTCGGTTGGCGGCTGGGCCTGGTTTACTCCCGGGGCCGGGGGGGTGTTTTGCCATCCCGACCGTGGTGGATGTGAGTTGGATATGGGTGGGAACTTGGAACTGCCTTTATGGTGGAGTACGGTGGTTTGGAGGGATGTTGTAGTAGCGTAAGGAGCTTTTGTTCTCTTGAGATCATTCCAGATAAGGATGTGCTTGTGACGAGGTTGAGCAGATTACTTGAACTGTATCACGATACTAATCGCTTCCTGTTATTGGCGGTGCTCTAGTATCTACACTACTGTAGATACCTTTGACTCTAGTTATACCAAATACTCAGCAACCACTCCATCCACCACAAATAAATCCCTCCCATTCTCCCTACCAAGTCCAAGTCCAAGTCTACCTACTTTCCTCCCCAGACACGGTGCTCTCCAGCCTCCAACCCCAACTTCCAACCTCCAGATTCCTGCCCGTTCAATACAAGATCGGCGCTCGGATCGCGATCAATGACGTGAGTGGACTAGCCACCCCGCCGGGGTAAGGACTATCTGCCCATGCTTCATCGCCATAGCCACGATGCAAGCATGCTTCCATTGTGCCGAAAACTTGTTGGTTTTACGGTAGAGTTGAGGTATTATCTTGTTTTAGTTCATTAACTATACTCCGTACTACAGTATGTACAGTACATCATTACTACGGTATCACGGCTGGTCATCATGTATCCACTATGTTGGAAAGATAACCCCACGTTGTACGTTAGTAGTCAAGTAAATACTATGACTGCATGGCCGTATCCCGTACACATAGACAAGAATAGAATACGGTCCTGCTTGGCATCAACGAAAAGGCTTGGGTATTCAAGGGTCCAAGCCGACCAATAGGGCCTCGTACAGGCATCGAGTGATCGGATCGGTAGATGCGAGTGGTTGATGCTTATTAGGGACTGGGCTTGGCTGGGGTCCGGATTGGGAGGGATGCTGCTGTCAGGTCTGGCTTGGGGGCCTCGGCGTGATGTGTGATGTGCGATGTGATGTGAGGGGAGAGAGGCTGTGAAGTGGACGGGTCTGGTATAGAATACGAAGTAGCGAGATTAGTGTCGGTGCCGTAGGTTGGAAACAAAGTACTGTAGCTCGTTTCACTGGACGGCAGGATTGAGCTGTCATCCTTGCATACTTTTGTCGCGTATATTACGACGAGGCACAATCTGCAATTGCAACCGGACTTGGATACACGAATGCTTTTTGTTTTAAGATGTCCTGACTAAAAGTCTGTTCGCCCACAGGCTAGTTTTGAAAACATGTTCAACCAGGGCAAGTCTCGAGGTAGCATATACGTTCTTCACTCTCCTCTCTAGTTACACGCTGACTTGGCAATTCTTACATTGAGTACTCCCATGTAAGGAGACGAGTGAATGAATTAACTAAAGCTAATAGGGTATCTTCGCTATGACTAACTTGAAACAAGCATGCAAATTTTTCCAAGCATAACATCTGCCGCCATCTTTCACCTTGCCATACCATCTCACCAACACGGGCAAGAGCATGTATAGGGACTGGCCCTTGTACAATGTCAACCGCACGATCTGACCAACACAGCTAAGATGGCCAGGCCAGGTCATGTCACACGGTTGGATGTGTCAACATCCTGACCCAAACTCTCCTTCGGTCGAATTCAATATCAACACGAATGTTGACAACCACAGATCATAGATCGACCATGTTCGGCCTTCCTCCACAGCGAATGCTTCATCGAACCTCCGGCGCTGCAGCAGCAAGGTCCGCATTCACATCAATTGCCTCCGTTGGACGCTCACGTTCCCTGGCAGTCTCAAAAAGCCGACGCCACCACATCGGCGGATCCAACGGACGATGACCACCATGCAAAGTCGGATAGACATCATTGAAGAAATACCACACATGACCAACCGCCACACCCAGCATCTCATCCTTTGGCACCGTCTTGTACACAATCAGAGTAAACGCCATAAGCACCCACGGCAAATACGGCGCCGGAAACACCAACAGCCCCAGAAAACTCAACCTCGTCTCCGGATTCCGCCGCGCCCAGATATACACCAGACTCGAGCTCAACGCGGTCCCCAAAAACGGCAGCGAGAGAAACGGCGAAATGATCAGCAGCGAACTCGTCGCGTAGAAAATCAACCAGGCGAAATGCGCCGGCGATCGGCCGGAGGATTCCTCCAGGAGTCGCGAGTATCGCTGGAGAAAGAACACGTGGAAGATGAGGTCGAGGTTTAGTTTGCCAAAGTAGAGGAATGTGGTTAGGAGGCGCCAGTATTGGGATTTGGCGTACACGGCGCGGAAGCTGTAGAAGAGTTGGAATTCGGTCACGATGTTGCAGTGGACGAGGACGGAGGTCGCCACGGTGGCTACTGTCCACCATCGGGTTACGGGGGGCATTTCGTAGAACCATTGTTCGAGGGGGAATTGACCTATTTGGCCATTGTTTCCCCAGAGATCAGCCATGATTGTGGGGAGGGGGGTTTAGTAAGTGAGAGTGAGTTGTTGAGTGTGTTGTGGGAGGGAAGTGAACAGGTGGGATGAGAGTTCCCCAGAGGAAAGACCAGATAGACCGATAGTCCAGCCCCGATAAGCCGTCCACCCGCAATCTTATCGATCGGGTCACGTGCGCGACGCGTCCGAAAATCACGGGGCTGGGCGGTACCAGACACTAAGGACGAAAGTGTTCATATTGGCCCTTTCCCCAGCCCCCTCCATTACCTGGTCTTTGTCCTCTTTTTTCGATTCCCCTCAAATTGCTGGACCCCCGCGCATGCTCAAGACAATACTGTCGAGATAATTTCCCACCTACCTCAATCCATCGCCTTCCAGCTCCCTCTCCAGCAGCTCTCCTGCAAGGGCGACACCCCTCGACGCGTGCGCGGATACCCTGCAGCAAGACACACGCCAGGACTCCAACATTTTCAGCTCAATTGATCGTCCGGGAAACGACCACTACTCGCGACAAACTACGCGCATATCAGAAAAGGTCTCGCGACAGCATCCCACTCAATCACAATGCCACCCACGCCCAAAGCAAGAAAGACCGGAGTCGCAAAAGCACCCGCAGCGAAGATCACCACAGCCGGCCCAGCCAGCGGCGTGCGCAAATCCACAACAGCAGGAAAACGACCCGCCGGAAAGAGAGCCTCAAATGTACAACGTACGTCCTGACCACACACACACCCCCTCCCTAACCCAAGAATCCAAGTCCCACCTTCTCACACGTTACCCGCAGCGGGCGACCCAACACCAACCGGCAAAAAACGCCGCTACAAACCCGGCACAGTCGCCCTCAAAGAAATCCGCCGCTACCAACGCTCCTATGACCTCCTAATCGCCAAGCTCCCCTTCGCCCGCCTCGTCCGCGAAGTCGCCCTCGATTTGCTCCCCGCCGACGTCGGCGCTGAACTCCGCTGGCAGTCGCATGCGATCCAGGCGCTACAGGAAGCCGCCGAGGCGTTTATGGTGCATTTATTCGAGGATACGAATTTGTGCGCTATCCATGCGAAGCGGGTGACGATTATGCAGAAGGATATTCAGCTTGCGAGGAGGATTCGTGGGGTTTGGGCGGGTCTTGGTTGAGGGGGTTTCTCGTTTTGCCGTGGGAGTTCAAGCTTGGCATTGGCATCTTCCTCGCTGTGTTTTGTTTTGCGGGGCTTTGTTTGCCGGTTTAATCTTAATCTGTTTCTGTTTTCCCTGTTTGGGCGCTTGCCTGGGCCTCCTTTGACTCTGAGGGGGTTCGTTGTTGGCAATGCTGTTGGCGTCTTGGGGGTATGGAGTATCCACGGTGGTGTTTTGCTGTTTCTTGTGTTTTGGTGGTGTTCTTTTTCTTTTTTCTTTCCGACTCTGACTACTTGGGTCTCTCTGCTTATACCACGGTTGTACATTAGCATGGATATGGATGTTGGGTGTTTTTATTTTACCTTATAGGTAGTGTTGCCAATGAGGAGTGTTGGATGAGCGTCGTGGCGACGCTGAGTTCCAGGGAGCTTGTTTACCAATTGACTTCTTATTACTATATAACGATATTATTGGATGAAAGCAAGTTGTCTGTATTATATCAGGCCGGTAGGTATCTTGATACGTCATTCTGGGTGGACCAAGATGGGCAATTGTTCGCTATGTTCCAGCTACTTAGGTAGCCAAGCGAAGAAGACATTGGAGGGAATAATATGAGAAACAAAGATAACGCCTTTTCAATGTAGCTATGAATGGTATCGTAAACGAAGCGCCAGCCCAAAAAGATGATAAAAAGCCCCTAAGATAAACATGGAAAAAATGACACCGAGTCACACATGCAAAATAAACAAGACAGTATAGACCTTCCCAGCGCTGTCTCAAGCGGGACGCTTCAAGCTAGGCGGGAGACCTGTAATCAACCGTTGACCCTCCTCTCTCACACTTCGAGCTTCGTCACCTTTGCCATGTCGCTCAAGAGTCTCGGCCAGCATCTCGTCAGTGACGCTGGCCCAGAGGCGGTCATTCGCTCTTTTCGCCATGGCGCGACCAGCTCGGACACTCTTCTCGGCTTGTTCGCCGACAACGCCGCGGAAGTATTTCCAGCTCATGAAAGTCAGGGTCATGCAGGTGATTTGCGAGTTGCTGATGGTCGTAGCAGACTGCAGGGCATGTTGGAGGAAGGTCTTGGTTTGAATGGTCGATTCTGTTTGCACGGTGGCGCAGACGAGATAGTATGCTGCTTGGATGTATTTGTTTGGCCCGTTTTGGCAGAAGGGTTCGAGGGTTGCTTGGATGGTAGGAAGATAGGAATGGGATGGATGAGAGGGGTCGCGAATGATAAGGATGGTGTTGAGTGCTGCGAGAATGCATGTATCTCGACATGGATCATTGCGTGCTGTTTTGCTAGCGGATGGTGAGAGCAATAGCAAGGGGGATTGGAAAATGCTTAATGCCCGGGCTAGATCGCCTGTGGCCTGGGCGATGGTGCCACCGGCGTATTCCATCAAGCACTCAATAGGCTTGGGCAGGTTGGGACCGCACTCTTGCGTAAACTGCCGCAGCTCTTTCAAAGACTGGGTCGCCAGGTCCCAATCGGTACGAGCACAGGCTAGGAAGACCCGTTGCAGAAGGAAGTTGCAACAAAGAGAGCGGCGCCATTCGATACGTCTCGAGGCATTGGCCATGGACTCGGAAATCTCCTGTGGAGTTTTGAAGCCTCCTGCAATAATATATTAGATATTTCCCAGCCTTCGAAATTCAGATTATGACTTACCTTGAATCATTCGAAGTCCTTCATCGAGGAATTGCTCCGCCTTTCGACCATCATAAGAGTTCTTAGCACTGAGTGTGATCGAGCTTAGGAAGTATGAGAGCGCATAGAGGTCATGCTGGGGAAGCCAATTGAAACTAAGAAGGACTGTGCCGTTTTGCACTTGAAGAATGTCCCCAGTGTCGATGGAGGACGGGCCCGCAGACTTTCCATTCAGAGGAATTGAGAATGACCCATCCGCCTGCCAGTTCGGATCATTGAGGGTTTCATCAGCCAAAGTCTGCAGAACCTTGAGTTTTTGAGAAGCCTGTGGCACATCGTACTCCAATAGGCTGCAACAGATATCAACCATCTGGGTAAGAGTGACGAGCTGCGGGATATGTCGAAGCTCATCATTCAGTTGATGGCTTCGCGCAACGGCTACAGCACGCTGTGCTTGCTCGATGGCATCGGATCCTGTACCTTGCTGCAAGTGCACCAGGGCTTCGATGACGGCAGCCATTGCAGCGACAGCTTTGTCTCCATTGCGACTAGCCATGGCCGAGATTTTGTTCAAATGCTGGAGAGCTTGCACAGAATCTTGGTGTGACGAAGAAGAGAGTGACAGGGTCACGCGAAGGAAACGAAAGGTGTACTCCCAAGCCGTATGGCGATATCTGGAAAGATATTAGCAATTGAGGAACTCATTGACGGAGGCTTAACACGTACGCTTCTACGTCCTGAATCATACCGTCGACCGCCTTCAGTGAAGCCTTGGGGTTGGTCTTGTGGAGCATGCGCGCTAAAAGATGCTGCATGCTGTATTTCAAGTCCAGCATACGATTCTAAGAGAAGTCAGTCTGTGAACAGATTTACCATCGAAAAGGACCATAACTAACTCGTTCACAAAGATCAATCTATTGGAGAAAGGATTAGCTGGTTGGTCTAATGAAGAGGAGGAAACAGACGAAAACATACGCCTTTACTCAAAGCCGTTTCGGCCTCGAGGTCATTGTCGGTTTCCTCAAACAATGTTCGAGCATAACGGAGCCGCACTAGAGCTTCCTTGCGAGGTTGCAGCCGCCAATTCTGGAAAAGATGAGATTGTCAGTAGAGGCCTACGGCTAACAGAATACAAGACTAACCTTCAAAACCGCTTCCAAGCACCCAAGCCCCGTTGAGACTAGCTTATAGTACTCCTCAACATCTGCCTGGCTGGTGACTAGGGCTGTCTTTGTTCCATGACGATGCGCAGCGTTCAAGTATTCATCCGCCAACGAAAGCAGCAAGACCTGGTAGTCCACTGGAGGCTTGGTGGGCTTTGCGATTTTGTCGGTAGTCTGCTGACTTGGCTGTTTCTTTGGCTGTGGTCTCTTCGGAAGTGGCTTCGGACTGCTGGTGCGAAACTCTTGAGAAGGCGGAGGTATCATCACTTTCGGAACGGCATGTTTTGTGGGCGAGGGGGTTGGCTGGGGTTGTATTGGCGTTGCAGCTTTTGGTAACGTGGGTTTGGTTGTGGCCGGAAGTTGCTTAGGCTCCTTCTTGAGCTCTTTTTTGGGTGTGGCTGCGGGTTGTTTCACTTCCTTCTTCGGCGCAGGTTTGGGCTTTGCAGGCTCCACCTTTACGACTGGCTTCGGTGCAGGTGGAGGTTGTATCTGTATATCCGACTGTTTTATATCTGACTGCTTAGGAGTAGCCTCCGTCTTTTGCTGAGGACTGGTGGGCGTGGCTTTCTGGTCCGGTGCTTGGGAGGCCTGGGGTTCAGCTGGAGGAGGTGTTGATGAACCAAGCGACGACATCGGGGGCAACTCAAGCGAAGTCGACAAGTCGCTTGGGTCGACATATTGAGACAAGGAGCCATATCGTGAGCGGGGGGCCGTTGGAAGTGGCGGCTGCACAAAGAGCTCGGCCGGGTTGATGAACTGATGCTGTGGCTCTTCTGGGGGTAATGATGGAGGAGGCGCTGGGGGCATAGGCGGTGGCCGAGGTTGAGGCGGAACGGTCTGAGGTTTGGAGACCGGGGATGGTTGTGGCTGGTATTGTGGTTGTTGGGGCAGCTGGGGCTGCTGGGCCTGCGGTTGCTGGTGGTGTGCTTGTTGGTGTTGTGGCTGGGGCTGCTGATATCGTGGCTGCTGTTGCTGCACCTGCTGCACCTGTTGTTGATGTTGCGCCTGATGGTGCTGGTGCTGCGGGTTCTGATGCTGTGGCTGCAGCTGCTGATGCTGTTGCATCTGAGGTTGTGGAGCAGGCTGCGGCTTTAGTTGAGGCCGAGGGGACGGCTGCAGCATCTGAGGCCTCGGCGATTGCTGTTGCGATGGAACGATAGTGGACTGCTGTTGCATCTGAACCAGAGGAGACTGTTGTTGGAATTGAGGACGAGGAGACGGTTGTTGGAATTGAGGACGGGGAGACGGTTGTTGCTGGAACTGTGGTCGCGGAGACTGCTGTTGAAATTGCGGTCGAGGGGATTGCTGTTGCTGTTGCTGCAGCTGGGGTCTTGGAGATTGTTGCGGCTGAATCTGGACTCGCGGAGACTGTTGCTGCATTTGGAGGCGGGGGGATGGCTGTTGCGGCTGGTGAAGGGGTGATTGATGCGGCTGGACTATGGGGGATTGTCTGGGTTGAGAGATTGGAGGTTGTTGCAGTTGCGACATGGGAATCTGCTGCGCTTGAGAGAAGGCCGGATGTTGAGGTTGCGCGAGGTGTTGGGGGTGGATGAGGGCCGCAGGTTGTAGGGTTGGCTGTTGCTGCTGCTGGGGCTGCGCTTGCGCAGACATCTGCTGTGCATAGTGATGGCCATATTGGTTCCAGACTTGCTGTTGCGGCTGCTGCATCATCCCCATTGGATAGCCAGCTGGTTTACCGCAGCCGTAGGGCGACGGCGAAGGGGGCGCGACATGATTGTACGGGAACTGAGGCGGCGCGACGTGGCCAGGCTGGTATTGCGGTGGAGGTATATATTGCGGATATTGACCGGGATTGGGCGGTGGGAAGCTCATCGCCCCGACATGTATTTGGACTGAGAGACTCTCGCTGTGATCACCGATCGACACGAAGGTGAAGCACCATCACTGCCTTCCGCGTCGGGGCGGAGAAACTCGAGGCGGTCAGCTGATGAGACGATAAGCATCGCGATAAGTGGAGATCAGCATGACGGAGGAACTATAATTATCAACAACATTTCCACATCAACATTCAGCTCCACTCTAAGAGTCGAAGTTTTGTTCTATCTAGTCAAAAAAGCCACTATCAAAGATATCCAGCGAGGATTGAATTCTAGAACTTGTCTTGGCCGCGGAAGAGCTCGACTATGAGACTGATTGGGGCCCGGAAGATAGTTGGGGGTATCAGATCGGCGTGGACTACAAACTTGGGAAATGTATCTCCGTCATGTGCGACACGGTTGGTAGTGAAGTGATATTCACGGCTGGTGGGAAGTTTTATGGATGGAATCAGCTTTCTCGATGTCTTCGCCAGATTGTTTACCCAACATCATTAGAGGAAATTATCTCTGTGCTGAAGGAGAAGGCACGTTTTGGCCTGAAATGGAAAAACTGCGACCAAAGCAGCTTTGCTCCAACTTAATTTGGGAAGAAATGTAGCCAGAAGCTGAATCTACTAGACTTCATCTAGTTGTACACATTTAGGCTCCATCAAATTGCTCACCGCGTCTGCTATAAAATCTTGGTTGGTATCATCAAGATATGTAGAACCATCGCTATTACTATCTGAAAGACTGGACACAACCTACGTCTACGTATTCCGGGAACCTCTTCCTTCGGACATTAAGTAACCTTAAGAATGGCGCGCTTGTACTAAGTATCTTAACACTAGATAAACCTTATAAAGAGTAGCAAGGATATGATTTCCGAAATACAAAACGGCCCATTTAACTGGTGTAATCACGCAACTATCTCTAAGCAACACGAAGCCCACCGTCTGTACATCATACGTAATCAAATTCAGGAAAATTGATCGCACAGTCTGATGAAATTGTTCCCCATTAACCCGACCAACTTTCTATACATTCTAGAAACACGATAAAAGATCCGCCTGAGAACAATGCGCACCTTTACCGGTAGTGGTCCACCCAATGACGCCGTATTGTACCCAATGCAATAAAACAAAATAATCTCTCTTCAACTCCAACCCGCTTATAATGTAGAATCCCTTCCAACGCCACGCTGCCAATACATCAAAAACACAATAACCACGACAAAACCATTACAACATGCGAATCGATGAATAGAGCGAACTCAAAGGCTGCGGGTTGATCGCCGGCTCAATCACATCTTCCCCAATGCTGGGCGAAAACGTCAAAGGAGGATGTTCCCGCACCGTCCAGGGACACAACTCGTTGCAGTTCTCCACGCCGATCGAGTGCTCCGCGGGATGAATACGCTGCGCACCCCACGCAGCATCGGGAATGGGATTTAAACCACCGAGATTGCGCAGTGTCCAGAAGTAGAATGTATCTTTGCCGGACTCTTCAGAATGGAACGGTTGTTTTCGCGAACATTTCAAGGTGGTGTTGCAGGCGCCGCAGACTGAGATGCGGCGGCACGAGGTACAAAATGAGTCGAAGAGACGGCAGATAGTAGTCTGGTAGACGCTTGAAAGCCAGAGATCGACTGATCGGTGTGCGCATCCAAAGCGCGGTGTCATATACTCCTCCTTACCCACTTGGCCCGATACGGTTGTGAGTTCGTACTCGGTCCGGATAAGTAGTTGATCTTCCTCGTCAAGTTCTGGGAAGAGAGATACTTTGAGCTCAGTCGGTCCATACTGCTCTGTACATGAATGCCAGCAATATCGGTCCCCGACTTTGTCGCCAAACTGTGTCCGGAGAGCGTTCACAGAGATCTTCCGGGCTCGCAGGTGGTCCATCAGATCCAGTTTGTCGCGAAAGGTGATCTTCTTGCAGGGACATAAGTCGACGATCCCTGCTAGTTCACCCACATTGCACGATCGATGATCTGACTTGCGTCTCAGTTCGCGCGTGGAAAATGTCGCCCGCGGATGTAATTTCAAGCACTTGGAGCACACGCGCCACCGAGAATTCTCCAAAAGATTGATAAACTGCCATCGCGGCGTGACAAAGTTGTGACCATTGCGATAGTGGTGGAAAAGCGGCGCAAAGTCTCGACTGAACTGGAGCGATTTTGATTTGAGGATTTCGCCGGAAATCGCTAGCATGCGCTTACAGGTCAGCGCAAAGGCCGCATCCGGGACGAGCGTCAAGTGCGAGACGATCTCCAGTAATAACTCGGTGGGGAGTTCCATGAGATAGCAGCGGCCAGACTCGTCCTTTTGCTGCTTGCGCGAACGGGTAGGCGACCATGATTTCATTCTCATGACTGTTCTTAGTTTTTCGGTTGCTCGGTGGAGGCGCTCGGGCATGTTGGCTGGTTGGGCATCTTTTAAAGCCATGGAGAAGAGGGGCATTTTCTGTTCTTTGTCTCTGAAACAGAGGGCTTTCAGTGCTCTTTTATGACTAGCCCGCATGAGTGGTGATGGGTGGGCTTTTTAATCGGATTAGGGTTGTCAGATTGGTAGATGATGCGTTGGTGGCTTGTGCTGTAAGATCATATTGTCATGTCGTTGATAGAGGCGCTATGCATCGTGTGACGGCAAAGAAAGCCGCATCATAGGTTAAAAAGAAAAAAAAGGAGGTAAATGCAGGCCGTGGATCTGTTGACCTTGAAGTAGGCCTTGGGCCAAAGATAAAGTTGCACGAAAACGGTCCATGGGATGGGGTCACGGCAGGACTGGCAATGTTATCAGCATTACATGGCCTGGAGCTATACTTCTGACTCCGTACATCTACCAGGTACGGATGTATACAAATAAAGCTAGCCCGCTGATTATTGGCCCCTTGTTCGGTCCAAATGCACTGCTTTAAAGCTGCTAGAATATTTCTGCCTTTATCGGATATAAAAGCGTTGGACAATCTACATTGTCTACGAGCGTGGGCGCCGGATGCTATCCAGGGCTGTTCCGCATGCGGCAATCAGTTTGCCGCATCAAGCATCATCGCATCATCACTCGAAAGCCCTCTCCCAAAACTGAGTCCCCTTTCAGTCTAGCCCGTTCAGCCTAGTCAGCCCCTGGGAGTGCTTGCAGCATCTTCTCATCGTTTCTATACGATGACCTTGTCAACTGACTTTTTCTCGTTTCTGGAGGGACTTTCAGTCCCATGACCCACCTTCACGGGTTTGGGGGCCTCAGGCCGCCACAAAGCAGTGCGGACTAAGAGGGACACATGGGGCTTAGTCAGCGGATTATTCACCGCCCGGGCCGTTGCACGTGCATCACGTGGAGATAACACGAGATACGAACCGGAGATCGGGGCTTAGTCACACCGATCCGATCGGGAAGTACCGAGGTTGCCTGTTATCAAGGCTTTTTTTTCTGTGACTTGGCTGGATGAGATGTTGCCTCCAGGACGTCTTTCTTTTTCTTAATTTTCCATTTGTCTCGTGTGTTTTCTTTCCTTGCATTATAGACGGATCCTCTATGGAGTTTGCATCAGCGCTGCGCGACTCATTTCCCCTATCGCTGCTCTTATCGGGTCTCATCGCAATGGGCCTCCTGTCTTGGGCGCGCCCGAGCGGGCGAATTTCCTTCTTTCACGCCAAGGACAATAAGCTCGTGTTGACCAAGAAGTCAAGTCAGTCGGGCACAAAGGAGCAAACAACCTTGGTTGATCTCTGTCGCGATGCGACTCCCGACACATGCCATCTCAACCCTCTATTGTTCAATGGCCATCTGCAGACGATGTACACGGTCTTGAAACATGATAATGTTCCCGTGTACTACAAGCGGAAGGTGTTTGAGGCTGATAGCGCCATGTTCTCTGGGACATATGCTATTGATTTCGTTGTCAAGCCTTATGAGATGCCGCCCGAGGGCGAGTTGACGGATCAGGCGAGAAAGTATACTCAGCCTTCAGGCCTGCCGACTCGTACGTCGTTTTATTCGGAGGAGGAGTTTGCAGGCATTGCTTCGAATGATACGAAGCCCATGCTGGTTGTTTTGCATGGTTTGAGTGGAGGTTCGCATGAGGTGTATTTGCGCCATGTCCTTTCGCCTCTCGTGGCTGATGGGGCATGGGAGGCATGCGTGGTCAACTCGCGGGGTTGCGCGCAGACGAAGATTAGCACGGGAATACTGTATAATGCGCGTGCAACGTGGGATGTACGCCAGTCAGTGAAGTGGCTTAAGAAGACCTTCCCTAATCGTCCTCTTTTCGGCATTGGATTCTCGCTTGGTGCTAACATTCTCGCAAATGTATGTGTGATCAACACCTCACAACTCGCTTGGAAGTATTATGTACTAATCTGTGTCACAGTATTTGGGTGAAGAAGGCGATCACTGTCAATTGAAGGCTGCAGTGCTCTGTGCTAGTCCCTGGAACTTGGATGTCAGCTCTGTCAACTTGGTAAGCTCTTGGCTTGGCAAGGAGGTATACAGTAAGACGATGGGCTCTAGCATGAAGAGGCTTTTCGAAGCGTAAGTCTTCACCTCTCACCGTGGTGTTCGGAAAAAGAATTCACTAATGCGATCATAGCCACGTTGACGAAGTGTCCAAGAACCCTCGCATTGATGTTGAGACTGTCAGAAGCATCACTTATCTACATGAGTTCGATCGGTAAGTTTGATATCCTCCTGCAATCACTTCGCTCATTGTGTATCCTAACCCATACCTCAACAGAGCCCTTCAATGTCCCGCCTGGGGTTATCCGACCGAGGGTGCTTACTACCGTGACGCCGCATCTACGGACGCAATGCTTTCGATTCGCATTCCGTTCTTCACCGTGCAGGCTGAGGATGATCCCGTATGTCGATTAATCTCCATTCATGACTAGGCCGCTAACAGGAATTTAGATTGCATCCCGCAACGCACTGCCATTCCACGAAATGACTCAGACCCCCTACGGTGTCATGATGACCACGTCGTGGGGTGGCCACCTCGGCTGGTTCGAACTTGGTGGTGCTCGTTGGTTTGTCAAGCCGGTAAGTGCCTTCTTTCCAAAACACGCGAGTCGTAATTTTGAGCATTGATACTGATTTCTTATTAAGGTTACCAACTTCTTGAACAAAATGGCCCAAGAAATCGACACGTCGATTCCTGGCGTCGTCGAGCACCCGGAGAAGCTGCCAGGGCATATTGCCAGCCACCCTGGCCTTGAAAAGGACGCTGACTTGGCACCGAAGCCCGAGTTCCGGCCTGTGAATCGCAAGCTTGATATGAAGCTGCCCAAGTAATTTTGGCGCATTTCCTAATTCTTTGATCAAACCCTTCCAGCGCCATCTGTTTGCCTCGGCTTTTCGGCTCTCACACGGATATACATGGTTACTCCGTACACATACAATATATACATAGGCTAATGTTCATGAGAATCATTTAAATAGAATTGGTGTTCTTCAGCGACCAAAGTGGGTACAATAGCTGACAAGTAGAAATAGATTACACTCCTCGTGCTGTTGAATCTCAACCCTAAACCATAAAGCCACACCTAATACCACCCTAACTGAGTCTGATCCCGTCAAGGCTTTAGTGTCAAATCATGATCATGAGCACCCTGCAAATAATCATAATCCTCCCCAACCCAAGTCACAAAGGGAACCGTCCTCCCAAAGCCAATCTTCCCCTCCAGCGACCTCGGCAGTATCAACCTCTGATCACTCCGATACCAACTCGGAAACTGAATCGATACCAACATCACTCTCGGCTCATCCGTCCGATTCGGCATCCCCGCATGCCAAAGCCGAAGATCACGGATAATCAACGACCCCTTTGGTAAACTGGGTTGTACACGGGGACTAATCTTTCTTCGTTGCTAGGAGTTCAGCTTTGATGTGTAGATTATCCGGGTCGTATTTGTCCTTGCCTAGAATCTGGAGAATTACACAATTCCTGCGCCCACGACTATCCCTAAGATTTAGTATCCCCATGGATTATTCTCAGTGTCAGGAAATTTCGCTTGTAGGCGTCCTTGCTCCTCCTTCGGACGTGGCTTATCTGTGGACTTCCGTGACCTTTCGTCGACATTCGAGGGTAGTGGTGAGAGACCCTTTCCCGCAAGACGTTGCTCCTCTGTGGGCTTTTGGGAATCGGACGTTTCGTCGACATTCGAGGCTAGTAATGAGAGCTTGCTCACTGCAAGAAGGTCTTCGATGTTGGTGCTTCCACACGGGGCAAGCCCACCACAATCTTCAAAATCCCTCAAAACCTTGTCAATTATCTCCGCCTGACCGCTCATGTGTAGGAAGTTTCCAATGGAAGCGTGGAGTTCGAGAAGTTTAGGATGTGGAAGTTCCCAACTTCCTTTATGAACTCGAAACTTGACAAGCCGATTTCTGGGTAAACCCTCTATTGACCTTGTCGGAATTCCTGGAAAGGTCTTGATTCGATATTGGTGAGCCATTCCGGTTGACTCAAAAATGAGGTTGAACTGTCCGAATTCAGCGTGAATGAGGGCGTCTAGCATCATGACGTTCTTTTCTGAATTAATCTGTTCTGAGGTAAAGGACATTCGGCGAAGAGCTGGAAAGTAGCGCCTGAGGTTGACCCAAATCTTTGCGTGTCTGTCCACAGCCTCGCCGCTCTTTGCATCGAAGGATCCAAGCGCAAATGGAATAATGTGCGCTGCTTCAAGACGGGCCGTTTTTGCGTTTTGTGGATAGGGGTGAAGGTAACTGTAATACCCCGATGCAAGACATTTGTTGCCATCTCTTTCTAAACAGTGGGACCGGAGTTGCGACTGAACGCTTCTGCTGGTGGAGTCGATGTCTTGGCTCTTGAGATCCTCGATTGAATCTTCAACACCAGGACGGGGGGAGGGAGTGATTTCAGTGGGTGTTTTTCCACCCTGTGCTTTCATAGGAATCAACAGCCCGATTCTGATGCTTTGGACCAGTTGCCGAAGCTTCTCATCGTCTGCACACCCTGAAACGTCCTCCACCAGATTTCCTTTTCCTTCAGGAGGAAGGGTCTTGAAGAAGTCGTGGAGGAACTCCTTGGTTTTGTCCGTGGGTTTAAGTGGTGTGTAACTTCGCAGCTTTTGATCCAGCTTCTAGCCTGATTAAGAGTATTGAAAAAGACTAGAAGACACAGAGGGACTGACCGTCTTCGAGGATGATGACATTTTGGGCCAGTCTGGAGGGTATGATGGTTCCGGTAAAAGCAAGGCGGCTGAATCGGCTGGGATATTCGTAAAGGGGATCGATGACAGATGCGGACGATAGTTGAAGCCTTGCGCGTGGATAGACGATGGGCGAGTGCGATTGGTTGGAGCCTGTGGAAGGGAACTTAGGTGGGGGCGTAAAGCCAGGCTTGAAGCCGCGGCTCACCGCTTTCCCTATTAGGAGAAGGTATTGCACATTATCAGTGCCTTACTGCCCACCCAAACCGCTTCCCGGATACAGAGGCAAATATGACAGAGTGTGTTTCCTAGATAGACTACGAATTTTCCAGCCTTTTTACTAGTCACTCTAGGGATCCCTTTGTGGAAATTTATATACCTTTCCACGGCCATCTCTTTGCTAAAGATCTAGGGTTTCGACGTATGCCACTTTCGCTATTTTAAGTAGATACTAACGGGAACGTTGGCTCTGCTATTCGTATATGCCCAAACAATTAATCCTGGGAGCGTCAGCGTGTTCCCAGGAATCCCTCAGGGCGTCATATTATGTGCGGGGTTGTTGAGCGAATAAAATAATTCGTTCAGATGAAACATCCTTTTAGGTTCCTGGGAGCTTAGGTGACAGGTCTGACTAGGGCATGATGCCATTGCCGCCTATCGGTTATTGCCCTCTGCAAAATCGATAGGGAGGCTTCATAAGTTTATTTTGGGACGGAAACAGGATCTAGTCGCAAATCAGTTCCTGGGAAGCACAATAGCAGTTTATCTTTGCCGATTCACACCACTTGGAAGCACCGTAGAAAGTTGATGTCATTTACGGCACTTTCGGACCCATAAGTGGATACTAGAGCGTGATATAAATATGGCCTCCCTTCAGCTCTATGCATCAATTATTCTCCGGAGTCCATTCTTCATAGACCTCGCCCAGGGTGGCTGTGGATGCTCGGGTATCATGGACACTATTAACGCTACTGATGCGCATGGCCCGACTACCAAGCTCCCCTCGGAGTTCTACGACAAGGCCGCGCAATCATGGATAGCATTGCGGTTAAAGAATGGTTTGCTGGTTATAATGAGAGCAGCGAGTACCGCAAGCTCGGTATCGGAGCTTTGATGGGCGACGTTGTCGACCGTATGGTCAGCACCGCTGTGGATGGTGGCTGGCGCAGTGAGAGCTCTGCGTCTGGATCTGGCGTTCCGAGGCTGGCAAGTCCATCAAGTTTGCCATGAGAGGGTGCCATAATACCACCCTTTCAGCTATCCTTTCCAGCATTGGCGGTTTCCAAGATGAATCCTGGTCGCCTTCACCTCCTCGGTTGCTATTGAGCTCTTCTCCCAGGCTCCTAGAAATAACGTCGATGCCGGCATTATGCTTGAGGAGTTCTCCAACCTGCCCGTTTCCGCTAAGAAGCGTGGTGTTTTCTCGTCTCTGCTTGGTGGCAGCAAGTCGCATCTAAGCCACCAGCTCTATCCGAGACCGCTCGTACCCGAGTGACATCTTTCCCCGAGGAGGCTCGCGATACACTGCGTAAGCACTACGTCCGTATTCGCTACAACAATCGACCTGTGCGCATTCCTGGCTGCGTAGCGAAGGCTGAGAACCACCTCCCCAGTGATGACACCGGTCTGCACGCTGGATGCATTCAGGGAGATTGTCGACAAGTTCACGCCCACGAATTGGCAGAGCGAGTGTGTTGCGAACTTGGGTGCTGGTCTGTATGGTCCTAATGATGAGGCTCGCGCTACTGCCGGCTTCTAAAGTCTTGTTACTGTACACTTGTGCTTTCTGATGTCTCTTTTTCTCGTCCGTAAAGATAATCGGATTGTGTAAAACTTAGAAAGGCTGCTGCTAGAATACATACAATTTTCTCTTTGCCATTCCCCTTGAACGCGGCGACTGTATCGGGACAATCAATTCGGAATCATAAGAGTTACATAGTATTGCTCTTTTTTGCCTTGATCGCTTAAGCGTTGTCGATCGCAACCCACACACGCTCTGCCAAATCCTGCAATAGAAGCTCGGTTGTCAACACAAAATCGTGCTCGCCTTCTCCCGGTTGTTCCAACATCAGAGCATGAAATGGTATAATTAGGTCTCCCCCCTCAATCGTAGGATTAGAGCCATCTCTCCCTCTCGTGATGAAGATTCTCTGGGTCATTCGAGGAGGTGGGGGATCACTGACGCGTCTATCAACAACAGGGCGACCGTGTGCGGTGATATAGACATGGCTCGGTAATGGCATGAATGCTGGCGTCCAGGACTTGATCTCAATAGAGCTAGATCTTCTTTTGATATCGATAGTAAGCCCCATTTTCACGTCGCCTTGTGATGTATTGATCCACCAAGCGATATCCCTTTCCAGTTTCGCTGTTGCCTCGGAGAATCCAACTTCTAATACCACCGTTGGAAATTTTCTCCGCGGACGAGCTGGCCGCCACGACCGGTCTGCCTGCTTGCTTCGGTCGGGGGTCTTGACAAGGGTGGATCCGCAATCTGTAATCCGTCGATAGACTTTCATCTCTTTGGCGAGGGCCGCAATCATTATGTCGAAACTGGACGCCGCTTCTTCGTGTGGTAGGCTAGGCATCGTGATGATCAGAATCTGAAGCGATGGCGAGTAGTCACAGCGTCCGGGCAATTGTTCGTCGCGTTTAGCTAGTGTCTCTGATGGGAAGTTTTTCAAGACGACGAAGCGATCCTCGACGGAATACTGAGGGAGGAGGCTCTCCATTGTGCACTTTTTGACGTAACGATAGACGGGAGTATCAGAGGGAAGGTACGCGAGAAACGTACATGTCCCTTCCTCCTCTGACACGACACCCTCGCTTTGATACGCATACGACATCTTTTTCAGTGACAGTTGGGGTGGGCAGCTCGAGATCAACCAGAGAGGAGAATGATGGATGAGAGAACAATTATGGGTGTAGGAATGTTTTAGGAATATTTTTGTTTTGTTTTGTTCCTGAATAACCGTAATTGAAGGATATTAATGATGTCACCTTGATGCCTTAATAATACGGCAGTAAAAGGAAGGCCACTACATAGTACAGTCGCCTAGGTAGCTATGGCAGCCGCGACGCCCTCCACGTCTTGCTAGAGATCTACCCGAGTGATCTGGACTACCAAATGCCGGAATATCCCCCGCTGGAGGAGTACCTGGCGCGTTGGAACTTCTCGCCTATCTATATGGCGTGTGCGGCTGCAGATCGGGGTTTGACCCTCTGGTTGTTATCGAAGAAACAGAATGGAGGTGAGCGGCTGGTAGCGGCGCTGCGGGATCCGGGGAAGGGTTACGGTGGGCGGACGCCGTTGATATGTGCCGTTAGTGGGTTGCCGCGCTATAGAGGGGGATATCGAGCGGAGGAAGGCGTTTATATCTGCTTTCTGCTGGATAGGCTATAGCTAGGTTGTAAGGTGAGGGACTCAGATGTCTATTGCTCTTCTGTTCAAGGACAGGGATAACAGAGTCGGGAAAGAGTAGGAAGGACTGATAATGATGCTAATACTGAGGAGGAAGGAAATGAAGAGGAAAAGGAGTTCAAAGAGACGGTTCTCGGCGCCGCGATTCCGCATACCGTATATGAGCTACCGCATGCGGCATAACGGCGCGTCTGATCGCCGCCGGAGCCGACGTGTATGCCCGGCAGAGCTAGTCCGATAGCTACAAGTGGACCCCTAACAAGCGCATTATTCGAGAAGGCAGCAAAGGGGTGTCCGCTTCGTATATTGCTTGCTTGTACGGGAACCTCGAGAGATTGCGCGCGCTGGTGGACTATCGTGGCCGCGTGAGTCTGGCGGAGATGATGGCCCGCACGGACGATTAGGGTCGACTCCCCCTGCACTGGGCCCTACCAAGCGCTGCAGATGAGGGGCCTCACACGTTCGACGCGGAGGACGGGAATGACCCAGACGAGATCCCGGCGGAGGACGGGACGACGCCTAGATACCGTTAAATAGCTTCGAGACGCGAATCCGGATATGATTAATGCCCGCGACTAGTAGGGGGCTACGGTGTTCAATTACGCGGTTTAAGTCCTACGCGGCGAGAATCGTAGGGCTCTTGGCAGCTATAAAGGTGCTTCTCGATGCGAGACCGCGGCTTTTGACTTTGAATCATATCCCCGACGAGAAAACCAACCGGGTAGGCACCATCACCGCCGTCACCGGGACGTTAACACTCTGACAGGATATAGTGAATTACTACACTCGGCAACACGGAAAAGTCCGCGATGAGCGGTTCACGGAGCTGATCGAGACCTTCCTCGCCTAAGGGGCTGATGCTCGGTTATGCTTATATCGGCTGTGTGCCGGGATTTGGGATGAGCCTATTAGTCTAAACATGCTGGACCGCCTTCTGGAGTGCCGACGGACATTAATTATACGGACGCCGATGGCTGTACGGCGATGTACTATCTCACCGGCATCTGGATCAGATCGAGGCCGCTCGCCATTTGATCAGCCGCGGAGCGGATGTGTGCGTGGTCAACCACAAGGGGAATACGCCTCTTCATGACTTGATGAAAGGATGTTTGATTTGACGTCGAGATGAACATAGAATGCCTGATCCTGCGCAACCAATGGATGCACCAACACGAGCACGGGAGGAGTGGATCAAAGTCTTGGTGGAGGCTGGAGGCTCCATGCATCAACCGAATGCAGCCGGGCAGACCCCAGACCAGCTGCTTGATGAGCGCAGACGGCAAGCAGAGGCAGCACGCGGAAGAGGGCGGATTCGAGGTCGAGATCATGGACGAGAGGCGGAAAGAGGAGGGCGCGTATGAGTTGCCCAGACTCTACATAGCCATTTCTCTGCCGTAAGAGACGGCGCCTTTCTTTGGCCTTCTCATCAGCCTTAAGAAAAAAGCTTTTCGACCCATAGCCCGGTATTGACTGTTAGCTCATGAAAGGTGAAGAGGCAGTCTTTGAGAAGGAGTTAACTTAGAAGCAAGCAATGAACGGATGCTGTTTTTAATATGACAGTGGAGGGGATAGTCTCCTTTCGCATTGTAGATCACAGAACACGATACATGATAGTGCGAAGGCCACTTTAAACTGCATAATCTTGAACAGTACGGTCCACCTCACTTTTGATTCGGTTGGGGGTTAATGGCGCAGTTTTTTTGACCAAAGACCTCCAGAATGGGAGGATCTCACGCGTACCATTACGCGCTAGTCTTCACAGAATAGATGACCCTGCGGGGCATGTCCTTTTGGGTATGGTCTGATATGGGCTGAAGAAAAGTAGTTACGGCTCGCTGACTGGACAATGAGCGTTGGTGAGTAAGCAGCTGAGCGATCACTGAGCAACTATGATTAGTCACGGGGCAATCACATGACTGCGCTGACTAGATCACTGAGCATGATCCCGTGCTGATATTTACTCAGTGCGCCTGAGCCTGATCGCCCTTATTAAAGCGGCGGCAGCCCAGACAGGAAAGCCCCACCCGGCGGACAAAATCCTGTGTATATAGTGGCATATATACAGATTGAGGACCTCTTATCTAATTCACCTGTGTTGGACCTTCCTTCGTAAAGCTACCTGATAATGCGGTCTACCTGCCTATCATCCTAAGTGGGGCATCCATACTGGCATAAAAGTTACTTATCAGTAATTCAAAATATTATGCAAGCTGTAGCAATTCCAAAGGATCTTCAAGCTGCGATGGATAGGAAAGAGAACTCTTTTCTGATCAGGTTGGATGTGATTCATCAAGCTTTGGGAGACAGCCCCCAGATAGGATCAACGCTATTCACAATGGTTCGAATCCGAAGTAAACATGAAACCCACACAAACGCCAAACCCCCGTTTAAGTACATGGTGATGGTATAGACAATAGCCATTTTTTTTGTTGGTCGTTCAAGCAAATGAGACGCTCTTGCGCTTGCCCTTGGCAGACTTCGACCCGTTGGCCGATTTGGAGGAAGGCGAAGAGCTCTCTGCAGCCCATTCCTTCCCACCCTTGTTCTTCTTCTTGTTGCGAATCGAATCCTTCACAGCGTCCAACTTGGATTTCTTCTCTTTCATGCGCGCCTCGGCCTCGGCCTTTTTGGCCTCGCGGATCTCCTCGAGCTGGCGCGCCTTCATCATCTTGGACTCAATCTGTCCCTCCTTTTCGGCGTTGACCATGGCGAGAATCGTCATCATACCCTCCTATAGCGACAAAAACAAACGTTGTTAGCAGATCAATCCCCCAGTTTAGACAAGATCATAAGAGCGCAATGGAACACACCTGGTCATCAACGAAAACCTTGCCCTTCTTCTTTCCCTTTGGCTTAACAACTCCAACGGGTGTGATCTGATTCAGCTTGGGAAGATCAAGCTCTGCCTCGGTGTAGACTCTCTTCTTCTTCCTTGCCAAATTCTCTGGGGCGGTGCGCGCCTTGGACTTGACTTCTTGTGGCGGGGGGCGCTTGACATTCTTCTTGCCGCTGGGCTTGCCGCCGGGCTTGCTCACGCGGGAGGATGAGGACATGTTTGAAGGCTTAGAGCCCTTGGAGCCCTTGGAGGTACCTCCGGAGGAGGCGCCCTTGGACGGCCTGGTGGGCGCCATTTGTTGGTGTGCGAAAGTCGTGAAAATGAGCGAGAATTAGGTTGATTCGAACTGAGAAGGTGCGACTTTCACTAGAATTGAGAAATGATTGTGTCGAAACCCGTAATTCAAGACTTTCAATCTCAATTCAAGGATTGCAGAGGCAATTGGAGTAATTTGAGCCAAGCAAGAGCATGCGACTCGGCGGCGCTTTCAAAATTGCGAAAGAAATTTTGGATCAGGAAGGCGGTGAAGAGCCCCGATTCCATCCACCTAACCTCAGCGAAACCTCCACCATCCAGAAGCTCGCCAGCGTCCAATTCTCTCCCCGCACCCTCCCTCCAAGAGATTGAATTGCACTGGACTGAGTGGACGCAATCTCACTCACCCGCCATGACCATCAACCCTACCTACCTCGCGCAACGGACGCGTTCCTGTACGTTCCTGGCCCTCTCGTCAATCACACCCCGAGGTGTTCCGATCACCCGCTAGGCGAGCCCTGCAATTGAGACTGTTGTGAGCTGTATGAGGTAGCTAACGGAGTTGTGCTTGATTTCTAGCCGTCAACCTTACCGATGCCAAAACCCGTGTTCTCAAGTCCTACCGAGAGTGGCTCCGATCGGTCAGTTTACCCTGTGGTCACCCAGATACGCCTATGCCCTTGCTCCAGCGCCAGCACCACTCTTCAACGTTCCGGAGATAATGGGATGTGGAGAGCGACAGCGGTCAAGAGAACGACTAGCGGCTCCTGACTCGAATTGAACGTCAAGCTAACGTGTGACCTTGTCTGAGATACAGTCCCCAGAGATTCAAACCATGTACTCTCTGAACATGCCCGTGTCCGCCATCCGCACAAAGATCCGCCAGGAGTTCGAGAAGCACCGTTACGTCAGCCAACTGAGTGTCATCGACGTCCTGCTGTTCCAGAGCCACTCGGAGTTCCAGGAGACCCTCAACTACTGGAAACAGCTGTCCCACGTCATGAAGTACTTCCGGCCTGAGGAGGACCCCGGTGCGCGCCTGCCCCGCAACTTCGTCTCTGGTTTCCTGGAGGGCCGCAACTGAAAAGCCCCGTTTTCGATACCTCATCCACCACACCCTTCCTCTTTTCTTTTCCTTTATCGCAAGTCCGTGAAATGACAGTCGGAGCGGCTGCGTCATCGACCGCGGCATGATGTGTAAATATTGTCTGACTAGCTCGCCAAACCATCTTGATTCCATTTCATCTCGTTCAGAACCAGTAGCTCTCTTTTGTCTGCCCAATGCACATTGTGTTCATATGCACACAACCGACCCACCTTTGCTTGTTAGCCTCACGGGTAGCGTGAGCCAATCAAGCCACAGAGAAACATAAGCATCCATATGGTTTCTACGCTACATATTCCGTTCATACTAGAAGAGTGGACATTCCTGTACCGGGCAAATATTATCTTATTACTCCAGTCATTAGTAAAAAAAAAAGTTCTCGGTGCTTTACATCAACACGTCTTGGCAAGCATCCTACTCAAGCGAGAGTCGTTGATCTGGCGAGTATGACCGATCAGTACGACCAGAAAGAGCCTCAAAGTGCGTATATCGCTTATAGCTCTTCTCGTCAAGAACTTCTTTCAATCCGCGATCGAAGTTAAACACACAGACGACAGCGCAGATCAAGGTGCAAGTCATGAGAACCAAGGCGACAAAGGCGAATAGCAGCATCATATCCTTGTCCGCTGTATTCGCTTGGAGCCCATTGCCGTAAAGCACCATGATTCGGCTAATTAGATAGGAAATGATTGCAGCGTGGCAGAGCTATTCGCCAGCAACATTAGCATGGACGATGGTCTCCAAGGTGGATGACTTTGACTTACAACTACGAGTACCATTGCAATCTTCCACTCCCTGCGGACGAACCAGACAGCCAATATCATCATAAGCAAAGATGCAGGTAGAAGAGCCAAAGTGAGGCCAAACTCTGGCTCCTTGAAATGAACATCGATCAAGTCATACTGGATCACGAAACACGTAATGAAGTAGAAATCAAGCTTGATCAGAACAAGGTAGATCTTCACAGTTGTTAGTAAGCGTATAAGCAAGAATATGGCGAAGCAAGCCTACCTCGTAGGTCAAAAAGCGAGTCTTGATTCTCATATCACCATGAATGCTCCGGTAAATGGCCCATGCATATTCTTTATGAAGCTGGTAGGCACAAGGCCAGATGATAAGAGTGCATATCCCAAAGATAATCGGACAGGCGATTTGCGCTGGATCAACTCTCTTCCAGAAATCGAAATCGAGATCAACCAAGGGCTGCGATTCAGCGTCACGGGCAGCCGGTAGTCTTCGGGCGATATCTTTTATGGAATTTGACTGCATTGCAGAGAATGCGAGAATACAGGCATTGCTGACGCATACTGCGAATAGCAAGAGATTATTCTTGTGATGCACTGCATCGATGGCGAGGATGAGCTCGTAAACACAAGTGAAGACGAAAATGGCCAAATTGATTGGTACAACGTATGAGACCATCACTTGAATTATATTGGGATGAACCCACATCTGCCATTCGGAGATGATGAATCTAGAGATGTTAGTACAAAAAAATGAGACCATTCTAGATCACTCCGTTTCCTCTAGATGCTTTACTTACAGCTCTAGTGCGATGATGATAATGGCTTGCGCGACCAATGTCCCACAGAAAAGCCACTCATTTCTCGTGGTTGGCCTGTACATGGTATCGCTTGTTCTGGGGAAGTGATGCAGTCCTCAGAGTAGTGAGACAACTGCCGCAAGGTCTAGAGAATAAAACATGGGAATTCTGGTAGATTTCTGAAACTATTACTCCTGACTCGGTGCTGGATGATAAATTGCAAAAAGCACAAGGGACGAAAACTCTTTTCGATATCTCTCCACAGTGAATTGCCTGCTGGAGCTGAGATGTGAGACACCTGTGGGGCGTACTACTCTATAGTTGGCTCAGGGCTGGTCTTTGCCTAAAGCGTGGTTTCTAAAAAAGACTGACGATGATGCAGCAGTTGCCGAAGCTATGCCGAGCAAATGGGGTTTCATACCCGAAAGGGGAAATAGGCCGATCTGGTTGACCCAGATCAGAACCTTAGGAACCTCATTGAACCAGATTTACCATTTTTGAAGATGGAGACGGTTTACAGTTGAATTGTTACAATTCGAGTGCATTGAGATCATTATGCTGATTTTGTTGTCACCGTCACAATCTTTTCAGCCGCGAGTTCGAAGTCTGGCTCGACGATCAAATTACGCAACCCCGATTTTTCAATCTACAGAGATGATTAGCGCTCTATCCCAATGGAACGATGCATATCCTTACCATTCCTAGACCTTTGTCGCAGTTGGTACCCTGGAGGCGAACCACGACAGGAACTTTGAATCCCCCGGTCGAAGCCGCGGCAGCGATGATAGACTCGGCGATCATGTCACATCGAACAATACCTACACTTTGGGTTAGTAGTTGGACCGTTTCACCCTGAATCAGCACATACCGCCATAAATGTTGACCAGGATCCCCTTGATTCGTGCATCCCGGTTCAAGATATCAAATGCCTTTGATACAGTCTTCCTGGTGGCTCCTCCGCCGACATCGAGGAAATTCGCGCATTTGCCACCAAACAAACTGACGAGATCGTTCGTCGCCATTGCTAAGCCAGCTCCATTTACAATGTTTCCAATGTTGCCATCAAGACGGACGTAGGAAAGGCCTGCCTGAGACGCCTCGTACTCGTCTTCCTCATCTGGCGACCGTTCCTCAAGGCTGAAGATCTCCGGTTGTCGGAATCGCGCCGAGTTGTCAAACGTAAATTTGGCATCGAGACAGACGAATTTTCCCTCTGGTGTGCGTACCAGAGGGTTCAGCTCGAGCAGTGTGGCATCCTTCTCCCGGAATAGTTTCACCATTTGATGAAGGATATGGCTGATCACGCCAATTTGTGAATCCGGGAAGCCAAGCTGGGCTTGAACATACGCAGTGATCTCGGATGTGATGCCGTGCGTCATGTCAAACCAGTAATGCTCTAGTTTATCTGCATTGGATTCGATGTCGACCCCTCCAACGTTGGAGATGAGCAGAACAGGCATTGACCGGTCGCGGTCGAAGGTCAGTGCAACATAGTATTCCTGCGCAACATCGACGGCTTTGTAGATGTATAACTTCTTGACGAGAAGACCTCCAGGTGGAGTCTGCTTTGTTGTGAGGTAGTATCCGATCATTCTGGAGGCATTTTCGAAGGCCTCAATAGGTCTCGAGACGAGTTATTGTTGGCCTTTTTATTTCTTGATTGATTGTTTCAGAACTTACGAATTCATGATTCGAACGCCTCCTTTTCCATCGCTTTCGTATTTCCCTTTGCCGCGCCCGCCAGCAAGGATTTGTGCCTTTACAACCGATGGAGCATCTACAGAAAGGTTAGTGAGTATTCAACGGGCAAACTTCTAATAGTGAGAAGTGTCAGTATCAAACCCAGAGGTGACCTACTGATTTTCGAGACCACTTCCCTGGCTTCTTCCGGACTCCCGACGACATATCCGTCGGGTACCGGAATGTCGAACTGGCAATAGTAAGTCCATGAGCACACCGTATACGAGATAGGTTGGATCTTACATCCTTCAGTAATTTATGCGAATGATACTCCAGAAGACTTAGACGTCGCACTTGAATTTTGAACAAGCCATGATGCTACATTCGCATCAGTATCCGAAACTCTCTGTGTGATCGACCAGCATTAACGGTATGACCAACCTGCTGAACTAATCGTGAAAAGGCGCGTCGGCAAAGCATCAGGAATATTCGAGATTGATCAAGTTTGATGGTCTTTCACAGGTGCGATGTCGGTATCTACGTCCTCAAATATGCGGGGTAGTTTATTGTAATACGGGGGAAGGCCTTTCCTAATTTGCGATGACATCAACACTACGCCCTTCTGGTCGTTGCCGAATCCGTGCTAGGTTTGTGTCAGTTGAAGCTTATTATTACTTCAAATTGTGGGGAAATAAAGTTCGGTTGATGATCAGGTGCAACCAATTGATTTGCTGAAAAGCTGCCTAAAGCTTTTGGATACACCAATAGGAGTAGCATTGTTGCTCCGAAGCAACATTGGGCTTAGTGTACTGTAGAGAGAGCTTTAGACTACTTTTTGGTTGCAAGTCAATAGTCGACGAAAAAGCAATTTATAAGATCCATTTCGAGAAGGTGTAGAAGGTGAGCTGAGCGACTCTGTTTCCTTTCTTGAGCCTTCAAAAATTGCACAGTTAGCATAAGGATTAAGGACAGATGATCGGTATTAGCTTTGCTGACAGCAGGCAATCATTTCCGGTCAGGGCTATGGTTTCCTGTTCCTGCATGCCGTCATCCGTCATCTGGTCACGGACTATTATCAGACTATTAGTCTATTACCCCCTTGCAGACGATCGCCGCTAAGAAAGCAAAGGTGACAGGACTTGTACGATCTGCAGAATACGAGGAGACATCCCGATTCTTATACTGTAATAATAAAGGTGATTGCCCTCAACTTCAGATTTGTAGCAACAAGATCGAGGTTCAGCTAAAACTGTGTTCTTGAGACTATGGCAGTCAGACAAATCAACTGTTGTAACCATAAGCTCATCCTCTTTAGTCTTCGCTTCCTTGATGATATAACCGAGCGGATGAAAAATGATAGTTCCACCAACCAAAAGATTTCCATCTTCTGCCTCCATTTTGGCAACATTGATGCTGAAGCAGGCGTTCATACAACTGTTTCCTTGACATGAAATTGACTATTCAACTTCACCTCCTGCGAATGCGAATTCGGCTCAGCAAAGGGAATAAAGCAGTGTAGAGAACATTTCGCTATCATGTATCTGGGTATGTACACTCTTTCTTAGATGGCAAATGAATAACAGCGAGCATGGTTTCCTGGAATTTCGTTGCCAAACAAAGACTTTAAGATTCAAATGATGGCAACCAAGGTTGGATCTAATCCGTTTGCGGTCGTTAATAGGGTGGAGATTAATATTTTGATAATAATCACCCATAAGGCATGAAAAAGACACAGGAGAGTATTCTTAGATCCTTTCTAACATTCTCTGTACCTGAGTCATGTTGCCTCGAAGATTAAAGACCTCTGAAGTATAGCCCATCAGTCCTCTACACAACAAGTTTGCTCTTCGTAAAATGAAATCATAGGATCTAGACTTGGTTTTTTGCAACTACTTGATCTGGGACATATTCAAAGATTGATTACGTATTAATATTGATAGCTATTCCGTAACACGCAGCCGAACTTTGTGTTCTTAAAGAAGGTGGTTCAAGCTGCACTGCAAGTTGAGATCAATGTTGATCAGACCAGACTGTTGAATGAAGTATTAGCTATCAGAGAACATGGATCTTGAAGACGGAGTCGACATATGACATACCTGCTCCACGTCCTTCTGTGAGCAGCAGTAGACATCGCCGCCGGAGCAGCTCTTGCCGAGGGCGCCAGAAAGGATGTTACCCAGGGAGAGCAGACCACCGTTGCCGTTGCCGCTACACACGACAGTTTGGTGGCTTTCGCAGACAGTCTCCGGGGCGGAGGGCTCCTCACCTCCCTTGCGGCCATCATTGGTGGGCATGGCAAGGGCTGAAACAGCCAGGACGGGGAGAGCGAAGAAGTATCTCATGTTGATGGTTGGAAGTGGATGACCTAGAGAACGAATCAATTAACCAAGCGCGGAAATTTAGCGGGCAAGTATACGAACGGTCTTGGTAAAGATTGGATTGATGGGATATTGATGGGATGTGAAAGTTCTATCCTGGATGGCATCTTGCTGCTATTTATGCACTCAGGAGAAGGATAGAGGTTACGGATTCATAGAGAAATAGCGCACATGTTACGTCAATAACGAGTGCGGATGAGCGTGCGGTTTACCACCGTTACATGAGTGATATTGAATTGTGGGATTGGCAGGTAAAAGACGGCGTGCAGAGGTTGTCCGTTTTCCGGAAACAGCATCGACCCTGACCGTATCCGCTGAACGTACCTTAGGATTTGATATAGGGTGCCTGGCGCCCCACTTTATTTTCTACTGTAGAATGTCTTAGTGTTAAACATTGCAACTGTTGCAAGCTAGATGGTGGTTGAGTGTATCCCAAATATTGAACGCTCTGGGACGTAGCAGTTGTCTGGTTGCCAAGGCTATTTTTGCGGCTCTCCGTCTGGGCTTACCCAACGCGGCAATGAGTTCATGCTTCGCATTCGGATGTATTCGTCGGACTAAAACGTAAGCTTGTGTGGGAAATACGTCCAAAAATAACTGGAATAGAGTACTCCGACTCCCCATTAGATACAATTCTGGTGGAATATGATTTAAATGATGAGAGTAAATCAATATCGAAATCTTGATTCCCCGTTTTGATATTATATATGTATTTTGACTTGAAGGCTAGAGTACAGTGTTGAGAGAACTTCAAATTCTTGTTACCAACTTTTTGAAAAGTTGAACATCCATGAAATCCGAGAACCTACCGCATAATGACCTGTACAGGGAGCATGCAGCTTACAGCCGGACTGAAGATATTCACATCTACATTATACAGATTTGTCATGGTTCTCAGGTATCCAGAAATTCAGTGAATTAGACTAGAATTAAAACTCTTCACCAAAATAAATTGGCCTCTGTACATATATCACCACAATGAACTGGAGGTGTTATGGATGTGATCTTTTCTAGCGCTTCAATCACAGAGCAAAGCTCTCTCTACCCCATGTGAACTGAAACGTTTTTCCGAGTTCAATCGAAGCGACTGCGCACCTCCAGGTACATGTGTTGAACGGGTACATAAGCCTCTTTAAAGAACGTGGTTCAGAGAGCACTGGGCGTTGACGTCGAGGTTGACGAGGCCGAGCTAGAAACATTTGGTCAGTTTCAAGGTATATCAATATGAGAATGCGGCGCTTTGTGCAGGAATTGTCCAGAGCGCATCACTTACATTTTTAACGTCCTCATTCTCACAGCAGTAGACGTCACCGCCAGAGCAGTCAACACCGAGAGCACCGGGGAGAATGTTGCCGAGGGTCAGGAGACCGCTGCCGTTGTCCTTGCAGACAACCTGCTGGTCGCTGGCGCAGACCTTGTCACCACCGCCGGCCATAGCGAGGGCAACAAGGCCCAGAGTAGCGAGGATGGACTTGACGAACATGTTTGCAGTATCTGGAGGGTGTTAGACTTTGAGCAACGCAATTATAGCTTCTGCATATGCGTTAGGACTTACTGGGTATGGGAGTGGTTTTGGGAGTTGGTTTGGGAGTTGGTTTGGGAGTTGTAGGAATAGGTTGAAGATGTCTAAGCTCTATGCCGGGGTGGCAGTCAGCCTTTAAATATCTTTTGGCATTACCAGCCTCATAGTCTAGATTTTTTAACTCCAAGCTTCCAACGTCATGCAAATTCCAAGCATGTACCTGAAAGCAATGGGCAAGGGCGTGGTTAGAGCCTGGCGTCCATGGAAGGATGCTTGAGGTGTGCATTCTTTGTATTCTTGGAGCCCTGATATGCTCCATCAAGTAAAGATCATCTTCATAACAGGGTCTAACCGTCATGACCCAGGGGTTTCGAGGGTGATCCACGAGTTATTATTGGCAAGATCCGCGACCCCTTGCATGGGAAACGTGAAGTTTCCGTGAGCATGAACGTTGATCATATCACAGTTACATTGGATGATGGTTGGATTCCTATGCCAAGTATCAAATAGGTTCTCCCGTTGGTTAGTTAGCGTGTATGTGTGAATGAGAGAGATGGAGATGGAGGGAGTCGGGGAGAGGTAGAATGTGTACGAGTAAGTGTGTGTCTTGGGAACTATTATGAAAAACCAGGTTCAGGTGCCCGGAATGTGAGACGCTTGGATTCGAAGAAAAGAAATCTCCGTGTTTAAACTGCCCCTTTCTGATTGCTGGCTACTAGACGAACACTTTGAAACGCTCTCTGCCTGTTTCGCTCAAAGTAGACTCCTTTGATATTTGACCACACGAGCATTGTTTAAAGCGTCAATGTATTGCGATAACCCTAAAGAAGCTACAGTATGTACCTAGCATCAAGCTTAATCAAGGGCGAATGCCACGTAATACGCTTCCGGAAATCAACTCCTGGTGGTCCATGCCCAATGGAATGTTCGGGAGTGCAACGGGATCCCGAGTGGCTGTTTGCGAACGTCCACTGCAGATCATTCTCTAACCCAAAATAAGCCACTGAAGCTAATTCAGGGTGGCACTTGACCTTGAGAGATCGACAGAGGGTAATAAGCACGTGAAGGATTAGCTTGTCATTGGACTAGATGGCAAGACCAGCTGGTTCGCTACTGGGGCATATGAAAGTCTACTGCACCAGGTTGGGCATTGCTGCTCAATCGATGTCATCTTTCGAAGCTTATAGCCTTAATATGACCAGCAAATTCAGACATCCTTGAGAGTGAAATTTCAACCTTCGTTTTTTCTAGGTCCATGTTCATGTGGGATAACCTTGAATCGGATGTGGAATTTGATCAGGCAGAAGACACTGGAGAGATATTCGGTCTATAAAATCAGGTCACATTGTGCGTGAGAACTGCTTATTGAGATCAATCTTACACATTAGAAGGCAAATCAGGCGACCAGTTTAATGGAATCTATGTAAAACCCTGCACCTGACTAGCTTGTGAGCCCGGCGTTTGAAGAGGCCTATTTAGGCCTGCTTCTTTCCTTTCTTCTTCTTCCTTCCTAGATAGTTCTCACGGATTTCCAACTCGATCGATTGTCTCCCTTTTCTCTGCTCCCTTTGCGTAGTTGCGCCAGTAATGCCATCAACATTAATTCCTCAAGCGTAAGTGCCCAGTGGAATCTGCAGATCAGGGCTGAAGGTGTTGCAATACGACACTCGAGAATAGCAGGCATTGTCCCGTGATGCAGCTGCACGAGTGCCAACGTCTTGATCAAGAACCAAGAGAGATGTGCAGTACTTATCATCCAACTTCGAATCTACTCAGCCATCCATTGCAAAAGGAGTCTTGATGACGCTATGAAACAACTCCCTACAGCTCTATTTTTCTCAAATATGTCATGAAAATGTCCATGTATCATGTAGCATCACTAAAATTTGACGCTTTAAACTCCACCCAAACGCCAATAAAATCCGTTGAATAACATAATGCAATGCAAAAGAGGAATTCCCCAGCTCAGGCCATGCTCAACCCTCCATCCGGTTGACCTGATCCTCCTTGTACTGGTCAAGAGCAGCGGTGAATTTGTCGGTGACGACGTCGCACAGGTCCATCAGGTCGTTGAAGCCCTTCTCCAGAGCTTCGAGGGCGGTCGTGGTATCTGTGCAGAGAAGAGATGATCAATATGGGATCTTCGATAGAAGGGATCGGTTTCAGGTATTTGCTGGCTTACCGTTAGTCTGAATGCGAACGTGCATCTTGGCGTCGGAAGGATGGGGGATGGTGTAGCCGCAGAACTCGACAGCAGGGCTGGGAAGGTGTTAGCAAAAATTCACGAGCGTCTAGCTTCGGACCTTCTGTTGTCTGATCTTCGACTCGACAGCCCTGAGCGGCACACTTACTTCTTCATGATAGCGTAACGGAGGGCGTTGCCCAGAGTGTGACCCTCGCCCTCAAACTGGAACGAGGCAGCGGTGTCGGAGGAACCGGGCAGCTAGATTGACCCAAATGTCAGAGAACTTCTCGCATGAATAGCTCATGTCGCGGCGTGGGCCTTCCACGGTGCGTGACTCACCACAACGATGCGCTTCTCATCCAGCAGGATGGGGTTGACGGGCTGCTCGGCCTCGACGTCCATCATGGACTGATCGTGCTCCTCGGAGTCTTGCGAGTGAACGGAGGCAGGCATTGTGTCTGGAGTATCTGGATTCGAGGTGATCGAGTTCAATGGGTCCTTGTGGTTGAAGGTCGTGGGATGGAACGGGCAGAGATCAGGTGTGGACGAAAACTCTCTCAATTTGACTGTTGGGCGACTCTTTGGTCGGGCTTGTGAGAGAAGAGGTGATATGACGAGGTGAATGGTCGCAAAGGCTTCCTCGATGATCGTCGAGACGCCGAAGAAAAAAAAGTGCGTTATCGATAGCGTCTCACCGCCTACCGCTTTCGTGAAAGTCCATACTCTGGCCAGGGACAAGCTTCTTTTCTTACTTGATTTAAGTTGGAACATTGAATGGGTTTCAAATGAGTTCAGACGTGAAATATTATTGTTTCTTGACATTCAATATGATTATCAAAGGTTGTGCAACTCCTGTGTAGGAAAATCGACATTCAGACATGTAATGTACGGAGTACTGTATACAGATCGGGATCCCGCCGGTAGGGCTGCATGAAGAGAAGCTTCGGGGCATATGCCACACGAGCGAGGGCGACACGGGTCAATTTGTGTCTCGTGTTTGTTAGATAAACAGGCAAATAAGGGGCTTTTGTGTCAATATGGAACGATGAGCTTTTTTGATGGGGCCAAGGAAGAAAAACATGACGAGGGGCTGGTTTCGCTGCAGATTGTTAATCTTGCACATGTTCCAAAACTTGGAGGCGGATAGTTTCAAATATGTTCATTTGATCTACCGGTTTTGCAGTGGTTCGAAATCCGAGATTTGTTACAGCCAAGGTACAGAATAGCAGGATCTGCATCAGTAATAATTGTATACAAAATTATGCTTCACGCAAATTTGCGTATATTGGTAAAATTCAATTCGAATGCCAAGACTGGAGCACTTGGCGCCATCGATCAGACTTATTCCCGACCTATCTTACAGGAAAGAATCCGAGGTCGGGTAATTATACATCAAGTTTTTCGGAGACCTAACCATTTTACTTCCAGTTTCTCGTATACGAGGAATCCTGCCAGTCATCTCAATCTCCACTCTATACTAACAAATGTACTACGAAGAACGCTGCACGGTCGAATCAATAATCAATCCACGAGCCACACAGACCACCCTCGAAATAGAGCAACTTCATGATCAAAGATAAAAACAATCACAGCTTTATCATCCAATCTTGCCCGACTCAAACAGCACTGGATGCTGTACACTGTGCCTGCATGGATATACTTCAGATTATGCATCTCCATACCCTACCACATACATCCTCCATCCTCATTATTATTCGATGGTAATCTCACCATGGAAGAACCACCATACTATCACCCAGCCAATAATATACCTTCATCCCGGCCCCCAAGTCCCAGGCCTAAACCCTTCTCTAAACAGTTTAGCGCAAATAAAGAACGGACCCCCAATTACTGGCTTGTTGCCAGTGATCCGTGCGAGTTGAAATTTAATCGGTCAACCTTCAACCTTCGACCATCGAAGTGACGTGCGGGCGCCAGCCAATGGCTTCGTTGCGGCTTCATACCAGCGTAAAAGTTTGAAGGGAGATGGAAGATCGCGGTCCGTGGAGCTCTAGTTGGTAGACGGTGGGGGACATGAGTGGATATTGTATGTACTCTGATCCAAATATGTACTGTAGGTTTAGGATCAGGTCCATTTGTCGAGATTTGACTTTGAGCTCGACCTCGTTGGGCAGGTACGTAACCAAGATACTCAAACTATGGAGTACGACTTACCTACAGTCCTACAGTCCTTAGAATTCTACTCTGCCCTGGGGACTACTGACTCAGGTATACTCTGTATGTATTGTGTTTCTGACAGGGATTTTCTGCGGGAGCCACACGCTATTTGTGAATCCACCCCCCTGGTCGCCTATAAGCGCCCGGCGGCGCCCAATTTTGACGGAGAAACGTGATGTAAGTCGCTGGATGGGGGTGTGATTAGGGTGCCAACGTCATCCGATCGGATAAGGAGATGAGATGTATGGATTTTTGTAGATTGTAGTAGGATGAGAGATGAAAGGCTTGGTCTACAATAAATGGAAAAAAATAAATAATATCTTCGGACAAGGACAGGTACATATTAAGGATATGGCACGGCGAACCAGATGATTTCAACGGAGTAGGGCATAAGATTACAGTCAACCAGCTGGCAGCTCCAAAGTTTGACGATCAAAAAATCAGAAACACATTTTCCCGTCGTTCGTCAGGGAAGAAATCGTAATTTATGGGCCTGTCTGAGGAGGAGCGGGTGGAAACTGGAAACTGCGGAGCCATCAAGCCACCAAGCTAGCGCCCCAGCACTGATTCAACCCTTCCCAGGATTGCCAAAGCAATAGTGTCGAGGCGGAGTGGATTCTCCGTCTACTGTAATCTCTCACGCCCACTTGGGGGGACTGATTCATTTCGGGAGGATCTAGCATCTGACAGGGTGTTTTGATGGAATACAGTAGTTGAAATTTGTTTTTGCGGTGAGTGGCTCTATCTCAATAGTAGTATAACTATTAAGTATAGTAGATGTCTGTCAGTACATCAGAAAAAAGCTATAAAGACCAACATTTACTGATCGCCGGGGCCAGCCTCGAAAAAGCACGGATCGCATCTGTTCTGAACTTTTGACATGATGCTAAAATACTCCAGTGGACCTGCTGATGCTGCATACATACACGTAGTTTGGGGGGAGGCGGGTCCACTGCCTATCGCAGTTCGTGGGGACGGTGTCGTTTGTCTGTTCTGAGGAGAAGGTCTTCTCATTAATAAGGAACTAATTAATATAACTGGATAGCTAGGAGTTAAATATGAGACAGGCGAGGCTGATAGCCTGAAATGGGAGGCTCTACTACCCTGAATACGGAGTAGGATACGGCGACTGTGGAAGAATCGACCAGTCAACTACGGGAGGCACTCCGGACTGTGACTACTGTCTCTGGGTCAGCCACCAGGGGGGTGTCTCTGTAGATGAAACTATCGAAGCCTGGAACGCTGGCGGTCGCAGATCCGCACGAGCAGCTTATTGGCAGGACTGTTCAGCTGGTTGGGAAGAACAGAAACACGTCGTGTCTCAGCCAGACTATCCTGATACGCCGGGCCCAGGAGCGGGTCTAACATTGGGAGCGAAATAGGTACCTATACCTCCCCTTATATGAGTCATAGTATGTATGTCTAAGTACCTCTACTTCCTCTCCGCCCCCTGGTTCGCTCGTCCCCTCCTTCGTGGACAATCTTCCACTTCCCCCTTCTGGGCCCAGACCCTCCTCCATCCAAACTGACTCTCTGCCTCTCTCTTCTCTCTCCTCTTCTCTTTCTCCTCCTCCTCCTACCCCTCGCCAGCTCGTCTCCGCCCATCAAGTCCAATCCTTCGCGCGGTCCATTTCTTTCGCTTGACCCTCTGGACTTTTTCCCTTTTCTCCTAGTCGCTCTGCTTGCCGCCGAACTGCCGCCCTCCCCCCTCTATCACCTCTCTCCTCCAATACTCTCAACTCGACAGTCACGACTGGCAGTTCATGCCCCTCCTGTCCACATCTTGGACCTAACCGCCGACTTTTTCTTTGTTCGCGGAAGTCTCCGACTTGGATATCAACCGAACTGTCAGCCTCAAAACTAAGCCTCAACTAAGCCGACCACTTCGGGATCGGGGGCTGTTTTCGACGTCAGCCTCGCATCGTCGGCTTCCATTGATGCTTCACGTCTTTTTCGAGGGGTCTTTTGGTTGCTGATCCCGCGCTGTGGTATTGAGATATCAATATATCTAGCTGCGGCTATTTAGTCTTTGGCTTGTTAGTTGCGATCCTCCGGCTTCTCTCGAGGTACCACTGCAAAGTACCACCGCAAGCCCGGGCTCTTTTTTTCCTAGTCGGCAACACCATGTCAACGGCTGTTGCATCCGCGACGGCTGCTCCGTTATCCTCTCCGCATACCACCCGCGATCCGAGCCCGAAGAACTGCCCGACATTGGCTCCTCCAACCGGTGGCCCGGCGAATTCCTCTCCCTCGCGCATGTCGACCACTTCCCAAGATGGCCCGACCAGTGGCACGCCCGAGCGCAACCCGTCGTCTCCGTAAGTTTGATTCTGACCACGAGACCGAAACAAAGTAGAGGAGGGTGAGAAATACCAGAGAGAATGCGCAATGCTAATGCTATCTCGTTGTAGGTCCCAAGGTAGCACCGGCCCAAGGATTACCGTGAAGAAGGAACCGCCCTCGTCGCCGCGCATGCAGAGTCGCCCACGGCCCCGAAAGTTGGATCTGTCGACCAGCCTTCCGTCTTCCAGTGGCCTCCAGGTGCGTCCACCGGGAGGGCCCATGACCGCCAGGGAAGGCGGCTTCACCATGCAAAATGTAGGGCTAGCCTGCCTGTCACCGGGATTCCAGACGCACGATCCGATTATGCGAGAGCAGCTGCAGCGCAGTATGTCAGTACGGGACCAGCAGCGGTCAATAATCGAGGCGCGGTTACAGAAATCAGCCAAGGATGAAGGTCCCGAGGGAGTCAAACCGTCCGAGTCGAAATTCATGGCCGTACCAAAGTCCGGTTCTAAGCGACGACCTCCTCCTGGCCTTTCAATTGTCCCGCCATCCGCGTCCCAGTTTGCCAATGAACGAGTGATTCAATCCGCGCCGTTGAATCAGACCTTCACTGGTCGGTATCAACCTCAGCCATTGACCCGCCATATCGTCAACCAGAGCCCGACACTGGGGTCAACATCGCATATGCACCACGTTCCCGCCACTCAGACCAACAACCGCCTCCCTCCGCTCTCCGATGTCTTTGGATCAGACACATTGGGCGGTCGTGACCGTGACCGCCCTAGTCTATATCCCCATGCATCCAGCTCCAATTCCTCCCAGTCCAACCTGGCTCCCCTGCCCTCCCCCGGTCTGCCTGGCAACATGTCCCAAACGCCTACCCGGCCGCGGGAGTACCGTTCCGCTGAAGAGGCAGTTCAGGAGATGTCCGGTGGACGGGAAGAGCTCCTCCCGCGTATCGTGCACTATGGCGGTCACCAACCTCCTACTCCCCCATCGCCCCATGCTGGCCATATGGCTCCCAAGACCGCACCGTTGATCAGTGAACCCGCCCACAGCATACCGCCAGCTCCGCCAATGTACTCTACCGATATCACTGCTCGCCGCCGCCCACGAAGCGAATATGAGCAGGATAATGGGAGCCCACCTTTGGGCCATGGCCCCGATCCTCACAGCCGGCCCAACCCTGCGGCGGCCATGGGGCCAAATTCGACCTTCCCTGGTCCGTTTGGCGCAGGCAGGGACTCGCCAGAGACTCAGCGAAGAAAGAAGGAAGAGTTTTTGGGTCTGTGTGCGCGAGCTTGGGATTTGTTCCATTCTTGAAGAAGGGCGGTTCCTCCTGTCTACACGAATGGATAGCCACCGCAAAGGGACAGCTGGGCAATCACTTCTTGGGAAATATGTGAGACTCATCTCATCTGGGCCTTGAGGTTTCCGCTGGCCCATCCTTCGGCAAGCCCGAATCCAAAAATAAGTCTTGTTAGGGCGCATTTCCGTCGCTCTAGCCTGACCTTCTTCTTAAGCTTGGATCTTTTTACCAGAACTGGATGACTTGCCATGTTCGAGATTTCTTTTCCTCTTTTCTACCTGCCCACACCTCATCTTGATGATTTGAGTACCAGGGGGCTCAGGTTTTTTATCTTGTTTTTTTCTTGTTTACATGACATTGATGTTTATATCCCATCTCATCTATACCTACGGTACGACAGGGAGTGGGCCTCTACGAAGGCTTACTTGGAAAAAGGGGGGGGTTCGTTTTTATTTTACTTGCTTTGTTTTGGGACTCGGTCGTGGTTGCTACCGAAACCCTTCTTGCATTTGCTTCGCATTAGGCGTTTTTTTGGGAATCTTTTTGCGCATGTTCATGTTCCACCATATACCTATTTTTCGACGTTGTTCATTTCTTCTTCACTTGGGCAATTCAGCATTCTTGAACGGGTTTCTTTGAGATCTTTTTCAGTCTATCTCCCATCGTCTTATTCTCTTCATTTGACTATATTTCTTTGTGTCAGGGTTGAGGTTGACCCTTGGATCCACCTTAGCATTGGGTTTGTTATTACCTGGGGCCTAATATAGTACACCACGACTGGAATTAAGGACTAGCATTTGGGAATATTCCATCAACCCTGTTCAAGCCATCCACGGATTGGACTATTTCTATACTTGATTCTCTAATCAAATCCACCAGTTGGGTATCTCTACTCAAGTCGTCTTCTCTTCCCACCTCCACCACGAGCAGGAGGCTCATCACCAACCATACTCTCAAACCCGCGTCTCTCCATAGGCATTTCCTTCCTCTCCTTCGAAGCCAACTTCTTCCTCCTCCGCTCCAAAGCCTTAGCCCGATCCCTCGACCCCATCTCCTCATACTTCTTCTGCATAACCTGCTTCTTCAAATCAGACTTCTTCAAATAATACGGCGTACTCTTCTTCCCCTCTCGAATAGCCTCCTTCTCCTTCTTCTTATGCTCCGCAATAACTACCTCCTCCCGCTTCCGATTCTCCCGCGCTCTCTGCTGATCCGTCGCTGACCGAATCTGTCGCTTCAGCGCTTCTTTGGCCTCGGGGTTCTTCGTCGCTGCCATTTGTCGCTTTAGATCGCGTAGCTCTGACACTCGGTATTCTTCCAGGAATGCGTAGTTCTTTTCAGATGCTTGCGCATTGAGTCCCTTGCCGCTGTGGCCCATGACTGCGGCGTCGAAGCGTGGGTCCCGCGCTTTGGCGGTTGCTGGGGGTTCGACGATGACCCGTTTGCGGCCGACGGCGTATTTGGAGGATTGCACCATTGGTGCGTGCTTGGAGGCGCGGGCTGCTTTTTCTCTTTCGTGGAGGAGCCGTCTTTGGTGCTTGCCGCTTTGGCGGCGGCTTCGCGCTTTTGGTCGCGGGCTGCGCGGATTTGCGCGCGGATGTCGTCGAGCGGGGAGGCGGTTTGTGTTGACTCAGTGGTGGGTTTGTTGGCTTTTGACTTGAGCTTTTTCGGGCCCATGCTGGCTTGCGCTTTGGCGAGGGCGCCGAATGATATGTTGCTTAGGGAGGCTTGGATGTCGTTGTCGGAGGCGGAGTCTTCATCTTCGAAGGAGGAGGCATTCTCGTTGCTATCTTCGTCTTTGTCCTCGTCGCCGTCTGAGTTCGAGTCACCATGCTCGGAATCCTCGTCTTGTGACTGTCAAGGGATTTTGTTAGTAATTGGGCTTTTGCTGGTGCAAAAATCTACGTACATCATCGGATTGCAGATCTGCAGCATCAGAATCGTCGTCCTCGGCTTCGTCCTGGGATCCCTCTTCACCCGTTTTGGACTGCTCCGAGTATAGATCATCTTCATCATCAGGCCTTGCCCGCACACGGCGGTTCAGCATATCTGTAATAGCCATTTCTGAGTCTTTCAACGGCGAGTGGTTAAATCGGAGATGAAACGATCATGCCGAAAAGAAAAATATTGCCGCGGCGGGCGGTGAGAGCGATAAGATTAGACCTTTTTTTCCGCCGATGGCCATAACATCCACTTCGTCGCGCAGTCGATGTCACGCTCGATCTGCCCCGCGCGATCGTGGAACCTCTTGGCTCAATTTAGGAGACGGAGCGGTGTGTTTTGTCAGACTATTCCGGTTAGTCCAATTATTTTGTATCTTCTTGCAAGCGAATACACATTGTTTGCTTGCGAAACTAACCCCGGCATTTGCATAGCGCATCACCCACTCCATACGGACTCGTCACGATATCACCTCCCTTTCCCACGGAGCTAGGTCCATTGTGCGCAATCCTGAACGATCTGTCAAGCTGGCTTGCACAAAGCAGAAACGGCAGAAGCTTGCGCATGGCGCTGCGGATCTAGCTGCGCCGGTTCAACCCCCGCAATATGCATATGCGCCGGGCGTCATAATGGGTGATATGGAGAATGGACAGGGGACGAGACCATCGTGGCCGGTTCGAGTACCAGCCTTTAGCGGTTCAATGGGTGATCAGAGCCTGTCGCATAATACAAGCCAGACTGCTGCATACCAAGGCGTCGGGGATAATGCCGTTCAAGGAAATTCAGGTCTGCCTCATGGGTCAGGATCAACGACGAGCAATCCTGAATCTTACACACCAAGGCCCATGTTCAACAATCCCAGAAATGGAAACGTCAATGACGGTGTACAGCTACCCAGCCGGGACATGCAGGCTTCGCCTTCAAATGCTTTCGGCGCATTCAATGTCCCATCATGGAGTCCTGTGAATATGAAAAGTCAACCAATGCCCACACAACAGCTCCAAACGCCATTCCCGTTCTTTAACCCGATGTTCTTCAACCAAAACCTACCTGGTGGCATGCCACCTTTCCCAATGATGCCTCCCTTCAACCCAATGCTTCCCATGCAGACGCAGAACATGAGTACAATGGCAGGGTCAGCAGGGCATCTTCCTAATTTGGGCCCATCAAAAAGAACACAATCACCAACACCACCAATGAAGAAGCCATCGCCAACGAAGGAGTACATGTTGCAGGCGTCTCAACCCCCGCAAAGGAGTCCATCGAAACGACCGCTACTGATAATTCTCGATCTAAACGGTACTCTGATATTCCGCAAACACCGCAAATTGCCTCCAGTTTTTTCCCGTCGGCATGGGCTGGATGAGTTCCTAGATATCCTGACTAGTAGATATGCAGTGATGATCTGGACAAGTTCAAAGCCACCTACCCTGAATGCAGTCTGTGGCAAGTTGTTTCCAGACGAGAAGCGCAAACGCATGGTAGCCCTGTGGGGCCGTGATAAATTCGGCCTCACCCATGCACAATACAATGCCAAGTTGCAGGTGTACAAGGAATTGCGGAAAGTATGGGCCTGCCCTGAGATCCAAGCCGCATATCCAGGCAACAAGGCCGTCAAACAGCCCGCACCGCCAAAACGGACAGGAGGAAAACACAGTAAGAAGAACCAGATTCGCCAACAGGCCGGATCTTTCTTACCTGGTCAGCGCTGGGACCAAACAAATACCATCCTCATTGACGACAGCAAGCTCAAAGCTCTCAGTGAACCATTCAACATCTTTGAGATCCCCGAGTTCACCAATGACCCCGACATCGACGAGTCAAACCTCTTCACCCAAGTCCTCGCCAAACTCGACGCCATGTCACGATATGATGACGTGAGTAAAGTGCTCCGCCAGTGGAACGAGCGTGTTGCACAGGGCAAAGGCAGCATCTTGGACCTTGACATCGGACCTGAAGAAGATATCGACGATGAAGAAGAAGGCGGGATAAGCCTCCTGTCTACTACGGCCCCTGGCTCCTCCGCCAACCCCATCGACATCGACATTGAGAAAAAACCTCATCTTGGCGCCCAGCTAGACCCCAAAGAAGCCACGCGTCTTAGAAGAAAGGCCCGCAAGAAGGAGAAGAAGGCTGCGAAAGCTGCCATGGTAACTGCCACTAAACTTGCCCAACAGACTCAGGGTAACACTCAGCCCTCGACTCAAGCCGCTAGTAGCACAAATGCTACCCCTTCCAAGGTTACCAAGACTGCCAAGCTGAAGAATCGCAAGAAGGGCAAGAAAAAGGGTCCCCAGGCGCAAGAGCTTGATGCCGAGCGTGAGCTTGAACCCAATGCGCAGGAGAATATTATCGACAATACCGATGGGAAACGGTACAATTTCCGCCGTCAGGTTCAATCTGAGCCTGAAGTGATCATCGAGCCCATGGTGGAAGAGGGTGATCACAGCTATGAACCTGAATACACGCCCGTTGAGAACAACGAAGGGTTGTCAGTACCAGGACATGAAACATCGCAGATCACCGTGGAGCCAAGTGAAGCGTCTCAGGCTTTGGATCGTTCCTGGGCTGAATACAAACGCAGCCAATCACTCGAATCCGGTCAAAGCTCCATCCCACGTCCACATTCTCAAGAACAGGACGAGACTCGCTTCCAAGTGGACCCAAGTCACCGTTCTATCTCGCCCGTTACCGATGATGGCCGACGCTCTGTCTCACCGGCTACATCCTCTGCGTCCGGGAACACGCTGCTTGATAAGTTGGAGGAAGGGCTTGGGATCAAGCTCAAGAGATAGCGGCGGCCATCATCAAACAAGGTTCTATCAGTCTGATATTCATGTGTGATTCTTTTCAATCTTGCAATGACCCAGGTCTAATGGAGGGGGACGTTATGTGGGAAGTTCAGGCTAGCATTGGGTATGAGATTTCGAAGTGTTTTGAGTCAATACATAGAAAGCTGAATGGATAGCTTTCTTGTTTATTCTTTTCCTCTGTACATACATCCTACATCTATACTACAGTGTACGCGCTGGGATTAGTGGTGCACTACCTACCTGATGAACATCATTCTGTGATACAAGAAGTGCGGCTGCGCGAGCATAGTCTACAGGATAGATAGTCCCATCAGAGCAATTCCCGATGAGGGTAAACGTTGTGGGTTGTATAGGCTACATTGTTTATTTGCGCTTTCTGTGCCTTTGTCGGGTGAGTGTTCAGGTATGACCCAGACTAATGTACCTCTCTCAGATAGTATTATACATTACCACTTCTATCTATAGAGTGTTTAAAATTGTCCTAATTACATTTTATCCTCTGCTTCAACTTCCACTCCATGATTCAGCTCATTGTCACTGCTGCGTTCCCCATTCCCATCGTCGCGCTTAGTCTTCAGGCTCTTCCAATCGTATAAAACGGCGCCTAGACTCGAGACTGTTGCGAGTATGAGCCCGACACGGAGAGCATCTTTGATCGCCACGCCATAGACTGCTCGCAACTCTGGTGACGTCTGGGCATTCGAAGAGCCCGTCGATACGCCGTCCAGGATAGACTTAGGGTCCACAGTTGGTGCCAGTGTTTTCAATGCCTTGCTGATATTTTGCAGGAAAACCGCCTGCGCAATCGACACGAAGAGTGCTCCACCAAACGTCTGCGCGAACAAGATGAGACCAATTCCAGTTGCTACATCATCTTCGGGTAGTGTCGCCTGCACCATATATAACCCTTGTTCTTCTCCCAGGCCGATTCCAGCTCCGCATAGGATCTGAAATCCGACCCATTTGGCTCGCGAGGTTTGTTGAGGTTTGACGGTCATGAGAAGACCAGTACCGATTGACATGAAGATTGAGCCTGCGTAGACGAAAGGTGTGTAGTATCCTGTCGCGGCGGTTCCAAAGCCTGCGAACATGAATCCGCCGACGACGCTGAGCATGAATGGGATGAAGAGGATTGCGGATTCGACGGCGGAGACACCGTCAACGATTTGGAACCATAGTGCTGGAATCTTGGTCAGTATTTAGGTAATTGTCTATATAATTCCGGTACTTACGTATGTAGAAAACGTTGACCTGTGATGGTGAATTGTGAGTTAGAGGTAATGTAAAGTCGGGGTTGGACACGTACAAAGAACACGCCACCAAGACAAAGGCCAAACCAGATCGCTGCATTTATGCTTCGCCTGCGCAGTAAACGTAAAGGCACAATGGCATTATCTTTCGTCCAGTACTCGACGCCCACAAAGGAACAGAACAAGACACCGGAGATCGTTAGCAGGGCTATGATACGGGCATTGTCCCATGCATACGTGGTTCCACCCCATGAGAGTGCTAAGAGAAGACAAATCGTCGCGGACACAAAGATTACAGTGCCAGACAAGTCAAATCGCGCAATATGGTTGCGAAATCCGATCGACTCGAGTCCTCTTTTGCCGCTGCGCGTCCCGTCGTAGAATAAGGCGATGAAGATCATGACGGCACCCCCGATTGGGAGATTGATGTAAAAACACCAACGCCATGTAGTTGAATCTGAAAATGCTCCTCCCTGCTCCAGTTGTTAGTTGCCACAATGGGCCACATAGCAATCAGGTGTAGGTAAATACCAATAACGGTCCAGCTACACTCCCAACTGCAAACATGCTACCAATGATACTGTTCCAAGTCGGTCGCCGGTGTAGCGGCACACACTCGGCGAGAATAAGTGTCGTGCCTGCTTGTATCCCCGCAGAACCCAGACCTGCTAATGCCCGTCCAAGGATGAAAACGTTGGAGCTTGGCGCAGTGGCACATACAACGCTTCCAATCTCGAAGATCAGCAGCGCTGCCAGGAAAACGGGTTTGCTGGAGAAAAGCGTATAGATCTTGCCGTAGGAAGGTTGGAATGCACAAGATGTCAATGGGTAGATTCTTTTCCAAGATTTGTCAAATTTTTTGAAATGTCCAACGTCGGAACTGAGAGACTTACGCTGCATACCAACCCACATCGTCGATGCTGTGGAAGTCAGAGGTAATCCGAGGGACGGCGGTCGAAATTATCGTATTGTCCACTGCTACGCATAGTGTCGCCAAGCATAGTACTATTGAGATCAAGATCACACTCGAGAACTTAAGATACTTGTTTGCATCCTCCGTTTCTTGAGAGTCTTCGTGCATGGTCGGCTCAGTAACATCGGCCACCGGAGACATTCTGGAAAGCTACCATGTGCGTGATTGAAAGTTTACAGCAGAAGACTCGAGACACGTTGGAAGTAACTCTCAAGACGAGAAACAAATCTCCTTGGCATGAACAAAGCTAAAGGAAACATCCCCTCCTTGCTGGAGCCTTGCGAGGTGGACACACGTCTTCCCATTTCAAGTTTAGCGTAGTACATGTTATACCGAATGGGAATGAACCATGTAAACAGATAGCGGTGAGTCTGATCAACACACGAGATTAACAGCGTGATGACAGGACAAATCAATTGGCAGGCTCACATTTGTTAAGCTGCATTTGAATTTAATACTTCTTGGATAAAGTCAACAACTGATGTTTTATAGCTCTCATTATCCTCTCATATCGTTCTTTTTTCCAGTATCAGACTTCGTGAAGAATAATGGACAGGTCTTTGAAATCATCTCGTTGAACGATCTGCACTATACAGAAACGAAAAAGACGCATGATTCACCGCCACCATACATGATTCATTCCTTGATTGCCTCCAACGATTCATGCGCTGTGCTAACTAGTTTCAACCATTCCACAGATTTCACAGTGTCAGGGTGATCAGGACCTAGTAGTCTCGCCCGTATCTCCACACATGTTCTCAACAAGCTTTGAGCATCTGTAAAACGACCTAGCATACCCTGGGAAATGGCAAGGTCATGCGTGATGGTCAAGGTCAAAGGATCTTCAGCTCCATGTTTGCTCTTACAGGTATCGAGAAGTTGCCTGTACAGAGACTCTGACTTTTGCCACCGACCTAGATGTGTGTATACGAACGCTAAAAGTCTCATCGGACCCACGGTATTTGTATGCTCCTCGCCGAGTGTCCTCTTGCAGATTTCGGTAACGTCCACGAGTACTGTTTCGGCCTCTGATGATTTCTCTTGATGCAAGTACAAGATTGCTAGTTGACTCATGCTTATAATGCTTTGAGGGTGGTCGGTGCCAAACACCTTGGTACCAGTATCGATGACTTGTGTAAGAAGCGATTCGGCTTTGTGATAAAGGCCTTGATCCTGGTACACTGTCGCCAAGATGCGCAAGCTCCGAAGAGTATCGAGATTATTAGTACCCAGGTCACTCTTTTGGGTATCAACAATTTGCATGAGGAGCTTCTCTGCATCTTGCCAACGGCCTTGTCCTTGATACACCCCCTGCCAGATCCATTGCACTAGTCAGGGTGTTGCGGTGGTGGGCACCCAGTAATTTAAGGTGGCCAAGGTAAGCTTGCATGGATAGCGCTTCTGCCTCGTGCCACCGATGTTGGGTGTGGTAGACTGTTGCCAGATTACTCATGCTAGACAGGGTATCAAGGTGTTCAGCGCCTAACACCCTCCGTTGAATCTTCATCACCTGGACTATCGATGCCTCTGCATCCTGCGGGCGGCCTCCGCGCGCGTAGCAGATTCCTAGGAATTCAAGTCTCAATAGAGTTCTTCGGTCCTCGGGGCCATATAGCTTTCGATGCAGATCAAGTGCTCCCTTTGACAGATTCTCTGCTTCAGTCATATGCTGCTTTTGCACTGCAAACCAAGATGCCTTAATTTGTAGTTCAGCCTAGCTCTCCAAACAATCGTTCAAGTCCGGGTAATGGGTCATTATCAGTCGGACGTGCGGAAACAACGACTCGGATTTGCTCAAGTTCTCATACCCCAAAGTTTGTGACGGGAACTCCCGCGAGAGGTTTGAGATAAATATTTGTTTCCACTTATTGAATTGACCGTGTGTTTCGAGCCAGTTCCGGGTCGCAAGTTGCACAAGCCGATGTATCTCGAAGGTGGTTCCGTCTGATGTGGTGGAAATGAAGGAGAAGCTTTGTAATTTGTGAATGTCTTCTTCGAACTCCTCGTCAATGGTACTTGAAGCCAAGGAGTCATTGTCAGCGACCTCTTGATTCGAATCATTGACGTGTTCCTCTACTGTCTTGGCTCTCTTTCGAAGGCAACACTCGGGGATACCTTGTCGATCAAAAAAGCTCATCAGAGAAAGCAGATCAGCGGCAGATTTTCTAGTCTGTTGAAGATAATCAAATGATATGTGCCACGTAACCAAAATCGAGTTTTTGGCATCCCAGTCTCGGCGAAGTCGTCCTCCTTCGTGATCAAGGAGTTTTGTTCTTCTACGGTCGTCCTTGCGGAACTGTTCGAGGTACTGCTGTACAGTACACCGTGGTGCTCTTTGCTTGATATACGCTGCGGCCTGCACAATCGCAAGTGGCATCAAATCCAAAGCTGTGGTAAGCTCAATGACAACTTCCTCTTCGGTCTGCGGTCCCAGCTTCTTCTCGAAGAGGGTCACCGCATCTTGCTCGGTCATCGGCTCGATATTGATGATATTTCGATCTTCAACCAGCCTTAATGCCACCTCTTTGCTTCTGGTCGTGATAATGATAGTACCATTTGAGCTCATCGGAAGCTGGGCAGAAAGTGGCTCCCCACTCCGTGTAATTTCATGGAGGAAAGTATCGTCATCAACATTGTCAAGAACGAGTACCCATCTTTCCCTCCTTTTGTCGCATAGCCAGTCACTCAGCAGCTTCAGTGAACTGGTATTGGGATCATCACGGCCGGGGATCTTGACCCGGTCGGCGATTGACTGGCAGCCCTGTTGGAAACGACCAGCATTACTTGCATGGATCCAGAATGCCCATCTGTCTGGTGATTCGTCGAGAAAGCGGTAGCAGTACTCGATTGCAAGTTGAGACTTTCTGTAGGCTGTTAATAGGGGATTGTAGTGATATCAACCCACTTTTGTAACTTACCCCACGCCTCCAATACCAACCACCGCCAGGCGTGAGGCAGGAGAGGAGCTTATACTGTGTACTTCGTCGAGCAGCGTCCCACGATCAACAAAATCTGGATCTCTAGCAAACGGAATTGTAGACAGGGGAGTTGGCGTTGCTTCCTGCGGCTCTATAGATGGAGATCGACTGTCAGTGGTGCCCAACTAGGACATATGTCATAGAGCATACATACTCGGCGGGAGATGGATCTGGGCCGTAATCGACCCGGAGTTATTGCCCACTTGAAGACCCGAGTTCGCATCACCGAACGACACCGAAGATGCCATTGTGATATGGCATGATTGTTGCTTGAGGTAGTCGTTGGCTTTGGATGAATGGATATTGTGCCTCAGCCTCACCATCAGGTGACTGGTCGCATCCTCAGTAGCGCCAAACCCCGCAGGCACTTTTTCACTAAGATTTAATATCAATAGGGACTTGCTGGTTGATAAAAAAAAATTTCCAAAAAGTGCCTTGAGCTTCGAATTTCATCTGGCAGCTGAGGAATGTATACTTGCTGTATGATTTCAGTTTCTCGGCGGGTCAGGTACAAGACCTTAAAAGGTATGGCACGGCATGCCTACTTAGAGTACACACTGAATGCCAAGCAGTAAACACGATTCCTACACAGAACATCTACGAGACTTACTAGGGCGATTACAGTTTACAGTTGAAAGAAGACATTCCCAAACAAATTCATCAGGACCAAGTCCCGATTCCTTTATTGATAGCTAGACGTAGTAACCTAGCAGCGACCACGCATCCGAGCGCATGATAGCAACCCAGAACTACGCAGGTCGTTCATCTCATCTCGCATCACAACATATCATAACCGTGAACATGAACCACATCGGCACGTAAAAAAAAGAAGACGGGGTGGTAGGATAGGAAGGGGAACATTTTAACTTCCGGCCCCGATATCGAGGCACAGGTAGCATGAAAGAAGAGGGAGAAAGGATGAGCGGGACACAAGTGTCAAGAAAAGATCAGACATCGCTCTCCAGGGGGTATTCATTGAGAAAGGAGAAAGGAGTGCTGGGCGCACGCGCTTATTTGAAGACGTGGCCGTCAGCGAACTCGAGGGTCTTGCCGTCGACGGTGACGGGGACGTCCCAGGCCCACATATCCTCGATGTACTTGCGGTCAGCCTCGGAGGTGTGGTCAAGCTTCTCGAAGTTGTAGGACTCCCAGTCGGGAGCGACGTCGAAGGCGGGAATAGCCTCCTGGCCGCGGACAAGGAAGACACCCTTGATGACGCAGGCGTAGTTGGCGCCGTAGACAGCCTGGGCACCGAAGAGGTACTTGCGGGAAGCCTCAAGACGGGCGTGGAAGCCACCGATCAGGTTGTTGGCCATGAAGGTGAGCTTGAGCTCCTCGTTGTACTTGTAGTCAACCTTCCAGAGGGAGTACTCCTCGGGCTTGTAGTTCTGCCAGAACCAGGGGGAGGGCAACGGGACGGGTGTCCTCGTTGGAGTACTGGCGCTTCCACTCATCGAGGATGAGGGTGGGCTTGCCAAGGGCCTCGAGAGGGTGCTTGGGCTTGGGGGCGGGAGCGGGCTCCTCAGCGGCGGCGGCGGGGGCAGCAGCGGGCTTGGGCTTCTCCTCCTTCTTGGGGGAGTGTACTTGATGACCTCCTCAGCGAAAACGGGGGAGGGGACAACGGCCTTGAAGGCAGCCTGGGCGATGATGGTGTTGTACCAGCGGGTGACGGCGGGGTTCGCAGAGCGGAACTTCTTGTCCAGAACGGTGGCGAAGGCACGGGTCAGGAGGGAGGCAGTGAAGAGATCAGCCAGAGTGATGCGCTCGCCGACCAGGTAGGTGTTGGCGGTGAGGTGCTGCTCGAGGACGGCAATGGTCTTCAGGGCAGCCTTGGCGGCCTCATCGACGGTCTTCTTGTTGTAGGCGTCGAAGCCGAGGAGGGGGCGGTACCACGAGCCGACCTTGGGAAGGAGCTCGCCGTTCGCGAAGGACAACCAGCGGACGATGGAAGCATAGTCCTGCTTGGTCTTGCCAAGAAGGGTGGTCTTCTCGTTCTGGGAGGTCACTATAACCAAAACAAGTTAGTTGAGGCTTTTTTCTTTTGTGTTTTGTTATTTCAAAACAGCAGTGGGTCCATAATTGAATCATGCAATCAGGAGTGGTGATGGGGCAATGTGCTCAAGGGGAAAAAAGGGGGGGTTGAAGTGGGGAGCTTAGTCCGAAGCCCAAGTTCCGCCTAACAATCCCCCCGTCCGAAAAAAATTTTCCCCCTCGGATAGCGGGGTACTCAAGTTTTCGAGTGACGGTTTTGATCAGAGTGTGTTCATCTCAACAGTGTAGTTCTGCCAGGGATAACTATATATCTCATCATGAAAAACAGGGAGCGGGGTGGTGGTGGTGGCGTGAAGGCGGAAAAGTGGAAATATCCGAGCGCGAAAAAAAACAGCTGGCATCAACATACCGTAGATGGCGATGGCGATGACCTCGGACAGAGTGAAGCCATTGGCACCCTCGAAGGCGGGGACCTTGCCAAGGGGATGGATCTTGAGGTACTCAGCGCTGGTGTTGACGGCAGAGTTGGCCTGGGTGTTGACCAGCTCGATGTCGAGGTCGTTGTGCTTGGCAGCGACCAGGACGGCGATGGTACGACCGTTGTCCTGTAGGGAATCGCAAGTCAGAAGGAGAAACAATAGAAAAGTACCTCAAGATTGAAAACGTACAGGGAGACCGTAGAGCTTTCCGAAAGACATTTTGAAAGCAAGGGATGTGTGATGAGGAGAGAAAAGAAAGGAAAGGAAGGAGGAAGAGGAGGAGAGGGGCAGATGAAATTTTGTGCGGATCCCGCCCATTCGGCTCTCGGAGGAACAGTTCTTGCAGACAAGTCACGTGGCGGGAAAAACAGCGACCACGAAGTTGAGGACTCGTCCGCGGACTACGACGAGAGTTCCGTTCTCCCAGAATATTCCCGTCACAATGGCTAGGCCCACGCCCAATGGCCTCGCCCAGGCCTTCCAGGCTCTGCGGCTACACTCTTCAACAACATCCCGCCCGGTAACCCGGTGTCTGGCCCGGCAGACCCGGACGTATGCGACCGAAGTAGAAGGCCAGCAACCCTCGGCACTCGCGACAGAAGAGCAAGCACCAGCAGCTCCCGAAATCGACTTTTCAAACTTCTCCCGTCGTCCAGCCCGCATTGTCCCCGCCTCTCCCTCCTACTTCTCCGGCAGTCCGCGCTTCATCGACCACGTCCTGAAGCTGGAGTCCCTGCAAGCCAAGTACGCCTCGCTCCCAACCGTCGCTGCCGGCGACGCTCCGCGCATGGCATGGTTCAAGTTCGCCCAATTCCGTGACTACGTGGGCGAGCCAGTGCCAATGAAGAAATACAAGAGTCTGGTGAAGATCCTGCAACGGTTGAACCGTATTCAGCCGGAGATGGTGCCGCGCGAGGTCAAGCGCACGCTCAAGTCCTTCCTGCGTCCTGGAAACCCATATGCGGTGCAGTATGTGCAACGGACGGTAGATGAGAATGGGCGCGCCCGCGCCAAGGGCAAGCGTAAGGAGTCTATTGCCGTCGTGCAGCTGGTCGAGGGTGAGGGCGAGGTCCTCGTCAATGGCAAGTCGCTGGTCGAGGCCTTCCAGCGGGTGCATGATCGGGAGAGTGCATTGTGGGCGCTGCGCTCCACACAGAGACTGGATAAGTATAATGCGTGGATTACGGTTCGAGGCGGCGGTGTGACTGGCCAGGCCGAGGCCATTACGCTGGCTATTGGGCGGGCTTTGCTGATGCATGAGCCAGCTTTGAAGCCTGTTCTGCGCAAGGGTAAGTTGAATCTTTCTTTTACACGTTGTGTTGTGTTATGTACCGTATACTGACAATTTACTTTTTCTACTTTCTAGCTGGCGTCATTAGTGTCGATGCTCGTCGCGTGGAGAGGAAGAAGCCTGGCCACGTCAAGGCCCGCAAGATGCCTACCTGGGTTAAGCGTTAAAGGGGAGAGAGACGATGTTTTGTCGAGCGATGTCTTTCTACTATTTCTTTTTTATCTATCATGTATTATTCTACCTGCATGGCTGATCGAGTCCGCCAGTCCTGTTTTATATCCTGTACAATGCATATGGGGCTTTTTCCATTGAATCAATATCGGTGGCGTTTCACACTTGATCAAAGTACGGTGAAGGCTGAGTGCCATTGTGCTGTGCAAGTGTACCTGGCAGATGATCTGTCGATCTGCGTTATGCGCATCGCAGGGCAGGTCTATGGTCGCTATAAAGTTTAACAATTGTCAACACTGAGTCTGAGAGTCTGTGTAGAGTCTGGAACATGAACTGATCCACAGGCACAGTCTTTCCTGATTCGGGGATCAATTTTGGCACGATGGTCACTGGTCTGCGAGGTCTGCAATTGAATGTGCTGGTAGACTATGTGAATGATTTCGTGATGAAACCGATCCTAGATCCCCATCTACTGTAGTGAAACTATACATAGTATTCCAACGATCTAACTATGAGGTCCATTGAACCGAGATCCTCTCCAGATCAAATCCCACCCAGGAAATCAACAACTCCATAAACTATACATCAATGACGCAGGGCATCCCAATTTTCCCATTCCAGACCACCCTCGGATCCGAAAGAACAAAAGTACTCTGCACATCAGCAGGACATACCGACATTTTGTACATAACAAGGCGATCCGGTCCCGATCTACAAAAACTAATCACCATGATCTTCAATGCAGGAACCCTAATCGACCGGTCTAAGCGTCAATGCACCAATTTGCGCGGGAACTTGCTTCCTATTGCCGTTCTCAGGCACTTTGTTTTGCTCTTGGATTCTTTTCTGTAATTATGTATTGGGAATGAGCGGGTTTATAATGCATCTATCCTAAAGAGGATGTTACTCGGGATGAGGAAGAGGGATTCGAAGACAGGAGCAAGGTATGATATGTGGCGATATGGGGATGTTACTCGTTCTGACAGCTACAGCAGAGACCAGATTACATGGACGAAGTGGGTTTAATTATAATGGATAGAAAGTATCTTTTATTCATTGTTTTATTCTCGTAACATGAGGATCATAATGTGACATTTGTTCGGTAACATCGTTGCAAGGGAATGAGCTACTAGACCAGGCTAAGTGTAGCATAGACTTGCAACTAGTTAGTTATTAACTAATTAGCCTAAGTTAGTGGTCATCCAACCGTGGTATAGGGGGATTTCTCATATCCAAGACTCCAAGGCAGAGCTAGCAACAAGCTAAAGTCCAAACGAGTGCGGCTGGACACGGGAGAGACGGGATTCAATTATCCAACGTGTCGAATTGGGTTAATTGGCCCCAGGGGTATAGAACTTCACGGTTCCATTGGAAGTGGGATAGATCGAGACTCTTTGTGATCGTTTCCAATCATAAATAATCATGATTGGAGAATCAGAAAGGAGGAAATGCTATCCGAAGCACCAGCGGAACGATCCTAAGTACAGCCAAGTTGTTGTGGCTTCGGCCTGGACGTGACCAGTGTCTCTCTGTGGCGATCTCGAATATCACATCAGGAAATCCCGATTGGCGCGACGCTAGTAGACAATAGCCTCTCCCGTGGCTGACAACCCATCCCATCATGTTTGCCCCGCACCCACTTCGCCGGGTGATCTTCCCCTGTAAGTCCCCCTTCAAGGGCTGAGTCCTGGGTCCTGAGTCCTCGATTCGTGCGGAATGATTCCCAATTGTTCCCAGTGTTGCATGAGGCCCGATCCCTCGGGAGGAGCCTAAGCAGGAACCCCAACTGGGACGGAGACTGGCGCCAGGGCTATGGTCACAGGTCGCGTCTGACAGACTACATTTAGTCTGCAATTTGTGGGAGGGTGGGGACTTGGATCGGGCATCGGAGTCGGAACTTGCGAGTTGAGAGTTTCCTATTTCTCCTTGGGTATCTTTCTTGGCCTTTTGGGGGCCTTTTTTGATTCAAGTCTGGCGGGTTTGTTCATGGTCGTTGGGTTGCTGTCGCAGGCTCGGGGACGGTCTGAATACGGAGGAGTTCGGGTTGACTCTCCATTAGATCTAGACATTGACCCAGGACTAACAAGACATTAGTATTGGAATGTATCTGGGTAGTGATGTATAGCAAAAAAAAAGCCAAAGGGGGTTAAGTATGGCAAGCGCGTTTCATGAAACAAAACCAAGAGAACAAGCAGAATCCACCTACCAGAAAGAATCTCCTCCTCCCAAATCCCCATCTGATAATCAACCAATCCGTGCTGTTCCAGCTGGTCGCAAAGCTGAATCAACTCCTTGCCCATAGCCTCCATTCGATCCCGGCTCAATAAACTGGTCTGCGATGGTTGGTGGCCCGTCGCCACGACATCCTGGGTCAAATCTTTTTGTTTCTGGCAGAGCGCTAGCCAACAGAGGTTGAAGTCATTCCAAAGCTGCAAGTGACGTGGGTACATCTCACGGTCGTCTCGCAGAATTCCTACGTATCACAAAACGCGATTAGTGTCTTTTTTATTACCCCGTTTCCCCCATTTCCCCGCTGGTCCATCGAATGAAATGAAATGTCAGATGATGCGTGGCTGCAAGCCGTGAAAAAAGAAAAGAAAGGTTCAAAAGACATGTAACCGGAAAAAGTAGAAATGTAGGGGAAAACAGGAATTAGTCGGTCCAGTGTATGTCGTGGTGTCTGGTCTGCCCAAGGCCACATCCCCGAGTTTACTTCTCAGGCATCGAGTAGACGGAACGAGAAATCACCACAGTAAAACTTAATTTCACCAGCGCAACACCGGATGCAAAATCAGGAATAAGACAAAGAAAAAAACACTCTTCAAAAACGAGCCGAACCTACCAAGATCCCGTGCGTTAGTCACAAGCCACTCGGAAATTTCCAGCAAAGATCCGCTCGCCTCTACCAATCGTCCAGCGCGGGTTTGATCGAAAGTACTGCGCAAAGCTCGCTGGTACTGAGACGCCTGATCAAGACCAGAAGGGTCGGTGGCAGGCTGCTGAGATGGATCAACCTGTTGTTGCTCCTGCTGTTGAACAGACTGGTCTAATCTCGCAGATGATCCGGTCCCAATTGGCGTGAAATCAGCCATCGTAGTCGGAAAAGGATGCGCGTTGCTAGGACGTGCCATGGGGCTGGGTTGATTATATGCCAGTGAGTTCAGATATGGGGACAGTCCAGGGACCCCGGGCCCCGTGGGTTCCTCTGGGAAATATTGTGGAATGCCCATCTGGTTCGACAGGGCTTCAATCGCTGCAGACTGCCGTGTCGAGTATTGTGGGACAACGTCGAAGGGTCCATGAGCTGAACCCTGCTGACTGAAGCCGTACAGCATCCCCGACTCGTACGGAACCAATGGCGTGGTTTCTGCTGTTGCGCGTCGTCGAGATTGCTGCTGCGTTGGCTCTTGATTTGATTGTTGTTGTTGCTGATGCTGCTGCTGCGCAAGATGCGCTTGCACTGAGCCTTGCGAAGAATGTCCGAGTGAAGGATGCGGCGTCTGTCGCGGCCGCGTATAGTCGACCCCGAAGGCTTGTACGTCGTTTAGCTGCAATGAACCGCCGGGGAAAGAGTTGCCTGTGTATCCGTAATCGTAGGACATGGCAGCGCGCTCTGGCGCCTGTGAAATCCCCGTTGGGTCTCCACGTGTATGCATGGCCTGTTCGAAGCGATCGGTTGCACGGCCTCGGCCTCTGCTCGCGGCATTGATGGACCGTGCCATCAACCGCTCATGCTGCTTGATGCGTTGATCGCCATCCATCAGGCTGTCCCACACGGGCCTGCGTGGATCGAGATCGGCCCAGTGTTTGGGGGACAGCGGTGGGCTTGCGTAGGAGGCCAGCTTGGGAGGAGAGATGCAGATTGTCGTGTGATAATTTGAGATGCACCTTTTTCTGATCCTCTTCTTCTGAATGCTTTTCTCTCTCTCTCTCTTTAAACAGAGAGATTCGGAGGGAATGAACACGAACTGGCTAGCCTCAGTCTGAGATCAGCAATTGACCTCCCTCACGGCTTGTTATATACTGGCGACTGGCAGTATGAAATTGAACAATTGTTAGGCAATGTGTGATCCGACTGCAATGGTGCCAACTGAACAGTCCAGACACTTAAATATCGAAAGGGTGTTAACTTGCACGCGGAGGAGACGGACAAAGCAAGTGCATATACAAAAACGGAAGTTTTAAGATGTCCGCTCAAGTCAATCCCTGAATACTTAACAGTTCATGAGACAATGAGAATATATAGACGGCCGAAGCAACCGAATATGAAGTTTGATAAAATATGACGAATCTAATCGGAGAACACGGCGAGTCAGCAAGACGGCTGGGCGGCAGGGCGAGACAAGATGACGCTAGTAGAAGGACGGACCAAGAAGACCCTAAGGCTAGATGGGAGAAATAGAGAAGACGGGTCAAGCCAGAAAGAGAGGGGCGTCAACTAGCTGAAAAAAGGAAAGAAAGTAGGGGAGGATAAGGATAATACAGTAGGAACAAAATAATAAAATGGGGAAATTCTCTCGAAAAATCGAAAATTAAAAAAAGAAAGAAAAAGAAAAAGGGAAAAACACACATACCAGGAACAAGAGGCCACAGTCCAAGGGAGCGGATCAAAAGCACGACCTCTTCATCGGGCTCGTGGTGGACCAGGTGCTTGGGTAGAAAGGGAAGAAGGGAGATGGGGCTAGGCGGGTGGACTTGGGTGGATAGATGGAGTACAGTAGTATTTGAGCACTATTGCTTCCGTAGGACACTTTCGTCTGATTCGAAGTACGAAAGTACAACTCTGTAATTCCCAGGGCTTAGGAAGGAAGGGCGCTAGAGCGAAGATCCCATCGATCCACGCCTAAACTCGTTTCGGGCCTGTACGTCTGTGATCGCCCGGGAACCCGGCGCGCTGGTTCCTGGTGGGTTTCCCGAAAAGAAAAAAAAAAAGCTAGGGATGGTTTACAGAAGGGGGAATGGAAGTCATGACAGATTGACAGATGCGATGCTAACTATCGGGAGAGACAATGACAATGGGTAGAATCTCGAACGGAAAAAAGTAACATGGAAAAGAACTAGAAACAGATCAAGATCAGGGAGGTGTGTTCTCTGTGTATATTTTTGTTAACACTCCTTTGACTATCGGCAGTCTCAGCTCGGTCAGGTGTTGCGAGTGGTGTTTTGTCATTATTATAATTATGATTATGATCATGCCCTCTTCTCCGTGATGATTTGAATTTCCATGCTTATTTTATTTAGCAATGTGTAACTCTTATGCCTTGGGGCTGACGATCCATGGAGTCATGGGCGTGGTGGCGGTGCCCGTCGAAAGGTAGGGCGAAAAAGTACCAATGATCGTCATATTCTGATGGACGGATTGGATTTGATTTGAGTTAGACTACATACAGACAGCAATAGTTACAGTAGATCTGGGTTTGATATTATTTTCTATTTCATTTTTTTTATCTTGCCGTCATCTTAATCATCATTTCTGGATCCCGATCTCCTCGGTCTAGTCAGCCCCCCCCCCCCCCCCGGGGCTGGGGGAGATCCCCTTGCGCTACCGGAAAGGATCAGCACTACTAACAAAGGTACAAAGGTACTAAGAAGCAATTGTTATCGCCCTCCTGTACGGAGAACGAATGTCAACTCCAGACCCAACCAGCTGGGAGTTGGCCTACGCAGTTTAAATCTAGAGCCGAATTGTACTGTAGGATGAATCCTTTCGGCCGGCAAGATCAGAAGAAATGTATTTGTATAAGAAATCAAAAGCAAAATAGAAGCAAGAGAATACAAACCTCCCAGAGAATTCAGAGATGCGAGACCAGAATTAATAAAAGGGGTTCGTTCTCGCGAGCTAGGGTTTTGTTGCTTTGCTTGGTGGCTACATTCCGCGGGCACAATTGCCCGGACAGCTGCTGGGCGCGTCTCTCGCGGGAAACCCCCCTTTCGCGGATATCTACAGTACTGTACTCAATGAACCATCGCGAACCCATGATGGAAGAGGACATGGCTCGAGTCTTCGAGGGAGATTTCAGGTGAATACTGTATCTGGGCCGTCGCACGTCCTGATATTATTGTCTTGTACGAAGTATGAGGACACCACACTAAACAATGCCAGGCCACGATTGTCGCATACTCAATTGACATGTACATACGTTAGAAATATAGAATATAAATTGATAAAAAGAATATCAAAAATGAGGCGTAAAAAAAAAGGGACTAAAAATCAGAGACATCCATTGTCAGGTCTCATCTGCCCGATTGCATGACCGATCTGCACCAGCCCTGACGCCCTGAGGGCTGTGAGTGGACACTAGCCAGGAGGTAGAACTCGATGGGCAACTGTCAGAAAAGAATAGTGGCCCCCATGTCAGTTTGTCATTCTGTCATTCTACCCCCAACTGGATTGACTGGATCAATCGGATCCGGTGCTTTGGTTGGAATGGGGACTTGCCGAGGTTTGGGTGCGTTAGAACTTAGTCGGGAGTTAGGCTGGCGGTTAGGTGCCCAGTTACCAGAATTCGGTAACGATTAGGTCTGTAAGCTCTATATTGGATGAGATGTGTTCGGTGTTAAGGTGAGATGCTGGGGGTTAGGTACTTGATTACGCCGCTGGGAGTGCGTAGATTCAGGTGGCTGGTCTAGTCCTTTGGGGTGGGTACTTTTAGGAATTAAGGCGCGTGGGGCTTTAGTTTCACGTCGTTTTTCATAGTACACATTACATTGTGATGCCGTACCTGATGTCTACCACCATGAGCCACATGATCTGACTTGATGCGATGAAGAAATGACACGAGGTATTTCAGGGGGCCACATCAGATTGAGATTAACGTGGCGTGTCAGGTATTATCCTGGGTCATGGAGGTTGTCTGTCAGTTGTACCCGAGACAGGCCAGCCATGGTTAAAACTCCAGGTGTAGAGAGGTTCATTGTTAGGCAGTACCGTAGCTATATCATCATCGCGTTAATTCGTGCTTGTGTAACCATCTCTATCTTCCAGTATCTTAGCACCAAAGTACACAATGAATGTCCAAATATAATTTGTCCAGATCGACCTCATAGCAGGCCAAGCAGCTCAGTTCAAGCGCATGCAAGTTCCAACTACTTTGTTCCAACTCCCCTTTGTCCGTCTCCATGATCCTCGACCTACCAAATGATGTAATCTGCACAACTCGGGACTTGGCCTGCTATCAGTCGCGCTCCATGCCTTGTGTACCTCGGTATACAGCCAGCAACCAGGAGCCCGGTGGCCGGAACAGTAGTTGCACCGTGAGGCTGATGGTGTTGGCTGATAGGTACCAGTTACCAACCCACTATAGACCAGTGTTCACTTCTCTATTATCCCATCTCTGACCCGATAGTTCATAGCGCTCTCAAGTAGGTTTCGTATACATAGCTCGACCATCTCACCGACAACATCGGAAATAACCCCATAATGAATCCACGATTATGAACTAGAACTACACGAAATACCGTAATCAGCCACGGATTTAGGAACCTCGGGCTTTGTTTTACCTTCGCACGAACTGACCAGCGCCCGACGTGCATAAACTCCTGTCAGCTGACGATGACCGAAGGGACGCCGCGGCGCGATACCAAATATAGTCATCCCCCAAAGCAATAACAAAAAAAAAAAATAATAACAATATTTGGAAACAGCGAGATTTGTTCACTCCGACCTATCGGGATCGGACATGCCTTCGAATGGATACTGTTCGGTTTCGGTGCCACCCTCCTTCCCGGGTGTTCTTCCTCCAGTTGGAGGGTGTGGAGGGTGTGGACTGGCGAGATTGGGATTATGACGGGCTCCCCTCCCTTTCCCTGGTTGATATTGTTACTAGACCACGAGACGTGCAGCCTGGACGGGAAGAGGTTGGCCCGACCTGAGTGTTTCATGATTGTCAAGGGGTTTGAGGGTTGATGACGGGGAGGCTGAGCTTGTAATTAGGATTTGGGGTTTGGGTTTGGTTTGGGAAGTATACCTTACCACCGGACAAGATTGGGCATTTCACTGGCTTGTGAGATATTTTTCGCTAGATACCTAATGGGTCTATCCTTTCTTCAAAGTGGTGAATGTGTTGTAGACAATAACAGGCAGGTTGGGCAGAGATATATATGTACGACGGGACAGTCCGAAGGTACCAGGGGAGAATCTCCGCGCTTGAACACCTATATACCAATATCCCATTCAGAGATAGGTGGAAATCAATCCACTACCAAGCAAAAGTCCAAGACTCCATAATTAAAAAGGCCAGGTAGACTAAAGCCTCGAGTTAGTCTAGCAGTCTCTATCCATAAGAAACCTACGAGTCCTGGGGTCTCACCAATGAACTAATCAAAACAAATGAAACACACCCTTACTAGCATCTGCACGAAGAGAATGGACAAAGACTGCGCTATTCTCACTCGAGATGGAGGTCACACAAGGACTTGCCGTAAGATGGAGTCATCAGATGAGGCTGGACAATGCGTGCACATCTATTTCCTTTGTTTTGACTTTTTTTATATATAATTTCCTCTATCAGATTCCAGTCACGCTAGACCAGTAAGAAGGTAAGTAGACTACATAAGCACACGTCGCGGGTCATAGAAGGGTCATGTCATGTCGCACCAAGGCTGGCAGAAATATCAAAGGTACAGCATCAAGTGGAGAATGTAGTGAGAAAAGAGGCACAAAGGACAAGGGCTGGAGAGAGAGAGTACACGAGGTTGCGAGTTGCGCGGCGTGGGGTAGCGCATCTGTACCCGAGTCCGGTTATATTTGATCTGGTATAGCATGTCAGCACCCAATCGGCTCGATAGAAGCGCCGAGGAACGTACTCAGGGTCATGCTCAGGTTGACATCTGTGCTCTCAACCATGTGGGTGAATTCTTGGAAGCTGATCTTGCCATCGCCGTCCTTGTCGGCCTCCATGATGGTCTTGTCCACGATTTGTTGCAGCTGGATATCCTTCAGGTTGTTGCCCACCATCATCTTGAGCACGATGAACAGCTCGCCGTTGGAAATGTAGCCGTCGCGATCAATGTCATAGACCCGGAAGGCAAAGCGCAGCTTCTCTTCCTTGTTACCTTTGGAGCTAAAGGCCGACAGACCAGTCACGAATTCTTGGAAGTCGACATCGCCACCGCCGTCCTCATCAAAGATGGCGATCATTCTGTAGAAGGGTGCCCGGTATTAAAACGAGATCCTTTCAAGATCCAGGCCTTTTCTTTGGCTGCGTCTTTTTTCGGAGCAGTGGAACGAACCTGGTGGCCAATGGGTTGGAGGAGATCTGGGGGAGGGAAAGGAACTCTTCACGGTCGATCGTGCCCGAAGCATCCTGTTAAAGACGAGTGTGAGCGAATTGTCAAGTTTACACGAGTCGCTGGTGCCTAGGAGTCCATGCGATACCTTATCGAGCTTCATGAAACGTTTGCGCAGGCGGTCCACTTCATCACGATCGACTATTGCGGGGTGTCAGTTCCGGGGTGGGGGGTTCCATCGAGCCTTATCCAAGTCTCGCGACTAATGCACATACAGTTGGACGTAGAGACGATGTTATCGAACAGCTGAGTAGTACCAACAGAACCTCGGCGGCGTTGCACATGGTGCATGGCTGCCGTGTTGGGCTCAGCGGGTTGGTCCATTTCGGGGGGAGAGGGGAATGTGAGATGGCAAGATAGGGAGAGCAATCCAGGAGAGGAGAAGAGGAGGAGCAGGAGGAAAGGGAGAAACGTTTACGTGAAAGCGTGGAGAAAGGAGGCAGGAAAAAAAGAAATAAGAAGAAACCCCCGTATAAGCGGAGAAGAGAGGGAGAGAGACGAGAGACCAAAGAAGAGAGAAGGAACTGGGAAGGTCCCAAAACAAGCACCAGAGCGGATTGTCCAGCCTGAGGCACCGATTGGCACCTGATACGACCACCTGATCGGTGCCTGATCTCTAAGGCACACATATCTTCCCGAGTAAGGCATCAACATGATTCTGATAATGCCCAGCCCCGCACTAACCGCATCTGGACAGGCAAGCGAGCCCCTGAGGCCGTGCGCGCGGCCAAAACAGGCCATCACCGGGTGACATTACAACGTCAACCCATCCGCCTGCAGAGAACCCCCCCAACTTCCGCCGTCGATATCTCCCTCCCACCCATCGAATTTCATCACAAAACTACGACTACGAGAAAGCGCATGACCAGACCTTTCCAGTGATCCCCATTTCACCCACCCCCCGCCCATGGTCGTTGCCCTTTTGCGCGTCCCGTCGCTATGACTCGGTACGGGGGCCTGGGCCGGACGCGCCCGAAAAAGCTCACCTCCAAGGCGTCCATCCCCATCGTCCGCGAACACGAGATCGATCTCGTAGAAGATGAGATTCAGTCTACACTCCAACAGATCGAGACCGGTGTCGAAAAGGCTGAGGAGTCGGTGAGTCTGCCCCATGAGCCACTTATTTTTAGCCTCATCCCTGCATGTGATCACGTGATTGCATCGCCAAAGCGACACGAAAATTTTCACGGTGCTAACCTCGAGGCGCGCAACATAGGAATTCCACTTGCAAGCCGCGATCAATGCTGCCGCACAGGGTAAGGACAAGGATGCCCATATTCCAACTCGTGAAGTCATCGTCAGCGACATCCAATATGCCAAGCTGTACCCTCCCATCTTCTCGCAGCCCGCGACCTACATCCGCTTCTCCTCTACAGTGGAGGATTGTTGCGGATGTCCGTACAACATGAACGAGGAGGATGATGCGTGGCTGAAGAATTACAACTCCAAGCGCGACGCTTCCAGTCAATGCTCCGAGGATGATTTCGAGGCCACCATGAACTTCTTTGAGGAGACTGCCCAAGCAAAACAGCCTTTTGCTGCCGTTGATAGTCCCCCGGTCCTCTCCTTTGCCGACATGGCCGAGTCCATGGATGCTGCCGTAGAAGAAAGTGTAAAGCGCTTTGCCAAGGACATCTATGAGCATTGGAAGGTGCGCCGTTTGGCCACGGAGAACCTCTCGCTGGAGCCCATGTTGAAGGTGAGTTTAACCCGGACGAACATGAGACAAATAATTGTATATACTGACTTGTTCTTTCGCAGTTTGAAACCGGTCAAGACACAGATGATAGCGATCCCTTCGTCTGTTTCCGCCGTCGTGAAGTGCGCCAAATTCGCAAGACTCGTGGTCGCGATGCGCAAAGCGCGGAGAAGCTTCAACGTCTTCGTAAAGAGCTGGAAGAGGCTCGACAGTTGGTCGCATTGGTGCGCCAGCGCGAGGTCGCTCGTAAAGAGATGCTCGCCATGGAGCGCACGCTCTTCATGCAGCGCAACGAGGTCAAGGAGATGAAGCGTAAACTCAACATCAAGGACGATGACGAGGACCTTATCAACCAGAAGGTAAGCAGCCTGACTGCCTCATTTGACGTGCGTCCACATATACTGACCATTGTCGCAGCCCAAGAAGAAGGCGATGGAGATGCCTCCTCGGCAACCCAATGCGCCCCAGCTTCGCATGCCCCTCAAGCCTGGTCTCCAGGGCGCAGAGGATTTGCAACTGCTGGAGGACGTGCAATCCGAGAAGGAGAACGAGATCCTTCGCGATATCAAGGCAAATATTGCCAAGCATATCAAGTGGAACGAGGGTTTTGTGGATCATACCCGCGCGCCACTTTCCCCATCCCCCGAAAGGACGTTCGACGCTGCTGCGTTCCGTCCTGCATTCACGGCACAATTGCCAACCCCTCCATCATCAGAGTCTTCGGGCGACGTGATGGATTCCTCATTAGATGTGACCAGCCCACTCTTTTCCAAGGATAAGCTGGCCTCGCGAGCCATGGTGTTGCATGATGAGCCACACCGTATGCCGTCCTTCCGACGTCGAGTCGGACGAGGTGGTCGATTGTTCATTGACCGTCGAAACCTCGTGGCCCGCTGTAAAGTCGAACTGGATCCGCTGAAGGCCGATCGCTTCAAGTATGATCAGGAGGATTCCGACGAGGAACCGACTTATGACACGGACGCATATAGCATCCAGATCATGCAGCACCGCGCCATCACCATGGCAAAGGCGCGCGAACAAGCCGCAGTGGCTGCCCAAGCTCATGCGCAGGCGCAAGCACAGGCAGCCCAGCAACGCCGATTGCAGGCCGACCAAGCCGGGAATCCTCAGGGTGCGAATCCCGTCCCCAACGGCGTGACTGTGTCGTCCGAGGCATCATGAGAGCAGCATCTTGTGTGTGCTCTGTGCCTTTTTCTTTTTTGTCGTTGATTATTCCCTCCCCGTTTTTTTCAGCATTTGGCGGGCGTTTTCGCGTGGGTTGCGTGTTTTGTTTTCATTCCCTTCGTCGCACAATCTTTCCCATCTTCCTACCACCCTTGTAGTTTTAGTACCACCACCCCCTTATGTTCTGACGACACTCCGCGAGCGACGAAGGGATTCAATGGAGCCCGGCTTTTTGATTTTTGTTTCGCGTCGCACCCACCTCTACCCCTTTCTCGCTCCTCCCCGCACACCTCTTTTTTCAATCTCCCAAACCCCGTGGGCAGATGCCAAACTCGGAGAGGACGGCGCGCGCATTGGCTGGCTGTGCATCTTGCTGGCCTCTCGCAATGCTGCCTGTTTCCAAGGTCTTCTGCATTGTTAGTGTACATATTATCTTTTTTCTCTTCACCTTTCTTATTCTGGGGAGGAGCGCCGAGCCATGGAATGGCTTTTTTTGTATGATGGATAACCGAAGTTATGATGCCAGCGATGACGGGGAGAAGCGGAGAAAGGCAGAAAACAAAGACTTCAAAATCTAACAGAAATATAATCATTCGCGAAAACTTTTGGTCGTTCTGGTTCTTGGTAGAGTAATCCGGTTCGGTCGATGGTGGGAAAGCGCTTGGTATCGTAGATTGTCTGTTTGCTCACACGCGCGCAGACTTCGAGTGTCTGGTGCCCGCATCACCGTTGGCGGAGCGCTTGAGGGATCCGCCTGAGATTAGCGGTTCCAGCATGGCGAGAACGCCTTGCAGAACCTCCTTCTCACCGATGCGTACCTGCAGGGCCATCTTTTGGCGACGGGCAGATCCATCCAGCGAGGCGGGGGCATTTGGAGGGAGAAGGTTGGTGAGGAGTTGTATGTCATCGTTAAGAGAGCTGCCATACCGTGCTTGCTTGGATTGCAAGATCTTGTAGAGGAAGCTAGCTTGGTTGCTCTCCATGGAAGGCTTGGGCGGCTTGTTTTTGGAACGGCGCTGCTCAAACTCTTCTGGTGTCAGGGATAAGGTGGTGAGCAGGACGACCAGCTCGGCGGGAAGAATGTCCTGGAGAGAAGCGTTGGGTGCTGGCCTGGGAATCACGTAGCCATCATCCAAGATGTCGTTCTCTTCGAGGAGTTCGAGCTGAGGCAGTGTTAGCTTGGACCCAGGGGTGTGGTAAGCAAGCAATAGGCGACTAATGATGCGGGGTGTTTACATACCCTTGGCTGAGACTCGACATCACTGTTGGACAGACCAGCCGCCAGGCAGATATCTCGGAGGGGCAGTTCGATGACATCGTACTGGGAGTAGTTGTCGGTGACATAGCCGTACCGCCGTAGCAGATCCGCACGGGGAATTTCTCCATAATCATTGAAGATTTCTTCACCCTCCTGGATGGGTTTGATAGCTTTCATGACCAAACACTCCTCTTCTTGGAAGAGACGGGCCTGAGGTGGATCTATCAGTATGAAACAAGTGTGCAAGATGGGACTGCGGGATCACTCACATTATTCCGATCCGCATCAGCATTGAGCAAATCTGCCAGTGGCACCATGCCCTTGGGCAGCTGCTCATCCTCATCATCAGTCATGTAGCTTTCATCATTTTCATCGACATCATCCTCCTCCTCGGTCTCGGACTTTTCAATATCGAACGCATAGGCCATGATCAGCGAGCCCATAATATGAGCCAGTTCAAGCAAAGCCGCGGCCCCAGCATCACCCTCATAAGAGGCGACCCCATTGACAGGTGGGAACAGACCCGGGTTGCCCCGGACAATAGGTACGATCGACTGCAAGATTGACTCGTCGGCACCGTGTTTACCAATCTTGTCCACGATAGCACTAGCCTGCAACTCATGCAACTCTGCCGGCGACCAGAACATAAGTGTATCGAAACGCGTCGGCAAGACTCTGAAATAGGCGGCCCATCTTGAATTGTCGCCTTGCAAGTATTCGTAAAGCATGACTAGCATTAGGGACAGCCATGGACCGAGAGCGTCCACATCTTGCCCGAGCAGGTTCTTCAACTCCGAGTTTTGGACGGCGAGGATGAGATTCCGCGGAATCGAGAAAAGTTCTTCGCCTTCTGGGATATTGGTACGTGCCACTGGAGGAGAATCGTCATGAGAAGGATGCTTCTTTTTTAATGGAGGTTTGGTGGCCACACACACACTTTCTCCCGCTTGGTAGATTTTGTGTGGTGGGTGGGGGGGGGAATGAAATGCAGATTGTACTTACCGACTCCACGACCAGCGCCTGTGGATCTTAAGTCTGCCAGGCAAATCTTAGGATTGACCTTCACGCCTGGATTTGCTTCCAGCCAAGCAACAAACTGGTCTGACTGGTGTTGGAAGCTCGAGGGGTCGGGGAAGTGGGCGGAGGAGGACATTGTACCAAAGCCGGTATCTTAGGGAGGTGAGAAGGGCAGGGGAATAGTGAAAGACGAGATATACAAGAAGACACGCAGACAAATCGCAATCAGCCTGTACAAAGAAGCCCTGAAAAGAAGGGAAAGGGCAGAAAAGCAGACTCAGGAGTAGAAGTGGAGGAAGAAAAGAAAAGAAGAGTATGGGAAGTAGAGTCCGAAGTAAAGAAAGTACTTTTGGTTCGGAGAAACGGGAGCGCCGCTTTTAGTGGGCCGATAGGCTGATAACGCAGAAAACCGCCCTCCTTCGAGCTGGTCAAAATTTCATACAGTACTTCTGCCCTCGCTGATACTCTTCATCGTGTCCTCTCTCCTCTCGTCATTCTAGCCGCCATGATTGCCATTGGTATGGAGGGCTCCGCCAACAAGCTTGGTGTGGGCATCATGCTGCATCCCGAGGATGGCAGCCCGCCGCAAGTCCTCGCCAACATTCGGCACACCTACGTTTCCCCACCAGGCGAGGGTTTCTTGCCCAAGGATACTGCGCGCCATCATCGCGCATGGGTGGTCAAGCTGGTGAAGAAGTCTCTCAAAGAGGCTCGTGTCTCGGTGGCGGATGTGAACTGTATTTGCTTCACCAAGGGCCCGGGAATGGGAGCCCCGCTACAGAGCGTGGTGGTTGCCGCGCGGATGCTCAGCTTGCTTTGGGACAAGCCATTAGTTGGGGTGAACCATTGCGTTGGGCGTGAGTTTTGATAACCCAGGCAAAAAGCAAGACATATGGTTTTCAATATACCGAAACTGACTCGTCATCTTCGCCTTTTCTAGACATTGAAATGGGCCGCCTTATTACCGGCGCTACCAACCCGGTCGTTCTATACGTGTCTGGCGGCAACACACAAGTCATCGCCTACAGTTCACAAAGATACCGAATCTTCGGTGAAACGCTTGACATCGCAGTCGGCAACTGTTTGGATCGTTTCGCGCGCACACTACATATCTCCAATGACCCGGCACCGGGATATAATATCGAACAACTAGCCAAGCAAGGCAAGCAGCTCGTGGATCTACCATACGTGGTGAAAGGCATGGACGTTTCATTTTCAGGACTCTTGGCTGCAATTGATGGCTTGGCTGCACAATGGGGATTAGGCGGCGAAGAGGCCGCGAAATCGGACGCGAATAAGCAAGACTCCCTTGCTGGCGAGGCGCAGATAATCCCAGAGACTGACGGAAAGCCTACTCGGGCTGATCTCTGCTTCTCTCTTCAAGAAACGGTCTACTCTATGCTGGTTGAGATTACCGAGCGCGCAATGGCACATGTTGGGTCTAAGCAAGTGCTGATTGTGGGTGGTGTGGGCTCGAACGAACGCCTGCAGGAGATGATGGGTATTATGGCTCGGGATCGCGGCGGCAGTGTTTATGCGACGGATGAGCGATTCTGCATTGATAATGGCATTATGATTGCGCAGGCTGGCATGCTGGCGTATCAGACGGGCTTCCGGACTCCGTTGAAGGAGTCTACCTGCACTCAGCGGTTCCGGACGGATGAGGTATTTGTCAAGTGGCGAGAGGATTGAGAGGGCACACAAAAAGTATACAGTAGCTACAATTATCACGCGTAACGAAACAAGCATATCCAGGTTGAGGAGCATCCTTCAGGGAGTTCCGAATGTTAGGGCTCATGAATACGTCCATCACTTGCCAAGGAAAGAGTGGAATAAGAAATCAGGTACAGGATGAGAGTAATATTGATAACTAAATAAGTCTTTGTACTCGCCACAGAATCCAAGCGCCTGCGAGGCCATGGGTATGAACCTCGCTTGCATGATCGAAAAACTCCAGCTCCCATGTAAGCCCTCCCAAGAATCAAATACAACAACGCCGTGAACTTCATGCAATATGTGACCTGTGCCACCTTTCTGTCCATCGCAGCTTGCCCTCTTCTCTCCTCCTCGTAGCTTATATGAGCGGTAAACGATGCCTGTATGGTTTTGTGGATTCCAGGCTTCTGCTGACAGATACAGATTGCGACGTTACGCCCACTGAATGTGCTAGGCCCTAATCCAGGGTACTGAGTTATGCGTCTTGGGCATCTGGAAGGGGTCGTTTATCCCTCGAAGCAGACTTTGGTCTGCGCATTACAAGGTAGTGCTCACTCGGTAATGTCGCCGGTCGGTTTGTACAAAATGGATGTCACATACTGCAAAATGATGAGCAAAGAACTAATTCCGGTAGATATGCGGGGACAAATCAATCGTACCTTGCGCTTGTATCTGGTCGTCACACTAGTAGCCAGAACCCCGTTCTTAATGCTGCTCGTCGCAAGATGATTCAGAACGGTGTGATTGGGGTAGTTCAGCACACTGCTATCATCCTTGGTAGGCGTATTGCTATTGAGAATCGATTTACCCAGGAACAGCGGAAGACTGGGAGGCGTGGGAGTGTCGTTGATGACATTCGCCGCCTGTAGATACGCAGCGCTATCCTCGTCCTTGTCCAGATCCGCGAGGAATTGAGGAATGGCCCGGCCAAAATCACCGGGAGGTACTTCTTCCTCGGCTTCTTTATTAGGGGCGTCGTCCGTTGCGTCGTCGGCTTGGCCGTCCTTGGAGCTGTCTGCCAAGGTGTGTCCGGGATGGATACCTGGCGGGATGCTGTCTTGTTCATCGGCGCTGATTTCGATGTAGTTGACCAGGTGGTTGGTGAAATCGACTGCAGTGGGGAGTGTATCCGAAGCTCGCATTTCTCCATCAACGATGAATTTGAGGTGGTGTGTACCGGGTCGCAGATTCAGCGTTGTCGACATGGTGGTGCCTTCGCCTTCACTGTTCTGATATTAGCTCATCTGCTTCTGCAAGTGCATTTCGTATTACACCAAGACTCCCATACCTTCTGTGCAGCTTGAACTTCTTCTCCCAATTGACAAAGGTACCCGTCACATAGACCTTGTGGCCTGGTCCAGACCACTCGATATAAGTAGGCACTGCCTTCCCAATCCCACTAGTAGCATACGGCTGCAGCTCATCCACAATTTCATCACCGTCCAAGGTCGCACTACTCAAATTAGATGCTCCGGGGTCCAAATGTTCATCCAAAATCTGATCCGCCGGGAGTGACTGGATATGCGAATCCTCGGGTCCGCTGATAGGTGAGCCAGGCGTGGTCGTAGCATCGCCAATGGGCAATGGCATGCGCGGCGGTCGTTGCAGATGTGTCGATGCGCTATAGTACGAGCTCAGCGGCGGGCCCGAAGGTGCCACAGAATCGCGCCCCGCGGCCTGGCGCGCGGTGGGCACCTGCATCGGGTTCGAGTGGTCTTGCGGTGGCATATTCCTGCCTTGCGCATAGTCGGGCCTCTTCAGATCGGACTTTTGAGGTCGACTGGTGCTTTTAGTCGGGGACTCAGCCGGGTTTCGCGATTGCAGCCGTTGCTGCACCGAGCCCTGGTAGGCGGCGGATTGTCCGGCGGCTGTCTCCCGGGTGGCAGAGGGATCGGCAGCGGTCGCCTTTGGATTCGAGATGGCGTTCAGCGAGGTGCGACGCACTATCTTGCGCTCGCCGGCTGCATGATGAGGGATATGGCCGGCCTGTCCATCGCCGGATGGACCTTTGGAAGGGCTGTTGCCCATCGAAGGCGGGGTAGCAAGTGGGAGGGTGGAGGGTGGGAGGGGTAGGGCGCTCGAGAAGGGAGAATCGGCCGAAGAGGGGATTGGCGTGGTTATGAATCAAGCTGACTTCATCCAGTTGTCGTAGAGAGCAGCGAAGTGGAGTGAGCTTCCTTTCCACGAGAAGTTGACGGTCGAGATGATGACGCTGGACAGTCCAATCGGGCTAGGGCTTAGGGTACGGGCGGTGATAACTCGGCTTCCCCGGATTCTGCCCCCTTTCCAAGTCAAGCTTCAGAGTTGAGTTGGGAGAAGTAAATAATACAGATCTCGCCGCAAGATCTCCCTTCCTGATGGATGAGAGTCCGGCCGTGACGGGTCTGCTGTCTATTTTGAGTGCACTCCTTGGCGTGCTGACCGTGTTCTTGTCATACACGTGGTCTTTCCTCTACTTTCTCCTCTATTTACTGGTATCGCCCCTGGTTTACCTTGGCCATGGTCTGCTCTCCATCGCTCTATTTCCAGTACAAATTCTGCTGAAATTTGAAGTCAGTATCGAACCTCGTCCTTGAACTGATGTGATATGCTTTTTTTATTTTTTTGTACAATCATACTCACCGAACCCCAGGCATTCCTCACATTCGTGACCTGCGCAGTCGTCACTGGAGCCACCGTAGGCCTATGCTTATACCTCGCTGAAGACTCATTGTCACAAGTTCTCCGACTGCAATCATCAATTGAGATGTCTCCTTTGACCGAATTGGCAGAGTCTAAAGACTCATCGTTCGACTGGGAGTCGAAAATGTTCTTATCATCGACCATATTAGAGGAAGAAGAGAACAGCCACGACAGCCAGGACTCCAGGTGATGACTACCGAATAGAGAATATCAATGTGACCCATGAATACTAGAATATAATTGACCCTATTGCCAATTTCTAGAGTATACTCTATTCACGACGTAGAATTAAACAGTGATTCAATACAGATCACATAGTAAATGTGCCATGTCGTATTGAAACACAAAAGGTATCTGAACTCGAAGTACGATCACGATCCCTGCTGCAAAGTAAACCCGAAGATCCCACCCCATCCTCAACCAATCTAAGCACTCAGTTCCAACCCCTTCGTGATATTTCCAAAAATCGCAAACCACATATCAGAAAAGTAGCCCGTCCGGCCGATCCACGGTCGCAAAGACGCAGCTCTCGGCATACCCTCAGCACGCTTGATGTAATTCGATGAGAGGTCCAGCAATGGCCGTGGCTCCAGCTTTGACGAGTCTTGGAGACTGGGACGAGCTACAGAATAGCCCTTGCTGTTCATGAGTTTGATAAGTCGGCAGATGGAAGACATGCTCGCATCAGCACCTAGCGTCCAAGACAAACTGGCGTATCCGACGAGAACAGCGGCATTAGGGAGGTCCTGCATCATAAAGCCGTTCCACATGTATTTTTCTGAGATATCAATCTTCTCTCCATTCACAGTAATGGGGATTCCGCCCATGAATCGCCATTTCAGCCCAGTCGCTGTGACAATGGTATCGGCAGTCAGCCTCTGGCCCGATTTCAATTGAATACCATCCGAGTCAACGGTCTCAATGTAATCAGTTACAACGTGGGTTTTTCCAGATCGTATCGCCGCAAAGAAGTCTCCATTCGGACAGACACAGAGCCTTTGCTCCCACGGGTTGTAGCGTGGCTTGAAATGCGGATTCAAGGGGAATCCAGGCGGCAGCTGCTTCAACATGCCTTTCTCTAGTATACCCCTCGCCGCGTTGGGATATGCCCTGCAGAAAGCGTACATCAAGTGACCAATAATAAGCCGTTTCATCCGGTTGATGTAATAGTTGATCGTGGTTGGGAGTATTCGGCTCAACCAGCTCCCGGAGTGTCGATTGGGGAGTGATGCGAGATACGTGGGACTTCGCTGGAGCATCGTCACACGATCAGCCTTCTCTGAGAGTTTGGGAGCAAGTGTCACGGCAGTGGCGCCGCTGCCAATGATCACAATATTCTTGTTCATGTAATCAAAGTCCTCGGGCCAGAATTGAGGGTGAATCACATCTCCCTTGAAGTTTTCAATCCCGGGGATCGTTGTGGCTAGCGGCTCGCTATGATCGTAGTAGCCGGTTCCAAAAATGAGGAATTTCGCAGTATATTGGAATTGAGAACCATCGTGTTGAATGTTGACCGTCCAGGTTTGTTGATCCCATTCGACTGAAAGCACACGGTGATGGAACTGAACATGAGGGCTGATATTATGCGTCGTCATAGCATCTTGGAGATATGCCAAGATGTCCTGGCCCTCACCAATGGGATTTGATCGGTTCCAGGGATACCATGAGAAGCCAAAGGTGTATAGGTCCGAGTCGGATCGGATCCCTGGATAGCGGAATAGATCCCAAGTGCCGCCGATGCGGTCGCGTGCCTCTAGTATCGCATATCGATAGTTGGGGAATGCTTCTTGTAGGCGATATGCGGCGTTGATTCCGGATATGCCGGCGCCAATGATCAAGACATCGAATGATGTTTGTTCATTGGTGATGGGAGCGCCAGTCATTGTACGTGGTTCACAGGTGCATAGGTTGGATTGATCTTGATTGGTGTTCTCAATTTAAGCCTCTTATCTCAGCTTTGGGCAGGAGCTGTGATCTTGATGGAGTATGATAATGATGGTGTCCAGATTCGGGAGCGAGTGCGAGAGGTGGCGCGATACTTATAGGTGGCTAGGCAATAAGCTGTCTCGGGTAGACGATGGTCTTGGTACGATTATGCGAATGTCGTATATTCAGTATCCATTGCTATATATAAGATTCGGAACTGCCTTGGGGGTCTGTAATCGTCTGAACCCCGCAGAGGTCATCCGATTTTTCGGTACCTCGGCTGGCGATTGATGAACTTTATCTAGGGTCGAAACCCGGCGTCCAGGAGACGCTTGTTGGCCCGAAGGAGCAGGAATTCCCCGCACATACCAACAGGCGCGTCGAGGGAGGAGCAAGCCCCTCGACCTCTGCTTCTCACGTAATACAATCGAAATTAAATAAAACGCACGTAACCCCGAGGGTTTGAGACGATGAGCTGGTTGGTGGCGTTTGCCAACCAACCATCACCCCGTCAGCGTTCGTATTAAGTCAAGGCGCTGGCCCTCGTGTTTTATTTATGCCAGCGAATCCGGCTTCTTCCCCTTTGTTCACTACTTGATAGTTATTTTTCTTCACAGGCTGTTCTGTTCTGGCCTTAGTGCTTGGGACATTTCTCAGTAACCTCCGGGATATTCTTCACTACCAGACGTAGGTCACTACACGATGTCCTTCAGCAAGGTTGTCTCGGAAGCAACCCAAGCGCTTTTCGACAAGTTGCCTCATCAGATACAGCAGGTTATACAACTCCCCGCTGTCAGGAAGGGACTTGCATTCTTGGCAGCATGGAAAACTCTCAGTGTGATCAATAGCTACCTCTCCCATCAAGCGCAGAACAATTGGGTACGACTTGGTCCTTGGGATCCCAGCCAAGAACTTGTGGTTCTCACTGGTGGATGCAGCGGAATTGGAAAGCAAATTCTGGAAGATTTGACAAAGTTGAACGTGAAAGTCATCATCTTGGACGTGCAAGATCCAAAATTTGAACTGCGTATGTCTCTAGTTCCGTCCCAGGCGTGAGGCACCACCTGACCCTTGATCGCAGCTTCAAATGCATACTTTTACCGTGCCGATATCACCTCTTCGTCGGTTGTGAAGGAAGTTGGAAATCAGATTCGAAAAGAGCATGGTAATCCTACTATCCTGATCAACAATGCAGGCGTTGGCTTTAGAGACCCTATTCTCGATGCGTCCGAAGAACGTATCCGCCTTACCATGGAAGTTAATACTCTTTCTCACTATTGGACGGTGAAAGAATTCCTACCTGCCATGGTTCAGAAAAACCACGGCCACGTTATAACAGTGGCGAGCCTCGCAAGTTTCGTTGGCTTTGGAGAAATAGCCCCCTACGCCAGTTCAAAGGCAGCCGCACTTGCCTTCCACGAGAGCCTCACTCAGGAACTGCGGCATTGGTACAAAGCAGAGAAGGTTCGAACAAGGTCGGTTGTCAACTCTTCCAGAATTTTCCGGGAATAATCATACTAACCACGGTGAAATAGCGTTATTCACCCCTTCTGGGTGCATACTCCCTTGATTGGCGACATGGTCAAGGTAGGCAAGCACTTGGGCGCTCCCATCCTGAGCCCGAAGGACGTGTCATCTGCTGTGGTCAAGCAGATAGTGTCGCAGACTGGCGGCCAAATCATCATCCCGAGCAAACTGAGCCCTGCGTCGTTCATGCGTAGTCTGCCCAACTGGCTGCAAGAGCGAGAGAGGGATAAGGGCTCTTTGCAGTTCGTAAAGCTTCGCGAGTTGCGGACGGCACTTGCCACGCAGAAAGCCGCAGCGGAGTAGGTGATGTGCGTATGCGCCTTGTTTACAAGTCGCAGCTATGTACAGCATTTGCGAATGACAGACAACTATTCGTCCCAATGAACACTATTTTTATGATGAAATGCATTGTATTCTGAACTCGAACGTTGCAAGAACTGCTTTTCTTGAAGCTGGAAGGTAGTGATAATATACAATATGACAGGAATCATACATGCTACCCGTACTATAAAACGGTGCTCAGAGCGGCAGTAGAGGCAGATTCATTCATAGTTCTCCCGTAGCATAGGTAATTAGTCGCCAGTCATGCCTATACGCACAGTGGAGAGCTTGAAGCTCGGACCTAAACTGCAGTCCCGCGGTTCCGCAGTTCAACCGTTCGAGATCATCCTGCCGAGCTGCCGATACTAAGGCCATAACCATACTTTGTATCTCCGCAAACTCAAGCGACATTTTGGGATGCGGGGAAACTTAGTTCAAAGAGCCCCAGTTCGTTTACCCAAATAGGAAATAAGCCTCCGCTTATGCTTAGCTAATCCAATCATCGCGGGCTGCTTGGGCATGCTGCTTTCCCCCTTCTTTTGTTTTCAGTGTGCATTCGACTTCGTGATGGCTCTATGACATAGAGAGCAAAGGATGTTCAAGCAGATTAAGCACATTGAAGGACGAGAGTTTTGTCGAGAATATCAGCATCACCTTCTCAACCGGCCCGAGTTGTATGTGACACAAAGCGTCCCGATTCGACGCTGCCAAACGCATCCAATAGAAGCTTGAAAAAAGCTCCGACATGAAATATGCCGACCTCTCGATCGTGTGACCAATGTTATGTGCAGAAGAAGAAGTGTCAACGGGAGGGAGGCCTCGCCAAATGTATCCGATGTGCCCACCTTGCTCTGGATTGCTCGACGGCTCGCTCTTCCCGTCCACCGGGCCGTCCTGCACGATCTAAACTTCTTGGGCCTGCTGCAGAAATTCAAGTGTGGGCCTCACAAGAGCGATCGCCTGCTTCACAGACACCTGTTTCGCAAAACACGGAGGTCCAGAGGACCTCTCCGCTTTCGCAGAGTACTTCTACCGATACAGCTTCAGAGCAAGGCTCTTCAGTATTTGATCATATCAGCAGCCCAGTCAGCCATGGCGTTCAATCAAGACTACCGGATATTCTTCAAGAGCTTGGTCAGAACCAACAACAACTCACGCCGGCGCCAGAACCCACGGACGAGGAGTTCTATGAGTTGAATGATATCTTCATGATCGGCCCAAGCTTTACCAAAACATTTCGCCAAGCTTTGAATTATTCCTACTTGAAAGCTCCTCATATTCTGCGGGACATGTTCTCTATCATGATCAGATACATGACGAACACTATGAAGCCGAATACCACTGCTCCTGCCCATGTAGAGATCGCTGGAGTTGCAGATCTGCTGCGAAAATTACAAGTCACGGAAATATCCAATGAGAATGACGCGTTGGCTGTACTGGTTCTCGGCCAGAGCTTGGCCGCTTTGGACACTTTTATTGTTTCTACCGGGTCAATGCTTATCCTGCGCCATTCGCTCTATCTGGTCAAGCCGTGGTATCCCCACCTGGCTCAGGTGGACTTTCTGGATCCTGTCACAGTGACCCCGATATTTTGGGAGATACTTGAATGTTTGATCAAGCGGGAGACTCCGATAATTCGACCTCGGATCCATCGGCCTCACGTTGTCGACCGGTTGTTCGGGTTTTGTGTTTCCTTGATGCCGATACTTTACGATTTGTGCGAAGTGAGCCACGAAATGAAGGTTCAATCCCAACCGGATAGCCATAACCTGGATGTCATCGAGCAAAAAGTCCTGTCTTGGACCCCTGATGAATCATCTCTACATAGTTCGAGGTTTACCGACTCCGAGATCATGCTACTGAGGGCTCAGGCCGCTATATACCGATCTGCCACTCTACTGCTCATTCATCGCATCAAGTACCCACTATCTTGCCAAGATGGGATTGCAGTATCTTATGCAAACGATATTATGGAGGAGAAAGATAAGATTCTTCTATACGGTGGGCCCGATACAAAGCTCCAGTTTGGCTGTTTCCCTTTATTCTTGGCGCTGCTTGAGATTCCATTGCGGCCAGAAACCCTCTGGAAGAGTTTGACGAGGCTTTCTTACTGTCCAGCGTGCGCTGAGCAGTTCTTTGCCTTTCACAAGTATTTCTGGCAACGAAGGTGGGATGGGTTCAAGGGCTCTTTATTTGACCTCATTGACAACGGGCCCACGTTCATGGCTGTGCCGTAAGGGCATCTCACGGATCTTATGATGTCTGATGACTTGTCTATAGACTTTATCTCTACGAATATTATTTGAAGCAATGTGCTGGCTGTCGAGGGCTGACTGCCTTGATTTACGAACATCGTGCTTGGCAAATCGCCGGACTTTGAGCAATTGCAGTGAGAAGCATATGAGTGACAGTGTCCGGGTTTAAATGAAAATGCCGATCGCTCTCTTGCATTGGTCGAAGACCCTTAATCTGGAGCCCGCAATCATCTTCAACTATCTACAGTCGCATCCTCAAACCTAGCCCCTAACTCACCCTTTGGGGGTGTGACATCAAGGTCAAATTTCGGTCTGATACCAGCAGGACCTTTCCTGGGCTCAACTAGCGCCTTGTGATAACTCGAAGGTAACCTTCCGGTGGAGTCGGAGGCGTATCTTCAGGCACAAGCCACGCATGCCCAGGGGAATCTTCTCGGCTCCTTCGCAGATATCGGGGTAATCGGTAGTTCGTTTCATCGAGACAAGCACGCGTGATCACATTTTCCGCCCGCACTTTGCTATCATAAAGTGCGCTCTTAAATGCCACAGTACCAGCACTTATGCAAGCCAGGTAGCCTCGAATGTCACCCCGCGATAATCAGGACCATGGCTTTAGGGTGTATGGGAGATTAGCGTTTTCACGACCAACTGCAAGTTCCTAAAAGGGCAAGCCCTTCGGACAATGATGTACGTGATGAGCAAGCCTTGTCCGGTGTGGGGTCCCTTTGAGTCCAATCGATGCACGAACTAATGGACCATTAAATTATTAGAAGGCTCATAGGTTGTTTCGGAGACTCTCTGGGGATTAAGCACTCTTGCTGGTTCCAGCGAATAGAACAGATCTCCTTTCGTTTCAAGGTACCCGCTAAACCAGAATCAGTACAAGTTGAGCGGGGTGGCCGTACTAAAGAGGCATAGCGGGGGAGTTCTTGTTGGGCGTCTCCGACATTCCGCTGTGGGTTCTCTGACAATGCTTGAGCTCAATCTTAGTATTTCGAAAGTGCTTTATATTCTAGGCTTCGTAGCAGCGGAATATTGAGATGGTAGGGGACTGGGCCCAGGAAATTTCTGAGCCGTTATAGTTGGGGGGCTTGGAGTTTGTTCGAGCATTCATCAATTGTGGAGGATTAATTTCTGTCCTTACGATATCAAATGTACCGAGATGTCCCGGGTATACATAGTAGACTATTCCTACCTCGTCGAGGAGTGGTACTGCAAGTCTATACGAAAACGCCGCCATCGGTTTCTGCAACCTTAAATCCTTGCAGAGTTTCAGATTAATCGAATATCATTATACCCGGCTAGGAAGTACGTGCCTGATAGTGGGCTCGGGATTTTCATTACCATCATAAGCCTCGCTATAAGCTGGATATCTTATTCGGTGACTCAAGTTAACATCTTATAACTGTATGACCAAATTCCAGTGAAGATGGACCAAATTAAGGTCCTACAGGCTTGTCTCCTTCATTGTCGCTTCTTTACAATCACGCCGTTTTGTAATTCCGGTATCACAAGCGTTGAGTCAATTTGTATTCAGATCATGTCGAGGGTTGCAGCTTCAGGGGAGATCATACCTTCTAGATACACTAACCACGTTCTGGGCGCGTGGCTCCGTGCGATGTTCCAACCAACCTGCGGTTCCTACACCCGATAGCTATCCGGAGCAAATAACTCCTGACAGGGGTCATACTTCAAAGTGGTTTCCGGTCAACCATGAATTTCGGAACTGAAGCCATTCACACCCTGCAAGGCAAGCTTGATCCATGGTGGTTCCATGCCGGTGATTCTTCTCAGTCAAATAGCATTGTGACCCTCGTCGGACGTTGTATTCATCTTTGTCAGAAGAAGCCTCTACCGTCAAGTTCATAGGACCTAGCGACGTTGCATGAGTTGGGAAAAGCCACCCGATATTGTGACCCACACTTTCAAGCGCCTTCCATCGCCATCTACCACATTATGGAGGGTCTTGATCCTCTCCAAGAATGAAACGTAACTTACCAGAGTTGGATATTCGTGATGATGAGTATAAGTACATCAACATTTCTCTGTTCCAAGATCTTTTTTCTTTCATCCACGGGCATCAACTCAGCTTCAATCCTTTGAATCCTTGAAGGATCTTTCCATTCATTCCTCACATTCACACACACTCCTTCTAGTTCCAATTACATTCTTTCTTTCAAAGCCACACAATTCCAAGCTCTATCAAAAGCCAACAATATGCACTTCTCTACCATTATCGCCAGTGTCGGTATCTTGGCTACTGCTGTGTCAGCTGTGCCTCATAAACTTCACACTCGGGCCTCCGGTGGCCAGAATGTAGTGTACTGGGGCCAGGACAATAACGTCCAGCCTCTGTCCAACTACTGTACATCTTCTTCTGGAATTGACATCATTGTTCTTGCTTTCCTGTATGAATATGGCAATGGTCAAACTATTGCATCGGGCACCATTGGAGACCAATGTTATATCTCCTCCGCCGGTGTTCCGCAGAACTGCGACAGTCTGGCAACCGACATCGAGACCTGCAAGTCCAACGGCATCAAAGTGATCCTATCTCTAGGAGGTGCGGCAGGTGCCTATTCTCTGTCATCCCAAGCTGAGGCGGAAACCATTGGTCAAAATCTATGGGATGCATACGGCAACACTGCCGGCAGCTCCAGTGTCCCTCGACCATTTGGCAAAACCTTTGTCAATGGCTGGGATATGGATATTGAGGCCTACAGTGGAAACCAGTACTATCAGTATCTCCTGGCAAAACTGCGATCTAACTTTGCATCTGACGGCTCCAACACCTACTACATCACGGGAGCTCCACAATGCCCTATCCCAGAACCCAACATGCAAGTGATCGTCACCAACGCCAAATTCGATTACCTTTGGGTCCAGTTCTATAACAACCCCGGCTGCTCCGTCAATGGTAACATCAACTTCAATGATTGGGTCTCGAACGTAGCCAACACTCCCTCGTCCGGTGCGAAGATATTCATCGGTGTTCCTGCATCACCGCTTGCTGCTACAGGCACCTCGAGCGGTTCGCAATACTATCTCGACCCTAACTCGCTGGCAACACTCGTTAATCAGTATAAGAGCAACTCTGCTTTTGGTGGTGTGATGATGTGGTCCGCTGGTTATTCGGACTCAAATGTTAACAACGGCTGCACTTATGCCCAGGAGGCTAAGAGTATCCTGACTAAAGGATCCGCCTGCTAAGCCATGACCTCGTAAGTCTGTGACTTACGAGAGTATATTCCTTCGTGATTCTCTACTCTTTTCGTCCACATCAAGTATTTCACAAAAATTTCCATTCGTTTGGCTCAATTTTGTCAGTCGTTACGAATACCGCAAGAAGTTGAAGCCTGTCTTTCGTTATTTCGCCATTTCTTGTTTACCAGAAGGGAAATTCATAGCTGGATCTATTGTTGTTCTTCCTACCTGTCAGACAATATTACCACTCGTTTATTGCATTCAATCAATATTTTTTTCCAATACATCTACCCTGTCGGTCGTTACGAATTTGAGGTGAAGTCCGGGTCTGTCTTTACTTCTTCTTGCGTTTCTTGCTTTTTGGCTGGTTCTCCCACTTTTTTCCGATCTATCAGGCAATTGTATTTTTCTTTTATAGCGCAAGTGGAAGCCTTCTATGCAGACTTGACTTGACTACCTCTAGAATAAATCACGCTACGGTAAAGCATAGTTTTCCTATCACTCCGTAGTTCTATTATCCAAACCTTCCCGAGGCATTGGTACCACGGTCATTATTCGGATGATATAGCCTTATGGTGGCCACCTGACTGTCTCTTTCGGCCAAATGGGTCTTTCATGTTCATTTCTGATTTGGAGTTTCTACCTCGTACTACCTCCAACACTTAACTTTATCTTGGGCCACTTTTAGCACGGTTGCCGATTCGGGCGGATTGACACGTCCAGCGAGTCAATATCCCACAACCTTCAGAATACAATTTGTAATTGAAAGACCCTAGTCTCATGTACTTCCTTGAATATTTAGCTATTATATCATAGAAGACAAACCCTAGCGCATAACTTTTCCTCATCTTCTAGGTGATATCGCAATATTTGTGGGTCTCACATGTTTACCATGTGTTGGATTCTATCATTTGTCATGACTATTGTATCTCAATGGCCTGGATTGAAGAATCTGATTGGTTGGTTACGCACTAGTAAGTGCACACTCACCTGTTTCTTCATGTTCCTTACCTCGGACTCTTTCAGCTTGAATCAATCAGACAAATAAGAAACTTGCTGAATACCGGGATACCTTGAAAATTAATGTCCCGAGCGTCAGGCTGACTCTAACTTGGCCTATGTTAGGCGTATGTATGATTCCGGTCCTCCGGTAGTGTACAAGAGAGGTGGTACGAATTCACCGCTCGTCAATATCTACAGTAGGTTGTCAATTTCCAATAAAGACCTCATTTACCATAGATCATCTCCATGTAGTTCTTAAAGTGTCCGACCTTTGTCTTCATCGTATCCTCCCAATCTTGACGATGCTGAAGCTTTTCGCCATCGGAATATGGGGCGCCGTGGCAGTCACTGTCCTTGCGGCAGACAAGTCCTTCCCACCATACTTCGGCGATCTGAAATGGGAAGAGCCGAGATATCTGTCAAATTGGTCCAGTTTGACGGTGGAAACGCGCACTGGGACGTTTATCGGCATGCTCAATAATACGTATCCCAATGTGCGCCAGTTTTTGCGCGTTCCCTTCGCACAGGTAAAGGCTCATCCCAAGTTCCCAGGTTGATAGTTTGCCGTCATTTATCTTACATTTTTTCTTACTTCGCTCAAGCCACCTGTTGGTGATCTCCGTTGGATGCCCCCGCAGAAACTTCCATCTTCGAGCAGAAAATATGATGCCACTATCTATGGCCCTGGTACGTTGTATGTGACGACTTCGCATAGAGCCTCTGCTTATGACTGTCTTCTTTGATTCAGCTTGTCCTCAGTATGTTTCAGCTGAAGACTCATTCTGGAAAGACTATGAACCGGCAAGTTTTGTGATCAACCTCGGGGAGAACTTAACCCAGGGATCGGTCACTTGGTCTTCAGCTGAAGACTGTTTATCTATTGCAATATGGACTCCTGCTTCAGCCGACAAAAGCTCCAAGCTCCCAGTAACACTGTTCGCAACTGGAGGTGCTGGAGTTGAAGGCGGAATTATGATTCCGGCTCATCTGCCAACGCAGTGGGTGTCGCGGTCTCAGGAGCATATTGCAATTGCCTTGAACTACAGAGTGAATATCTTTGGAAGTACGTGAATTAAAAAACCGAGGTCAATCATTCTTCGACTTCTAACGTTCTCTAGATCCCAAATCTAGAGCTCTCAAAGAGACCTCGCTCAGCTTGATGGATATGCGCGCCGCGGTCGAGTGGATTCACGAGAATATTGAAGCCTTTGGTGGAGATCCTGATAATATTTTTGTAAGTTTGAATACCAACTCATCCAACTGAGATGGCTCGCTCTAACAAATTCTGATCAATCTGCATAGCTTTGGGGCCAGTCGCAAGGAGCAGCCTTAACCCACCTATACACTCTCGCCTATCCAGATGACCCGCTGGTGGCAAGCTACGGTATCATCTCACAAGAGCCTGGCACCACTCTTGATCTCCCTACCACGGATGATCCCTACCTAGACTTTGACATCGTTGCCAAGGCACTTGGCTGCAACTACGGCGACGATGCTGAGGCAGAACTCAATTGCATGCGCATGATTTCTTGGGTTCAGATTGAAGAATACATCAATCGCTACCAAGGCACGCCGCCGATATCTTTTATGGAGTATATCCGTACGTTTATTAAACTCGGACAACTTGGATGAAGCCCATGAAGCTAACCGGTGCAAAACAGCGGATGAAACATACATCTTCTCCAACGAGACATTGCGCTACTTAGAGGGCAAGGTAGCCAAAGGTCCAGCTATTCGATCATTCGCGACTCGAGAAATTGCGGTTGACAACAATATTACATCCTCGCAAGAAGACGCACGCCAGTGGGATTGTCTCGCAGCTTCTGACACGGCTCTCCGGTTTTCGCATGGTCTCGATACGTATCGATATTTCTGGGCAGGTAAGTTGTTGTATCATCCTTCGGTCTATTCACTTGATTCCGTGCCAGAGGAACGCTCTGATTATTCTATAGGCAATTTCACCAACATCAGCCCGGCTCCTTGGCTAGGAGCCTTTCACTACTCTGATCTGCTCATGATCTTCGGCACTTATGACAAGAACGTCGGAGAAATCTCCCAACTCGAAGTCGACACTTCCAATGCCATGCAAGACTATCTGCTTGCTTTCATTAAGAACCCTTCCACTATCTCACAGATGGTTGGCTGGCCGCTATTTGATCCTACTGAGCCAGATGGTGGTCTCATCATCGAGTTTGGCAAGGATGTTCCTGCGAAGAATATTAGTGGGCGCTACGTGGACGGAGGTTGCTACCATCCTTCGATTCCATTCCGGGTTGATAAATGAAAGGGAGAATAAAGCAGTGTGTTGAAAAGATCTCGAGGATTTTCTTGAGTCGCGGCGTGGTGGATATCTCCGGTATAGGAGGTGATCAAAATCGCATTTACAGTTGACTTACTGAACGGCGGATGTTGGTATTACGTGAAATATGGAGTCATTATATAAGAATTCATGGATACTTCAAGAGCATAACGTACATATAGGATCTCTTATGATGAACTAACGATCAACCTGCCAAGTTAATATCATCATAAGGGAACCAAACCAAGGGCATCATATTCATATCGAAAAAATGCAACCGCCGATCCAATTCATAATGCGAAAACATGAAAAATAGTAAATCGGAGAATTAGAGTGGAGCAGCACAACGCCCAGACGCCTTGCAAATGGAGACAAGAGGAAAGAAATTACAAAACGTGCCAGGGTCTTTTGTTCTATCATTCCTCAAATTTCCGCTTGACACCATTCCCATTAGCAGTAGGCGGCACAGGGCGGGCCTTGCCCTCAGAAACCATTGCTTGACGCTTTTTCCACGCGGCTTTGACAGCAGGTGCGAGACGGATGAGATCTTCCTCAGTGACGCGGTCCTCGATACTCTCGAGGACCTTTTCCACCGTCGAGATGTGATTCGCGTCCGCTTTATCGTCGCGAAGGCGGTAGAATCGCCAACGCTGTTGTGGATCCTTGTAACATTCGACAATGGAATCGTCCAGCGGGACGCGCATGGCTTTCATGTCGTCCCATTCTTTCTGAGTCACATACATCTCGCCGAAATGGCGGTACTCGTTACTGTTGAGCATTGTAAACAAGTGGCATATCGGGATGGCATCATAGTCTGTGTATGGTTCGGTGACGCCGTCAGCTTCGTCCTCGCTGTCTGGTTCCAAAACTGGGAACTCCAGGCGCATGCGGAAATCAATGGTGTTGTCAGCGGGTGGCTTCCATTTGAGGATGTGTTCGTCTGTACCGATGCGGTAGGGTGTGCTGCGACAGGTAAAGATGAGACCGTCGTTGCCGTGGATGCGCTTGACCTTTGGAATGATATCACGGAACATCATCTCAATGCCATAGCTGAATTGTGTGGACTTGTCTTCGACGGCGAAGGCGCGGTGTTGTTTTTCTTCCGGGAACTTGCGATACATAGCGTTGTAAGGCCTCAATACTTTCTCTTTGAAGTATGCGAGCCGCTTGTCAAGAGTGCGGTGCATTAGGCTCTGTCCATCAAGCACCAAGCAGTCGAAGACGTAGTACTTGAGCTGCTGAGTACCGTCCTCGTACGTGTCGTTGACCAGTTCACCGTCCACCAGCGTGTCAACATGAAAAGACTGGAAGGTTTCATCGTCTGGTAGTGGGAAGTGTAGGCCAGGGACAAAGCGGTAGTCGTTCTTGCGGTCGATCAGATAATGAATCTCAGGCGACTCGGAGTCGGGATCACCGCGCGCAAAGTACATCAAGCAGCGAATGCCGTCCGTCTTTTCGCAGACAAAGTAATCTTCTTTTTGGAGCTCCGTCAAGTGTTTCGCCGAGAAGCTGACGGGTTGCGCGCCGGGGAAATTGAGATTGTTTCGGCCGAGGAGGTTTGCGACTTCGCGACGGAACGAGTCTGCGAGCTCGGGTTCGGCCTTGACGCCGATCGAATCGAGGTCAGGGACTGAGTGGCTCATGGTGATGATCGCGAAGGACGAGGAGAAGGGTGGGATGTCAGGCGGGTTTGCGAGGGTATTTGCGGTTCAATTCAGGTGCTTCGGGAGTTGAGACGAGCTGTGCTGAGCAGCGGTCGATGCGAATCGATAACAATGGCCAAACCACTCAGCCACGCAGGTTGTGGGATATGATCAATCTGTGACGAATCTTCAAAGGCGCTTTCAGCCCTACCGAGCTTCAGAACAAGGCTGTCGTCATGGTTGATGGTCTCAAAGACGATCAGCGGAGCTCGAAGCAGTGAGTACATTCTGCCTAAGGCACCCACTTTGCCCTCATGGAGTCGGAAGATCTCGTGTCACGTGAAGAGGCCCTCATTTTTCCGTTCCTGGCATTTTCTCCGGATTTTTGAGCTTTTGGACGTCCGTTAGGAGCTGTAAAGCGAATAGGACATACTGCGGAGCCAATTGTTGTCTCTGAATAGCAAATATATGCTGAACGTCCCCTTTTCAGGCTAAACATGGATGCAAGCTTTGCCCCCTACACATAAGTCCAAATTTGGGGATCCGTACATCAACCAGCTCGCTTAACTCAGTTGGTAGAGTGCGTGACTAGTAATCACGAAGTCGCTAGTTCAAATCTGGCAGTGAGCATTTTTTGGCTTTTTTTGCTACCTACGCGGTCAATTGATGAACACCCTACAATAACTGGCTTAACTTGAATCTTTCTGCGGGAGAGCTTATGTATCTGCTCCCTTCCAGGCGCGGTAAGAATATCTCAGCAAGGAGCCGGAGAGATTGCTTCGCATGAATGGACTCGATCGAAAACATATACCTGGTCATTAATCGAGTGCATGTATTCCAGTACTTCTCTGACTAAGTTATCCCAGATGGACATTGCTTCCAGCTCGGCTTTACGTGTATATTTGAATTCGGGAAGAACACGTAGGTATGGACCGTACTGATATTGGAACACGGGCCTTTTAAGAGCCTGGCCATTGAGCATTATTGGTCCAGTTCATTCTGATAGATCAGGTGGTCGTCGAAGAATTGTCTAGATTCCATGAATGACGTGGATTTATCGTGGATGATTCGATATCCAAGGCATTTTCGTGATAATACCCTGGGTACTGGAGATATCCATCCCATGTCCAGGCATAGTGTTAATTAATAGAAGCGTACGGAGTAGATGTCAACGGTTGTGCTCGCGCACGGGCATACCTAGGTGCAGGCATAGTCGGATCCACGAGATATATATTCCCACACCTCATACTTACTTCCCTCCACTGACCCGACTAGAGCCCTGACCCCTCGCTAGCTCTCGAATCACCGTCGAGTCAAATCAAAAACGATACATCCCCATCCCAAAAACCCAAATCATAAGAAAAAGCAACAATAATAACATTTTCACGAAAACCCCCAAGCCAAAACCAAAAGCAAAAAGAAATGCTCACTGCCAGATTTGAACTAGCGACTTCGTGATTACTAGTCACGCACTCTACCAACTGAGTTAAGCGAGCTGGTTGATGTATGGGATGTGAAATTATTGCATTACCAAAGTGAAATATCAGATTTGTTGATTACAGCAGGAAATTCGGATAGGAATCCAACCCAAGGACAAGGTTGAGGAGGATGGAGTGCTTATTGACGCAGGGTTGCTACACGTCCAGCGTAAGTTGACATCACAAAGTTACTCCATCCGTACTCCATACTAGACAAATCCGAGTAAACCCGCCATTTTAATAATTGCATCCATTCTGCACTCTGCACCACGCAAAGTGTATCATCAACTACCGGGGGTATCATATCATCACCTAACTAAACGAAACCAGCCAATTCCCACGCCCGAAAAGGCCCATCGCATGCGGATCCATCCAACAAAGACGAATAAGAATAAGAATAAATAAGGATGGAAGGGATCCCTTAACGCCAGCATCGCAATGCAATGCTAATCCAGTGCACCGGGCAACAAGCTGAACCGAAGAATAAACGAAAAGAAGAACGCCGGAGATAGTCGTAACGTCGTTGACCCGGAACCTCACGCAGGATCGTAGGCTCGGACGAGCGTGAAAGGAATTGCTTTTCTTTATTCCCTCACGAGGCCGCCGCAACGGGCGTCTTCCGAGTCCCCTGCACAGGCGTTTTCGTAGCTCCATCGCCGGCTGAGCCACCCCCAGCTTCACCGGTAGGAATCACCGGTGAAGAAGATGTGTTCATGTCGTTATCAAAGGCTTGGAAAAGGTTACCGCCGAATATGGGCTGGCTCTCGTCTGTGGAGAATAGTCCGGCGCCGCCTCGGCCGCCCATGGCGTGTAGCATTTGTTCTTTGATGCGGACGATGCGGTATTTGGATTTTGTGCTGACGAGGGTGTGTTCGGTGATGGGTCTGGGGTGGGACCGGGCGACTGCTGCCATGACGGTGTCGCGTTCTTCGTCTGAGTCGATGGGTCCGTTGGTGTCGATGTCTTCGGGGAGAGGGGCGTTGGCGTCGATTGCGGCTCCTGTATTGGGGAAAGCAGATTTGTTAGATTGTTTGATACAGGGCCGATGGTGAGTAAAGTGGGAAACTCACTCTGCTGCTTGGCCTGGTTTTTCTTCTGATACTGCTGCAGCAACATATCATATGGCAGCGACCGACCAGGCACAGCACGCTTGGCACCCATGGAATGACTCTTGCAAGTCAACGAGCGTGCACACTGCGCACCATTGGGAAGAGTCACACCACACTGCTTCTCGACATCAACAGGACCCTTGGGCTTCGCAGCCTTGGCCTTCGGCTCATCCTTCTTCTTCTTTTTCTTCGGCTCCTTGTTATCATCCTCGTCGGCCTTGCGCTTCTTGCCCTTCTTCGTACTATCGTCCGTAGTCCCCTTCACAGCGCTCTTCTTGGCACTCTTCTGCCCCTTCATGGCGTCCTCGCCGTCAAATTTATCGCGCAGGTCATCGTCGTCCTTACCGTCGGTGACCTTGGCGCGGTTGGCCGCGTCGCGTGCTTCTTTCTTCTTGCGCGCTTTCTCTTGTTTAGCCTTGAGGCAGCCGCGGATGTGTTCCGGGGCCGTGGATTTGAGGACGGGGCGTTTGCAGTGCTTGCAAATCACTGTTTCGAGGAGGTCTTCCTCGCGGGGTTTGCCGGTCGGGAATGAGGCTGCGACTTTGTCGTCTAGTTTGGGGAGAGGGGAGGAGGTGGGTGAGGCGTCGGTAGGGCCATCCTTGGAATCTAAATATCCTCCAATGAGTCTGGTTCTGACGAGAAGCATGGATGCTATATTGGGACGCAATATGTACCGTCTGCTTTCTTCTTCGTCGAGGCTTTGGCGGTCTTTTTGACCTTCATCTTGCCCGGCTTGGTATCCTTCTCGGTGAATTTGTAGCCCGATGCATCGACCAAGCTGCCAGATGCTGTATGAGATGAAAAAAGTTAGCATTTACTCTTTTCTCAAGCTCAAAGCCCTCAACGCAGATGACCACGCGCGCTGGTCCCCGGTCGCGGATCCCTAGCGACTGGATTCAGTGGCAAGCATACCTCGACCAGCATCGCCGTTTGTCGTCATGGTGGGCGAAGGTATGGAAAGTTTCTGACACAGTTGTACACTCTCTGGCACAATATTCGAAGATCGGATCGCGCCAGAGGAGATGTGTTGATCCGTAGTGCCTTTCGTCTCTCGTCCCCGGAGTCAAAAGGTCGGGGGCTCCGCATCGGGATCAAGTCACGTGCTGGATTGGATGGTGAAGAAAGGCGAATGGCTTCAACTTGCCATTGTCTGGAGCGTATATTTGGATTACAGCGGATCGGATACAAGTCCTGAAGCAAGGGCAGATCATTAAGTAGGTATCAATCAGAGTCAATCACTGCTGACAGCAATGCAGCACATTCATTCACTCTATAAAGTCGTCACGAACGGGAAACACACTGCAATAACGCTAATAAAACACTAATCATACACGACTCGCTCTTGACAACGCTTATTGTTCAAGTCTAGCAAAGCAAAGGCTACTATTCGTCCCTCCAAAGCCAAAGCTGTTCGTCAAGGCAACATCAATCTTCCTCGACTGCGGTTCATTCGGTGCATAGTTGCAGTCAAATTCATCAGCCAACCGGTCCAAGTTGATAGTAGGTGGCATAACATTCTGATACACGTTAGCACATGATCTTGATATCGACTCAAGCATCATCATATCACTCACATCTTGAATAGCCATCACACTGAACACGGCTTCCACCGCTCCAGCACCGCCGAGCAAGTGTCCCACAGCGCCCTTGGTGCTGCTGACATTTACATCTGCGGCTTTTTGCTTGCCCTCGGGTCCGAGGAGGAGGGCCTTGATAGCGGCATTCTCGGCAGCATCGCCGATGATAGTTGAGGTTGCGTGTGCATTGACATAGTCTACCGCGCTGGGCTTCAATTGGGCTTGCTTGAGCGCCTTTTTCATGGCCATGTACGCTCCAACGCCGTTTTCTTTCGGGGCCGTCATGTGGTGCGCATCCGCAGAGCAGCCGTAGCCTTTCAGTTCGGCGTATATATGGGCGCCTCGAGCGCGAGCATGTTCCAGTTCCTAAACAGACATCCATGAGAATGAGAATTTGCTTCAAGGGAACACGCCTTCTATCAACCCCACTGTGATACATACCTCTAGAACCATCATGGCAGCACCTTCGCCAACGACGAAACCCTTACGGTCTGCATCAAACGGCCTCGACGCTTTCTCGGGATTATCGTTGAAATCCGTAGCAAGACTGCGAGCCCGAGCAAACCCGCCAATAGCCAGGGGATGGATGCAGGACTCGCCGCCGCCAGCAACCATGACATCGGCGTCGCCGCAGGCAATGAACCGTCCTGCATCGCCGATGGAATGGGCACCCGTCGTACAAGCCGTTGTTGCGGCGTGATTGGGGCCCTATAGGAGTAAGAGTAAGCGTGGATTCCATGAACTGCCTGGGGCTTTTCCGCTGGTCTATACGTACCATGAAGCCATATCTCATGGAGATATGCCCGGCGCCAAGGTTGATCAATAGTCTTGGGACGAACAGAGGGTTGATTTTCCTGTAGCCCTAAACATCCCCGTCAGCTAGATCATCCTTCTTACAACTGCAGATGAAACTCACCCCTTGTTCATAGTTAACCACCGTATCGAACATCTCTTCGAAATTGCCAATACCCGAGCCAAGGCAGACTCCCTATCACATATGAGAAAGTCAACCAATGCTCCACCATGCTCAATCCGAATCAATCGTTTCTTCTTGATACTTCCATACCGTAGCTTCTCTCTGCTCAAAAGCCGTCGGCTTCCAACCGGCATCTTCAAGAGCCTCTTCCGAGGCGGCCATGGCATATTGCGCAAACTTGGCCATTACACGTTCTTCCTATCAGCAGAAGCAGCATTAGCATAATATCACAATTTCCAAACATGTAAATTCCACTCTGTAAAAGCTCAGCTTGGACGAGAAAGAAAATAATGACATACCCTACGATTCAACCACTCAAAAGCATCCCACCCTCCCTCGTCCTTCTTCCCCTGCGGCACAACAGCTGCAATCTGCGAGGGGACCTCTCGAAAGCGCTCATCGCGCGAGACTACATTGACGATCCCACAGTGACCGTCTAGTAGACGTTTCCATGTCCGCCGTAGACCTATCGCCGGGGAATAGATGGGTTAGCGTATCACACAGACCACTCTTAGTACATCACACCCATCTATAGAAATCTCGCCACGCCAGACTCCTACACTCTAATTTCCAATCTCCAATTCCCAGACTGTAGATAACAGACAAGCATACGGTACTCCTACTCCGCATGGCCCTAATCTGAAATCGCCCGCCCCGCGAAGCCCCATCTCCCAAAAATGCCCCGTCATTGGCTGTCAAGACCTTCCCCTTCCGGCGGTGGCAGGGTGGAGACCCGCGCCGATTTTCTGCGCGAAGAACTGGGCAGGTTCTCCCGGGGGAGGGGGCACTTTTGGATGGATCGGAGAGTGGCGGAGTTTTCTCCGGTGATATTGTTCTGCTTGTGTAGCTGGGCAGATTGGAGATGGAGCTTACTGGAGTCTGGCGAGGGTGTGTTGATGGTAGATGGACTGGGGTGTGTTATTGGTTATTGACTTACCGACGCCGAGGGGAGTGACTGCGCCCAGACCCGTCACGACGACGCGACGCATGGCATTGAGGGTTGACTTGTTGGATCGTTGGATCGGGTGATATACTTGAGATGGAGGAGGTAGTAGTAGTAGTAGTAGTAGTAGTAGTAGTAGTAGTAGTAGTAGTAGGAGTAAGTAGTGTACCTACATAAGTGGTACAGTAGTGTCTGCTGGAACAAAAAGGAAGGCAAAAGCGGAGAGTCGCCAAGAAGGGAAAGTCTGCACGATTTCCATGAGTAACCAATTATTCACTAACTACAGTAGTTACTGAGTGCTCCGTACCTATCTGCTCGTCTTTCCCTTTAGATCCATCATGCAGAGTATACTTAGTACTTCGCATACAAAAAAAAAGAGAGATACTGGTCCATCTGCCAATAAGATGATACACTCCTGACCCAATCATCTCATTATTCTAATCTTTCTCCCCTCCAAACCATCGCTGATTAGGAAGTTCGGCGGAGAAGGCCAAGCTTCGTTGCGAGATTCTTCTCCATATACTTACCGGACCCGACATACTCGACTCTAGGGACTGGTACTGGGTACTACTGGGTAGTAGGAGTGGGACACTACTTCAGACCTATATAACTACTGGACCCCTTCTACTTTTAATTCCTTTTCTTTCTTTTTTTCTTCTCTACTCCCGTCAATCTCTCCTCTTTCCAGCCATGCCCGCCTGGAAGTCTCTGGTTAGCGTACTGGCTCTGGCCAGTACAGCCGTTTCATGCGCGCACCACAACGACGCCGAAGTCGTCCCTGAACAGGAGCGCGAGGAACTGCTGAAGAAGTGGGATCAAGAGGTATGCACCACCATCACCACCTTCCGAACTACACTATAAACTATAGCAACTAGCTACTAACCCATCCCCCGCTCTAGTGGTCCTTCTCCGGCATAGCAAGCTTCGCCCACCTCCGCCCCGTAAAATGTCTCGTCGAGCCCTCCGAACACTACGACATCGCCGTCATCGGCGCCCCCTTCGACACGGCCGTCTCCTACCGACCAGGCGCCCGCTTCGGGCCCCGCGCTATCCGCGCCGCCAGCGCCCGCCAAATGGCCGGGACCAGCTACAACACGCGCGCGGGCATCAACCCGTACAAATCCTGGGCCAAAATCACCGATTGTGGCGATATCCCCATCACACCCTTTGACAACGCTCTGGCCGAGCGGCAGATGTACGAGGCGTTTTTGGAGCTGGGTTCTCGGAAGATTGTGAATGCCCCGCCGAAGGGCGCTGCCGCCGGTGCTGCTGCTAGTATTGGCGCGTCGCATCCGAAGCTTGTCACGCTAGGTGGGGATCATAGTGTGGCGCTGCCGGCGCTGCGCGCACTCTACCAGATTTATCAGAAGCCCATTACGGTGCTGCATTTCGATGCCCATCTTGATACGTGGAATCCTGTGCGCTATTCGGCGTATTGGCAGAGTGAGCAGACTCAGTTCAATCATGGCAGTTTCTTCCATAAGGCTAGTCGCGAGGGACTGATTTGCAATTCGACCTCTGCGCATGCGGGTCTGCGCACTCGTTTGACTGGTGTGGATGATGGCGATTATACCACGCCCGGTCCGGAGCAGGGCTTTATTCGGATCCATGCGGATGATATTGATGAGCTGGGCCCGATGGGTGTCGTGGATGCCATTGTGAATCGCATTGGACTGGACCCCGAGCAGCCCGTTTATTTGTCCGTTGATATTGATGTCCTGGATCCGTCGACTGCGCCGGGTACGGGCACTCCGGAGCCTGGTGGTTGGACTACGCGTGAGTTTATTCGCATTCTGCGTGGTTTGGAGAAGTTGAATCTCGTTGGCGCGGATATCGTGGAGGTTTCGCCGGCGTATGATAACAAGGGCGAGACGACTGCGTTGGCGGCGGCCCAGGTTGCCTTTGAGATTATTACCAGTATGGTCAAGTCGGGGGTGGATGAGGAGCTGGGTGGGTGGTATGGACGTCACGAGGATGGTTCGGGTGGTGTGGGTGTTGTGGAGGAGGTGGAGAGTGCTGCTAAGGATGAGCTGTAAAGGGATGGATAGGATGGACATAGGCATTTGTATATACGAAACTCATGATTGTAGATTGAAGAATGACTGATATGAATTGACATGATTGCCAAGATCCGGGGCTCTACTCGAGAATGTATAATCCTCATCTATTCGGTGGGATGTCTGCTCTAACTAGAGAGGACGACACGATAAACAGCCACGACTAGTCGAGAGCAGCCGCTCATCAAGCCAAATGCACGATACCATGTTCACAGCATCCGTGACCCTACAACACTACATGAACCACCATAGAGCTTATTAGATCGACAGTCCACAGTCTGCACCGTTCTAAGATCTCACGGTTGCCTCCACAATTTCGACGCAGATAATCAAGTTGCAGCAAGGACAAAGAACGAACATGAGACTTGTATCGAAAGGGAGAGAAACCAGCAAAGCAGAGAAGATCTGATTCAAGTCCGCGGGGGGAGTATGAACGCCACTGATAGAACTGACTGGACAGGGCAGGCAAAACACAAACACAGCGGCAAAGTGGCACGCCCTTGACAATTTTGGATGACTCCGTCCACCGACGGAGCACAATCGAACGAACAGCGCAAGCACAAGTACAGTCAAAGAAGCAGATTGGAGAAAAAAGCGTAGTAGATTGATGGTAAAAATAGCAAGGTAATAAAGGACGGAAAATCATCGGCCAGCCAAAAACACGACGCCCTGACGTCCAACGCCGAGAGAGACGATGAAAGAGGTGAACAACATGTGGTGCGGGGAAGATGCGGGGGAACAACGGGGGGGAATCGATGTGCGAAAGAAGTCGTACGTGATCGGGGAGGAAAAGGGGGAACGGTGGGAATTCGCGGTTGCGGTTGCCGTCGATTGAAGGAGTGGATGGAATGTGGAGGTAATTGGGGAAACGAGATCGGGGAGGGTAGATGTCGCCGGAGAAAGTACATGGGTTCGAGGCTGAGATCCGCAAATCGAAGGATGGCCAACAGATGGACACAGTCGAAGCCAACGAGAAGGAGGGAAGAAAGGGGATTGGGAGGAGGGAGGCAAGGCCGGAGGCAGGAGAACCGGAGGAGATCTGGTTTTTGGTGACAGGATTCTCGAGGTGATGGTCCAAGAAAGGCGACAGATGGAACTATCGAGGATGAGCAGAGCAGGAGCAAAGCTGAGAGATACCATAGAAAAGCATGGCATGGAACTCGAATCGAGATCACATCGAGACACTTCAGATAGCAAGCGCTAGCTCATAACAAAGAAATCCTCCCCCCCCTCCCCTTTTTTTAAGCTTCTTCCTCTCGGATATCCCAGTAAACATAGTCCAGCCAAGTAGTTTGCCTCCCAAAACCAGTGAGAAAAGAAAAGAAACAAACAAAAATTCATTCCGTCGTATCTGAATAGCGATGGAGCGGGAAAAAAGTTAACCGCTGTTCCAGCTCGAGCTCATGATTTCGGTCGGCCGACCATCAGCCACCGGACGGGAAGGGCGAAAAGACGAACCTGTGAAAAATGTACCGGGGGGGTGGATCACAGCAGACGACAGCCCCTTGACCTCTTCTTGGGCGCCGGCTCCAGGGCAGCCACGATGGCCTAAAGTGGAGAGAAGAGGAGTTAGCGGTGAACAGGTGGAGGGCGGCGGGACCACGGGATGAGGCAGGGCGAAGAGCAGACAGCTTCATCCCGTTCAACCGGGGATCTCATCTTCGGCAAATATCCAAGGGCAAAACAGAAGACATGACTGGCATACCTCGTCAAAGACATCCTTCAGCTTGTACTGCGTCAGAGCAGAGCACTCCACGTATTTCACCGCACCGAGGTCCTTGGCCATCCGGTCACCGTCCTCCTTGCGAATCGGCTGCATCTTCTGGCGAGCGAGCTTCTCCCGGACACCGGGGTCATCGCGCAAATCGGTCTGGGTGCCAACGATCAGGCAGGGCACGCCAGGGCAGTGGTGGTGCACCTCGGGGAACCACTTTTCGCGGACGTTCTCGAAGGAGGCCGGGGAGGTGACGGAGAAGCAGACCAAGAACACATCGGTCTGGGGGTAGGACAGCGGGCGCAGGCGATCGTAATCCTCCTGACCGGCGGTATCGAAGAGACCGAGAGTGTAGGGCTCATCGCCGATCCTATATTTCCCCCCAACAAAGCGGACACGGTCAGAACACGGATTTCCTTTTCTCTCAGAGTTTCGGGCGGTGTCGCTCTTTTGTTCTTCTCTCTGTCTCGCTTCCGGAGCCGGTGGAACACGACTTACATCACAGTCACGGCGTAGTTGTCAAATACGGTGGGGACATATTCGGAGGGGAACTTGTTGGTTGTGTAGGAGATGAGCAAGCAAGTCTTACCGACGGCACCGTCGCCGACGACGACACACCTAGAAGAGGGCGGTTAGCTTAGCTGGGGAGAAGGGGTGTTGAGTGTGATGGTGGTCCCATCGGTGGAGGGCAGCAGTGGTGGCGGTGTTGATGATGATAGAAATGTTGCGCGACCTCGGTCAGGAGAGGGGATAAAGCCACCAGGCAGCGGGAGTCAAAGAGGAGAGGGGAGAGAGGGGGAAGAAGGGACGATACTTGATGGTAGCGACAACCATTGTGCTTTTTTGGTGTAGGAACTCGAGATGAACCAGAGGGAGAGGGGAGGAAGAAAGAGAGCGGTGGAAAAAAACAAGAAGAGAAGGGGAGAGAGAGAGGGTTCGAGAGGAGAAGGTGGTGGTGGTGGTAGTGGAGGTGTGGATGGAGAGAGAGAAGGTTGGAGGTGCAGCGGGCAGCGGCAGCGGTGGAGGAAGGAAAAGGTGGGCCCCAAAGACCGAAAAGGGAGGGAGCAGAGACACGCAATGGGAGCCTGAGAGCCTGAGGAACCCCAAAGGGGAGCCTGAGGAAGAGACGCGAATATTAAAATCGCGGACTGAATAATAATAACGGACTGGGTTCTGAGTGGTTAAGCCAGGACTGTGGGCGGGAAAGGAAAAAAAAAGAACTCGGTCTAGACAGTGTCAGTGGAGAATACACGGGCCATACCAGTGGAACGAACAGTATACATAAGAAGTATGGAGTGCTCAATATACCCAGTAGATATTCTGCTAATCTCCTGCTCTATCCTTATATACAAAGTGTTGACATAGAATACATACGGTAGAATAGTACAATTCCTCCATCATCAGGACAATCCCCAAGTACCCCCTCCATTTGCATGTCCGGAGAATGTTTCCCCCCAATACTCAAGCCCGAACAAAGCATCCACCAGGCCGATTAAGCTCTCCGGATCCTGCCAAGATCCGGTATTATGATGTATTAGTACAGAGGACGGAGTCCATCCTCAAGGATCCAAGTATCAAGCCAAGTATCAAGTAGCCTCCTATGTCAGTGTCAATCTATATTCTTGATCCAGATCCAACCATCTCCATTCATCATGGCAGGATCAAAACCGGACCGCCTAGCCACATCCCCCAAATACTGTACTGTAGCCCAATCCCCTCGATGTGACGGCCGCCTGCCGTCGGCTACGCGCTGGCTGGGTGTGATCCACAAACAACGGGACTAATCATGGCCCTGCCACTGCTAGAATACTGTATTGGGGAGATGAACACTGTGATCATGTCTCCGCAGGGAATACATAGCTAGGTACAAGGTACAGTACATTATACGGAGTATATAGAAACTGAGGCCATATACCCCCTTATCTACTCTCGAATTACATTAGAGGTCCGAGGATAAAAAGCAAAATATCGAGTCACGTCGTAGAGAATTGCGTCTTTTTTTTCAACCAAAATAAAAAAAAACAAAGCCGTGGAGTAATCCCCGAAACGCCCATAATTACCCAATTACCCAGCTATTCCGTTCGCGCTCGGAGTATTTAATGATCAATACTGTACTTTAGTGAGTCTACTAACAAAGCTTCTGTGCTGTCAAAACACCCGTTGAGAGGCTTAGCTTTACCAGCCATACTCTAACACAGAATATCTCTATCATACTATAAAGATCTATTACACATATTCTCTCCATAACTATTACACAGACTATTCACGTACATGTACAGACCAAAATATCCAATTCCAGACTCTGGACTCCTCTCCGCATAAATTAAATTGAGGCCTCGTCTTCATGGTTAATCGTTGGTTCACCCCCCGTCTCCGCCCAAGCCCCTGAACGGCCGGGGCCCCTTTTCATCCTTCCAGAATCCCGCCTCAAGCATCTTCTTGGCCTCTGAACAAGCCACACTCGCCCCTCCTGAAAAAGGAGATTACTATACTGTAACGGTATGATCTTGTCACGGGCTAGGGACAGCGCGGATATTAATTTCCGTTTGTTGCTTGGGTTGATCTGAAACCCCCCCTGTTCGGAGATACGAGGATGTTGTAGCGCTGGAGTCGAGTCTTTGCTTGGTTTACTCAGGTAAAACGATACAGAATGGGATAGTGCGGCTTGTGTTTTTATGAACCAGTCTTCTTCTGGGATGGGGATTGTGAAATGTACTGCCGAATATGGTCGTGATTTCATCGCTAGTGTACTCCTTATACGGAGTACATAGCTTTGTATGTAGCTTGGAGCTTGGATCTTATCTTGTACCTTAGCTTCCAGTGCCTGATACCTCGGCGCTTAAACCGTGCACCTTGTACCTCTCTATTATTTTGCTTGAGCTATTGTATGTAGCTACCTAGGCTACAGCTACTCCAAACACCCCTTCTCTACGTCTAGCTATCCAAGTACAACAGCACCTCCGTTGAATACTATAAATTACATACACTTCTATATCGAATAATGGTATACATTTCCGCTTATAGGTACAACTAAGAACAAAATCAGGCACACTCCCTCCTGTACCTTAAAGCGGAAACCCCAACCCAAACCGCCCACACACCGCAACCTTCATCCCAATATACGCCAACAGCCTCACCGATAAGGCCTTGCCCGCCCTGCATGCAGAGGTAATACAGGTACTAATTATGTACCCGGAAGGCTGACTGGTTCCCGTAAGGCTGGATTGGGCTTGGGCTTGGCTTGACAAAAAACTGGATCGTTTGTCGATTATACTGGTGCATTTCACTCGCTTAGGCGGGTAGGAATGTGTCATGAGAAATGTGGTTGAATTCACTTGCTAGATAGTTATCCTGATAGCTAGGGTAGGAATTGAACTGGGTAGACGGGAATCGGCCTTATAGAGGGGGTTGATTGTACAGGACCTAACGCGGGGGATATGAGGGGAGTGATAAAGGTATTGGTTTGGTTTCAGGTATCATGTCCCTATTAAGATTGGAATCTCCAGTAGAAAGTGATAACTCAAGATCAATTCGACCAGCTATTATAGATGCAGGATGCAATGTTCTCGATCATGCCCATTATCTGACTCCAAGTCAATGGCATTCAGGATTTCAAACAAATAAGTCCAACATAGGCATTACTGTCATCTACAAAGTACAGCCAGCGACACGTCTATTTCCCGGTACCAAACGCCTCGATTGCAATCCGGACTAGTCCCGCATAGTCAGAATTACAATTCTTCTTTTCGGACGGGCGTCTAGAATACCCATGCTGCCTGGTTTGGCCTGATCTGGTTCGGCTGCATTGCATTGCACTGTACATGCGGGTGCGGGCCATAACCTTGACTTACAGACACTGTAGATTTCAGGCATGGGTACGTGCAGGGAAAGAAGCCTTGGAAGATTGTAGGCTTCTACAGGACTGTACTGTGGTACTGTTGATATCCGGTTGTTAGGCTGGATGGAAACGAAGGAAATTTAGGAAGAACTTGTGGTATTTCGTCTCGTATCGTTCTGCTAGCTTAGCTAGGCAGATAAGTCTATAAAATCAAATCCAAGGCAGTGCAAGAGATGGAGCCCCCGTAAAACACAAGTCTAGTATCTGCTTCACATTCTCGGGTCAACGGCGTCCATGATGTTGAAACGCCGGATGCAGGGAATGGATGAAGGGGCAAAGGTACAGTAGATACAGAATCGAGGGTTCGCTGATATGGACATGTAGATCGAGCAGATCAGCCATTTCGTTTCAGATCAGATCAGATCAGAAGAAACCAAGGCCGGAGATGTATATGTGCGGAGTATACTCGCAAAGCAATGAAAATTGAAAATTGAAAAAAAAAAAAAAAAAAACCAAATCGGAAAATTTATCAAGATGCAATATGCAATGACTTATGCAGCGTAATGTGATGTTGATAGATCGCAAGGAAGTGGGAAGTATAAATGCAGTTCGTAATATCGTGGCACTCATATCTGGCAGTTGAAGACGCTCAGTGGTGTTGCGGGTCTAGGTCCGCTTGTGGTGTGTATCGTTAGAGTCGGGCTCGGCCTCGACGGGGAGTGGGTTGTTGGAATCGTGATCGGCGCTGCTCTTCGGGCTCATCTGTGACGGTTAGTATCGTCGTGTTTGTCTCGCAACACACCAGTTGTGGGGGCGGCGTATCACTCACTTTGTCGAGTTTGTAGTTTTCCATCATCAAACTGAGCGGGATGAGCGGTAGTGTCACGAGGAGGGCTAGTGCGAGGAGTTTGTTCATGGTCTCCTGGTAAGAGCGATTGATTGCATCGCGAGTGGGTGATCCGGGCGGGTAGGATAGCGCTTTGGTCAATTTGCCAAAGATCTCGCCTGCCTCGGGCTTGGTCTCGTCCGGAAGATACTGCATCAGTTTCTTCGGGATGAAGGTTGACCAGACTGCACCCGAGACGGCAGCTCCTACGGCACCGCCCATCTCCATCGAGGTCAAGAACATCGCAGTTGCGGCTGCGACTTCCTGGTGGCTCGCCGAGGCTTGCACACCCAGTTGAACCGGTACGTTGAGTAGGCCACCGCCGCAACCGACCATGATCTGCGCACCGAGGACTTGGGCGTGGGAGGCGCCTTCGCCTCGGCAGAGGAGCATGAATGCTAGGCCCATCATGTAGATCACGCAGCCCACAGTAACGAAGACGCGGTATCGCCGGGTATATTTAATCAGGAGGGAAACGGTAAATGCTGCAATGGTCGAGGTAAAGGCAAAAGTTTGAGTGACGCGACCGGCGGTGGCTACGTCGTAGCCTTGGACAACCTGGAGGTAGGAGTAGAGGTATGGCTGGACGGAGAAATAGAAAGCCACTAAAAAGGGGAGTTAGCACATCTTTTTTAGAACCGCTAGAACGACGATAGATGAGATACTTACTAAAATACCAAAACGCCAACGCGCAGCCCGCGAGCGCGGTTCGTTGACGAAGAAGATGCAAAGAAAGCAAAGGCTTCGGCGCCAGTCTCTTCGAGCCCTCCCAAAACGGCAGGACGAACAAGCAGACAACACCGACGATCATCATGACAATGATACTGGTATTTCCCCATCCGTTCTTTGAATTGGCCGCCAATGTCAGCGGCACCAGGATCAAAGTGACCGCGGCAGACAACAAAGTCAATCCGCCGACATCTAAATCATACCAAGTCCGTTTCACGACGGCGAGGAAGCTTCGCTTCCGTTTGTGCCGAGATGACTTGATCAGATTTAAACGTCGAGCCTTGCGCTGGTTCAATAGTAGCGATAGTGCGAGTGGCAGGAAAGCGGCAGGCAGAATGATAGCCCACATACCGTAGCCCCATCGCCACGATGATGATCGCAGGACCGCATCGGCAATGGTTGGACCGAGCCAGACAGTCACCAAAAAGGGAAACTCTGGCAGCAGAGCTAGAAAGGCACGATTGAGCAAGTCACTGCTGTCGGCGATAAACACTTGCTGAAGGATTTGCAAGCCCGTGGAGCCCGCAGAGTAGAAGATTTGGGCGGAAGCGTATGTTTGCACGTTCGTCGACGCGGCCATCTGCACATAGCCCAGGATGTAAATCAAAATACTGACGCAAAAAGCTTCGAAGCGACCGAACACATCGGCAACTTTGGCCATGGGCGGTTTGATAACGGCTGGTTCCATCAAGTTAGCAGTGTTGTGTTGTGGTGGTGGTGGTCCCGTTGCGGACCCCGCAGTGAAACTTGAAACTCACCATTGACGACATTTTGAACGACGAGGACCGTCGAGATTAACGAGTGCTTGCTGAATGCACTCGTCGCATACGCCGATAATGACATGACCGTCTGGCCTTCTAATGACGTGCAAAAGGCCATGAGGAATATACTTTGTGCCCCGTTAGTGCGTGATGAACGGGAATGAGGAAATCGGCAAGGCGCCACTGCAAGCCACACGAACCTGACATAGGCAATAATCAACGAACGCATTGTCCAGGTCATATTAATTGCCTCAATTTTCAAAACACCCTCTTGTGCCTCACTAGTGGTCTCGACACTACTGAGGTCACCTTCGGTCTCGTACCCATCCTGCAGTAATTGGTCTCGTTCGTGGTCCATGTTGCAGCTATCATCTGGTTGATCTATAGCACCGTAGGACGGACCGGAACGAGGGTCGAGCAGGGGCATCTCCACGACCCAAGGGGACGCGCACACACAGAGGAATGTCTGGCGAGAAAAGAGCGACAAAGAGGTCAAGGATGAACAGAAGAGTCCATGTGTTCGAAAGGTCGCAATTAGATCAGAGTGCACCAAGGAAGTCGAGTCGAATCGTCGAGTCCCAAGATAGCAGAAACAACAGGACAGGATCTTGATCAGTAAGGAAAAAGGGATATCCGGACTATCAAAAATAGTTCATGCAACATGAGCGTGACAAGCGGCGGGCGTATCACATAAAAGGCGAGAAAAGGCCTGCTGGTTGACTAAACAGCACTTGGGCACGAGAATGGGGGGGGATTCTTGGGGGCGGCCTGAACCGGTCAGATCCACCACAGGAGAAAAAGAAAATGCGAAATGCGGCCACCAAAAAATCAGCGGGGCTGATCAGGAAAAGAAGATGCAAATGAACACCATAAAATATGGGCGAAAAGGAAGAATGATGGAGCAAAGCGCAACGGCGATGCGGTCGAAAGGGAACCGGGGCAAGCGCGGTAGTCGATAAACTCATGAAAGGACTCTTATGCTGGAACAAGCCGGTTTTCTCGGCAGCGGGGTGTGGGCGGATGGGTAGATCCGCTCTGTCTTGCGATCACAAAATGAATAATCAATATCCCTCGGGGCTTGGTCGGGGGGGGGGGGGTGGTGGAGAGGGGCTAGGAGCTGGAACACGAGAGCAGCGGCCAACTGCAAGGGGAGATGGACCGACTCAGAAGCGCCCAGCTGGGTGGTGGTGGTGGTTGAAGAAGAGAATATTCAGCTGGGATGGATTTGGAAGGGAAGGCTGCCAGTGATGAGTTGGAGCACGATCGTCGGTCGCACTTATGCACGTCAACGGGGATTGTAGGCGAAGAAACGAGTTGCAAGGTGCGGTCCGAACTCAGTGTCCGCATTTCCGGTAGTGCGGATGCAGTACGATCAGTTTAATGAGTCAGAAGGCGATCATGGAGTGGCGCAGGTGGTGGATTGGTGCCTGGCAGACGTTTGTTGGCGTGGTCGAGCAGTTGGATGAAGGACCAGCTGGAGATTTGACAAAATATGAAATGAGAGAGAATCGTCCTGTGTCCCGTTTGAGCTCGGACGATGGACTGGTGGAGCGTCCAAAGGTGGCAAGGTGACAGGTTCGGACAGACACGGGGGTCACTGGTCCAAGGTCAATGGTTAATGGCCCAAATGACGAGCCACCGAGCCACGAGTCCACCCAGCGGAGACTCGGCAGGGACTCCGAAGTGGGCAGGAAATGCTGGTCTGGTTGGATCTGGGAAATATGAAGGAGCTCAGCCGAGAGCCGCAGCAATGCAGAAATGCAGATGGCAGACAAAGATGACAGAAAGCCAAGGCTAGGCAGGCATCAGATCTGATTTGATCGATAAGATGCTGGCATGGACGTTGGTTCGTCGGGCGGTTGCGTCCCTGGGTTTTTGTGTCGGGGGAGTGGGTCCCCTTAACGAGGGGGTGTTATGATCATGACGGGGATGGATAATGAAGAAGAAGGCGGTGATGATCGGTGAGATGATGTGTGAGAAGATCTCCACAGTCCAAGTACTGTAGTAATAGGACAAGTATACTTGAAGTGGAAGTGAAGTCGAGTGATACCGAGCCGTTTGCCGGGGGCCCACGCGACCGGCGGTGGTGTGACTCTGGAGTCCCATGATCCGGCACGCGGCCTGTGATGTGTATAGTACGGAGGATAGATTACATATTACTAGTTATGATGAGAATAAACCGAATCAAGCAGCACAGAAGGGGGTGTAGCCAAACCCCCCCCCCCCCAAAAAAACTCAATCTGGTCAGACCATCCCCCTAGCTGATGGAACATACCATCTAGTCTAGTACACCTGGTAGTTCATAGAACAATGGGAGATGCCTGTACCTACATATGTCATATAACAGTCAGTTGATCGCCCGCTGATCGTTCTTGTGTATCCCCACGGAGATCATCCGCTGGCTAAGGATCAAGACCGATGCAACTTCTAGCTGCCCTTTCCCTTCTAACCGACTAGGATCTTCTCATTTTCCCATGTCATGATCATGGACCAAAGCAATATCGAACCAATCTTTGACGGATAGGGCTCATAAAGGCACCCTGGACGAGGAGAACCTTTGTACTGACCTTCAGGCTGTGGTATAGTATATACTGTTGGATACTTGGAAGCAGCTAAAAGAGAGACAATCACCCCATTTCGCGATCTAAAATACCTCTCCATATTAAATCTATTGCCTCGCACGGCACGTTGCTATGACCAGTATCCCACCTTTGAAATAAAAAGGCCAACCGGCCTCTACTTCAAGCCCATTCCATTCCAATCCTATACACAATCGAATCCAATTCCCATCCTCATGCTGTATCCACAATCAAATGTCCAAAGTGAACCGACAACTCCCCCCTTCACCCCCAGGCCTCGCCGCATATACTCCCACCCAAATCTCCTCTACCCCTTCCTCCTGAAATATCCACGTCACCTCGCGAATCGGCGACTTCTGCACCCCCTCCACCAGATAGATCCACAAACTATCATCCGCCTCCCGAACCATCTCAATCGTCGCCGCCCTTCCACCCGACGGCACGGGCAACAGGCTCCAATCCGCCCACCGGTCCTTCGCCACCACGCCCAGATGCGGCTTGCCGTGGGTTAGTTCGATGCCCGCTTTCACCCATTTCTGGGTCCCGTCTGCGTGGCGCAGGACCAGGATGAGGCCGCCTTGGTCGTAGAGGTGTTTCCATGGGGCGTTGATGGCGACTCGCGCGCGTTTAAAGGAGGTGAGTGGCATGGATTGGTAGAGGATGGGCGCGGAGAAGCGGGTGGTGGACGGGGGTTTGGACCAGATGTCTGTAGAGGCGGGGGTGGTGATTGCGAATTCGGGAGGTGGAGGGCCCCCCTTGCCGGGCACGGGAGCGGTGGAATTGGCGAATTTGAATTGAGACATGATGATAGTGGTGGTGGTGGTGGTGCTGATGTTAGGTGAGATGTTGGTAGAGGAGTGGGCGGGGTTGATGCGGGGGGATGGAATGGAATGGTACGGTGATCTCACGAGCGGGGTCGATGGAATCGGCCACGATGTCGATGGAGGGAGATGGAGGAGTTGTAGAAGGATGAATTGACAACTTTTGCAAGAGGAAAGATTGTAGTTGAAGGGAATAGGAAGAGGAGGGCAAAAGTACCAGGCGGTCCAGTTGCTACGAAGTAATTCTCCAACCTGGCTACGTCACCAACTCCCCACCAGGTCCAACGGCCACTGGCATGCGCCAGTCTATCTTCGCTGGTCATCTAGACGTCTTCCGGCATTTTTGACTGTTTGAATTGGCATTTTCTCTTTGATGTTATTTATATTGGCTAGCTGTGTTGTATCATGCTGATCCAAAGTGCTTTTCCGGGCCGATCAAGTAGGCGAATGCAGCACCCGACGGAGGGACTTTCGGTCATGACCTCATCAGTGATGCCCCCATGGACCCAAATCGTTCTTGGGACTTATCTTCCTTGGGTTTGATGTACGAGATAAGAGAAATTCATAACTTGGCAAAATACAAGATACCGAGTTGCGATGCTTAATATTCTATGACGATTAAAGCTCCAGCCTCATGTTCCTCATCAGGCAAAGCACCTGTGCAACGTAGACCTTTGTTATTCAGAGCTGTCATGCAAATGCCAGGACCCTGCTGATGAACGTACAATCAAAATTGGACTTTTATTGGCCCAATTCCCTACACCGGTCCACGGCACATGGCACATGGCTCCTGATGCTGCTAATCTGGTGGCTGGAGTATACATACCGTAGGGGGGGGGGGATGCATGGCAGATCTTACTTTCTAATTTCAACCTCCACTGTTACCCCAAACGACCTTCAATGGCCAAGAATTGTTGCGGGTCTGATATACACATGTTGGTCATCCTCGACCATAGTTTCCAATCCACATACAGCCTATTAGGTCCATGCATAATGCAGACCTTGGAAATCACCATTCCTCTTCGACCACAACGGGCATTTACATCCCCCAGAATACTATCAATTCAGCCAACCTCTCCAAGAGATCGCTGAGCGCAACGTCATCCAACGTCTCTTCTCTTGACTCTGGCTATCTCGTTTGCTCTTGGGAATCTAATAGCTGACTTGATGGGGTCCTAAAACATGCTGATGGGCATCCATCCACAACTCTGGTAAACTATGTTTCTTCCTTCTCCCTAATTGCTCTCTACCAGAACATTCGATCCATAAGATAGTCTTGCCATTCAAATACAATACGTTCTGTCATCATTGATAGAACGCAGCGCCATCTAACCGCAGAGACCGAGCTGCCCGTACTCAACGGCCTTGCTTCCATCATTGAATATTTCCACAAATGTTGATATGCATACAAATCCCTCTCCGTAATCAATCTTGCAAGTTCTATACTGGCTCCATCCAGGCTGAACATTAGCGGTAACCTACATGCTCGAAAGATGCAAGTCACACTGAGGCACCGCAGTAACCGTCAAGAGGCAATGGTAATTGGTGATGCTATACAATTGACCACGCGCTTAGTCGTCGGTTTCCTTGCTATTCCATCGTCGGCGTCGTCGTCGGCGACGACGACATCATTAACGACTAATCAATAATAACGACGACTAATCGCGTTTGCCTTTTCAAACAGCCCAATTCCCATCACCGGTTTTTCTTCCCTTGCTGTCCCCTCCTCCTCCTCCTCCTTCTCGCACCCTCTCACGCGAAGGCGCTTTCTAGCATTCCCTGCATCAGAATCATCCTTCTGCATCCTTTTCTGCATCGTTCCATCAAATACTCACCCTCAATCGCACGCCCATCATCCAAAATGGGTATCCTGCTCACTGGCAACGTGATCCTGCGGTTCCTCCATGAGGAAAAGCAGGCTAACCGCCCGCTCGGTCTGCATGGCCTCTATGGTGGATCGTTCCGCTTCCTGAAGCCGCATGAGATGCACCCTCTGAAGGCCAACATGTTCGCTCCTGGTAACTTTGTTGGTCCCCTGGCTGGTAACTTTGGTGGCCGTTTCCCGAAGCCCCAGGTATGTAAACACCCTCCTTCTAACGTGCTTCCAACGTGGGACTGCCATTACCCTGCCTTGGAGTGAATCTCAGAGGGCCCGCGTGTCATTGATAGATTCGCTCTCTTGGTGGTGGTGGTGGTATCCACCGCGGATAAGTACCGCAAAGACAGAACCGTGCTGACCATATACGAAACCTTTGCAGCTGCTGCACTACATGGATTTGGTCAACCGTGCTGATGTCAAGGCCTGTCTTCCTTTCATCGCAACTGTATGTATTTGCCTCCCATTCTTTTTTGGTTCCAAGTTGTTCTCGCGGGGGCTGCCATTCGATCTGTGGGCAGACATGCTCAGTCTCTAGAAGACTGTTCCATGTCATCATGCCTTGTATATACTTGACTCTGGTTTTCCTCCATTGTCTGATTCCTATTTTTAATAAAAGAAATATGACTGACCAGATTTGATGAATGAAAGATCCACTACTGGGCCATCATGAACGCCCTCGCTCCCAACAGTCCCTCCATGGTCAACCCTGAGGCCGAGTCGTTCGTTCCTGCCTCGCAGACCACTGGCATTCCGGGCCGTGGCTTGGCTACTATCGAGGAGTTCATGGAATCTCACCGCGCTTGGATGGCCAAGGGCGGTTTCAACGGCATGAAGCACGATGACCCGGTGACTGAGACTGTTGAGGCCCCCGCTCCTGTTAAGGCCCGTGAACTGCCTGCCCGTGTCCTGCTGTTCAAGGATGTCCCCGACTGGATGAGCATCTCTGACGCTTTTGGTTTGATCTATGGTGATGCTGTCGACTGCGTGTTCCGTTCCAACATGGCGGAGATCACTGTGCAGTTCTGCGATGAGGCAACCTGCAATGCTTACCTGGAGGCTCACGGCACTGGTATCACTCTCTCCAACCCTGGCAACCCCGACGACAAGGTGGTCATCAAAGTCGAGAAGGCCCCCCGTGGTGAGGACATCTCTCCCGCTCTGCAGGTCAAGATTGCTGCTGGTGGCTCCCGCCTGGTCCGCGTTAACGGAATGCTCAACGCCGAGAAGAGCCTTGAGCTGACTACCCGGGCCATGGAGTACGATGTCGACCACTACGACATCAGCCCCGAGAAGACCAAGGTATGTATTGTTCACATTGATTGACGAGTGAGACAACAGTTACTAATCGTTCTGTTCAGGCTGACTTCGCCTACTTCTTCTTCTGCGGCATCGTCGACGGATGGACCTTCAAGCAGAAGCTGGAGGAGAACGAGGGATGGGCGGGTTACACCGTCGCTTTCGTGGCTGACCCGTGAGTTAACATTCAATTCGTCGCGATAATTTGGGATTTGAGTGTGTGCTAACCCATTTGATTTGTATCAACAGTTGCAAGGTCGCCACTTCGTTCCACGGGAACAACGTTCCCAACCGCTTGCTGCTGCCGCCGCCGCCGTCTGATCGCAGATATTTCCTCATGCCCGACCAACCCCGATAATTCAACATGGTCAAGATCGAGAGCTGGACATAAGCCTTGATGATCATAAAGGGGTCGATGGTCCTTTCGTGGGCTTCGGGGATCTATCATTGCGATAGATGCTTTTTCTATGCGCTCTTTCGTGGAGGATTTGAACAGGGGAAAATAAAGATGCGCATAGTGAACACTGAGAGAGAGGTAGAGATCGTTTCACTAGGAAACGATCTGAAACAATGAAGATATTCCGGGAAATGAGGTTTCGTCGTAGCTCACTTTGAACAGTAATCTGACTGCAAAAGTACGGATATCTGCAACGATGTCCTCTTTGTTACCTCGAGGGACTTATGCACTTCATGTCACCAAGTCCTAACGAGTCATGTCCATCACACAGTGCCATACAGCTGCATACTAGCTAAACAGGTGATCATAGTTCAATGCGGTCCTCCCCTTCATCTCATTCGTTGATCTACTGTCCAGTATACCGCGGAATCCCCTCCGTCACTCATCTGCCCACACATCGAGTCATGGAAATCCACGATCCAATCCTCGAACCCTCATCAGTACTAGCCACGAAGCTAGCAAGAGCGGCGCTAAGAAGGCTGCTTGTCATGAATATGATTTGTTCGGATCTTATTCCGTATGTCCCGCCCGCCATGGCATCGGGTAAACTAGCACGATCACGATGAACACCATGAACGCTTCCGCAATCCGCAGTGTTTGAGTTGAGCAGTGGGTTGATGAAGGTTCGAAAGCTCATATCTCAGTGTTTTGTCAACTTTGGTGTTTTTACTGTTTTTGCATTGTCGGTTCATCTTGGCATTCAGGCTTCGGCGGGGTGACGAGAATTTCGGGGGCTTGTGGCGCCAAAGGCGTGATGGGATGCATGGTCGGATTATGCTGCTTCATAGGTTGATGGATGGATAGGATAGGACAGGCAGACGAGTCTTTGATATTGCCCACCAACGTTGTCTGCATTAGCCCTTAAGCGTAAAGGGTTCAATTATTTCCGCTATTGAAGTCCCCTCATAACCGCTCATGTATGTCTGGCTTAAGGCCCGTACACAGACACAAGCATACACATAGCTGTGCCTAGTTAACTATTGGAGCAGCGATGCCTGTTCGAGACTGAATGCCTGTCCTCTCGTTACATGAACCTAGGGTTGGCTGCGTTGTGGCACTCGAAAAGCAGATGAATTCTTGACTGGCCATGAGAGCTAACTTGCGAAGGGACACGCATCGCATTGGCACATCGTACTTACAGTAGGTAGCTTGAGCTCCACCAGGTGTGTATTCGTAATCGCGTCTCCACATTCCTGAACAGCCGAACACTTGATTAAAGTACTGAAGATGGAGTCGCGGTGATTGTCTCCGTATAGACGAGATATTGAATTACAGGCGACTTAATTGGCTAATTTGTACTCCGTACAGTTTGCTTGGATAGTCGCTAAGCAATATACAGTTTCTCCGTACGGAGTATATATTCCGTGGTCCGCGGCTCCGCGTCCTCCGTTCGGTACTCCGTACCTCTCAATTAGTTCACTGGTAACTAGTGGTTGTCGTTCAATAAACCCGGCCACCGTCCTAATTAGGAAAATACAGCAATGCCGTAACAGCCCCCAACGCACGAGCCAGGTCCTCCCACGAGCTAACGGGCTCACGGGCTAACAAGCTAAACGAACGAACCGTACCGAGTCCCCGAGAATTACGGCAATTGAATTACACCGTAACCTTTACAGTATTCTGGCCAGACTCTTGATTTACCCTATACCCGTCCTAGTCTTGGGCTAGTGATAAGTCTGTCGAGCTTGGCCACTGTCGACGTACTTTCGCGTCTGGCCGCGCCCCCGCTAGCATCTGTTAGTATGTACTGTAACTTAGTTGCGCTCAGTGAGGCTGAGACCTGACTTGGATGGGGATGATTGGATCGAGGATCAATCTGCACCCAGGCCTGACATGACGGCATGGATTTGACGATTTATGTACTTGGTGGCCTGTACGGAGCAGTGCACGCTCAGATGCGAGTAATATTTCGCTTAATCAATTTATTCTGCATAGAGGGAAGCTCTATTGCAGTACGGACTACGGAGTACATGCGCGAGACTAGCACTGCACGAGGCTGACCGATAACTTTCGACGCTAGGGTAGCTCTACACTTTGGCGTGAGTTCTGCCTTGCGGCTCTGTAGTTGTCAGTTTCCAAGTATACCGGTAATATTGTAGACACCCCCTTTTACCATCCATCAAGTTCACTGCACCTGTAATCTTGATTCCAGGATCTTCCGTCTGTTCTGGTAAAAATTGCGAACCTCGGGGATCATCGTCAATTAAAACTTCTCCCTCTTTTAGCTCGGGGAACTCGCTAAGCCCACCGGGGTTGGATCCTCAGGGAGCACGATCGTCGATCGCTGCCCCCCACTAGGAATCGTCATCTTCTATTTCAAGACTGAGCTGTTCCTCGGATGTGAGCCGTGAAGTTCTGTCAGGTGCAGGGTTTCCGTAATCTTCCAAGATGCTTCGACGCAAACGGCTACAAACCTGTGGTACATACTGCACTCAGTAGCTGGCGCCGGGATATACCACCATAATGTTGATCAGTCTACGGTATAAGGTGTCGCTCAGTGTACACCAATAACGATAATTATAATACACCCCCTGTCCCTCGTCCCCAGTCTCAGGGTCAACGAACCCGCCCCAAGAAAGTGACTACGACACTCCCCGCCCCCGGAGGTCGGAAATAGAAGAAAAGGGGCTATTCTGATACAATGCGAACCCATGAATGTATGACACGCGCGGGCGGCTCTGTCCCTCCATTTACCCCGTTTGGAGTTACTTTTCACCCCTCAGACGTGGCAGAGGGCTGTGAGGACCCCCTTGAAGGATTATCATGTCGCAGTCAACGGGGCTAAATATTACCGGGCTTTGTACTCCGTACTCCGTACATACACAGCCTAGGGCTAAAACGTGACATGACTCGAGTAGCCAAAAATTGGATCCTTCGAGGGGAACGTGGTAGGTTCGCTGCAGGATCTGCGAATTGCTACTTACCCGTTCGAGGAGGGGACTGATTGTCTTGTTTTTTTTTTTAATTTCCATTTATCCTCTTGCGTTGGCCTGCATGATTAGGTGCTCTAAGATGACAGGACAGGGCTTGCTGGCTTCATAACCCCATGGCTGCAACGTATGATTTTCGAGGGTTGTGGAGGTCCGGGCAATGTGGGTCGGCGTCGGAACTGTTTTGTATTGGTTGGTCGGGTGCTTCGGTGGCAAGGCGAGCAAGGCGGACCGAGACTTCATTGCTCAGACATTTCATGACTGGGGGTTGACTAGTTGGGAGGGGGGATTGTTGAGTTGGTGAGAACGTAGATTAATTTCCGAGGTGGGAGATACTACGCAATGCAGCAGCGGGATGTTTCTGACGAACGAGTTGGTCACTCTTGGATTCGTGAAATTGAGGAGTTTGAGTATAGTCGTAGATAGTGGAAGGTATATAGTAGAAAGACATGAAGTAGAATGGCACAAAACGCGAATGAAATGCCTGCAAAAGTTCCTCCCAACGTTGACGAGTTCCAAGGGAGACAGAATGATCCCAAAACAATAACAGACGATGACCTCCTAAGCCCAAGCTGCCCTGAGAAAAAAAAAAACAAACAAGCAAAACGAATGTTCCCACTGTAAATCGAAGATAGCTGAAAATCAAAAGCATCAAAACTCCCACCAAGGTATCTTGGAACGAAAAGGCGCAGAAAATGACAAATAACCTCCAGTTCTCTCGTCATCCCCTCGATAATAAACAGGATCGAAATCACAAAACATAAGAAAGTAGAGTCATGACTCGTTCCACGAACATCACGTTGACATGCGCGACTGAGTCTGGTTCATCTCCTTCTCCTCGCGCATCCACGGATACCACACATCAGCCCATTCCCTCACACCAAACCGTGGAGCCCCAGACTCGGCCCCCATCGAAGCCCCCTCACGAAGGAACTCGCCATCGCGCATACGCCGTTGCTCCCGTAGCGTCGGGCACTTCTTCTCCTTGATGAACCGGTAGAACTTGCACTGGATACCCTGGAACCCGCGCCGCTGCCGACTGGGGAATTGACGGTTGAAACTCTCGCGAACTTCCTTCCACTCCTGACACAGGTCGACGCGGTGGTACCAAATAAAGTACATCTCTTCTTCTTCGTACTTGGGTCGTGGCGGCCGCCGCCGGTCGCCGTTGTTGCTGGAGCTGGAAGAGACGGAGTCGTACCTCTCACGTGGGTGGTACGGGTCCGGCGATGAGTGGGTTGACCTGTTCGTGGGTCGGTAGGACAGGAACATGTGGTGATGGTGGTGCTGGCCATGTCCGCTGGCTGAATGCTGACTCGGGTGATGTTGACTCTGGTGATAATGCTGCGAGCTACCACTACCACTACCGCTGCCGCTGCTGACGTGCGTCGTTGCGGTGGATGCTGCGCCCGGGCTGGTGTCGTGGTAGCCCTGATATCGTCCGTGCCAGTACTGATTTGGGGATGGTGGGTAGCCCGGTGAATGTGCGTAGCCGTTGCCGTGCGACGAGGATGACATCGTCGCGTGCTGGCTGTATGGCGACCCCGTCGTGCTGCTGTGTTCGTCTGGCCCGCCATCAGCAGAAGGGTTCAGCAACGAGTCAATCTTCATGCGGCCTTGCCGTGCCGAGGGTAGTTGGTGGCGTGTGTATGTTTCCGTGCGGGTCTCCATGGTGGTAGTGGTTGTGATGGTGAATGTTGCGTGGTGATATGTGCTTTTTCCTTATGGGGAGCGTCCTGCTTTCTCGTTCCCTTCCCTTTTGCTTGGATGAGCACAGGATCAAAATATGACTGAGAGAGTAAAGGGATGATCTTTTCGAGGTCGACAATGTGATGTGATTAATACTCTGGTCCTTGTCCTTATTTTTGTTCTTCTTGACAGCTATGACTCTTCGCGAGTGTTCTGGAACGGAACAATTGCCGTACTATCGTTGATCTTGTTCTTCCGAGATATGCAGTTGAGCGAACCAAGGAAAAGAGATCGAACGATATGCATATAGGGATGCTGGTACGTATTATCGCCGTCTGAAATGAATTATAGAGTATGCTGATGAGCGGGTCGACTGTTGTATATTAGGGTGAGATTGAAGAATGTCGATAAAGATTCCAGGATGAAGACTGGAAACTGCCGATGTGACAGGTTGACAGGTGGAGGGAAAGGGAAGTATAAAGATCTAACCTCTAGGGTCGGAAGTAAGAAAGCAAGAAAGGGAAGCAAGGTTTGTCGATCGAAAGAATTCTACTTGTGGTCGATCACCTGGAGACACGGGCTTTAATGAGGAAAAAGAGAATAGCCATCCGAATAAATGTGAATAAATTCGAGCAATAAATCAGAAAATCGAAAATAGTCCCAAGCTAACAGCGCTGTTGGGTGCACTCTACCAATTGTCCGGGTCAGGCTGGCCTGTCTTTTGGCCCCCTGTTATATTCGTTGTACCGCGGATACACACCATCCTGCTCGGGGCTAACAGGGGCGAGGGAGGGTAACTATGGATATTGGTAATGGGTACAGTATGTGTGGGGGGGGGGATCCCCCTCAACGAGAGAGGGGGGGGGGGGGGGGGCAAGCATTAACCAGATTCACCAGCAGCAAGTAGTAGCCAGCGAGTGGATGTGCCTTGAAGGGCAATTCGAGCGTTTGGATCCACCCCCAGAGAGGTAAAAGAAGGGTAAGAGACCGGTGAACCCGACTAGGAGTTCCGTGTCCAGTGGTTCTGGTACTATGATTATATGATTATGATTAGGATTATTATTGTTATTTTTTTTTGTTTTGTAGAATTGAACTTGTGCACTGTAGACTATGTAAACCTGGGCTCTTGTCTAAGTCGTGGTTGAAACTATATCGCCACTGTTGAAATTGATATCTTGAAATTCCGTGAAGAAGGGGAGGTCATGGAATTGGTGGCGACCCGTCCAGGGCGTTCCACTCGGTCTTTGCCGTGCCAAAGGAACAAAAAAGTATACTCTCCATTCAGAGAGCGAGTCTTTTCTCTGGATCGGGTATAATTTCTAGGTGGTCCCTCGTCGGTGATATTCGGTTGCCGACGAGATATTATTTTACGCAGACGATTTAGGTTCTGATTATTTGACGTTCTTTACCCTTTCGATGGGTTCATTTTTTGGGGGCTAGTAAGGCTCTCTCTTTGTCTAAAAGGAGCGCGGCAATTTCGACCGCAGCGCGTTGCTGGAACAGCTTCTTTCCATTGCCATGAATCATGATGAGGCCATCATTCGACAAGGTCGATCCCTCTTTGTTATTTGAGATTTATTTATTTTTATTTATTTTATTTTTCAAGGCATCTTTTTTCATACATGTTTCGGTCAAATACGAAGCTGGGCAATGATGAGCGCACGTAGGGGAATCCACACCGATGCAGGTCTACAAAAATTACAGGCGCGTTACCAGCCTTTAGCCTTTTACATTCATAGTGCGGGTTCTCAAATTCTCGAATTATCGATGACAAATGACAAATTGTGGGGACGCGCCTGTGGTGTACAGTACTCCGTACTGTACGAAGTATTGATGGATCAAGAATCGATGGGGATGGGGTTCTACGGCCGTACTGCGGTAATGCTGCTTACCGAGATGATGTACAGTATTATACGTCTTAGCTACGTGCATATTAGCTATCTGTCAGACTGCTCAACATGAGCTCAAAAAAAAGTAACTCTCTTTTGGTGCAAGGTCACCATAAGAGCAATGCATGTACATTAACGCAAAGTACGTGAGTACATACATTTGCCAAAAGAAAACGCAAAATACGAAATACAAAAAGCAACGAGCAACGCAGGAAAGGCGTTGTTGCGCAATCGATTTCCCCCTCCATCCGCTCATCGCCCCTGGCTGATAGGCCAGCCTCCTCAAACACTGGCGATGGAGTCGAGCAGCGATGTGGCAGGGATCATATTGGGCAGGGGGCCATGCGAGCCAATCCCAGCATGGGCCTTGGAAGATAATCATGCAGAGATTAGAGCCATGGACTCGCGTGCATTTTCTGTTTTAGATCGATGTTTCAATTCACCCACTTTCAACATGCTGCGAAAGTACTAAGTATTACTACCCCCCGCTCGGCGACTAGGGATATAGGGACTAGGGGGAGAACTAGGATAGTGGATAGACGCCGGTCTTCATGTGAGCCTCCGAGGAAGCACCTCATCATTAACCGTCGTAAATCCATGGTTGATGTGCGAGTGGACGTTGGGGGAAGACGCTCTGACCCCCGACGTTAGAAAGGAAAGGAAAAGGCCCCGCCGGGAATTCATCCGGATCTCGGGAGGGTCCTATTTGAATACCCTTTTACTCGGCTTTTTATTCAGTCATCATTCTTCAATCGAGTTGTGCACCATTTGGTAGAAGAAAGGAGAAATAAAAAAGCCATGCCGCCAAAAAAGTTAAAAAACCAACTCAAACGCGCCGCGTCTATTGGACTACAAACCGTCAGCTGTTGCGACGCCTGCCGTGGCCCTGGGACACGGGGAACGAATGGGAGACCAGAGCTAATGCGGGCTCAATTTGGCCTCAGATGCAGATGGTGGGGACTTTGCGTCTGCCAACGCATCTGCTTTTTTTGTATTATTATTATTTTCTTCACTGTTGAACATCTTCAACGTATGGTGGACGGAGAAAGGACATCCTTCTAGGGAATGATGTGACCAACTGACGACATGACAATCTTTGCCGGACGAATTGCCTCGAAAATCCGGTTCGCATGATTCATTCCATCCACCGTTCGTTGGCTATCTCCGTGTCCCATCAGACCAATTCAGGGAATCAACGATTCTCGGATGTCGCATCGAGGTATGGTGAGCGAGTCAGATAATCCATAGCTAGTCCATAGTCCACCCATTATAGTCGACAAATACTTGATAGTCACTGGGTTGCTCGTATCTTGTCCTGTCAGAACGGTGTAAGTGGATGCTCTTCACCTCCAAGCTTGAGCGAACCATGGTTTACTGTAAAATGCGCAGGATGGATTCTGGCACCCAAAATCCGCCGACGCGGGGGATGATGCACATTGGGGGAAACGAGGAAGAAGAAAAAAGGCCGTGTCCAGTGGGGGTACTCGACATGGCTGACGGTCTGAAGGTGTGCATCAATCTGTCTCCATCTAACTCATCGGCAACACCCGGGAGCACAGTCAAAAATTCCAAAACATGGTTTCCGCCACGGGCATCGTGCAGGACACAAATATCCCACTCAGCTGTCTGTTTCTGCTAGTGATCCAGACGAATTGCTTTTCAGTTACACCCCCTCATCTCCCATCTCCACACCACCCTTGAAGAAAATAAGAAAAAAAAATAATAATACCCCGAAGATCAGAGAAATGGACGGAGTCAAAAATCGGGGATTGAGTGCTCCACTCGACTCGGATCTCGCGTTGGATCGGCCAGGCATTGCGGAAATGCCCTGTTGATTTCATGCCGTAGAATGGAGATGCATATCCATGAATCGATTGCTTGACTACCACTAATTTACGATCGCATGTGTATACTTTACGGAGTACTCGGTACTTGATTAGCTGTCAGGTCTTCAACCTACAGTAGTTGCTGACCAACGGCGACAATAATAATATGAATGTCCCGCGTGATGTCGGGCATCATCCTTCTCCTTTCTTTTTTATTTCGCTTTTCTTTACGCAGTTTGATCAGCGGCTGGCAGATCGTCAGTCATCTGCAGTCTAATTGCGGGCAACGGTTGATGGTCTGACCTCTGGCTTGAGCTAAATACCATTTTAGTTTTGGATTATTATTTTTTTCGCATAAGAAATACTATATTACCCGATGACAGACTGCTTACACTTTAGATTATAGTACACTTTTCTGGCCCTACCCAGACGATTTTCTTCAGGTAAACGGCGTACCATCGGCCGATCGACTCGGCCGTTCGTGATAGACAAAAATGGATCCCACACACCCTCGTCTCATTTCAATTCTTTACCATACATGCAATGACGGGCAGCGAACTCCAGTAAGACAGTAACATACGGTACAATAATACAATGCTTCAGGCTGGAAGGTCCAAGCTCGTAGCTTCCAAGCTCCTTGCTGACGCTCGATAATCGCCGCGCCTCGTGTTCTAGAAAAGAATGGAAAAACCGCAAAAATGAGTTCATCGGACACAATACATACAAAGATACATCGTAAGCGAGGTGATGGAGCAAGAAAGGACTGTACGTACGCAAGCTTCCCAACCCTAAGCCAAGTCTCTAGCAACCAAGGCTGCCCTGATCGAAAGGGATAATGATTGATTGATTGATTGATTGATTGATTTTTTCTTTTCTTTTTTGTCTTTGCTATCATTCCTTTTCTTCATCTTCTTGTCGAGGTACTTCATACTCTTCGTATTATTGCTGCGAGTCCACCGGAGATCGTTCCTCCGTTAGCGCTGTCTGTTGGTCATGTCTTTTCTTTGTTCCTTTCCTCCTTGTCCACCCCCGTCTTCATGCACACAGTAGTTGTAGCAGCCTCGATGGGCAGGGGAGACCTCCCGGCTCCGTGCAGATCAGATCAACATGGCCCCCGGGGCTAAAAACCACAGACTGGCGGCCCCCGCTCGGTTCTTTGTTCGGGGAAGAGAAGTGGTTCCACCTTTCATCTATTCGACTATTCGTCACTCCAATCACAAGGCAACGAGACACGGCGTTAGTCGCGTAGCCGCAGTACAGTCTCATC